GGCCAAACACCAGATGGAAAACTATACCGCAACGACCGACCAAGCTCCGCAGGCCATCGTATTGTTGCCAGAGGTAGCCTTGACGCAGGGTTCAGTGCGTTCACTTCAGATGAAGGGCTACCCGATCCAGCGTGCGAGGGCTCCGTATTGAAATACAATTCGGATGCACCAGCGAGAACAATTTTCCTTAACTCTGCTTCCACTACGAGCAGACGTGCAATGCGAGTACGCATTAGCTATGACGACGATGCCGCGAAGTATGACTATGGGCGCAAACTTTCGGACGCCCCTGTCAGCTCTGCTGGGAATGAGGGTGGATATTCCAGCATGACGAAGACGGCAGATTACAAGATCGGAGCTTTGGTTGAAAGTGATTTCTTCAACGATGGAACTGGGAAGGACTCATATAGATGTATCCTCTGGCGGAGGTTCAATCTGTCTTGGATTTTGAATGGGCCAAACAATTAGGGCGGGGTGATTGGCGTCAATACTTCGCTATCAGGAGATCAGGAGATCAGCAGATTTGATTTGTTAACTAATTCTGTCAAACCCATTGAATCATATAATTCTTGTGCAATCTCCGCTTTTGCAGCATGATATGATACCGAACTCTTTCACGAATTGCAGTTCCGTTGGAATGAACGTACATTAATGCGAGAATAACAGTGACTCGGTTGCTAAGAGGGCCTACATGTCGGCGCAAAAGATGTGAATGTCGATTGGATTTTAGTAGATTTTCTCTAGATTTCAGCCTCTGAGAATACTAACAGAACGTACCTTGTTCATGGTTGAAGCAAGCGAATGATCAGAAGAAATTACAGGTAGAATATGAAAGCTAGCCAATGATGGGTAATGATCGAGGTTGCTCAACTGAATGTACTCAGTTAACCTGTGCTTCAGACTCCGCACCGATTTCTCGAGGTGAAAGTGTCACTGACATCAATACTATGGTTTAACAACCTGATTATTAGTTGAAATGATTTTAGTCCGCACTGGCTTCCAGAAGCTGTGTTATGGACCATGAATTCCACACCCAGAATGGTATGAATGAACTCGTGCCGAAAGAAAGGCTTCGAAGGCGTTGGCAACAATGGCTTTGAATGCTACGAGTACTATTCTATGGCATACTAAGCCCCTTAGACGAGAGATAGCTACTGTTCCATCAAAGAAAGTCCTTGCTAGCAATGAGAGACAGGTATATATGCCGGTGGGCCACCGTGTTCGTGGTACTAAGACTATAAATGCACGTTGAACAAGAATACAGGATTCCCTCTGCTTCCAGTGGGGCTTATGTTATGTCTCGAGTGGGGCTGGCTCAAGCCCAGGCTCAGGCCAAAAGTCAGAGACACGAAAGCACAGCCGAATATCTTCTCAGCCTAGGGCGCTTGGGAGAAATCAGGAGGAGGAAATTGGAGTTGACTATCCACAAACAATTAGCTCATCCTATTTACCAATAAATCTTCAGAATACGTCGAATGCATGGTGGGTGGGTACACAATGTTTGGCTGCGCCTCTTGTGCTTTCAGTCTAGATCTCCCGTTGACACTCCACTCTTAGGGATCTCCATGTTCCCCAGCAATATCAGCCCACAGCATGTTGTCATATCAATCTCGTTCAGAAGTATCAAAGCAAGGGGCTGTAAAGCAATCCTACTGTAGAATCTACCATAACATCTCTGTCAAGCAACTATTGGTCAGAAATGGCGTTCAAAGTCCAGCGGCTCTCCAAATAATCTCACATTTTCCCATCGGCCAATCCCCCCCTCGCATACTTGACATGTGTCAGGGCATAGTTACTGTTTTCAATTGACGTCAATGTTTCAATGTCTGATCCTACCCCGCTTGATCTAACTTTGTCGGAAGATTGCACGGAGCTCTCTGTCCCGCCTTCGCTGTCCACTGTTTTGCGCTGCATCTGTATACTTCCATCCCTAGTGTCAGCTGTACCGAACCTCCCCAAAGTTTACAAGTGTATCGAGAAGGCTCAAATTTAGTCAATAGACTTGATTCCTTGTGATTCAAAAAGTAGATTAGGAATAAACAAGGCTCGATCAAAGGAAGGCCGAGATTATGGCAATAGAGTAGATTTTTAATGGACTGTGCTACATCTACAGCGAGAAAACCACTTTATGGGGAAGGTTGAGCGAAATTTTATCTGATCATCGCCTTACAAAATGAAATTATGTATCAGTACCATACAGTATGAGGCTGGCCTTACTCGTACCGACACGGAGGGAAATGTTGGGCCAATTGGGGCCAGATCACATTAATCCACAATGCACTGAACATGCAGGATTCTTGTCAGTTGCCAATGATCCATATTGCTTTGACGACTGTACATCCGTATACTCATACGCAGTGGGAACAGCCTAGATTGATCCAATCATGCTAGTCAGACATAGGACAAACCAGGCTCCATTTGCACATATGATTGAGTAAGACTTGGCCTTTGAAACACGTGATGAAGCCATGAACTCTAGTGGCCAACAGAGCCAAGCACTGCCAGAGTCCAGATTCTGTTCTTTACTCGGCGTGCTCGAGGTCAAAGTAGGCACAAAACCCGCCATAATTAGAGTCTATCGACTCGTATCAAAGGGCCATTGAACAGTGAAGTCAAAATCATATCGAATGACGGTCAAAAAAAAGGCCAGATTCCCTATATTTGGACCAGAGATCTATACTTTGCCAAGTTTAGTATCCTCAGGAATATACCCTTTCCCCGCTCCAGCGGAGTCGGATAGTCCCGGGAACAATCAACCACCGTCCAGAGGGTCCACCGACATCATTGATCGTCAAGAATATCAACCTTTTGAGGGAGATACGCCAGAATGTGCCTTCGACCCCGCATCACGCCATATGGAGGAGCCAATGTAAGACAGAGAGCTATTGCATGCAGCTGTGGCCCTGTGGCCTTGTGGACCTGTCGCCATGTCGTCTGTGCCTTGCGAGGCGCCCCACATCCGACTGGGAGGGGGGACGAGGGTGCTTGGACGGCTCGGGACTACGTAGACGACGTAGTAGGGGAACCAGGGCAACGATTTTCCAGAACACGGATCAATTGATGATTTGAATGAATCGGGTTGAAGCCTCCGCATGGATTCAAGTGCTATAAGAACGTAGGCTTTGTACGTAGGGATGGAAGTAAGTTTTTGAAGAACAATCTCCTGCGAAGAACATCGTTATTTCACTGTGCGAGAAACTGTGTTTGATATACTTCTTACCTGATCCCCCCTTGCCCACGAACAAGAATCATTCCAAACAATTGTCTTCCCCCTTTTTTAATCATGACTGCCTCTGCAACCCAATTGTACCTTCACCAGGCTCGTGACGTTAAGAGTGTCGAGGACTGCATGACAGTCTATGACAAGTGGGCCGCAACATACAACGATGAAGTCGGCGACGAGGCCCAAAGCTATGTCGCTCCCGTCCTCGTTGCCCAAGCTGCCATCAAGTACAAGTCCAACAAGAGCCCCGCCGACAGTATAATCCTTGATGCCGGCTGCGGAACCGGCCTCGTGGGTCAAGCCCTTGCCATAGGCGGTGTAAAGGCAATCGACGGTATTGACTTGTCAGCCCCGATGCTGGATGTCGCCCGGGACACTGGTGTGTACCGAAACCTTGCTCAAGCGGACATGACCCGACCACTCAACAACGTGGACGAGACGTACGACACCGTTGTATGTGTTGGCACCTTCACTCGGGGTCACGTTGGCCCCGACCCTGCCCTTCGAGAGCTTATCCGAGTAACCCGAACAAACGGTATCGTTGTGGCGACGATTCTCGACGAAATCTGGGAGCCACACGGATTCAAGGCCGAGGTCGAGAAGCTCAAGGCAGAGGGTCTGGTGCGAGTCATGTCTGAGGATTTGATAGATTATGTAAAGGGCCATGGCGACAAAGCAGTATTGCTTATTCTAGAGAAGGTCAACAAAGATTGAAAGAAGAGCAGCCATGGCGACAAGGGCGATTGCAAACGCGTTTCGAAAAAGCCGATTGCAGCAACAGTTATGCAGCCCCAAAGCGACACACAACCCAAGCGACTGCAATGGTGACTGCGAATCCGTGCGAAAGGCTTCGATTCAACACATTCCCGTTTGGCAAAGACAGTCGAGGTTCAACACCTGGTTGATTGCAGCCGAAATGATGACAACGATAATGACCCGGATTTCATTTGTATAAATTAAACCTCAGATCGAAGTAAAAACTCCGTATCAATTTTCTTTGAAGAGACAAAATATTCAGTAGAATGAAATCGTACTCTTTGCAGGAGTTGTGCATCTTTTAAAGCTTGAGAAGAAGACCGGCAAGTACCCGGTAGGAAGCCGGTTTGCTGCAGGTCGATCAAGGAGTAGAAAACCCGCGCAATCTCAATTGGACAGAGAGCCCCTTTTGCAGATGCAGCAGCTCGAGAACAATAATCCCAGGGATGAGTACTCCCTGTTATCAACGAACCCTAGCTTGTGTTTGGTGGCACGTTATCTAGACGCAGCGCGTTCGAGGTTCCCTTTTGGGTAACGAACCCCCTCCTGCAGATACCCTTCTTTTGCATGTGGGGTAATGATATCAGGATTGAGTAATCTGGAGGTCCTAGAGCACGATAAGTTCAGTATTTGGCAAATTACTTAAGGGTATTACAAGACACTGATCGTACATGTCTGGAACTTGTCACGTAATTGTCAAGCATGCGGCTTGTTAATGATCCGATGTGGAGGTGGATCTCAACGGTTAGATTAGTAGATCTATGCATGAAGATAACAACGTTAAATCCAGCCACCACGTCGGTACTCACCAGTCAAATCGAACCTCTGAGTATCCCCCAGGGCTACAGATAGGGCATTATAATGTCATAATTAGTCTAACAGGTCTAAAAGAACATCAACCCCCTAAATAAAAGTATATTCCCATCCCCTCGAAATGCCCCACGTGACGATATCCGACCCTATCCCAAAGCAGCAAAACCAAAACACGTTGTTTTCTGGTTCCGCAACTCGTCCCGCAGCCCAACGTTTAACGTCACTTCGAAAACTTGGAAAACCCCCTTCCTCACAACGCGCTTCTAAAAACACCCATCCTCGACAACACAACGGCATACCCTGCGCTCAACCTCTCAACTTAGCGCCGGCAAGAGCCATTGTCCACCTCTCCCTTTGACAAACTTCTCCAATATGCCCCCCTCCCCACCAAAGAAAAACCCTACGAACCATAAATTCGAGCTCCAAAATCACCGCGTCTTCGACCCCTGGAACTCCTCCTCAACGGGCCACCAGCACGCCGAGAATCCATATTCCGGCACGACGAGCTGGCGCGATACCCGCTCCGCAAAATTGAAGCAGCAGTTCCTCGGCGACGATTATTCCCGCAATAGCGCCAGCGCTCTAGATGACCAAGACTTTTCGGCGAAAGCATTTGACGGAACTTGCGGGTCTGTATCGCCAGATAGAGAAAGCTATGGGGATATAACTGGAAGTGGTGGGAGAACGAGGGCTGGAGAATGGCGATGGGTTTCGGAGGCGGAGGCGAAGCGGGCTCAGTTGGGTGTAAGGGATATTCGGTGTTTCATGGGTGTTGGGAAGAGGAAGGCGGGGGATGAGTACCAGATGCAATCGCAGGCTGAGAAGAAGGCGAGGACGGTCTCGGGAGGAACTGCAGTTTCAAAAATGTTGATATCGACTCCTACACCTACACCTACACCTACACCTACACCTGCGACTGTGACGGTGCCAAAGACTTCAACCATATCTACAACAACGAGCACCACCAAGATACCCTCGAGCCCCAGAATTGAGTCTGGTACCGATCACCAACGACAGAAAAGTACTGCAACGCCCGCAGTTCCACCCTCCACCACCAAATCATCCTCCTCAACCCTCTTCACCGGAACGACAATCTACATCAACGGCTCAACCCTCCCGCGGATCTCCGACCACAAACTTAAATCCCTCCTCGCGTCGCATGGCGCTACAATCGCCATCGGCATGGCCCGCCGGACAGTCACGCATGTTATTATCGGGCAACCCGCTACTACGGGCCAGGGTGCCGGCGGTGGTCTTGCGGCGGGGAAACTACAGGGGGAGATTGAGAGAGGTGGGTGGAAGGGGGTTAGGATTGTCGGTGTTGATTGGTGAGTTTGTCCCCTCCTTCGTGATTATTTCTGCTTTGATTTTGGGATTGGGTTCTTCGTTGAGAACTATGCGTGGTACTGGTTGAGTTATTCGCATCGTGTTGGGGCGGGTTATGGCTAATTCGGTGTTCGGCAGGGTCCTCGAGAGCATCAAAGCAGGCAAACGACTTGCCGAGTCGAGGTTTGCTGTTTTATGTGTTGCGCCGAAGGGGCAGAAGAGTGTTGCTAGTATGTTTGGTGGGAGGTGAGATTGGAATGATACCCAGGTTCACTTGAATGCCCTTTATGACTAGAGCGTGGGCTGGATTGGTTGAGGAGCATTCATTTTACGTGCATCTTCATGTTGGCGTTTACTTATTATCCTGCATTTGTTACTGGACATAGCGTTGGCATTGCATTGCATATCTTTGACATGCATTGGAGTATAACACGGCGTTACTTTTATCACTACTATGGTTGGATTTCTATCTCGTGATACCCCTCGAAGAAAGTCGGAAATCAGTCTTCAATTTGACTCTCAGACCGAATAAATTCTTTCATCCCTCAATCATAATGCATTAGATCGTTTATCATCGACGTGATCCCACGTCCATATATGTACAACAGTCCAAATCCAGGTCCAAGCAGTGTACAACATTATCCAAAGATGTACACCGAATACCAACATCGACATGCAAACATATCACCCAACACAGATCCACTCCCATGTTCCCAGAGAATTCCAAATCAGAATCAGAATAAACACCGCTGTAAATGCAATCAAAGAAATAAACGTCATCAAATGTAAACCGCCAACCTCATTCCGTCCAACGACCAGAGATATATCTCATGTCAATGGTAAATAGCAACATATGTGCAAGAAAATGAAAGTCATCATCAGCCAGATTTCATCAGACGTTAAGACTTAAAGAAACGCTCCCTTTGAACCTCCACGAGGAGGACTCCTCGGTTCATAGCTCTCACCATCCGCACTGCTAGTCTCAGACATGTGTCGGCGCCAACCACTGTGCTGTCTAGTGACTTCAGGCGCAGCCGCAGCCGCAGGTATGTTATCGTCATCGCGAGCCTCGGTCGAGGAAATCGACGCAACGCCCATATCAGAGGAATCGGATGAGACAGATCGCACACCCCCGTCTAGTGTAAGGGGTGCGTTATCAGGCAGTGGTGGGAGCGGGTTTGGATGACGATGAGTCGAGAACGAGGACTGCGCGGGAGGAGGGGCCCGTGGGTGTGATGAGGAATTGGTTCTCGTGCGTGAGCGTGGGGCACTCCATCCTTCCTGCTCGTCCATTTCTTTCGGCGAGGCAGTCGCTTGTTTATCGTGAGGGAGGTAGTACGGGTTCGATACATTGCCCGACTGCGCGTAGAAAGCGTGGTGGTCTTCATAAGGCGGGAATGCGGATGTCGACATGCTAGAGACTGAATCGCCGTGGGCGCGACCAGAGGGCCGCGGGTGTCGGTGCATGGGCTGAATCTCGGCAGCGTCAGATTCGGCGCTGGACCAGCGTTCGAGTTTCTCGCCCAGATTTTCTTCGGCAGTGCGCGAGTCGCCTCGGACAAGACCGAGTCGCTCTTCTTCGGTGGCGGACTTGCGCATATCCCCGTCGATGCCGTGGTTGCGGCGCAAAATACCGCGTGGTGGGCTGGCGGTGCGTTTAGGGGATGGCGGGTTGCTTTGCGATTTGTTTCGGCTGAACATGCTGTTAAAGGAGAATTGGCGACGTGCGACATATGGCGGTTCGAGAGCGTGGTGAGTCTGGGGTCGGTTGTCATCGGCCTTTTCGTCAGCCCAATGGATGGAACGGGGGGTGTCGCTGCGCTCGCGACCTCCTGGGTAGAAGGGAGGTTCGAGGCCTCCAGCACCATGGTATTCGGTGTCGACGGCGCTCTTCCGATTCGTCATTTCCGTATCAGTGTTGGCACTGAGGGTCTTCTCGTCTCCCTTGTGGACGGGTAACCATTGACCGTGCTGTAGAATGCTTGATGTGCGAGATCGGATCTCGCCGAGGAACGAGGGTCCACTCTGCTTGGTGCTGGGCCGGTTTTCATCATCATCTTCTGGATCGGGGAATCGAGACATGCCCAGTGGGGGTAGCGACTGTTTGACCGAGGGTGAGCGAGGCGTTCGTGGACGAGACATGGTAGGTCCATCTCCAATGACGGTCTTGCGTCGACGAATACCATCCCATTCAATGATTTCGTTCTCGGCAGGTGGCTTCAGGAAATCTTCTTGTTTCTCGTTGACGAAGCGCCGGGCTTCATCCTGTTCGTGTTCGCGGCGAGTGGTCGAGATACGACGAAGAATAGATGCCGCACCGCGGATGGAGTCGGCCTTGGGCTCATATTCAGGCTCCTCCTGAGCAGCCACCTCACGAATCTGATCCAGGTCACCCTTGAACACGGCAGCATCGGGAACATCCTTGGCAGATTTGGATAGCTGGAGCAGGACCACGCCGACGCAGATTTGCATGAAGCCCATGATCACCGTTGCGATCTGGATTCCAGTTCCCTGGAATCCCTGGAACAAGATGGCCGAAGTGATGATAGTCGCACTAGTGAACATGACGTAGTAGGTTGGGGTGACGAGGGCGGCATTGAAAAGGTTCAACGCTTTCTGTATCGCATGTTAGCATAATCCCAATATCTTAGATAGAGAAACTGGACATACGTTGAGGTATATAATCTCCGTCAGTAGCGTGCAAACCACAAAGACGAACAGCACATAAAGGAACCAATGCTTAAACTGCGACTCGCCATTGATCTGTGCGAGAATGGCCGAGCCCAGACCCTGCGTCGCAACAACACTCAATCCACCAACCATACTGCAAATGCTAATATAAACGAACATGCTCTTCTTGCCGTACCGGGGAGCCACCCAAATCGCCGTAATCGCCGCCCCGATCAGAATCACACCAGCATACGACAGAAAACCGGGCGCGATCACGAACTTTTGCATACCCTGGATATCGTTGACGGCGGACTGCTCTGGCGCATTCATCGCGATCACGACAGAACCGATGATACAAGAGAAACAGCCAACCTTGCCAACAAAACTAAGTCGTTCTTTCAGGAAAATCGCAGAAAGGATCGTGGTGATAACGACGGCGAGCGCGCCGAACGGGGTGACTAGGATAGCGTCGACGAAAGCGTATGCGACAAAGTTGCAAATCTCGCCCACGATCATGAGGGTCATGCCTAGCCACCACCACGCATTCTTGAGGTATCCGTAGCCTTCACCGGCCTCTTCGTTGTATTTGACGTTCGCCTTGAGCAGGCCGACCTTCTTGATCACGAAAGAGATGCCGATGAAGACGCCCGAGGCGACGGCTAGCGAGATACCGACGGCTTTGTAGGAGGCTGGGCGGCCTGAGGAGTCGGCGCGAGCCAAAAGGGTGGAGGCATGGTATAAGCTATCGTGGGGTTCCATGATGGGTATGGTCAAGAGGAGGTGGTGGGACTTGGAGGAAACCTTGTCGCATGAACCACACTGGCCAGCAGTGGGAGAGATGAGAGGAAGAGCAGGAGGGAGGGTTTGTTGGGAGGACGAAGTCGTCCGAAGACGAGACTCGGCGACTAAGCTGAAACACTTGACTCAGGGCACTTTGTCACCGTTGAAGCGTTCAGATTGAGAAATATGATGCCGATACAAGCACAAGATCCACACGCGACCGAGTTGAATAATAAGGAGTCGCACAGTCAAAATCTCTCAATGATGAAATAATGATCAAGCTGTGGCTTTAATACTGCAGTGCTGATCGCGGAATGTTTCTGGAAGGTTTGAATGGAATCAAGGCGGGGGAGAAACGATCAGCGCGGATGGACGTCAGTGGCAGTGCGTGCGGTGTCTGTGAGCGACCGCGGCAAAATTCACATGAATTGGATGGTTGATTGTAAGATGTACAGAGTAAAAGGATATGAAGAAAAGAAAAGAGCAAGAACAAAGAACGGATGACGGAGAAAGATGAGCGATGGATAGGGGGCGCGCAGAAACGAAGAGGCTGGGCCTGTGGGGAAAAAGTGTTGACGAGGTACCGAGTGGGTACGGCTGGACTCCACTGTCTGCACTGCAATCGAGATGGTACCTGGCAGGTACAGATTCTACATGAAAAAACGATTGGCTCTAATTCATGGTTATCTCTCGGAAGATATGGTCTCCAGGAAATTGTAGCCATAGTTGCATTCTGGAGCTCTGAATCTCTTCCATGGATGGGCCACGCAGGTAGCTCAATCATTGGGCCAGTCAGGTTCGGCTGAATTGACACAATTGGATTCCTAGTTTAATTTTAGCTAGTTTGACTTTGACTTGCAGGAGCTGACGGTCCCCACGACTGTCTTTCTTTTGCCACTCACCCTAATCGTTAAGACTGAAATATACGCGGCAAGGAGCTGTCAACTACGGTACAATTCCCTTGATCGTAGTTCGTCCTGGGCCATTTCAGTCTGCACGGCCACAGGCCATCGCTCCATGCCTCATGTCCGAGTTTTATACTACACCATATGTACTATACGCCCGATGAACAGAGACTATGTGCAAGCAAATCCTATACAATCCTCAAAAACATCATCATCATTCATCACCCTGCTGCCTAACAGCGAGGTGTACTGTGTCTTCGACTCTGTCTGGCTCTGTATGTCCATCAAGGCATGAACAGAATCTCCAAGGTACCATCATTCACACATAGCTATGGCCAAAAAAAAGAAATGCGGAAAATCCAATGTGTAAACGCCCAGACACCGCCCATTTCGGTCCACCTCAGTCCCTATTCACCGTGCCGATTGAAGGGTATCCAGTAGAAAAAAGCAAGAAATAATAGGCCATAACATATAAACATAAAAAGTGACCACGATCAATATTCCACCCCCCAGACTGCGCTTTACACCATAAATCATTGATATCACCGCACGTGATAGCTCGGCTTGCGCTGTCGGTTGACCACGGGCGGGGGTTCGTCCACGGGGTACGGCGGTCGCACCTTGCCGCTTGGCACAGGAACGTGCGGTTGAGAGAAGAGCGGCGCGGGCATAGAGACACCACCATCCTCGATGGACGGGTATGGGATGGGTGTCTTGGGCGGGATGGGCGGAGGCATGCCGTTCAGAGGCGACGCGGTATGGGATGCGACGTGCTCGGCGCTGCGCCCGGGAGAACCCTGCTGTTGCGAGGAAGGTCGGTTATGCTCATGACTGGGACGGAAGCTGCCGACATCGCTGCTGGAGTGCCGCGTCGGGGAGACTGGTAGGCTATTGTTGTGGGGAGTTGGATGGGTGGGTAATGAGTCGTCTCCGGGTGGTGCGGTCACGGTCACACTGGAGGGGACGGAGGGGGAGGCCTGCGAAGCGGGTTGTGGGAAGTATTCGACTGGCGAGGCGGGCAGCTCGACTGCGAACTGATTTGCCGGAGGAGGCACCGAGTAGGTCGAAGGGTTAGTCGAAGGGTTGCGTGAGTGGACTATGGTCTCCTCTCGCTCGAGGTCAAATGACAGGTCATCGCGGTCACCACCGGCGGCCGCATGCTGGGCAAGGCGCTTGTTCATGCGGTCGATCTTGGCAAACTTCACACTGGAGTCGAGAATCATCTTTTTCACCTCCGATTTGGCCAGATATTGCCGGGTATTGGTGCTGATGTCAGCCAGGCGATTCCACTCGTTCATTCCAAACTCGCCAACGCCAACCTCCACGTTGAACCGGTAGTAGTTGTCAGTGGGGACGCCACGCTTAGCAAGCGTTTCCCGCAGCATTTCCTGATGAATAGCCTCGCAGCCTTCGATCTTTGAGATCAGTCGTCGTCGTGCCTCGGCGAACGTGCCGGTCGCGGAACCAAAGAAATCCTCCCACCATTCATGCTGTCGGTTATTGGTGCCAGAAGGCCGTCGGCCAGTTCCAACACTGATGAACACACCGACCTCTCGACCAGGCCACTCGTTGGCAACTGCTTCTTCAAGAATCTGGGGTGCCGGATTGTAGGTTCCAGGTCCTTCATCGATGAACACATGCTGGCCGATTTGTATCGGCTTAAAAGCAAGTCCCGTGGCTGATGTGGCGCGGCCAGCCTGCCAGATGGTGCAGTCAAACTCGGGTGGGGGTTCCCGGCGAGAGTCGTAGGAGCGTAGAAGTACGGCTGACCCGTTACGCTGAGTACCCTTATATAGCGCAGTGACAGCACTGGTCATTTGTTAGCATTGAATATCGTTAGGTCACGAGGCAAGAATAGAAAGACTTACGTTTTGGTCCGGAATTCTCGATTGTCGTAGAGAAGAGCCTCCGGATTCCCCCAGCGCAGCCCATTCAGAAAAGTGGACCCTCTTTGGCTCGCGGGACTTTGGGGATGGGACATGGCTGACGTGCTAAAACTGCCTCGGCTGACGGATCTCTGCGGTACAGAGTTTGGGCTAGTATAGGGAAGACTTGCGATCGATGCTCCAGGGTTGTTGCCGGCATTCGGTTGGTCGTTACCCTCGGCCTCGAAGACCGTGTGTTCGCGCACGCATTCCCGGATCGCTTCCTCGAGCTTCGAGGCCTTGAACAACGTCGAGCGATAAGGAATACCGGCGATAGTCTTATCCGTCTCAAAGACCCTCCTGGTCATGCGCACATAAACTTCTTTACAGGTCTCGAGGTCGAGGCGAAGACGTCCCAGCATGATCGCGATCAAGCCGCCGGTGCCGGTGCCAGCAATCAAGTCAAAGTGGTCGCAGGGCTTGGGTATTTGGTCGCGACGAGGCGGCTTGCCTTCGCATTCGACATAGGTCCGATACATGAGTTCCTGGAGGATAATGAGCATGGAGTAACCGCGAACACCACCTCCATCTGTCTGGTTATTAGCACTTGCATTTCGGATGTGTCGGGGATGGAGACGGAACATGACTGTGCCTACCTAGAGACAGAATCCGTAATGGTGGACCCTTGGTGGTGTCCTTGCGGCGCAGATTGACCTCATTCATTGCGACTGCGGCAGTTACTTGTGAAAGCGAAAGTGATCGCCCTGCTCCTTTTTTTTCGCAGCGACAGCTTACCCACGGCGGGGCTGAGCAGCGCCTTATGCACCGAGGTGGCGGAAGCACGGGCGCCTGACCGATTGGATCAGAGCGTGGGAATGCGAGGCGGGTCACTCGAAAAAGCACGGAAAGTTCGAATGCGTTGTCGGTCAAAGGTATCCGGCGAGTTGGATGTGAGAGGTGCCGATATCGTGGAGTGCGTCGAATGGGGGGAACTTTGAATAGGCAGCGGCGTAAGTCCAATTGGCGGCGGGGGCGGGTTGGGCTGAAGGTTAAGCCACGCGATGCAGGGCCTCGGATTTGAGATTCACGATGCCGCTTTGGTGCCGTTGAGAGGAGTGGTAATTGTAAGAAGACAGTTGCATCAACACACAGGAAGAATATGCAAATATCAACCAGTCCTATGACGGTCAGCTGAGTTATTCTTGGAAAACGCATCCACATCGACTGCTTCCTTCCATGGTCCATGGCCTAGTCATGTGATATGTGGCTGTGCGTGTGGTTATGATGTAATTTGTGGCGTTTTAGCGGGGACTTGACAGGTTTCGTCAGCTTCTGGAAATGAACAATAACCACTGGCGAGCTGAAGTTTTGTTGGGATTATGACTAACTGGATAAATTGTCGGCATGTCCGGGGAATTAAAACACCCAGCTAGGGTCTTCAGTCGACATTCTCCCAGTTTCCGGTGCTAATTACCAGGTAGAATACCATCAAGACTTTGGGGGTTTGAACTCAAAATGTGGATACTGTCATTAGAATCTGAAATCAAGGACCTCTCGTGGAGCTCAAGCATATCATCAAGTATCTTTAGTCCATGGAAGCTTATCTCGTCCTCCTAAGTTGTTACAGCCACTTAAATAGGAATTCGGAATGTCGAGAGTTCCATCTGGAATATACTTCGTGACCATCCATGAAGTGATCAGAGACGGAGATCAGGCCCAACTGAGTTCATAGTATCAAATATACAAAGGTCTTCATTTTCAACGTCCAGGCTCAATCATCAATAGCGTTCCATACTACCATAGACATCCACCCACCTAGTTCGTCAACCCCGGCCAATCTATAATCACCACAGTCAGTATTGCATCAAATCTTGAATGACCTTCTTTCCTAGACTCACCAGTAATGGTATGCTCCTCGGACTTTCTCGAAACCCTCACCTCATCACCAACCTTGACAACCTCCCCAACCCCCTCCCTCCCAAGAAACGCATATCGTCCAAACACCGGACTAAACCTAGCACCCTTATCTACCCTCCGATCCTTCATAAGCTTCTTCAACACACTCCCACTCTCCCCAGTGCCCATCTTCCCCGTCGAAAAATCCACATTTAGACTCTGACATCGCACACAATTCCCAGTTAACAACAGTCTCGCCTTTGAATCCTGTCCACTGGCACTACCAGTATCAGGGGTGGCAGAGCTATTTCCAACATCCAATTCTGCCCAAAAGTCCTCCTCAAACGCCCTCTCCGCACCCGAAATAACGATATTCGGCCGGAACTTGGTCAAATCAACCACCTCCTCCCCGGCCAACCGTCCCGATACATTCTCAACCGAGGTTTGCGAAATAACCAAGAAAGGCGCACAATCTGCAAATCCGATTCTCGCCTCATGACGCCTCATCACGAACATATTCACCGCGCTCCAGAGAAGACCCAGCGCCAGGACTGTGATTCCAATAGCTGATGCGGGTGACCTGCCAGCTTCGATACGGGCATGGCACCAGCTCACCGCGTTGAGAACGAGATATCCCAGTGAAAACGGTACGAGCCATCGGTCGAGGATCTTGTTACCGTTGCCATTACGCGGGAGTACGAGCTCCTGTTGCCAGATCCTCCACCAGGACTCTTTATTGCGCTTAGCAGGGGCGAGTGTGCCAAGTACACTGCGCGTGTTGGTCCCCAGATACGCCAGTACGACGGGGTATCCGAAACACGTGCTGAACCAGTCGTTATAGCTCGATCCCATATCGTAACCCGTCGTCGGACTCTGGTGCATCGCTACTGTAAAAGCCTTTAAATTGTTCGTCTCCGGCTCGAGTGGGATCTCTAGACGTTTCGACTTGGATTTGTCGCTTTCGCTTTGATCTCCCAATTCGAAGCCTGGTCCTTCATGCCCATCATGTTTCAAAGGCGGGTTGTACGTCACAATCACCTTCCCAGTGTCATTTTCCGTCTTGGGTTCCTCAATCGCCGTCTGGAAGAGTCCCATCTCGGGATACTCGGGGATATGCATATTCCCCAGTGTTGGGGGCCCGCCATTGTTGTCCGGAACCACTTTCAGGAGCATGAAGCGTCGGTCATAGCGGAAACCCAGGTCTGTAAGTTCGCCCGAGGTGACTTTTGTTGGTCGCAGGGATTTGATGGGGTATACGTAGAGCTGGGGAGGAAGTCTGGTCAGCATCTGGCTAGATAGTTGGATGGATTGTTTGGGGGAGGTCATACCTCGCTTATTTGCATTTTGAAGGTCAGAATTGAAGAATAAGTGGTTTTGCGGATTTCTTCATCATACGAAGAGGTATCGTAAGGATGAAAATAGAAAGATTGCAAGCGGCAGTTGCATAAATGGGAGGACGCGACGGTCCTTTCTCCGCACAAGGGTCCTATCCCCGCGCTTATCGGTTATCGGTTATCCGATCCGAGGGTCCAAACTATACCCAATTTGTCCCGCACAAGTGCAGTACTTGGGCCATATATAAAGTAACAGCTACAGACCGATCTAGTTGATAAATGCGAGAGTATTGTTTGAATGTTAAAAGTCTTTAAATCATATTTCGTGTTGAAGCATGGCTGGGGGGAATGTACACATGTATAAGAAAGTGGAAATGCGATGAAAAAAGCAAAAATGTCTACTGGTCCTTGGCCCAAGGCAGGCTGAATGTGCCCACCCAGTCCTCAACTTCTTGCCTCAACAAAACGATCTCTGAGACCTCCTCTCCTTCACCCAGGAAGTCGAAGAAGGCCTTGAGGGTACCGGGGTTCTTGACACCACGGGTCTGAGCCTGCTCACGGGCAGCCTTGTCCAACTTCTGGGTCAGGATCACGACACGGTCAACGATGTCAGCGACCCGACGGAAGTCCTCGGGCTGGAAACCACGAGAAGTCATGGCGGGGGTACCAATACGAAGACCGCCGGGCTTGAGGGCAGACTTGTCACCGGGGACAGTGTTCTTGTTGCTGGCAACACCACACAGCTCGAGGACACGCTCCACACGGGCACCGTCCACACCGCGGTTCTTCAGGTCGACCAGCACCAGGTGGTTGTCGGTGCCGCCGGAGACAATGTTGTAACCGAGGCCACCGTTGCTGGTAGACTCGCCGAGACGCTCAGCCAGAGCCTGTGAGTTAGCCAGCACAGTCTTTTGGTACTCCTGGAACTCGGGAGACTGAGCCTGCTTCAGGGCGACGGACAGAGCAGTGATAGTGTGGTTGTGGGGGCCACCCTGGTGACCAGGGAAGACGGACATGTTGATAGGGTTCTCCAAATCATACATCTCCTTGTTGCCCTTTTTATCGGTGCGACGGACGCCCTTGCGGTAGAAGATCATGGCACCGCGGGGTCCGCGAAGAGACTTGTGGGTGGTCGTGGTGACGATATCTGAGTAGGGGAAGGGAGAGGGCAGGACATCGGCAGCAACGAGACCGGAAATGTGGGCCATATCAGAGAGAAGGTAGGCGCCGACGGAATCAGCGATTTCGCGCATGCGAGGGTAATCGATCAGACGGCTGTAGGCCGACGTACCCGCCACAATCAGCTTAGGGCGGTACAGCAGAGCCTGCTTCTCGAGAGCGTCATAGTCAATCAGGCCGGTCGACTCATCCAGGCGGTATGGCAAGGTCTCGAAGTACTTGGAAATGGCGGAGATTTTCTTGGTCGGGGTCTGGTAACCGTGCGACAAGTGGCCACCGTGGGGCAGATCCAGACCCATCAAGCGGTCGTGAGTGTTGAGAACGGCGGAGTAAGCCATGAGGTTAGCGGGTGAGCCGGACAGGGCTGTGGTCATGTTAGCAATGCTGGGTTGCATGGATTGGAAGGCTATAGTGGCGCCATACGCTGAACGTTCACACCCCACTCCTCGGGGTTGAGACGGAAGGTCTCGAGAGCGCGCTGCTGGCACAAGCGCTCGGATGCGTCAATGTGTTCGTTTCCACCATAGTAACGGGCGCCGGGGTATCCCTCGGAGTACTTGTCTAAATATGCAATTAGGATCCTGATGCGTATCTCGAGCGGGGGAGGAAAACTCCTAGCACATACTCTGCATCACACTGCCTAGGGCATCGAGGACGGCTTGCGAGGTGAAGTTCTCGGAGGGGATCAGGTTGATGAAGTGCTTCTGGCGGGTTTTCTCCTAGAATTGGTCTTAGCGGATTGTCCTGCAGCATGCCCCGAATCTGACATGACGTACCTTCTCGAGGATATTGAAGACGGTAGGATCGGAGTCCTTCAGGGAGGAAGACAGGAGCTGGAGATCACGTTAGCTTAACCAATCCAAGTCAATGGAGCCTCATTGGGGCTGTAAGAGTATTCTCCCACCTTCTGTTGCGCATCCCGGCTCGACGACGATACACCCCGCACGGAGATGATGCCAGGGACGATAGCACGGGTGGACACGGGCGCGGGCGTGCGGAGGGCCCCCAGGGAGACGCGAGCGAGGCGCCCACAACGAGAGAGAGACATGGTGAAAGACGACCGGACAAAGAGACACGAATATCCAACTAGACGCTCGGATCGGAAGGCGTTCTTTTATAAAAGCGAAACTCGCAACGGGACTCCGGCGGTCGGTAGCTGGTTCCTTCTCCGTTGCCCGCGGAAAGCGGGAAAACGAGACTATTCCCGAACGAGCTCACCGCCTGGTCCGTGCGCCCCGCAGCTGTTTTTCTTCTTCGCACACAATTCCTCTCCCTTTTCTTCTTCACACAACTAAATCCAAGATGAAGAGATGGCGTTCTGTCTGCGTCAGCACTCGTCGGTGATGGCCCGGCCTCGTGTCGGGCTGTCGCTGGACGGGCGCTGCTGAGAAGGTCCCGCGCCCATTCACCATCCAAATAGGGATCAGTTTACCATCGGATTGGACGTGTTGTGTACGGTTGTGAGCTTGAGTCTCTAGCCGATAGTGAAGGAGATCGGGTCGATGGAGGCATGCGGCATCCCAGCTATAATGCGAAGGGTATTGCTTGGATCGGTCGGATGATCAGCCTAGTGATGAATACCGATTAGCATATTTTCCCTGGTTGCAATAATGCCTGTCCTCAATTCGAGTCTCCCGGTCGCAGTGCTCCGAGTCGGCTTGACGTGTCACGGTTCCGAGGCGCTGTCCCGACCAGATTTAGCAAGCAATTCTCAAAATCAACGATTATCTTTTAGTATTGTCAATTTCTCCGAGTATTCGTATTCTTCGTGGTTGCTTCATCATAGTAGCTCGGTAGATCAGATCAGGGCCCTTGTGAGCTGCTGTAGAGTTCTAAGCTGCTCTGCATATCTTCGGAAAATCTCCCATCGGTAAAGGCGGCCCGTTCCCCTATCTCTCGCCCTGCAGCTTGAGCTATCGCCCTCGGACCGCTCCTTTAAATGCAAGCTTGATCATGACATGGAATGGCCGCGACGATACAGGGTCCTTGTACTCGAATTTATCTATATTCTTTCATTCTTACTCCGAATCTTGTACCCCCTTCTTAATTGCCTTATTCTTTGGTCTTGAATTTTACAGCAGGGCTGAAAAGGGTGCGTGTTCACATCGACCTGGCTGCCACAGTAGTCTCTTGGCACTTTCATATGCGGCAAACCAGGATTGGGTAAATCAACACGAGGCCGATTCCATTCCAAAGTTGCCTTAAGCTTAAGTCGCGTGCTTAGGGTGCAGACGAGTATTTCCCAGTGATTCTAGGTACGTTACTAATTAACATGAGCCTGACGGCTCAGGCTACTAAGGTCGTATAACCGACGACTTTATGTGCTAATATATAACTTGTTCACACTCGGTTACTGAGCTTCTGAAGTATCAAGCCACTAACAGACTGCTTCAGCATCTTCCTTAGAACATGTAACCCCTCACATATATTTGAAATCATTGCTGAATGAAAATGCCAGGAGTTAAGGAGATAGCCCTTTTGTATACGCAAAACCTTCATTCCCTAAAGAAAATTCAGGCAAAAAATTCCGACAAGCACAGGAGTCATCTCTGATTTTTACTACGATCACTCATCAATCTGATCTTCATCGCAATATCGTTTGACATCTCCCATACTTGCATATATATATCCATAGTGTTAGCTAAGTTCGACAAAAAGCTATAGGGGCCTCTAACGTATTCAACACATTCAACATTAAACTTATTTAACCGGCTCTTAGACCTTACCCCTTACTTCCCGGCCCCTTCAATCCCCCTCCAGTCACCCTTCAATTCTCTTTTGATGGCCCGAGTCATGGGCCAGAGGCAGCTTACTAGCTAGCTTGTGGATGAGTTTAACTCTCTGTATAACCTATTCATCCCTAGAACCTCCTATCAGACCATCTCAGCTACACCTACTATCCTCACGCTACTACCCCCTCCCTCCTCCTTTAAGCCAAGGTTGGTAAGCTAAACACTAGCCATGGATAGAAAATGGAGGTCTCTGAGGTGCTGGCAGAAAAATTACTAGTTGAAAATGCCAAGGGGTTGCATAATTTTGGGCCGCCACTGTTATGTCCCGTTTTACAAATGAACGGCAATAAGCTCCATCCAATAGACAGCTAAGATGCTCCTTGCTACCGACCATTCTTCATCACCCTGGTATATGAGTGAGTGTTTTCGCATAGTAGCAGTGTAATTCCGACACACAGCGCCCAAAAGTGCGGTGGAGAAAGCTGTGCAATCATGTTCTCGTTGTAAAGGTGTTCAGTTTTATGCTTTTTGTGCCTTGAAACATTGAAGATAGTTTCGTGAAAGTCTAAAAGGAAGAATCGTATAATGGGAATGCTACATGCCTTCTCTCCTGACACTCGCGGGCTACGCACTCTCCCTATGCTATAAAACTACAATTTACGTACTCAGTGAATTTCCTAGCCGGGGGAACTCTCCTTGACACCCACTCTTAGGTTATTCAAAGGCTTTTTTACTACTTCCTCTGTTTTGCAGTCAAGCTGAAGGAGGACACCGTGGTTAAAAGCAAGATTTTAGACCACAAACATGCTATATGACCGACTATTTGGGAATTGTATTTAAACAGCGGGCATAATCTGGACCATTCGGTGGCTTTGGCTTTCAGACACGCGAAGTCACAATGTCCAAGCAGATTCTCAGCAAATGTTGGTCGATTCGAAACGCAGCCATCTCTCTACTACTCATCACAATTTTCACATGGCAGTTCATGGCCATTTATCCACACTGGAGCGAATTGGAGAAGACTAATATCGACAATGGTCCTCCGAACCCTCGAGTAGCAATTGTCGCCTTCATTACGGGTCCGCAGACATACCTTCATCTCGGGCTTCAAAACAAAGATCGTACGCAATCTTGAACTTCGTCTTGTCTTACACATTTATCCTCTACCAGAAAATCACTGACTCTATTTTTCCTTTGCAGATTATGCAAAGGTCCACAATTATGATCTTTATGTCGATTATGAATCTCACTCTACCCGAGGGACTACGTGGCTTAAGTTTGACATGGTTGAGCGAATTATCAAGGCCGGGCAGCACGACTGGATCTGGTATATTGATTTTGACGTTCTCATCACAAACTACGACGTGAGTTTGACAAAACTCATCGACGAGAGTCTTGCGAATACGACCATGCCAGACGCGATTGATTTTCTTGTCACAGATGATTGGTAAGCCGTGCATCAGCCCTCCCATCTTGAGGTGATTATGGCGTTGAAAATCTGCATTCTAATGACTGGTTAGTAATGGACTCAACGACGGCTCTTTTATTGTGCGTTCGTCACCACGTTCCATAGAGTTCCTGAACGCGATTCGTGCTGTTCATGACAGAGAAAAAGCACAGAGCGGAAAGTTATTGGGAGACCAGGACTCAATGCAGGCACTTCTCCAGAGCAACAACCCACTTACCCAGCATGCACTGCGGATTCCTCAATGGAAGATTAATGCATTTCCAACAGAGATTGGCTGCTATGATATGCACAAGAGGGAATGGGAAAAAGGCATGTTTGTGGTCCATTTCGCAGGTGCCTGGGCTCATGTCTCTGGGGAGGATCCAACTGGTCAACTAATGAAGAAATATAAATCTCAAATAATATGAGACCATTTGCTCCTAATCCTACGTTGGTAGCTTTCGACGGTTTCTGGTGCCACCGCTTACTATAAGGTGTGGCTGGGTCCATTGGGTTAAGCACCTTCCATTTTATCAATAGTATTTGAAAGACGGGAAGTGATGATGGGAACTAGTGTATTTTTTCAAAAAAGATTGAACTACCCTCGAGTATACGATCTAAGCGGCTTGCGCTTATCGAGAGCTGATGCTCACAAAGCTGGCTACAATTGAGGACCTCGTCGAGGCTCAAAGGAATATCGAGCAGAAACAATCGTAAATCAAAACACAACAGATCTAGTAGAATCTTACACGACTACAAAGCAATGGAACCCGAAATTTGAAGTATCGTCAGTGTCACAATAAAGAAAGACATAAATGACCCCTGTGGATCGATTATGTATTATCTGATAAGACATAGACAAAAAAGACATGTACATTTGGAGAATCGAATCAATAATAGATAAGAAAAAAAAAATGAGTTACCCCAGCTGAAAAGAAGCACAAAAAATCCTATACCCCGAGGTTTCCCGAATCAAAAAAAAAGAGATAGAAAAAAACGCCTGGCCAGGGGAGACAAGCGCCCAACCACTACACCACCATAACCCAGCCTATACGGCAGACAGAACTAGATCATAGCGAGAAGCGGAAGGGGCCACCTGCACCGTCCATCACCGTGCATACGAATCCCGTAACCACATCACACTAGAAACACGAGCAAGGAGGCTCACGCTTACAGCAGGAGGGCGACGGCACCGAAGACGGCGGCCAGGCCGGCACCAGCGCCGGCGGCGGCGTTGATGGCACCGGCGTTGAAGGCGGGAGTGGAGGCAGCGGAGCCGGTGGCAGCAGCGCCGGAGGGAACCAGAGGGGTGGAGGAGGGAGCGGTGCTGGGGGAGACGACGGGGGTGGTGGGGAGAGGGGTGGAGGAGGAGCTGTAGATGTGATGTTAGAGGCATGCATTGATATCGAAGGGGATTCGGGTGTCGGTGCTTACCACTTGTTGCACTGGGTCACGGTCTGGGTGACCAGAGGGCGAGTGACGGTGAATGAGCCAGTCAGGGTGATGTGGCCGGGCTGGAGGAGATTAAGTTAGTGATGCCATCGTGATGTATGTGAGGAGGGAATGTAGATCGGGCGCAGGATGTGTGATATCAGATGGAATGCGGGGGAAAGACTCGAGTTGGAATATTCGTCTTCGATCGCAACTCGGCCCCATCCGTCGCATCTGCATATCCACGATCCACACCAACTGATCATCGGAGAGAAGCACGCACAGTAGAGACGCTGTAGGTAGAACCACCGTAAACGATGGAGGTAGCCTCAGGGCAGTAGGTGGTGTAAGCGGTGACGGTCTCAGTAGTGACGGCCTCGCTGGCAACAGCACCAGCAGCCAGGGCGGCAACAGCAGCGGCGAAGGAGAAACGCATTTTGACTGGAATGTGGGATTTCGAGGAATGTTCCTGGGGAAAAAGGTTGTGAAGGCGGAAAGGATGGATCTGACGGTCGAAAAGAGTGTGGGATTCTGAAAAGAATGTACTCGGTCGTGAAGACTGAACCGGGGTGTGGTAAGAGAGCGTGTGGATGGGGAGGGAAAGGGAGGGCAGGAAGCGGGAGCGAGTGTGTTTATAGGGGCAGAGTGCCGTGGTCGACTCAGGTACCCGTGCGACTTAAAAGTGACTAGCGCAGGGCGAGAAAAGGGGGCCGATAGGGTGGTGCTCATAGGAAATGGTCGAGTGGAAATACTGGGGAAATTACATGGACTGGGCAACCGGAGGGGTTTCACCTGGCGAGCGGATCTGGAAGGACGGCATGCGCCAATTAAATCAGGTGAACTGCCGGCTTAGTCTTGGAATCCGTGGCATTATTATTTTCATCTCCCACTATATCCACGTCCCCGCAGGAACCCGCCGGTGCGCTTGGCCCCGCTCCTGAGGATCCTTGCCATCCTGAGAGAGCGTGGATGCGAGGGTGTATTGTCTGGTCTGGTCTGGTCTGGTCGAGCAGAGGGTCTAGGCCAGCTTCGGCAAGGGCTCGCCGCGGTGGACTGGAAATTGTCATCTTCAACGAGATACGCAGATCAAAATCCTATGTATAGTACACATCTGTAAACATTCAATCAGTCATCTCTCTTGTACTCCATGGAATTGTACTCCATGGAATTGTACTCCATGGAGTTCAATTGAAACCCTGGACTGATCATTGGGACTGACCGTGACCCTGCACAGATGCACCGTAAGCCAGCTCAATTCGAGTCTTTGACCGACCCGCCAGGACCATCAACCATCATCATTCGATCGGGGCCACAACGGATCCATTGGGTCCAACGGGGCTATCTTTTCCGCCCTTTTCACTCTCCGCGAGAGCGAAACACGGCCATTGGCCCAAATCGGGGACCAGCTCCACCGGAAACTCGAGGAGATTTGAAGAATCGCGGTGTGGGGGGGGGGGCTCTGACATGTTCATACAGAGTCGACCGCAAGGGACGGTGTGCGTTGAAAGTGCATCATGTATGGTGAAGGCACGTATGATGAGAGCCGATCGTGTGGAGGACTTGGTTGAATCGTAGATGGATTGAAGTTGCTGTCTCGGCTTAGGCACCTTTCATTGTTGAAATTGAAGCTGCGAGGCTATCGAAAAGTAAGATCGAGGGCGTGACCAGGCACGTGCAGGCCAGACCCTACACGAGGTAGATCACACCTCCATCATCAACATCAACATTGAACAGTAAACTAGTATCACCTCCACTAGCTCCTTCACACCTCTCCTCATGGCAACAGATTTCCCCCTCTTCCCCTCCCTCCCCCCAGAACTCCGCCTCCACATCTGGCGCCTCGCCCTAACATCCTCTTGGTCCTGCACAACCCGCAAATGCATCCGCTACCAACAGGATGCAACAATCGGCGCCCACCCCCACAACTCCATCTCCCAATCTTGCACCGAAGCCCGGCAAGCCCTAACCCAAACATTGACTAAAATCGACCGTCTGGGCTGGTTCAATTTCCCCCGCCACCTCCTCTTCCTCCAACGATTGGGCGCCGGTGGACTTGGTCGAAGATGCCCAGTAGAAGCCCGACGCGCCCTGTCGCGAAATGTCCAGCATATCGTGGTGAATGCGCACGGGAAGTTACAGATGTACTCGATACTTGAGTATCTACACAAGGCTTCGCCGAAGTTGAAGAGTGTCGTCGTTGTCGGACCGTGGTTTTTGCCCGAAGACACCGATGTGTATGATTCGGTGCGGGACTGGATAGCCCCATATGAGGATTGGGGAGAGGTCTTTTTGGATTCGCCGATGGAGGTGTATTTAGATGTACTAACTAATGCGATTGAGCGTGGGGAAGGAGATGGCGATTGTCGTCTTGCCCATGGCTTGTCCGTAGAGCAGTACAAGGCCAGACTTGACAAGGCGGTGCGACGTTTACCGGTTCCGTTACCGGATGGGCTTCGACCTATTGATAATGTGTACTGGCGGACGAGGAGGATGTTGGATAAAGTGGAGTCTATTTTGCAGAAGTATTCTACGCCGCCGAGGTTATACTTGCAGACGGCTGAGCAGATGCGTGTTTCGAGGAAGCAGACTGGGAAACGTCCATCAAAACGGAAGAGATAGGCACAGACCTAAGCACTATCAAGACGTGACCGAAGAAAAGGAAGATGGAACCCTATAGTCGGATATAAATCATCAACATAGCATATTCACGCCCATAACCAGCACGAGGTGACATGACTGCGCTCCGGAAAACAACCAGTAATGAAAGAAGACTTATCACTTGAACGAGTATGATAAAGAAGTCTATCTCGACGAGCCCAATCCGTAATGCTTCACATGCAAACTCGCAAGCAGAAGGACCGAAAGCGAACCCGCCAACAACAGAAATAGGGCTCGTCATCCATCATTTCCTTTTCTCATTATCGGTGGTGCCTTTCCACAATTTTTGGTTCCATTCGGTGATAATGAGGCTTTTCGGGTGTCTGTATGGTGCAGCATGCCTCCTGGCCAGTCACGCCCAGGCGAGAGCGGTATTCGTGCACTTTATGGTATGTGGTAAACTCTTCTCCAGGTCTATGTATGTTAGGAGAAATCTTGCTGATCTCGTAGGTTTCGAACACTGCCGGGTACACGCTTTCCGGTTGGGAGGCACATATGACAGAAGCCCTGCATGCAAAATTGGATGCCTTCGCATTAAATATTGCAGCAGGCGATGATGTCGCAAATTCATCTCTGGGAAATGCATTTCTTGCTGCTGAGAATACTGGGCTTCGGCTTTTTTTTCTCCTTCGATTATGCTGGCAATGGCCCTTGGGCCAAGTCAGATATCATTGACCTGTTGGAATCTTACGCCGGCACCTCGATGACCTATTGACATCACAATGACCAGTCTTTATGTTCTACATTTGAAGGACCAGGCAACGCTGCCGATTGGGTGGACATCAAGCAGCAGACGGGCTGCTTTTTTGTGCCAGAATGGTCATCCCTTGGCGCCAAAGTTGCAATGGAGCAAGCTGACGGCGTGGCCGATGGGCTATTCAGCTGGGCAGCGTGGTCGTACGGCCCCGCAGATATGGATACCTATGGCGATGCCTCATATTATCAATTCTTGGGCGGTAAACCGTACATGATGCCAGTCTCTCCTTGGTTTTTCACCAATATGCCCGGCTACGACAAGAACTGGTCGTGGCGTGGCGATGACTTGTGGTTGCCACAACGGCGGCACCGAGGGAGAAACAGCAAGTGACAGTCTACATGGAGAATTTATTGGGAGCGGGAGCATTTTTTTGATCAAAGAGAGATCTTCTCTTATTTGAACAGAATATTGTATCGAAACAAAGCCGAATTATACATGACCACGAACAAATCCACAGCGGGAAGCGAAACAAAGGGGCCCACAGGCAAGACACCAAATAATACACAAAGCAGCACAAAACCCTGCACTTACCAACAAAGAAGTAATTGAATGATTGAAATGTATATCAGGACATGAATTTGCAAAGGAACAAACTCCATAGATGAATGACACTTACCTTGAATAGACCAGGAAGCAGAAAACACAACAGAAAGATTATACTTACCTCGAACAGACTAGGCATCCCCAATCTCAAAATGAAGATGCGCACTAATCCCATCCCAACTACCTACAGTGTGAATGCGAGAAATATCTCTCGTACCTCGCTCGAAACCCCCCAACACCATATACGCCACCATCTTACCAATGCGAGTTCCCAACAAAGCATCATACTCGGGGGTCCCATACTCCCAGGTCCGCCACCACTCATCCGAGAATTCAAGATGGTTGCCATGAAGCTCACCCGACATGAAATCGATGGTATCCTGATTCACAACATTGCTGACAATAACGTGTCGAAGCGTGTCGATCAGATAGTCAGTTCCATAAAATGCCAAACAAACCTCGGACATGTGATACATCTCTCCAGTCCGCCGGTGCATATCCTCGACAATGAGGACTTGTGGACCTACGAAGCCGCGCCATGAAAGAGCCGTAGACATGAGATCGAAATTTCGGTATAGAGACTCAGTGTGCGTCTGTGTCATTGGGGCGAGGTCAAGTTGGTGAAGGATATTGGCATAATCAGGGTCCGTCGGGGTTGCTTGAATGATTTCAATCGTGAAATCGTTTTGGATGCTGTGTATGGAAGTCACGTTTGGCAGAATTGGACAATTGGGCTTACTTGGCTTGGCGATCCACCGGCGAAGTTCGGCTCCTGCTCTTTGGCGTTGACCGTAGTTCAAGATTTGTCCAGCTGGTGCTTCTGCGGGGGAAGCAGGGTAGTCAATTCGTTTGGGAATCCACCAGTGATTGGCCATTTTGTCAAATTGAGAGGTAATACGGAAGGGATATGGGGTATGGGATAGATGGAGAATTGGAGCTTGAATGCTTGAATGGAATGAGGATGCGATGAGTGATGTATTTAATGTCCTCATTATGAGAGTTCATGAAGTTTATAAACCAAAGATCTAAATATGGCAGCAATTGATTCTTTAGTCAATACTAGATATGCTCGTTTCAGCATGCAAGCTAAAGCTTTGTTCTGGGATACGAGGGGCACAAAGGATCAGATAGCAATGCAGGGCATAGGAACAAAGATGGAGAGCTCCAGACAATGCATACTCAATAGAATAAAGGCCTTCGAAGGGAAGATGGAATCAATGCAAGGTGCCATGAATACTTGTTTCGAGATCTTATTCTAGCTCGCCAGTATACACCTCATGGTTCTGAGACAATTACTTGCACACTTGAAGACAAACAAGCGAGACTAAGCATTAGAATATAGTACAAGTGTAGGTGACGGTATATTCGATGCCGAAACCCGCTACTCTTGGCGCTCTTTGAAGCGGTGCACTATTTTAACTAAAACCATGATCTATTTTCGCTCATTAGTTCCGTATACAAGCTAGAAGATTCAGAGGAAGTGACCGAGTAAATCTAAACTATGGATGGACTTTAAGTCGTAGTAGGAGTATCTGCGTCCTTTCATTCCCCCCAACGAAGACTTTTCCCAATATTTGTCTTCGAACAGAGGAAAGGCGACTGGCCGGAATCTTTGTAGCCTTGCTACATGGTCTTCAAGAGGGCGATCGGTCGAAGAACCAGGAGGCCCCCACCAGTGGATAAATCAGCTATGAGGACGAAAATGTTTTATTTTTTCCAAAGCGGAGGTACCTATTCTATCGGAACCGGGCCCAGCTTCAACGGACGAAATTGCCACAAGCAAGTATGTCCAGGGCAAGAAAGGATACCTATCATCACCCCTCACATATATTCACTGACTGTTTCTTGAGATGCATGGGTCGCATTTGCAGAAGATCCTCAAATCGGCCTCCGTAACTTTGGATCGATGTATTTTAACTTCGACGGTTAGTTATACCCGATAAATCAGATAAGCCAGTATACTCATCTGACATTTGGCAAAATGGAAATACTTTGACCCATCTCGCATTTAATGGTACGAGTGTCGAGATAAATAGCAATGGAACCATTTCTTGATGATCGAGTTTGCTCACCTATATTCGAGCAGATTATTCGAGTATATGAGTAATCTCGCTCGTTTCTGATACAAGCAAGTGCAAAATCATGTTCATCGATTTGCACTTTTCCATTCTTTCTGCGCCCACTGCCACGACGCTAGTGTAAGGAATGGGTAGATCTAATTATTTGAACGAGCCTGTGTACATTATTAATCCCCCCGCTTCAAGCAAGCTTTGTTTGCATCCTAGTTTGTGCTGTTTGTTTTGATGACCAATAACCAATCAACGTCCCGGGACCCAGGCGGGTGGGCTCTGTAGTCCGTGGTTTGTGTTGATAACCAAGGCCTATAAACGGTGACGAAGATCACCAGAGAATCAAGAATCAACTATACAGCTTACCAAGCGTTCGGTCTTCTCGGGCACCGAACTGAATAATTGACGTCTTCACGTTCCCATCATTGAAGTACGCGGGTACTTTTAAGCAGACTAACCCTCGATTCTTATAGCCTCTGTATCTACTTCTTTCCTCCAATCAATCATATCATCCATCCAATCGACATGTCCCTCAAATCCCTCACTCTCTGGACTCTCCAGGGCCACGCCGGCAGCCCCAACCCCTGGAAGGTCCTCATGATCCTGGAAGAGCTCCAGCTCCCCTACGAGCTTCAGTCGGTCGATTTCAACGACCTAAAGAAGGAGCCCTACGAATCTATCAATCCCAACGGTCGTGTCCCCGCCCTCGAGGATCCAAACACCGGTATCCGCATCTGGGAATCTGGTGCCATCCTCGAGTACCTGGTAGACACATACGACAAGCAACACACCATCAGCTTCGCCGCCGGCTCGAAGGAGTATTACGAGAGCAAGCAGTGGCTCCACTACCAGACGTCCGGCCAGGGACCGTACTTTGGGCAGGCCGCCTGGTTCACGGTCTACCACCCCGAGAAAGTACCCAGTGCGGTGGAGCGCTATGTTAACGAGATCCGTCGTGTCTCGGGTGTGCTTGATCGATCGCTCCAGGGTAAGGAGTACCTCATTGGTGACAAGTACAGCTATGTGGATGCTGCTTTTGTGCCATGGTTCGAGGTGGCTGCGCTCTTCTGGTCGGAAGAGATGGATCTTGAGAAGAGTTTCCCGAACGTTCATTCCTGGTTGGACCGTATCAAGGCTCGTCCGGCTATTGCTAAGACTATTGATGATAAGGCTAAGGCTGCGGCTGCGGCTGCGGCTGCGGAGGGGAAATAAGGCAATTTGATGACAGATACAATTACTAGATATAAGGTGAAGCTTGTTTCGTTGAATTCGGATACATATCTTCTCGATAATAGGTCTACCTATCTCTTAAGCTAGCGTTTCGGCCGTAGGCCGAAGAAAGAATGTAAGAGTGTAAGTTGGCGAAGCTGCTTTTGCACTTCTTTGGTATTAGCTTTCTGTCGAAAAGGCGACGAGCCCTTCAGGAAGCGGCCTTTCGAGTGTGAAGTCCAAATTCAAAAACACAAACGCCTCATCTTGAGCCTCACATTATGCATTAGAGCTATCTTTGGGATATTCCAATCTACCCGCAACAATCCACCATTCATCCACTTAATAAATTAACCAACCCCTTCGGCAGAAGATTGATTCCGCTTGATTTCGGCCTTGCCTTTCATTTCGTAATTGACCTACTAACTCATACAGCCCTATTCCTCTCGACGGGATGTTATCATTATTTTCCAGGTCACAACGAATCATCAACGAGAGGCTAGTTTGGAATTACATCCAAGACGCCAATGACTGGAGGGAAGACTGAGTAGTAGTGCCGAAGTTCTCGCTCATGGAAATGTCCAAGTCGAGATGATTAGAAAACCAACATCAGAATTCTAGCACACTTGATAGTCATAGTCTGTCAATGCGATAATCAAGTGCAGACTATTTTAGAATCACCAACTCTACGTCGGTACTAAATTACCTACCAACAAGGAATCTACCAAGCACACCCTATATCCGCGATTCCTCACATCAACAAAGCAACCACAGCACCAAACCTAAGAATCTATACCAATCCCCCCGCCCTTAAAGCTTGGCCTTAACCCCCCTCTCTTTCTCAGCCTCCCTCTTCATCCTCTCCGAAAAGTACTCCCTAACCCTCTCCCGCGCAACGTCCACAACCCCCAAATCCTCCACGGTAGGCGGAACGCTAACACTCTCCTCATACTTCCCTTCAACGCCATTCTCCACCAACGCCCTCAAGACCCGTCTCAGCGTCTTCCCACTCCTCGTCTTGGGAATCATGCCCCGTCCCTGGATTATTCCACCTAACGAGGCAATCGCGCCGATTTGGTCGCGGACTAGTGCGTTGATTTCTTTGAATAGGTGTTCGGGGATGGTAGCCGGCAGGGCTACCGAGTCATCGACTCCTCCAGATCCAGATGAAGGTCCGGTGCGGAGGTGTACGAATGCAAATGGAAGATGGCCCTTCAGTGCATCCGGGATCCCCACGACGCTGGCCTCGCTAATCGCCGGATGGGAGAGGATGGCTTGTTCGATGGCCCCCGTGCTGAAGCGATGCGCAGCAACGTTGATTATATCATCGCTTCGGGACATGATATGGACGTATCCATCTGCATCGATTAATCCCGCGTCGCCCGTGTCAATCCATTTTCCGTCAAACCGTTTCAAGTACCCGCGGTAGAACCGCTCGTCGTCTTCGAAGAGACTTGTAAAGGCCGTTGGTGCTAATGGTGCGGCCAGGACGATGTTTCCCATCGTGCCTGCGGGTACTTCGGTGCCGGCGTCGTCGACGATGCGGACGTCGAAGCCTGGCATGGGGAGACCGGCGGAGCCTGGGCGGATGGGGAGGGGTGTAGCATTGGGGGTGGTGTTTAGGGCTAAACCTGTTATGGGTGATCCGGATTCGGAGGACCACCAGTTATCGATTACCTTTGCGTTGGGGGCGGCGTGTTTGGTTAGTAGATCTTGGTATGCGCGTACGATACTCGGTTCGCTACGTTCGCCGGCTAGGAAGAGGGCACGGAGACTCTTCAGGCCTCCGCGAGTACCGACTTCTTCGAAGAGTTTGTCACCGGGATCGTCCTTTCGGATGGCACGCATGGCAGTTGGCGCCGTGAACAGCGTGTTGACGTTGTGCTTTTCCACGATGCGCCAGAATGTGCCTGCGTCAGGGGTGCCGACGGGTTTACCCTCGAAGAGGACCGTTGTTGCGCCGACAAGTAACGGCGCATACAGGATGTACGAGTGGCCGACGACCCAGCCGATATCTGAGGCGCAGAACATCACGTCACCGGGCCCGTTAATATTGAAAAGCATCCGGATCGAGAGATCCAGCCCAACAGCGTGGCCGCCCGCCTCGCGAAGGACGCCTTTCGGCAGTCCGGTTGTTCCTAGACTCTCATATCAGCTGACATGGATCTATCCCAACCTCACCCACCAACCCAGAAGAGGGAGAACTGTCGACCCACCACTAGTATAGATAATATACAGACCATCCGTACTCTTCACCGGTACAGGCCCCGCCCGTACCCCCCGCATACGCGCACTCTTCACCAACCGCTGCCAATTACGCTGTCCGCCCAGTTTATCCGGGTTGTTCCAACGCGATTGATCCCTCTGCCAGACAATGACCTTGTCCGGCTTAAAGTTACTCAGCCGCACTGCGCCCTCGACTAGCGGCCGGTAATCGATTGGGCCCTTGGACCCCTCCATCCCGCACGAGGCTGTCATGATGGCCCGGGGACGGGCGGCTTCAATCCGCTGCGCCAATGATTGGGCTGCGAAGCCGCCGAAGACGGCGGCGTGGATGGCACCGAGGCGGGTAATGGCTAGTGCGGCGATGAGGGCGGCGGGGATCATTGGCACTGGGAGTGGGGGTGTTAGTGGATATTGTTTTTGCGGGGAATTGGGTCTTGTGATCTAATGGTGTGAGAGGGTCCGCTTTGCCACTGCCTACCACGATGAAGCTGGAGGTCAAGCTGGAGCTCCCGCTGGAGCTCCAGCTAGCTAGCCGTACAGCTGGCTAGCCGTACAGCTGGCTAGCTGGCTAGCGGGATAGCTGAGATGCTAAGTGGCAAATGCAGATAGACCCCATATCCAACAAACCACCCTCACACGACAAACCCCAATATGAAGAAAAAGAACAACATTCACATACTGTAGATAATCACAACATCCCCCTTCTTCACCCCCTCCTCCCTCAAAACCCCCGCCAAAACCTCGACCTCATCTAACAACCTCCCATACGTATACCTCTCCACCGTTCCCGTGACCGGCGACTCCCATATGATCGCCACATCATCGCCCCTCCCCGCCAGCACATGCCGATCAACGCAGTTATACGACGTGGAGATCTCTCCACCGGGGAACCATGACCAATGTTCGTGGCTGACGCCGCTGGGGAGGGTCTTTGTGTGTCGGGATAGCGTGCGAGAGGGCTCTTTGTGCCAGTGGAGTCGCTGGGCGGGTTCGGCCCAGAACGACTCGGGATTGGCGAGGGAGGAGGCGTGGGCGGATTGCTGGGGGTGTGGCGTCATATTGGGGGGATGTTTGAATGGAAGGAGGGATTATTAGAGGAAAATACGGAGTCGAGTACTGTATGGCGGATTGGGTGGAACTGGAACTGGAACTGTGGAATGGATTGGGGAGGGTGGAGGATAGTGGTTCGAGTGGGGGAGGAAAAGAGAGCCGATGTGGAGGGAAAGTCAGAATGGAAGCAGCCGTCTGTCTCTGGTATGGGAGGAGGCGACTACACTCGACTCAAATTGAGGAAGCGAGACAGGGTGAGAGGCTGGAACTTTGCACCGCTTGCCTCTTTGTTTCCTTATATCAAGGAGAATCTACCCGAGGTCCAGGGTTTCGGGTAGGTGCCTGTCGGGGGAACGGCTGGATGCAGGGATGATGGGGGGGCAGACTCGACTCTGTCAAGTCAGCAGTAGAGTACAGTAGTAGCTTTAGACTCGCGCCAGGGCCGGACTAGGATTAGTCTTGAGATTCCCGTCAAACTGACGGGCCTGTCGAGTGTCAACTCTGTTCGACTCTGTCCTCCACGGAGAATGCGGGGAGAACTGGCCCCGAGGGAGTCCGTGCTTTCCCCGCAGATGCCGATCGGTTCACCAACCGCGACTCAGTACTTGACGGGTACATGTGATTCAATGCGGCATCAGCTGACGGTGGAGGTAGTGGAGATGTAGTTTACAATCGACGTGGCCACTCGCCTCAAAATCGAACATTGGGGTCAAACGGAACTGGATAATCCCCCAGAGTTTACGGGTCTCCAAATCAAAGACAGCGGATGAAACATGAGGTTCAGCAACTTCAGTTGACTTTCCTCTGCGTGGGGCAGTTTACGGGGCGGGTTCCCATTAAGTACTCGGGGTTTGAATGACACCACCGGGTTCGGCTGCCAAAAAGGCCCGGGAAAGGTTAAAAAACAAGCCACCGCTGGTCGTGGCTGGACTGCTCGGTAACTTTCGACATGCCCTGGATCCAAGCCATGGAGGCATGTGTTTCCGATTGTGTATTGGTCTATATACGCAGGGGAAATGCGAAGGAAGTAGTAAGGGTCTGGAGACGAGGGAAAAGAGGAGAGATAGAGAGAGAGAGGAAGCGGTAGATGTAGTAATGGTAGTAGATCAATGAAAAGTAGAGAGAAAAAAAAAAGGGAAATAACAGAAACAAGCTTAGTCGTAGGGTATCATATCGAAATGCCTGCTAATGCGCGATTGCGATCTTCTGGCTTCGTCGCCTGAGAAGCTGTGTGTGCTTTTTTGGGGGGGGTTCTTTTCTCTGCAGGCGTCGGGTTTGCGCCAATAATATGCAATGCCGGGCCCCAAATATGATACCATCATCAGGTCAAATTGTAAACTCGCCGGCTCATCGTTCAGCCTCCAGAGCACGGCCCACAAGATAACCATCGGTGGCGTTCCTGTGAGCCGTGGTGGGTTGCCGCGCCCGGGTTTTCAGTGGCAGAATTCCACACTGCGCCAATGAAACAAAAAGTTAAACCGTATTCCCAAAGGCGCCGGGCCATGTGGGCACAGAACCCGAAAAGTCTAGCATTCTCGTTTGGGGGAAGGGGAAGCTGGGATGAGGTCGTATTCTCAGGCCATGGCTGGGTGATTTTGCAAACAGCAAGATTCAAGAAGCAGGAGGATCGTGTGGGTCGTTGTTGAGGAAATTTCAGGGTTGTTTGTTTGCGAGGAAGAGCGGCCGCCGACGCCAAACGAGTCGTAAATCAAAAGACAGAACCACCCCGTCCAAAATGCACCCGAGACCCACAAAAAATGGGCAAAGTAAAAGAAAAATGAAGAAACGGGGGGAAGGAGATGAGAATCAAGCGATCAAAATCAAAATGAAAACACAGGGGTGGAGGGGCAACCTGCCCTCGCCATGATGAGAGTAAGGCAAGCTCAAACCAAAAGAAAAGAGAAAACGGAGAGACAAGGAAGACAAAACAGATCAAGGCGGGTTCGTGTCTCGGACGGACCCGGCCGATCACAAAAGAACACAATTGAGGCGACTGCGATGTCGCCGATCGGGACGGAAAGTCTTGGGATATTCGGGGCCTGCATCGCGATCTCGGTGACCCGAGAAGCCCTGAGCACCGCCGCCGCGGCCCTTGGCGTTCTGTGTGTTTTGACGCTGTTGACGCAGCATGCGGACGACATCGTAGAAGGCCTTCTCGACATTGATGCAGTTTTTGGCAGAGGCCTCGACAAAGTCGCAGCCCAACTCCTTGGCCAGCGCCTGGCCCTCCTGAGCAGAAACGGCGCGCTCCACGGCCTTGTCGCTCTTATTACCGACCAGCATGACGGGCACGGGCAAAGGCGGGCCACCGGCCGTGTGGTTCATTGGTGAGCCTAGATAGCTAGGACCGGAGGGAGATCCGGAGCTGGCAGATTCCTTGACCATCTTGATCTGGTTGTAAAACTTGGTGATGCGCGAGAAGGAGGCGCGCGACGTGATGCTGTACACCAGGACGAAGCCCTCACCATCGCGAATCCACTGGTCGCGGAGTGCCGTGTATTCTTCCTGTCCCGCCGTATCCAGCACCTCGAGCATGCATGACTGTTGATCGATGACGACTTGTTTGCGGTAGGAGTCTTCGATGGTAGGATCGTAGGTCTCGACGAAGTGGTTCAGGCATAGCTAGTGCGGGGAGCGAAACAATAGGGGGTTAGTCATTTGTCCAGAAGAAGATCCGTTGCATGTGCTTTGTCGATCACGCTTGAAGCTGCCATCGAGCCGTACAGACCTGTCCCCTAAACTGCAGATTGAATCGGTCGGGGGGAGGTGGGTTGATGGGGGGGGGGGCTGATGGGGGGAAGGGAGGGGGCCATTTCAAGGGACCAACCTGGATTGTCAGGGCCGTCTTGCCCACACCTCCATCTCCTAGCACCACCAACTTGTACAATGTCATTTTCCCCGACATGGCGGGCAGATGGAAATCGGGAGCGGTCGGGAGCAAGGGGGTCGTTGGTTGGTTGGTGGAGGAGGTTCGGAACAGGAAGAGGAGGAGGAGGAAGAGGGGGGAGAGGGGTTCAGGGATTGGAGGGTCACAAGGGAGTTTCGGAGGGGAGAGACTGTCAAGGAGGGGCCTGCAGGATGGGGATAGAGAAGAGAGAAATTAAATGGTAGTGAAGAAGGATCCCACAGTTACCCAGATGATACAGAGAAAGGTAAAGAGGAAAGGCAAGGGAAAGGTGAAGAGGAGGAGGAGTGGTGGTGGTGGTACGTGGTAAAGAGTGGTGGACTTGCGTTAGTGGAGGAGGGCGTGGTTCGAGGGCCGGTCCCAGTAGTAAAGTCCGGCGAGAAGCAGAGAGGGAGAGAGAGAGAGTCCAGTCAGAGAGGGCGAACTGACTAAAAGAGGAGCCCCGTTTTGTGCGAAAGTCTGGTCCGGGCAGTGGCTGGAACTAAGTGGAGTGGGAGGGGTTGGCCATGATAGCTGTGTGAACGATGCTGTGATAGATTCAGAAAAGGAAAAAAAAAAGGGTAACAAGAATAATAATAATCCAATCCAAGGGAAGTCTTTCTTATTGTAGTCCATAAGTACTACTACTGGAGGAGTCGTCGGGCAATCAGCATCATAGGTCCGACACACCCCCGTTCGCCAAAAAGAAAAACCGAGCAAGGAAGGCTTCCAGCCTATAGGGCCTCTTGACGACCATTAATTCTCGTCTCCCAGTGAGCCGGGGTCTCCCCATGACTGTAGTGCACAACCCTGGTCCAAAGTCTAGGTCTTGTCTGAGTCCTTGTCTGAACAGGACTTTCCCCTAGCGCGGTTAGTTTAATCCTGCGATGGCTAACTAATCAGATCCCGGGTCAGTTAACTTGGGTTAGTACTGTAAACTACTCCTCGTTACTTCACTCCGTTCTAGTTTAGTCATGCCGGGGTCTTGAGGAGTGTCCAAACTACTCCCAAATCAGACTCGGGTACGTGCCCAATGAAACCCACAGAAGGTCGATCAAACCATCAAGCTAGTACGACTGATGTCTCCTGGGCCGCTTCCTTTCTCCGAGGACCAAGAATCGCCCTATCAGTGACTGGTCAAAGCTTTAGAGAGATCAATGTCAAAAAGAAAGCCACTAAATAAGCAGAAGAAATTTTATTCAATTGGATTGAAATGCAAGCAAAGACTAATTCTCTCTGATAGCGGCCCGAGCGACATGAGGTCATTCGCACTTACGACCGGAACCGAACGGTGTTTTCGCAACCTAAAGAGTATCCTGATTGGTACAAGCCATATAATACAATGGACTTCGGTCTTCCATGAGATGGAAATACAATAGCTCGGCTGGATCACCTTACCCACAGCCGAGAGATTATCAAGCGATCCATTCTCGGTACTTTCACCACGAAGCTAGACGTGCTAGACAAGAATCGGTCGCAACAAGTAATATGATACCTAAAGTACCAAAAATGGAGATGCTCAACCATCGAAAAGACCATGATATTCTCCGTCTATTCTCCGTCTACACAAACAAATGACGAAGTCGAATGAAGATGGAGAGAAAAAAAAAATAATAAGAAAACGGAAACGGAAACGAAGTCCAACTCCGCCCAGACCAACGAGTCCACCCGCAGCATTTAGCCTCCGAAATCCATGATTTGACATTCGCCCACTGTGCGGCACGTTTGAGTTGTTAGGGCCCACGCGGAAGCTATCCGCGCCTCCATTGCGGGAATGAGAGGATGGGAAATGGATAATCAAGTATGAAATTTGGAAACCGAGAAAAACCCAGGTTCCTTCCAACTATGCAATATAGTCCTTTAGTGGTGAGGACCCTAGCAGTAAACACAAAAGTCCCGATTTTAGTTCATGCACAACTCTGGGTTATCGTCAGAAACCTTCACAGTGGATCGGCTTCTTCGATCGCGACCTGGACGGTTTGGGGGCCACCCGGCCGACCGGGAAGAAAATACTCTTTCGCGACTGGTGCGGTGGTTGAGCATAACTTAAATGTTCAATTAGGGAGAACGGTGTTATGCTGTATGTACGGTTCCATCTACACGGTCGTTAATGTAGCTCACTATAGATCAAGGTCCCGTGAAGCAATTGGCAAATAGCAACCAACAAAGGGAAATCGGACGACGCAGCAGTCGAAGAAAAACAAGCAAAACGCCGGCCAAGGGGTTCCGAGGATGCTCCTCAGTCCGTCACGGATACATCGATACACCTGCAGGCTGGTTGTGCGCACGTTCGCGCGCGGACCCGAATCGGGCCCGCTCGGGTCGAAGGAGGGGGCGCTTGCCATAAAGGGTGTTGTGAAGAGTTTGTTCGAGGACTTGGGAGCCATGTGCTGGAGGGAGATCAAGTAAAGCACGGCAAATATGCTACATTGGATAATCGATAGCACGTAAAAGAATGTTCAAATTGAATAATTCACAGGATATAGACCGTCGAAAAGACTGCAAAAAAAAAAAAAAGCTTAGACCACCCTAACCAAAACCCAACTACCGGAAAAATCATCAGGCCACGGCCTATTCCACCATTCATAGTATGTATTGCCTAACTGAACGACAGCATTGTACTCCATAACCCCCTCGGAAAGAACGCAGTATTATCCACCCTCAGCCCTCGGAATCCCCCACCGTAGTAGGGAAGAACACAAACGCAGTAGCCCAGTGGACCAAGGAAATCCCTAACCCAGAGCCAGCGGCTGGACTGGTTCGCTGGGCTGGCCAGTCACAATAGCCAGGATGCGAGATTTTGCCTCCAAACCACGACAGGAAGCTGCGAAGCTGCCTTTTGCCCGTGTGGAGACGGAATTGTGGGTTTTGTGGGTTTGTGGGTTCTGACACTCGGGAGCTTCCTATCGGGCCCAAGCGAAGAGGAGCACTCCGCTTGGAAGAGGAGCGATCCGCCCGTGCCTTGTGGGTGTTTTTTTTTCTTTCGGTGTGGTGGTTTTCTATTTCTTGGCTTCGTCATATAAAATTGTGTACAGAAAGAGGCCCGAATTATGTGATATTTATGTAGTATCAAAGGGTCAGTTGCATTCAACAGCATGGAAGAGTATGGCGAATGGTACGAAGCATACTTTCGAGAACGTAGAGGACCATCTAGGCGCCAGTCTCTGTATCTGCTAGCTATAATCACTCTACAACTCCCAATAGATTAATCTGTAGCTCTTGATAGAGAGAATTCATTTCACTAAGCCTAGACAGTAGTAGACGGATGTGACGACGGAGTCCTTTGCACGTGGAAATTTCCAGCGACTGCCACCCTTAAATTTGGTCCCCACAATAGCTGTTTCATAGGTTCGCGGACGTTGTTGGGCTTCGATCAGGGTAGACTCGAATATCCCAAGGGTGGATTCGCCTCTGTGCTCCAAATTCGGGATTCAGGGGTGGTGGTCTGTCAACGTCACCCCATTCATGGCTCAGGTTCCGGTGAGAAAGGCATCATATGGATCTTACCCTATTCGGAACTATCCATGTTGTCCGTAGCGGAAATGAATGATGAAGCTCAATGCAATATATACTCCGAGATCGACTGCAACTTAACCACAAAGACATTATTCTAGTCCCATTTCAAAATCTCACCAAGAACGCCCATGCCTATAAGGGCTGGACAGCAACGTACGCAGCCGTTCTACCCATGTGGAGACTCAATCTCCGGAGCCTACCCAACCGTATGCCAATCCTGGTTAACTCGCCCACTGACCTCGTCGCCGAAGGAACCGCGCACATGGAGAGTACGTCCCGAGGCCATGGATGAGTGCCCTCCTAGCCCGGGCTAGTGGCTAGCACACTTAGCACACTCTGGCTTAGCAAAAACCAACCCCCTCTTGCAGGCCCACGTCAATAAAAGCCAAGCGCGGCCACTGGCCCGTCCTCAAGGCAACCCACCCGCGGACCGGCGCGTAGATTCCCGCTGATAGATCGTCCCCAGACCTGCCCGGGAAGGGGAAGGACAAGAGGGTCTTGGCTTGTGCTGGTTTTTTAGGGACGGCTACTGCGACGGATGATTTTTTCCCGTGGGAAAGAGAATTGAAGGGAGTTGGTTTTTGCGAGGGACGCAGGTAGCTCTGTTTGGTTTTGGCGGGTGATGCCGAGGTTGGATATATTAGTGTTGCAGCGCTGGTGAAGAAGCCCGTGCTCTTCCGAGGAGCTTGCTTTGATGGCAGTTTGGTCCTTGGGAGGCGTGTGCGAAGGGGGCGTTGATTGATTACCGATCGAGTGATTGATTGTGCGGACACGATCGAAATTCAGAAATAACATTCGGGGTTTTCCTTGCCGCGGGCTGACGAAGTCGGATAATAGGTTTGAATAAGGGAAGGCTTGTTCTTGGCCGTGGGTCTGTCTAGATGACAGAATCGTACTGGACAGTAGTCCGTAGTCACAGTTCAATGTGATTCCCCCTTTCCTGCCGCTTCCTCATCATCATTGGCTTCTTACCTACTTTCCTATTCTGGCTGCTGCTAATCTACTGCAGCTCCAGTCTGGTCGCGCCATCATCTTCTAGAACTATCTACCGAAGGATGCTCAGGTTCTTAGTAACGGCGACAGCTCCATTCATAGCCTCAACAGCTGATAATCAGGCTATTCGAAACTCAATCGTCTCCCAAGCGGTATTGATATGCAACACTTACGAAGCAGTTAGGGCTTCGCTTCTTAGCCCCCCGATCCCTCTCGGGGCCTCTTTCCCTCATCACACCCCCGCGGGGTTTAACTTCTCTTCGAGTGCGGTATAATCCCTGCACTTTTAGCATCAGCTAACTACTTCCGTGGAAAGTTCCGACGTGAGCAAGGGAAGATGACCAGGATGGAGGCAGGGGGTGATGAAGGGGCCAAATCCGAGATTGGCCTCGTCTCCAATTATCATATTCCAATTCTTCCAGAAGACAGGGGCCCCCCTCGTCAATGTCGGATCCTCCCGTCATCCGGTGCGACCGTTAGATGGAGTCGCCATATGGCTTTCCGTGTCAACGGCCCGCTATGGTCTCGCCCTGGCCCTGCTCTGTGAAGAGCGGGAAAATGCGAACGGGTGGACTGCCCAGGGCTTAGGGGCTTGTCCTTGATGTCCAATGGTTTTGGACTGTACGTGTCACCGGCCCGGCTACGTCGCCATATCTGACTATCTTCGCTTGTCTGTATCGCTCGGCTGCTTCGCTCTTTTTGCCTGACTTGGTCCTCACGGATGTGGGTATCTCGATAGGAATTTTGTGCAGGGGATATGCCCTCACTGTGACGGCACCCCGTCCACGTTCGTGCATTTTGCGCATTGGTTGTGTGCAACTAGTTTCATGGCAAGCCCAGGCGATCGGCAGGGATATTTCCAATTATCTGGATTCTGGGTAGACTATCTCACAGCTAGGGAACTAGGGCAATGGCTAGGTTGATCTGACTGCTAACGAAACTGGCAGAAGCTCTGTTTCAGGGGCGGGTTCCCTCGTGGTATCGTGAGACAAGAGAGCTTAATTTCGGGGTGATTCCGGGGCTAGCAAGGTGACTCGTAATGTTGATAATCAATCAATTTCTTTTTGGTCATTTTCAGGGGAAGAAGAGACCTAAGGTTTCTAGGTCGGTGGCTTAGCGATTCGTCGTCAATTAGGGTCGTGTTCCGAATGGAACATTCGATTGGGGGGGGAGACGGGTCGAGCTACTGCCTTTAGCTTGCCCCATCAAAACAAACTCCTTCGAAGAGTGACTGGAAAGACGCCAGTTCAATCCAATCAAAATCTAATGTGCATTTCCTTCTCATGATGGAACTTCGAGAAGATATCAAAAGGCTAATCTATGCCTCCTGAATGACATACCCTGACCCCATAAGTGAGGGGTGCGAGCTTGGCTCGAACATTGGATGATGAGATGGACGATACCTTGTAAACCTCTTGCAGACGCAATGCAATCGGTTGAAATTAAGATCGGCTTCTCCAAAATTAGCATATCACTGACATTTAAGGACGAATTCGGTTATCAGATGCGAGCACGCACGGCATTTGTGTCATTCAGCGGACCTTGGATTGGTCACATATCCCTTCACAAACTGTTATTATGCGCCGATAGTGATTGTAAATGCCTATTGAACGTATCATGAATATGATTAATTATCTCAAAGTCTACCGCGCTCTTGAGGAATCAAGTTCCGATAAACTCTTCCCTTGTGCGGTTCACATACGGTGGCGTTGAGGGGAATGAAAGTTGGAATTACTAGTCCAATACTACCTGGAACGAGCGGCACAACGTGATAGATACCAAGAATTTTGATACCAAGCATTTTTGGATTCTTCTACGTTCTCGTGCTAGAGAAAAAAAGCCGAGTCACAGTCATAATGAGCTAGGATTGGATGACATTGTTCCTCTCAAACATTCCATGATGCATCTAAGCGCTCTTGTCGTTGATCTTGAGCAGCTCGACCTCACTATCAAATAATCAGTGTCTGAAGAAGACTATCTATCGTAGGTGAATATCTACAACTTACAAGATCAGAGTAGAGCCAGCAGGAATCTTGCCGGCAGACCTGTGCAAGAGTCGATGTTAGCCAAATACAAAGTCAACCGGCCTATGCCGAAAATTCAAGGTTTGAATGATCCGAGCAACTCGTTTCTCTACTTACTTGTCGCCGTATCCGTAGTCACTGGCTGAATGTTAGTAATAGTTCACTTCAGTCTTTGAGTACACCACTCACGGGGTAATAGTCAGAATGGACTTTTCGCCCAGAGTCATCTGCTGGACACCCTCATCCCAACCTAACAAAATTGATTAGCAACTCGACTTATTACTATGATCGCTTGCAAGATGAGCCATTTCTGTCGATGAGCTCCACCTCTGCTCAGCAATGGCGAGATATAAAAAGGGAAAAAAATACCCTTAATGACCTGTCCAACACCAATCTGAACGTTCAAAGGGCCACGACCGGGAGTCCGAGAGCTATCAAACCTGTTACAATATATCAGTGCTGCTGCTCCTTGAGCCACAAGCTCAGTGACTCTCAATCACCGCAATACACTCACTGCTTGCCCTGGAATCCCTTGTTGGCCTTCTTGGCATCGTAAAGCCAGCCGGTGTAGTGGATCGAGACCTTATCGCCCGAAGCGGGCGAGATGGAGCCGTTACCCCGGGTAATAATCTTTCGCTCGACACCCATTCTGAGATTTCTTTGATAATCGTGGATTTGGAGGGGGATCCTTGGAGGTGAATGGAGGATGGGAGGACGTTCGAAAACGAGGGGCAACGCTGATTCGCAATTTTTTATCAAAGTGGGGGGCAAAAGCGGCAAGGGCGGCTGACTGCTATGGAATGATGGAGCAATTATCAATAATCTGCATTTTGGCCTCTCGAAGAGCGCCACGGTGCCCGATAGCGGGTGGAGCTGGAAAGATCTTTTCGGAAATCATGTAGAAGAATAATAACTCTAATATCGAATTGAACGACCTCAAGTCTTCTTAGATAAATCCAGGGTAAATATGTGGACCAGTTACCTACTGTACGTAGACTTGGGATGATTATGTAATTTCCATGCAGCCACTTCCAGTGGCCCTAGATAGCTGGGTGCATTGAGGTAGTTGGTAAGATGGCTGGTGCTTTTTCATCAAGTCTGAGATTTGTACTGGAATACTCCACCGTCATTAATGCTGTCAAAAAATCTTTCAAGGAGGTTCTACCATCTGAATTGCCACTATCCTGCTCTCCAAAGCCACCTCCACATCGAAATCGAAAAATTGGCACGCTTTACTCGTCCAAAAAGATGACAGGAATAATATCGAGCTTGAAGTCAATCGCTCGAGTACCTACAACTTTATTGTCTCACTGTCCGAGCAAAATAAACCTTGGGGCAATCTCAATTTAAATGATAACCTTGTCTCGCCGTGTGACCTCATCCAACGTTGCTCCAAAAGATAGATATAATTTTGTAATTGTATAATACCGAAAAGATAAGCGTCATTCAACCTTCCATTCTTCATTGACACTAGTACTAAACTGTCTCTCGTGACCGCTTTGCAATTTGTCCTTTGTCACCTTCTTCCTCTACTTCGTCACATTCTATCGCTCCACAATGATTCACAAAGCATCTATAGAAGTCTGGCCAATCTTGCACTGTCCTTAGGCACAGCGGACATACTTCCGGAACAGGGATCAAAACTTTCAATCTTCAATATTCTCTTGGCTCAGGTGCGTCCGATGGACCGAAAGATAGTGACTCTTAAGCTTGTCACTGCGATGGAAGTGGGATAAGCAATCATCAAATTGGCAAGAATAGTCATATCGGGGGTAGTGCATGACTTCGATATGGCGCTTGAAGGTAGCCTTATTCGTAGTCTGAAATCTGCATTCCGAACAACGATATTGATAACGAGATTTTTTTTCCCTGGCTGGCTTGATCTCGGATTCGGATGTCATATGCGGCATTTGTGATGACCGGTTTGCATTGGGCTCGTTTGTCGCACCCGCTTTTTGGTATGGCGTTTGAGAGGTGACTTCTTTTCGCCGCCTGCTTGGGACATTTTCATCTGACGCAGGGGGCACGTATTCCTCCGACTTGCTGCGCCCAACTAGATCTAGTACAATGTTAGCATTAGATCTCGGGAATTTTGGCATCAGTTACGTACGGGACCGGGATTCTGCAATGGATTTGAAGTTCTGATACTCGGATGCTAAGGGCTGGAAAGTTTCTAACTCGGGCAAATGACGAGGAGGTAAAAGGGTGGGCGAAGGCGGGCCAATGAGACCTTCGAGATCACGCTCTGCTGAGTAGATGCCTGAATCATCGCGTGTATCTGGGAAGGAATCTGAAACGGTCATGGACGAGAGGATTCTGGGCCAAAGGTATTTGTGATCATCCCGCAAGTATCGGTCAATTGGCCTGATTTCCTGTTCATAATCGAGACCTGGCTGTTGCGTTTCACTTTTTGTCTCTGATTGGTGAAAGGGATCTGCATTAGGCATCTGAGCTTGTTGTTGAAGGCTCAGGCGTTTGTCCTCCCGTTGGTCGCGTTTTTGTTGCCTAAGACGGAACTGTTCCATCTGATAATCTGGCATTGACGCCGCATTAGATATTGTAAGCAGGTGTGGGGACTCCCCGCGGGCTTTACTGATTTCTGCATCCCTTGCAACATTCTCAAGCTCAATTTCTCCGGCATCAAGCCGTCGATGGTAATAGTTGCGAACCTGTGTTGTTGCAATGTCAGTTGTGTCTAGCCAAAGTGCATATAACTTAAAAGATAACGCAGATGCCTTGATCTTACCATGACAGGAGTTTTTGTCTCCATAAATGCTGATATGCCTTCAAAATCTTTACCAAAATGGGCCAGGAGCGTCTTGAAATCTTGTCTCTCAGCCACCGACCAGTAGCTGCTGGGCTCTATCAATTGAGAACCCGCCGAGTGTTGATTTGAAAGCGACGAGCTTGAAAAGAGTGTACTCTTCCTATCTTGAGTGGAAATTTTCTCGAGGCTAGTAATATTGAGGTCTCCAATGATGACGTTTCTACCCCAATCTAACGGAATAGGCTCAGGGATTGGTGTAGATCGGCTCGTTAGTCCGTATGAAGCCCAAGGAATGCCATCAAAGTCTATATCTTCTCCGTTGGATGAAGGAGGCCCATTGATATTGTCGGGCGTGCTGGATCTGTCTGTGGTGTCATCTTCACTGCTGTCTCGTCCAGCTCTCGGGAGACATGCCAGGGAGATCTCTTCCAGATGTCGTCCAGCATGAGTAGCGTAGGAATTCCTGCTCTGCCAACCATTTTGCGAGCACAACGAGCATTTGTAGTCCTTGAAATCGGCCGTTAAGATAGTCTCGCGCGCTTCTGAAATGGCGGCTGCCAAGTGGTTACCAGTCAGTTGGATACCATGCGCTTGAACTAAATGTTGAGCAAAATGATCCGGGGTACTAAATACGACAGTGCAAGTGAAGCAGCGCCACTGGATTAGAGTGAAGTGCTCGTTGAATTCGTGATCTGCCCATAATTTACGAGTCGGAAATGTTTTGAGTGCGTCCTTGCAGGATTCGTGTGTGCAAATGTACGACTGCAAATCAGCAAAGACATGCATCCTAATTAGTCAGTACGAAGTAATTTTGCAGCTTGGGCCTGTTTATGTACGTACTTCCACTGTATTCGATTTCGCATCGAGATACTTCTGTGACAATAACCGCATTGAAATGGAGCTCCGCCTTCCTAAGGCAGAGTGGGAACTCGGGGGCGACCAAGGGCCTCTTCCCCGCCGACTGAAAGGAACGAAGTATGTGAAGCAACAGTGGCAGCGTACTGCGATATTGCAGGAATAGATGTCCCAAGGCCAGAGTCATGGAAAAGGGAGAATGGCTTGAACAATGTCATAGTTTCCCGATGGGACTCTTCGTTCACTTCTTCCTCGTCGTCTTCGTGAGTTCGAATGCGTATTGACCTCTCTATATTGGCCTCTGCCAGTCGCTCAACAATAGAGGTGGGTGCGTTTGTAAATCTTTTTTCGATGTCAGCATATGAACAAGACACGGGTGATGACACTGACCGGTCGCTAATTAGCATGTGCGCATCCAAACCGTTCTGCCTGGAAATAGCTCATGAAATTAACAAAAAGCTTGAAGGCATCGAGGACCTTACCATACGACTTCCAGCGGCGACCAAGGCAAAACAACAGCCCAAAGATGCAGTGACCACACTCAAGGTGAGCAACATACCGTGGAATTAAATTGAGTGCGCCTGCTCTGATCACCATGTATAGTACGCTGTAGAAGACTTGAGAGATCTCGTCCAAAATCTCACATCGGTCCTTGTTCAACCGAGAAGTTCACAGACTTGGGAATGTCCACGAATAGCCAAAACTCCGGGACGTCGTCAAAATTTTGAGGACTCTCGTGTCATCCAGCAAGCTGCGTACAGTCTCTACGAGGCTATGAGGACAGCCTGTATTGCACATACTGTCCATAATGTGCAGATATCACTTCAGCCAGCCCTGGATGGAACGACAACCCGAGTTCGATTCAATTTCGCTTTGATTAAACACCCTAAAGCTCCGGAAAATACGGTCTGGATAGACGTGGACTCGACCATTAAATCACCAGGGAGTTATTCTGAGATGGATTCCATATTATGCCCTGACGTGAAGCTTTCTCTCAAGAGAAACCGAGAGACTGAGCGAGGTTTAGGCTCATCGGCGATACAAAAGCGCGTGCAATTTAAGGATCCACCTGCGCCAATACAGCCATTGTGCTCAAAAGTAGACGTCATTGGAATTCCAAATCTGCATATCCAACGCAATTTCTGCAAGGTGGTCGAGAGATATTTAGACCATCAAGAAAAGAATAGCTGCATTGGCCTACTGGGAGACAACGAAACATGCAAGCATCTGGCATACCTAGCCAGCCGGACCAGCATGATACAAACAGCAACTTCGCTTTCTGAGATGATCTCACAACCAAGATCCGACATCACAAAGGAGATGAGTCAGTTTGAGCTTGTCCGTCTGGCGAAACATCTCGCCACTGCTGTGCTCTATTTTCATTCTACACCATGGCTCAATAAGGCATGGCGAAGTGAGGATGTTCACCTTTTCAATCGTCACGGCACCACTATTGATCAATCACAGCATGTCATTCCTTATATGACGAGTTCTGTTTCGACCGAGTCCCAGCAAGCATCCCCAGCGTACCATCGCTTTATTCGAAATCCCGTCCTATTCGGACTCGGCGTTATGTTCCTCGAGCTCGCTTTCCAAGCCCCTCTCGCATATCTGACACGGTCGATCGATCTTCGAGAAGGTGGTGACTCAGATTTTGTTGAGTATTTTACGGCCCACAGAGTGATAGAGATGAGCCATAGCAAGATCAGCAAGAGCTTCAAAGAGGTCACCAAACGATGCCTGTACTGCGACTTTGGGCATGACAGTGACTTTACAAGTCCTGCCCTTCAGCAGGCTTTCTACAACAAAGTCATTGCGGTTCTTGATGGCCTGGAAGACGTCTATAGAGACCTTCAGGATGACTGATTTTACTCGAACCAATGTAATATGTTACGATCATGAATTTTTTCTCGCGTGCACAATGGTACCTCTTATAGATGGAACAGCACACCGGTTCCTCGGACATCCTATCGAAATTTGACTTGGAGAAATATTACCTTAGCAGAACTTAACAGAAAGCTCGATGCTGGGAGGACCCGTATGATGAACCGATTTGATCTCCGTGCGTTGACATGGCCTTTTAAGAGTACAAGAGTGATCGTAATTGCTGGAAACCTGGAAAGGCATCGCGAGACCACTGATAATGTCAAAGAGCAGTCTTGAAGACTAGCATGTACGCCCTGCAAGATTCGAAGTTTTGCACTTCCGATAATATCGACCACCACCTTTGAGAGTAAGGGTCACTCGATATAATTCCCCCTAAGCGCTCGATGTCTGATTTTGCGACCTTCACTGGTTTAGAGAACTGGAACAGGAGAGAAGCTACTCTGGCCATCAGATCTAGTACCACAAGGACATTTGCAGCTCTCGATACACCATCCACGGTTGATGAACGGGCGTCAGGACCAGTGCAATCCCATGGTCCCGCTTCGTGTTATTGCCAATAGAAGCGCCCAATTGAGGACTGATCGATCCCAAATTCATGCAAGGTTCGATAGGGATCTTTCTCAGATTAAATCAGCAGTGTGTGCGGGGTAAGCATAATGGAAACAGACGATCACTAGGCTCGCCAGTCTATATAAATTGAGCACTCCGTACATAGATACGTAGACATGATGCGAAAGGAACTTTTCTATGACATTTCTCTATTGAAAGGATCACAACCGAGCCCAATCGCACTTTGATGTAGAATATCACTATCTTGATTGGTACCTGCCTAAGATAATGGCTCTAATGATTCCGTTCATCCGGCCCGTGATAACAAATCGAGCCTGTGGAGAAACCGGTACGCTTGAACCCGGTTGCACTGTGATTTACCATCTGATCAGGCACCTAGAACAGCCTTGAATGAGGAATCGTCCCCGCAAACCAGTTTCCAACTCTAACTTTGGGGCCAGGGTTCTGAAACACACACAACACGAGAAGGGGGGGGGGCGTTGATAAGTTGACAGGTCAAATTGCTTCCAACGACTGGTCATTATTATTCGAATCCCATCCAGCAACAGCCAATGCCAGCCGGCCATACGGGGGTCAATTCGCGGGTTTCTTTTTCCTGACAGGAGCGCTAATGCGGGTCTAAATCCGAGCAGGCCCGACCGTAGAGGGAGAGCTCATAAAATGCTCGAGTGGTATAGCTGATTGGTTACCGTTGAATCCTTGTTTTTTTAATAGCCGCGATCAACTCGAACGTTGACGATGAGCCCGGTAATCGCGTGCTGCACTTGCGACGAGAAGTCTACACGTGGGAGCAACTCGTGCATGATATGTATAGCGATAGACAAGGCTAGACTGTAGAGGGTTTCCCGATGACCTCGAGCCAGATACGTCCCAGACTTTTGAACCCTTGTTCATAAAATAAGCAGTGCCAAACAGGAAAAAAAAAGAATAATAATTAAAAGTACAGTATTGGAAAAGCTCGGCTCTCGTTCGAAGTGGGGACCTTGAATGGATCTCGTGGGCCGGAGACTCGTTCTTTCTCCCCCCTTTTGCGTCACGCATCCGTTTCACACCTTTGGGCGGGTTGATTTTTAACTAGAAAAAAAAAAAAGAAGGATACAAATATATACACTGGACGAGACGTGCTCAGAAGACACGAAAGTTTGGCTTATTCGGAAGACGACGACCAGAGATCAGATGCAGTGTGATAGGAACCTGAAACGACAACACGGACCATCCGGCCTCGGGCGCTCGGAGTTCTGAGCTCTCCCACCGAACGAAATTACCAGCGACGATCACCACCGCCAAAGATGACGCTAAGATGGACTGGCCAACGCCCAGAGTGGTGTCCATTAGAGGTCATTAAGACAAGCGTAATTATTAGAAGTTTATCCATATTTACACAGGGTGAAATGATGACAAGTCATGGCCCTGTTCGAATTTATGAATCCTGAATGATGTATTGAATCATGACCACTATTATACCCCGTAGCCCAAGCAAAGAAATAGAGTCTCCCCCAAACACGCTAGACTGGCCCTCCCTATTCCGCTTCGAGGATGCTATCTAATTTATTCGATTCACGAACGACGTCCGTATAATTTTTAGTAGTTTGGTTTTTGGTTAGGAAGGTTTCTTTAATTATCTCAGCTGTGGGATGTAGGATGGACTTTTGCTTTATCACAGCTGACGAAGATGTTCTAGTGGGGTGTACTTCGTAGTTAGTGTGTATAGTATTGACTAGCAGTCATTCAGCTCTTATAGTAGGATTACTCTTGTACCTTTGGAGCTGGAAGACGGAATAGGGGGAGGGGCCTCATTTGGCTTGTCCGCGAGAGCTCGAAGGGGAGTTCTCTCTGGAGAGTGGAACCCTGGCGGATCCCACCGAGTTTTTTCTTCGTCACGAACGCCTTCCCCATGCTGGAGGCTGCGGCCGATCCGATCATGTTCGACTCCTTTTCTGGCTCCCAGGATCTTGCCCGGAGATTACTACGACGCCTCTCTGGTTTCAAAAAAAGCTTTCTTTGTTCTTTTCTTTTTTTTTTTTTTTTTTTGAAAACAATCATTTCTTGCCAATCATTTTTGGGTGGTTCTTTGTTCGAGGATTCATACAGCTTTCCGATTTGTTCTAGCTATTCTCGAAGGGGTCCAACTCTGGTTCGACTGGGGGTTTCGTATGCTTTCCATGGTCGACCTTCGATAGGTTCACAGCTGTCATATACTGTGGAAGCCCGAAACCCTGCGCCACATTCTTGTATATCATAGTCACTAATATCGTGGACATGCCTATCTTGAAGTCTCGAGTCCTCACAATCTACTGTAGATTAATATACGTACGTTTACGCTCTCTACTAGTCCAGCCAAGTCCGTTAGTGTCTTGGATGGCAGCTTTCGAGTGGAGCAAGTTGCATCCTGGCTAATCGGGTTGGCTTTCTAGCTTCCCCCCCCCCCCTTTTCCAACGACCAAACTACGCTTCTCCGTCCACTAGCCAGTGGCTACTCGCCACTAGGTGACTCCCCCGACGAACACCCCCTGTTCCTCATTGAGTGTGTGCTCTTGCGCCGCGCAGCCCGAGGCTGATCTACCGTAATCAGCGAAACTCTCTGGCCCTCTCGGGTCACGGCCTCGTAAATTCCGCCCTCTCGTCCAGCTTCCAGATCGTGGTCTCTCTCTCCGAAACGGGAACTCGGTCCCTCTTTGTTGCTTCCCCCGGAGTACTTCCAAGCGCTGTTTCGCCGTTTCGGCCTCGATCGCGGGTCTCCTCGAAGCTCTCCCCCCCCCTCCAACCCCCATTTCTCCAGTCTCGTTCTCACCAGGCGTCAACAACATCTGATCCATCTATCACGCGCCTCCTCAGCCTCAGCTACTACCTTCCGTTCAATTGGCGCTGCATTTCCGTAAGTAGATCGATGGCAAATCCTCCCGTGCATACGGAAATCGCCTGCATTGCGCTCCCCTCGCGCTCAGGGCGTATATCCCGCGTTCCGCGCTGCAACCAAGTGGCTGACCGATTGTTGCACCGCAGCCACCTTGAAATTGCCCTTCCTTGCGCTCGTCGAACCCGATTGAAAGAGAGAAACAAAAAAAGGCGACCCTTGCAAGACCAACCACTTTACCTACCCCCCCTGGCCACGAAACGAGCAGCACGATCAGTTCTTCCCCCGCCCCCCCTGAGAACCACCACGACTTTTGCCCTCTTCTGCAACGAATGATTGAATTACGGTAGACGGTCGATTGAATGGAACTCGGCCGTGTCGTGCTCTGGTTAGCACAGGGATCCGACTCTCCCACTTCTCACCGGGCGATGCAGTGATCGTTTCATCCAGTCGACTGCGCAATTTCGAGATGGCAACCGACTTCCAATCCCCCATGGCTTCCTCGGCTCAACCATCTCCTGCCCCATCATCCACCCGGGCTCACTCCAAATCCAGATCGAGATCTCGACCGGCTCGTCATCGGCGTGATTCCTCTCCCGCGCCGCCTTCCTCTCCACCGGGTCTGCCAACACCCGCCTTCTCGCCCGATGGACACAGTGATTTGGACGACGAGCTCGGGGAGGAAGATACGCTGTCGCCATTCGACGCTCGCAGAATCACGCCCACCCTCCATGCCTCGCTCGTATCGGAGATTCTCAATCTCCGCCGCGAAATTGAGCATAAAACCAGAGCCATCGATGTGCTAGAACAGAGCTTAGATGAATCGAGGACGGAAACTGAAACGCTGGGTGAAAATTTGTCCCGGGCGACGCGCGAAGCGCGGTCCCTGAAGCACCAGATCCAGTTACTGGAAGGTGGGACGTCATCGGCGATGACGGAGTTGGCCCGCGAGCGGGACGAAGCCGTGGAGAGTATCAATGATGTTCGCAAAAAGCTGGAACAATCGCAAAAACGGGCTCGCAGTCGAGAGGAAGAAGCGGAGCGAACGCAGATGTTGTGGGATCGCGATCGCGACACGTGGGAGAATGAGCGCCGGAATTTAGAACGCAAGGTCCACGTGGTGGAGGGCCGGTTGAAAACGGTCCTGAATGAAGTTGCCGCCGCGCAGGAAGCGGGCACGCTCGTCTCGCAACATGGCGAGAATGATGATACGGAGAAGGATAAAACGAAGGGTAGCGATACTGCGAGTGTGGCATCGAGTAGTCAGGGCCGGCGACGCACGAGTATGACCAGCGTGACGACGGATGAGGGCGATAATGACGCGCCTTATCACAATGTTCGGTACTCGGTGATGAGTCTGGCGCCCGGCAAGGGCGATTCGGGTTTGAACCTGGCACAGGAATTGGCATTCGACGAGGAGGAGGAAGATGAGTTTGTCGCGTTTGATGACGACGAGACTCCCGCGTCGCCAGAGGCACTTCCCGAGGAACGGCCGTTGTCCGTGCATTCAGCCGCATCGCATGATATTTCGTCAAAGGCGCGGAAAATCCTGGGTCTTTCGATGCAGAGTAATGCGTCGGCTATCGCTGCAGAGTTCCGTGCGGTGGACACGCCCAACCCTGTGAAAGTGGACAGTCGAGTTGCGGAATATCGCGATACGGGTATCCAGTACTCACCACCACCGTCGCCCGAATCATTGGCTGCGGTTGAGGAGGTCGAGCCCGTGCCTGCTGATATCCCGATGTTGAATATCACGGCAGAGGAGGAGGGGTCGAGTGAGATGAAAGATTCCTCGACATTAAATATCGAAGTGAAGATGGTTTCCAGTTCTTGCCAGACAATCGGCGAGCTGCCCAGTCCCCCATGGACACCCAAGGTTCCTGAATCGCCGGTCCGTCCCGCCGTGGAGGCGACCCCAGAGCCGGTTCGAATGGCAACTGCTTCGACACAGACCGATGCTATGCCCGAGGCTGAGCCACTCGCGGCTGAGAAGGCTACATTGTCGCCCAATGACGTGCCGTCCCAGATGGATGTGCCCATGATTGCCATTCACCCGCCTGCGTCCGAACCACCTTCACCCCGAAATAGCGTCGTTCTTCCCCCGCAGACCAAGAATGTCTCGGTGCAGGCCAATTTCCGGTCCGTCGTCGACGGTCGATCAATCGCCATTCAGACCGAGGAGATTCGCATCGATCAACGGCCTGTCAAACTCCCTGCCAGCCTCTTACCCTCCGCCATTCCCGATCTTCCTATCCGATCTGAAGTCAAAGAACCCGTCTATCAACCGTACCGTCCACCCGTACCTCCACCACGTTCCGCCAAGAGAGAACAACGACCATTTGCTGCCGAACGACCTGTCAAACCCCCGCGTGCGCAGCCTTCAGAGCTCGTGCAAGCTTACCCAGGCAACAACGACAATGGCCCGCTCTCGGACGATTTGGTATCTTCTGGCCTGCGACGACCCTTCCGCTCCAGCAGTTTGTTCGCTGGATTTGAACAACTAAGTGACGACGAAGATCCCGCCGCAGAAGAGCGGGATATCTTCACTGACGATGAGCTACTCAACCGTCCATTCGCATCCTACACTCTCCGTCGTGGCAAGATGGTCAATGCCAAATCACGACCCAGCCTTGACGAAATGACTCTTCCTGAAATTGACGAGCATCTCTCTGATCCCGAGTCAGGGCCATATGACATTGCGCGAGGCTCACGTCCCGTCCTTCGATCCGGTGCAAGCGCTACTTCTTCTATCCGCCAGCCCGGTATGCGCAAGATGGCCATGATTTCCAGCGGTGCGGCAGCACACCAGAAGACTCGCGCTCGCAGCCCTAGCGAACCCAGTCTTGATAGTGGTAGCGCGGGATCCAGCATCGCCCCTCCTTTTCCCGTTCCAATCCGCCTCAGTTCTCGAAAGCGCGGGCTGAATGGCAGTGATGGTCCACCAAGCCCGACCCGCTCAGCGAGACAGTTCTCGGACCGTGGTGCCCGTACAACAGTTGTGCGCCGGCCAACCTTGCGCCGTGTCCGATCTGCTGCTGCAATGTCCAACTCGGATCTGCCCGAACGCCCCGAAACCCGATCTTCACCCGCACGCTCTGCATCCTCGTTTGTGTTGGATAGTCCATCATACAACCCGCCTCCAATGCCATTTGATGATATCACAGCCCCGCGTGACAGGCGCAATGTCCAGAAACAGGCCTCGCATCGTGCAACGGAATCTACTGGTCGGAATCATGACCGTCAGGACTCAACGGGTGGTGTGCAGCCAACGAGCGTGGTTGATGCGATTGCTCAAACTATGGTTGGCGAGTGGATGTTTAAGTATGTCCGTCGCCGCAAGTCTTTCGGCATGGGCGACTCCAAGGATAATTGGGAGGGGAAGAACCCTGATGAGGTATCGGCCAATATTACCAACAGTGGTGTTCGACACAAGAGATGGGTCTGGCTGGCGCCGTATGAGGGTGCCATCATGTGGAGTAGCAAGCAGCCGACCAGCGGACCTGCCTTGCTGGGCAAGAGTGGCCGAAAGTGTGAGTACTCGTATCGCCAATCTCGTCAAATTTATACTAACCCATCTTCCAGTCACCATTCAGTCCGTCCTCGATGTGAAAGACGACAACCCCATGCCTAAGGGCAGCATCACTCCCGCTCCCTTTAATCGCTCTATCCTCGTTCTAACTCCTCAACGCGCACTCAAATTCACCGCGCTCACCGTCGAGCGCCACTACGTCTGGCTCACAGCTCTCTCCTTCCTCAGCCACTCCTCAATGGGCCTCCAAGACCTCGCCGCCATCCCCCCCGCACCGCAAGAAGAAGCCGCCTCCCCACCACCTCTTGCCACCCTCCGCCGCAACCCCATCCGCGACTCTATCCGCGTGGCAAAGGGTAAACCCCGCCCAATGCCAAAAGGCAAACGATCCTTCCCCAGCGCCCCAGTGCCCGAACTGCCTTCCGTAGGGGACTTGGATAACATGGCCGCCGACGCACCTCATGTCCCCCGCTTCTCGAACCACAGCAGCCATCATCATACTCGCAAACGCAGTAACACGGCTCCACGGCCGCCTGCGTTGCACGCTATCCGCAGTTTCTCCAGTCAGGGAACTATGCCCTCGTCGCACAGCGGGACCACGGGCTCTAACGAGCCGTATTTCTCGCCCGTGGCGCCACCGGCTCTATCTCAGGGTATTCGAAGTGGTCGGAGCAGTATCAGTCGTACGTCGGAAGGGAGTGGACGCACGGCGAATACGGCGACGAGTAATATGTTTGATGTCGGCACTGTTCGTATGGAGGCGTTTATCGATCACCATGCTGAGCAGATTAATCGTCCACGGGCTGTGCCTTCTGTGAAACAGCGGCATGCGCGGAAGACGTCTAGTCAGTGGAGTGCGTATGATGGGCGATCTGTCGATGAGAGTGAGCTTTCTTTCCGGTCGGATCCTTTTAGAGGTTTCTAGTCGGGAAATGTCCCCGTCTGTTTCTTCAAACTTTCTCTTCCCTTCTCCTTTTCTGTCTTGTTATTTGGAACCTTTGCACTCATGCAGCATCGTATATATCTTTATTCCCCGTGTCTTTGCACTGATACAGACACCGACACCACTTATCCTTCTCTGACCTACATACCTGGTATTATTCTTTCTTTTATACTCCTTTTCTTCATTGTGTTCATCTTTGCTACCCACCCCCCCCCCTTCTCTCTCTCTCTCGCGCGCGCGCGCTTGGGCATCTTTGGATTGTGCTCATTCGACCCTTTTGCTTTTGACCATCTTGATACCATTGTGCGACAGGATACCTATTCGAAGTAGCGATGGATTTATGGATTATGGGGCGTTGGAGTTTTAGCCCTTGCTTGTTCTGCTTTCCATATTATAGCCTGTGACTAGGTACTTTGTACAGATAATGATTATTATTGTTTCTCCTCTTATCTTAACGTGGACTATTCCATTTATCTTACAGTAAACATACGCTGGACGAACATGGTGCGGATGAACAAGATCTGGATAAAAATGGTACAAAAAATAGAAATGTCGTATAAAGCGGGTATAAACACATCATCTCAATACTCCAATTCTAATAACCCCATATCCACAACACCCGCCTCGCTTCATCCGCAATCAGGACATTCGCTCATGCAAACCATCCAGGCTGACACGATGCAGCAACCCCAGCCAGTCTCGACAAGGCCATTCCGATCGACGGGTTCGCTCTGCTCCCCATTCTCCACAACGAAGCACGTGTGTACAGTACAGCTGCAGCATGGCGTTTTCCCTTCTCCATCCCTTCATCGCTCGTTCTCATGTATATGTATAAATCCCATCATCGCGCATCGCGCATCGCTCACAGCTTCGCCGCGTCCTTGACATCCCCAATCTTCAACTTGGGCGCATACTTCTTCAGGACGGACTCGTTGTGGTACTGTACCAGTTTTAATCCCCGGTATTAGCCTATGTCCACACCGGAATACCAAATACCGAACACCGAGAAGGGCGTACGTAGACTAGCTACGGCCTCTGTGACCGGATACGTACCTTCCAGAACTGCTTGGAAGCATCCTTGCCGGCAACACGCTTCAGGATCTTCGCGCCGCCGGGGTGCTCGTCGACGAAGCTGGTGACGTCGTAGACGGACGAGTCGACGATAATGTACAAGCCCTTCTCGGCGTTGTTGTGGGCGGCGACTTCGGCCGGGGTGAAGGACTTGGCAGACATGGTGGGTGATGTGTTGTAGGTGTGGTGGGTTGGTTGTACTTTGGGGGTGGTGGTGGAGATTGAGGGAAGACGGAGGAGAAGTGGAATGTGACGTTTAAAGGAAGGCCCGCGGAGACTCGGCGGAGTCGTGAAAGTCTGGGGGGGGGAAGGGGAAAGTCAGCGGGGCCGAGGTAAATCGGGGTGTGCCGCGGTCGGCCCAATTGCGAATGTGTCGCTGCTGATTGGTGTGGATGGGGATGGGGGTCCCGGGATTTAGTGGTTAGTAAACTTTGGTGCTTTAGTCTGAGATGTGTCTGAATGCATTTTATATTGGAAATGACTATATAGGTATACTACTGTAGAAGAATAGTAGTCGTATACATTTCGGCTATTGAACGTTCCCTCTCGGCTATAGATCTCTCCTCTTTCGGAATTCATCCTGTTCGTAGATGGAAGTACCGAGTACAGTCCTACTAAACATATGATCCCCATTTTACGGCCCCCTCCCAGGCACACAGACTAATCAAGACAAAGAAATTCAAGTTCTGTCAGCCTGGAGCCGGCATATAAATTATTCACAACCTTGAGGGCATGCGGCTCTTACACTAGAAATCTCTCCGCAAGGAAGCAGGAAGGAATCAAGAGGCGCTTGAAGCAATTTTGCCTGTCTTAACAACTCTGGAGATCCGGTGCTCTGGCGCTCTAAAAGAAAAATAAAACCAAAAAATTGGAGAGGACTTATTTATGTAATTGAAAGGGGAGCCTGCAAAGAACCTGCAACTAATCTGTCGAAAACGTCTCGCACCTGCAGCCAGTAACCTGCACAGGATCTGCAACGCAGCGAGGGAGGAATCATCAGTAGCTATTTTTTTATCAGAAGTCATTTCATTTCAAGACACTTGATTTGACTTATACATAGCTTGATGCTGTCTCGGCCAGTTCAATCGACCAAAATTTCTCAGCTCGAATACGAAAGGCGATTGTTGTGATCGCGGGCGGATGATCACTCCGAGATATAGCAAAGAAATTTCCAGTATGATCAAGATTCTTGCGATAATCGACTGGAATGTAGACCATCTTCTTCCCATGAAGCTCAATCCACGAGAAGTCATCGCTGAGATAAAATCCTACGCGCTTCGCACGCATCCTTATATCCTCCCCTGTAAGTGTAAAATCAGGTTCATTGCTGCGGACAGCAAGGCAGCAACGATCAGACTTGAGGAATGAGCCATCAGAGCTGAAGGACAGACTCTTAGCAACGGTATCGGTTGTGATTGTCTCCCTGAGCATCATCGTAGATGTGTCCCAAATCCGAATGCTTAAATCACAATGGAAAAATTCATTGCCTTGTGCCACAGCCAGAAGCCTCGAGTCGTGAGAGAAGGCGAGAGCGCCAGCCCATACCAGGGGTTTTGACAGAGTCTCCTTGACTGGTACGGTTCCAATCGGCTTTCCTAGGTCCCAAATCTTGACCTCGGACGGACGTTCCAGTCACAAAGATGATTGACCCAGTGGACACAAGAGTACCGTACTGCCCTCAGTGGATCAGGCTCTGGAACCTTGATTTCTGTTGTCAGAGTTCCCGGGGTTTCAAGTTTATAGATATTCCGCTTTAGTTCCTGGGAAAGCGTCTCGATCGAGTTTGAAAACATTTTAAGATGAGTGATCCTATAGACTGGAGCAAAAAGAACCTCACTTGCGTTCTTTTTCAAATAGTCCTTTGCCGATTGGTGAATAAATTGGATGAAATCGTCTTGAATTCTGAAGAAGGATCCACAAATGGTCGCAATCTTTTTGACCTTATCTGTGTTGCTTCTGATCCCATCGGGCAGTCCAGCCAAGATCCCCATTTCCGCCAACCGAAGCGGGCGATATGCTAGAGTAGCCGTTGCAAGAATCTGGTAACAGAAGACGGGACTCCTCATAGACAGAGTGCCAATCTGTCTAATCATTCTATCGTATACTCCTCTCAATTCAGATACTCTCTAGAACTTCGATAATATCGTATTCGCAAACTTCCTCGAGCTCTTTGGCGACGAGAGCTACCCAAAGGAATGTGTCTGCTGCTTTGTCACACATGATATCTCGTACTTGCGCTCTCAGACGCTGGCTATCCCTCAAGACCTGAAGTTTCTCTATCCGGGAACCAATGTAAGCATTGACTGCTTGGCTCACATCGTCTGGGTTGTCACGCAGATCCAGGTGAATCAGAAGCTCAGGGCTCTTTTGATCGGGTTGATCGGATTGATCGGATTGATTGAATTGATTGAATCAATCAATGATGGCTGGGACGCTGCGACTCGACACAATCCACTTCACGGAAGGTGATGCCGAGATATTCATAGCTATGAATTTGAGTAGCTGATCCTGACTTGTTTCGCTCATCAAGGGCATCGATCACAATAAATGCGCGTCCAAGCTTGGGATCCTCCAACATGCCGCCAGCTATGTCTGGCAGAGCGAAAAAAGAGCTCCTATCTTGAAAGACGCCTTTATGACAATCATATATCTTGCGCAGGTGGGTTATCAGGGAAGGTTTTATCAGGATGAGACGGTAGATGAGGCCTCTCAAAACAGCCGTGGCACTGTTCATTTCCTCGTCTGTACCCTGACAGAAGAAGTAAGCAAGCCCAGCCCGGGGTGATGAGTCGTCCAGCTCTTTGATCATGCCCATCAACAGCATTGTTTTCCCATGTCCAGGTTCGCCTCTAATCCACAGCAGTCGCTTTTGGTCGTCGAACTGAATCTGTCGAAAACTTGGATGATGAATCATCCATTCATACGAGTCTTTGAGGAGTCCTCCTTTCTCTTCTTCGATTTTTCTGATATGAGCGCCAGGATCAGATACTCGAGGATGGGTGGATAAGAGAGCTGAAAGGCATTCATTGTCTCCGTCCTCTAGAAAGCAGCAACGTTGCTATTAGAAATCTTGATGGCTGCCCACGTTTCACAGAGCATGGCTTGTGGAAGTACCTTTGAAAACATTGATGGTTCCGTTATTTATTCCATTCTGGAATCCCCCCAAATTTGTGCTGCCGTCGAATGAGGCCGAAGACCTCGAGCCCATGGTCAGGGCAGTGATCTAAAACCATGGATCATGCTCTGATTCCGCAGAAGAAAGATTTATAATGGGGAAGCTGCACCGAGGAGGGGCGAGTTCAGCCTCTCTATCAGGTGACTTGCCAGCGCTAAGAGATGCATTGTGATTGCTTCGCCTCTTTCAACTATCTGGAAACACAGCGATAATCTTATAATCTCTAATCAAATGGTATGCTGACCCAATATGAACATCGCGTGAATTATGGATTTCGTATCAATCGAGTCAAAGTACCTGATCTAATAGTCAATTGTTCGAAAACAAGGCTCTACTGTTGAGCTACGGCCCGCACGACTAGAAGGCTCCATACAAACTTCGAAATAGGAGACCATTTCGCAAGATTCTTACAGCATAAAGTTCGTGATGGGTAAACCTCAAGTTGGTAAGGTATTATAGTACATAACGACAAGCATATTTAAGCGGCAGAATCACAGTATAAAACACCAGGATTGGCGGCGCTGCCTTTCTTTTTCCTCTTCAGCCTTCCGTTTTCTGTCTTGCAGATCTCTGATTCGCGCCTCGGAATCTTTGAGTGCCGCTTGCTGAGCTTTGGCTTCAGATCTGATTCGATCTAGCTGCGCACTGAGATCACATTTCTGGTCCTCAAGGATCTCGATTTGATGCTGAAGACGCTGGATTGTTTCGGTATGCTGGATTGTTTCGGTATGCTGGATTGTTTCGGTTTGTGAGATTGTTTCGTTTTGCGGGATTGTTTCGGTCTGCTGAATTTGAATTGCGCCGGGGCTGGAAGCAGGTGCTAATGAAGTTTGGGAGTTCTTGCCCTGGTCTGCAAGATCCTTCGCCTCCTGGCAAGTGGTCCGTTCTGATTGACAAGTAGTTCTCAGGTGGTCTGCATGGTGGACCTCAATCTTTCCAGCTTTCAACTCCTCCATGTATTGTTCCCGTAGAGGTCGCGGAACTTCCGGAGCTGCATCAACTATGCTCAAACATTCTGTCCCATAATCTTGCTCGAATAACAGAGCGTAAAGCTCATCCAATTCGATGTCCGCTTCCATAACCGCCTCTTTAACTTCACCTTTGGATGCGTTGAGATCTTCGCTGATGACATCCGCCTCTCTAATATGGGTGGCCAGAGCATCTTGCGTAATGGTCAATTTCGTAAAGTAGCTTCCAGTCAATGCGTTGAGACTGGTTGTTATCTCAGGACTGAGGAGCAACTGAAAAAGTAAATCCCCTGCCGCCTTGACTGCTCCCATCAGGGAATCAATGTAACTGGACTTCGCCTCTCGCTGCTCTTGACTGTGTTGAAGCGACTGATTGGATCGCTTAATAGCTTCTGCACCTTTATTTATGACTTCATCAAATGAGCCCACTCGTCCACTGCTCAATAGTTAGATGGTAGCCCTAGATACAGGCTTACTGGTAATGAATAGGCCCGTAAAAGACATTTCCGTTGACAATTTGCCTGTTGATTTCCTGATTAACTTGATCAACTCTTCCAGGCGATGCAACTATCGATCGCACATCTCTTTCATCATTAGAAGCTCTATCAGTATCTCTCCATTCTGTCAGGACTGCTTTCGCGCAAGCAGCTGCTACAGCAGCAGAGTATGGCTGCCAGTCCTTGGACTTATGACAGTCTGCGTAGTCAGCCACAGCTTTGATAACAATTGTTGGTATAATCTCCCAGATCCCAGCGCTTTCCATCTCGAACCCGATTACCCCTTCCCTGTTGGCGATTTCGTCGCGGTGCTGACCACTCTTCATCACCTGGTTACTGCTTGCGATGGGGCCGAAGTGAATATTGATCCTCTGTGGTTCCTTTCGTGTATCCTCGGAGATGATTCCTTCTCCTTCTTTTTCTTCTGTTTCATCGTCGTCACTAGGAGCTCCAGGAGATTGGGTCGTGCGATTCTTGGCAATCTGGCTCGCAGCCTTGCAGCCTAGCTCGTCGCAGGAGCTATGGAGAGCCACATCGCAGACCGGATCACACTGTTTATCACATTTGTCGCAGATCTCACATGGCTGATTCCGATGTTTATGTCGGTAATCAGCAGGATATACTACAAGCTTGTCCCATCCTGAATACGGAGTCTTGAAATATTGGACATTTGATGTGAGCTCCGCCACAGTATCCTCAGTCCTCTGCCGAAGCCGTTCATGCACACTCTTACTTCGTAATTTCCCCAGAAATGTTCGAATTTCACGACTTGCTCGACCTAGAGTTTCTTCAACCCCAGCTTTCCGACTGAAAAGATCCGGATACTGCTTTCCCATATCCGTCTGGATAACCGCGGTAGCGATAATGACATCCCCAAGGAGGATATTTGCCCTATTCAAAGGTGCCGGAACTCCACCACAAACCCCGACAACCAAGCATACTGAAATGTTCTTGAATGTGGACCTTAGTTGAGTCGCGACGCCCTCCGCATCAGTGTTTCCGGGACCGGGCATATGTACGACCACAACATCGTGCCTCCCTATACGTCCAGTGGTGTAGGTGTTGGCATCAAAGAGCGATTTCGTGTATATTGAGCCGGAGGCTTCGTACTCATGGTCTAAGAGGACGGTGATAGGGTCGGCTTCGGTAGATAGAGCACAAATAAGAGCGACGTGAAAAGCCTCAGAAGCCGGGGCCTCACAGGGTTTGGTTTCAAGCATAGTTGGATGGGATATGGCTATCTTGGTATATTTAGGCATAATTTGGCCTATGAGTGGGATAAGGGCAAGTGAAATACCTATATAACAAACTTGCTATGGAGAGAAACGACAAGCGAAATGATAGAGATCGGCGGGGTTTCATGTTCTTATAAAGCTGACAAAAATTACGCGCCGCGGTCCTGTACAGAGCCCCTTTCTCGCTAGATAAAGCGTATCTTTCCTGCGGTCAGGTTCGTCAGCTATCTGTGATATGGTGAGGGATTGGCTCTCTATCACGGACGAATAGAGTTTCGAGGAAGGAAGCCTTGACGCTGAATTATTCGAGGATATTGAATGACGAGCAGAAGGCGCGTACAAGTCTATTTGTGTTTTTCTGGTAGTTCAAATCTGTTTAACGTCACCCAATCGATTATGAAGGACCTTCAAACCCCGCTCACAAAGATGCGAGCCACAGCGCTTACTATCTTCGCCTGATGCTCCAGGAATAACCATTGCCATTGCTGCTCGTTTCTCCTTCCTCGCGCTTTATCAATCATTATCGTATACCGCGTTTTGCGACTTGCTTGTTGTGAGATAGCACAGCAGCCGCACGGGAAATTCTACGGCGCTGGGACGGGATGCAAGGTCGCTACTAGACTAACTCTCTCGACCCACTTTAGAATCTCTATACTTAGGGACTCATAGTAGAAGCCGTCTTACGTATCCTAACAAAGTAATAGTTGCGTGAAGACTAGACCTAGATGACTGGAAAGATTGTCAACATAAAGCTCATTAGACATTAGGCTTTGCTCAACTTATGTATTCCTCCTAGTTAATCCATTATCTCTGTCACTTAATCGTGGCAAGGCCGCATTGATATCTTAGCAGAGCATAGAGTTATAGTATTTAGTGCATGACTACCAAAGCGTCATATTTCAACAACGGATTAATTGCTTCAAATCCTAATATACAAAGAAACACGGATCCCAATTATCCCCTCTGATATTGCCTACTCATGTCCGACTCTTCTCCCCAGCCGCCCCAGCCCCCTTGGGGACCTTCCTATCCAACCCCAAAGACTCCAAATCCTTTTTCTTGTAATAATGCGGTGCAACCTCCACCAGCCACTCCGCCTGCAACGGCATATTACTCCGCATATACTCCTTACTCGTCAAAACGAGCTCAAAGTAAATCACCCACCGGGGATTGACCTCAAACAACGTGCTGGACGGATGCAAATACACCGACTGCCCATTCTTAATCGTGCGGTAACTATCGCCGCCACGCTGTAGACGCGCTGCATTCGGGAAGAAACCCGCCGTTATGGCCTTTTGGATGGGGACCATGTTGTTGGAGCCGCAGGTGCTGACTGTTACTTCAACGCGGTCACATAGCTTGGCGAGTTGATCGCGGACGTCGCGGGCGCGAGTGAGACTGCGTTGTTGGAGGAAGTTTTCTTTGGACCAGACAACGCTGAAGTCGGAGTCGACCCACTGGTTCCAGATGTTGAGGAGGGTGAGGTGGTCGCCGCCGTCTTTGACGGTGAAGCGGTTGCGGGCGCTGTCGGCGTGGATCTTTTTGTCCTTTGGTCGGAAGAAGAGGGCGCTGGCTTCGCCGAGCATGGAGACGATTGAGAGGACTTCTTCGACGCAGCCGTATTGGCCTGCAGCGAGGATAGCCTTGGCGAGCATGGGGTCGGTGGGGAATTCGGCCATTTGTCGGCCTACCTTGGTCAGGTCGCCTCGATCATTCAATGCACCCAGTGCGTAGAGTTGTTCCAAGGCGCGGATGATGGTTTCGGCTGGTGGTGGGTCCATGAAATCGAAATCAAGCAACTGGTCGATACCCAGCGACTTCAGCATAAGGATGACACTGTTAAGATTCGTGCGTTGAATCTCGGGCGTGGTGTTCTCTTCCAGTTCGTTGTAGTAGGCCCACTTGGTATATAATCGGAAGCATTTGCCTGGTCCAACACGTCCAGCACGACCAGCTCGCTGATTAGCAGAGGCACGTGAGCAAGGCGTCACGACAAGACTCTCCATGCCCGTCCGAGGGTTGAACACGTTCTCCTTCACGAAACCGGGGTCAATCACGTAGACAATACCGTCGATAGTCAAACTAGTCTCAGCAATATTCGTGGCCAGCACGACCTTGCGCGACTTGGGTGGCGTGGGCTCGAAGATCTTGGTTTGCAATTCAGATGGCAAATTGGCGTAAATCGGACAAATTATCATCTCTGGTATTTTACTACCGAGTTTCCGTGCCGTTTCTTGTAAACTTTGCTCGGCGGCTTCAATTTCTTCTTGGCCTGTCAAAAAGACCAGAATATCACCAGGGCCCTGGGTAACGTGAATCTGGAAAACAGTAGTGATAGCCGCAGCAAGATAATTGGCTTCGGGCTGAGAGGTATAGTGTACGTCGACTGGGTATCGACGACCCGGAATGTTGAAAATGGGCGCATCATCAAAGTACTTTTGGAACTTTTGCGCATCCATAGTAGCCGAGGAAATGAGGAGCTTCAGGTCGGGTCGTGCCTTGGCGATATCCTTTAACAGACCACAAGCAATATCGGTTGGCACCGTCCGCTCGTGGGCCTCGTCAATCATGAGCGCCGCGTACTGGCCCAGATCCGGCTCGGTGAGCAGCTCTCGCAGAAGCATGCCGTCAGTCATATACTTCAGGATAGTCTTGTCGCTGGTGTTATCCTCGAAACGAATAGCATAACCAACTTCATTGCCGAGCTTGGTGCCCATTTCCTCGGCCACACGCGCCGCAACACTCATAGCGGCCACACGACGCGGCTGGGTGCAGCCGATTTTCAAGCCGTCTTTGGTGAAACCAGCCTCGTGGAGATACTGCGGAATCTGGGTGGTTTTACCAGAACCCGTCTCACCAACAATGATAAGGACCTGATGATCGTGGACAGCCTGGATAATCTGGTCGCGGAATTGATAGATAGGCAGACTCTTTCGAGTCTCTTCCATAGTCGCAGCCTTCTTCTCCGCGGCATCAACCTGTTGCTTGAATCGCAATTGCTCCTGCGTCATCGGCTTCTGAGTTCCCTCAATCTTGGACTCCATCACAAAGTTGATTTGCTGCGTATCGTCGAAAACATACTCGTAATCGCCCTCATCCACGAACTCGGCCTTTTGAATCTGCGCTTTCGCTTTGGCAGCCTGCTCCAACTCCCACTCCTCATGTTCGGTAACAAACTTCTCCTGGCCGATCTCGTCACGTTCCACGTATCGCTTATACAGCGCATCCTCCTTCTTCTTGCGATCGATCTTGCCTTTCTCCGTAATATAATCCTCAGGCATCATGTAACCATCACGATGATCGTCGATTCGGAGCCGCTCCTCAGCAATTCGTAGAACCTCCCGGTTTCGTGCAAATTCTTCTTTCTCCCGACGCGTGAGATTCGGGTTCTCGCGCAACTCGGTGGCTTCCTCTGCAACCTGCCGCCGCAGCAGAGCAAGTCGCTCTGCCTCACGCTTCTTCAAATATTCTTGCCGCGAGCGCTCACGTAGATCAGGCATCACAGACGCCCGCGCATCGGCATCATCGGCCAAGGCACGTCTCCGCGCAGCTTCGCTATCCCGTGTCCGATCTTCCACAATCTTCTTCGATTTGGAATTGTCCTTGTTGGCCAAGCGCTTTGCAAACTCGTCTCTCTCGCGTAAATCTTTTTGCCGCTCGATCTCCTGTTTAGTCTGGGGGTCGATATCCTCGGCAGGCGACGCGACGCGCGGAGAAGCCGAGCCATCTTCGAGTCGAGTGCGCTTCGGCGGCGATTCAGCGAATTCGTCTTCGTCGGCGTATCGTTCATCTTCGGCAATTTCTTCGTCACCCCATCGGTCGTCGAAATCGTCTGCATCTCTCTGTCGCAGCTTCTTCGTGCGCGGTCGGTCTCGACTCTCTGCGTCCCGGCTGCGATCTCGTTTCCGGCTATCATCTTTTTCCCGACGACTCCGATCTCTGTCCCGCTCACTGTCCCTCTCCCGATCACGGCGCCGCCGTCTATCGCGCTCGGCCTCGACGTTGACGGGTCCTAGAGCCGATGCAGGATCTGGGAGGTCCTCGCCCATATCCACAAGGCGATATTTCTTCTTTGAGGATTCCCTGCTAGCTGCAGCTTTTGAAGCTGATGTGCCAGGCTGGCTGCTGCCCTTCCCTACCCGGGAGAAAAGTTGCCCGCAGAATACGCCGATCTCGTCGGGACTGCCATCGAGGAAGGAGACAAGTTTGTCTTGGAGGGAGGATGCAGATTTGGCAGATGAAGCTTCGGCAAGAACAAAGTCCACAGCGATTGGATCTGACGCGCCGGTCAGGCGAATGAGGGAGTCGGACACGAAAGTTTTGTTGTCCATGGTGGGCGCGGAGGTCGGGGAGGGTGAAGGTGGTCTTTGAGCGGCTCCACGGGGTGTGATGGTTTTTCGAGAGATCTCAGACGATAGGTCGCATGATTTGCATGGATTTTGGATGACTTGTAGTAGCCTGCCAGGAAAGAGTAAAAGAGACAGAGGCTGGGGAATAAATTTGAAGGTACTGCGGATGCGGAGAGCAGAGCTCGGAGGTCGCGCCAAGACGAGTGGCGATCCCAGAAACGCGGCAGGAATATCTCGTCTTCCGAAGTATACCTACTTTAAAGATAGAGCACACTAGATATGGTGATAAGCGGGCAATTTCAGCATCTATGTCAATCTTCTTTTAATTCTGGGGCTACTTCTCTGGAAATTAACAATGATTGCCTACCTGGAAATTCATCTTGGTGGGGAGCCAAGCCTGATCCAATATATATTTCTAACCCGCATAACTACCCACCAATCCACATTCAGGTACCTCTTAGATAGTCATAATCATAGACCTCCAATTATCTGAAGGAACACGTAAGTATGCCAAATGAATCTTCTGCTACACGAAATACGAAAGTAGGTTTAGGCACAATTCTTACGAGCAGCCGCAACGGTTAACAGATAAACAAAAGCTTCATTGGGATATCGTTGGAATTTAAGCTGCCTAGACATGAACATGGATTTAATCTGGCCACACAGAGGACAAAAAGCAAAAGCCAGGCAGGGTAGCATGGCGGGCCGTAGGGTCATTCGTCGTTGCTCAGACAGATAGGTGGAACAGAGTACAAGATTGAAAAGAAAAGCCAAGCCCCAGGATCACTTCAACGACAGGAAAGCTCGCAGGAAGCAATTCATGCGGTTTTAGCCAAACGGCTGACAAGCCATACAGGGGTATCCCCACAGGAATCTCCAAGGAGACTTGGCCAAGCGGCGAACAGAAAGTTCCGGTAATGCGAACCAAAATTCCACAACAAACTTAGACGGGAGCTCAGATAGCAGAAAAAGAATTTACAAATAATCGGCACATCAGAGATGTAAGGACCACTGGGATCAGACGAAACTAGCCTTGGTATCTCATGAAATTGGAGGAATGGGTGATATAGGGGACGTTAATACATTCGTTGCACTTAGTAATGCTGGGCAATGGTACAAAGGAAATGATGGTATGGAAATAGAAACAAGTCGCCTCAGAAAGAATAGAGGAACGCCGCGCTGAACTCCGGGTATTGCACCCGTTGCAAAACTCCACCGGGTCATGATAAAGTATGGACATAGGTCCGGGAAACTGGTGGTGGGAAATGTGATGAGACCCAAATTCCTAGGATCGAGATGATATCACAAACGAGAGACCAGTTGGAATGTAACGACTTCGACCCGAGAAGCCAAAGGTTGGAAAGAAACAGAAAGGAAATGGTCATGATCAGTTAACGTGGCCTGAAAAGAAGAAGAGCAAAGCGCTCGTATCGACGCCAGAACGACATATGACAAAGGAAAAAAAAGAGAAATCGACAACACGTAACACCTTCCATATGCACAAGAAGTTTGGAAAAGGGGAGATAGATTACACATCGATCATCTCGGCATCTTCAGCCAAGATCTCGTCGGCAGGGCCCCAGTTGCCCTCAAAAACGGTAGCACCGGCGCGACGGCGACGGTTCACGAATTGCACACCGTAGGTTTCTAGAATCTGATCGGCAGTAGGTCGATCCACAGGATCGGGGGAAATCATCCAGCGAACAATTCTGTCCAAAGCTTGATTGTGGCGAGCATCGATCATAAAGACGGGGGGGTGGACAAGTTCGCCGCTGCGAGCGACTTGGGAGGAGTTGTGCGAACTGGCTTTGCGGCCAGCCAGGAAATCGCCATCGAAATCGTGACCACCGAGATCAGATGCAAAGAGCTCTTCGAAAGACGGCTCCTCAGAGATAGGATTGCCAGAGGCATCACGGAAGATACTAGTTTCCGAGCTCCAGGTCAGACTGGGCACATCACTCATATCACCGTTGCGAAGCTTCTGCCAAGACACTCCATTGTCGGGAAGCTCCACATTACCGGCGATCTCAAACATGATCAAACCGAGGGAGAAGATATCGGCAGGCTTGTCGAAGCGACCCATCAGGATCTCAGGACCAATGTATTCGCGGTCGCCCTCGCCCTCAAAGCCCCTCTCGGCAGGCCAGCGGGTGGCCATACCAAAGTCAGCAATCTTGAGAACACCTTCGAAAGTGACCAAAATGTTGGCAGGCTTCAGGTCGAGATGGATGAAGCCCTTATCATGGATGTGCTTCAATCCTAAAGCGAGCTCGGAGAGGATCTTCCAAATCCGGAAGTCATCGATGCGCGCCTTCAGGCCGGCCTGGGCCAAGAAGACATCGAGGCTACCCTCCTCGCAATACTCTGTCTGAATGTAAAGGTGGCGGTGTTCCTCCCAGCTATCGATGAAATTCACGACGTGGTCCGAGTTGACCAGCGCTTTCAGTATATCGACCTCGCGGATACGACGCTCACGGTCTTTCAACCCCGTGTAGGGCTGCCTGCTCTTCTTCACAGCCCAAACTTGGTGGGCCACGTCGGTCGGTGCCTGGCACCCGTTGGACGGAAGAGAGAAAACAGAGGAGAAAGACGTGTTCTGTGGCTCAGCGACGCGGAACACTTGAGAGAATTCACCAGTGCCGACGAGCTCAACCTTTCCAAAACGGGAAGTCAAGCTACTGTCGACATCGGGAGCCTGGTACCCACTGACCTGGAGGCTGGGTCGCTTGCTCGAAATGAAAGACTCGCGAGGACCAGTCGGGGTAGCAGGAAGGTTGATGCTGCTACCGAAGTCGGGTTCAATAGGCTGTGGCTCATTCGGCACGGAAATGGACAAGCCACTAGGGTCGGGAGGGAAGTACTGGTCACGAGGCGTGCGAGGAGTAGTCGAGGCCTGCAAGAAACGATCCCGCAGGGGAGTGGAAGTGGCGCTGCCCCTCGATTCAGATAGACGCTCTAGAGAGGCTATCTGAGAGGTGGCGGGGGGATAAGTGCGAGAGGGGAGGAAGGTTTGTTTGGTTGGAGTCGGAGGGAGATCGGAATCGGTCATGGGCTGACTGTCGGGACGCGACGAGGGGGACTGGGCTAGCAGCATGTCGTCACCATCCACGCTCACGATGCTTCCGCGACGCGACGCTTCAGGACGCGCAAAACTCTCACCAAAAATGCCCATTCCACGGGCAAACGGACCCGGTTTAGGCCGAACGGACGAGCCAGGTGGGTTGAATGGAGACGCGGGAACTGCCTCGGGCTGTCGACCGAATTGCGACTTGTTGAAGAACCCCTCAGGGATGGGAGAGTCTGCCGCAAACAGATTGACTGGACGCTTACACGGGGTGTCTGGCATGTTTTTGTTGAAGCCACCACCGTTCAAGTCATCTGCGTTGCGGTTCTTCTTGGAGATCAACCCAGTGGACATGAACGCAGCAGGCAAAGGCTTGACCAGCTTGTAGTTCTCCGGTGTCGCGAAGGACTCGTTTGAGCTAGCCTCTTCGCGAGTCACCCGGCGCACTGGCGCAGGGCGCGTGGCGCCAGCTGGAAGTGATTTAGAAAAGTTCATGATTGGTCGGGGGCCTCGTTCAGGTTTCTGAGCATGTTCGTGGGTGGGCGAGTCTTCCAGGCTCGACCCGGAGGATGACTGAGTGATGGTGCGAGAGAGAGGGTGAGCAGTAGGTCGAGGAGGCTGAGAGATTCCAAAGTTCGTCGTGGAGGGATTGAAAGAGGTAGTGGTGGGAGAAAAGATAGGACTGGCAGGAGGAGGGCGAGGAGAAAAGAGGGAAGGAGATTCTTGACTCGATTGGAAAAGCCCGCTGTCGAAGGACATGCGAGGTCGAACTGCGAGTGGGGTGCCAGGTGAGGCTTCGGAGTCACCCAAACCTCTAGGTCGGCCAAAAAGAGGACGCTCTACCTGACGTTGCTGAAGCGTGGAGCGACGAAGTGAAGAGGATCGCTTGGGAATGGTTGCGAAAGGATTCTGCGGTTGAATTGGAGTCGGGAAGTAAGAGGTAGCTTCATCGCCATTTCCAGCCGGACTGGCAGGCGCAGTCTCACTCTCATGGTCGAATATGCTAAATTCCGCCGCGAAGTTCGAGGCATAAACACTGCGTCGTTTCGCCGAGGGACTACCTCGGGAAGCCTGGTCCAAATTCATGATGCCGTCACTACGCTTCAAGGGACTGACCGTCGCAAGGGACCCAAAGGTACCACTGCGACGCTTTTCAATGCGCGACAAGGTAGGGCGGGGCCCAAAAGTTGATTCAGGGAGCGGGGCAGTCGGGGTGGTGCTGAGAGAAGGATTGGCGCAAGAGTTGCTCTCACTTGGATCGGCCAAGTCGTCCAGCGTCAACGCGTTTTCCTCACCTGGCGCAATAGCAATGGGGTGAGATGAGACTGCGTTACCTCCATCAGCGGACACTGCGAGCGCGCATTTGGCCGGACTGCGAGGAGACGTTCTTCGCCGCATAACCGGGCGAGTGATCTTTGCGCTAGGAGGATACGGAACTGCGAGAGGGGACTGTTGGCTAGTGGAAGGGAAGAGGACAAAGTTGTTCTGAGAGGATCGTCGGGAGGGTGATAGCGGTGAAGAGACGTATGCGGCGGACTTTGATGGAGAGTGAGCTCGTGAGCTGAGGAAGAAATTCGAGCTCTTCGAAGGCGAGCGCGACAGAGAGCGCCGAAGCTGCCTGATCGCGGAACTGGCATCGACGTGATGGAGGGGCGAGTGAGATGAGAGATGAAGGGTCCCTCCGGAGTCCCGATGAGGTGAGAAGGTCGCAACCATTTTGGGGAATGTTTGCTGGACGTGCCGCGCAAAAGTCCAGAATGATACTTGGATCTCTCTCACTTTAATCGGATGGACAGGGTCTCAATCTTTCCAACCAACCTGAATGACCGCGATTCAGGGACGATTCCGACTACTGCGATATTCGACGTTGTTGAGTGGTGATGTTCTCTTCCCCAAAATCCTCCACAACAAGAACAAGGGCACCTCTGACGCGACTTCAGAGGGGCGGAAAAACACGGTCAAGAGCGAATGTGTGGGTAGGCGTCCAACCCCAGGGTGAGTCAACAGGATGACGATGCGGTTGATGGCCCAAGGCAGGCACGCAGCAAGAAGTACACTGGAATGCTGGGAAGGCGCAGCCGAAAAAGTGGCAAGGAAACAGCCAAACAAAAATAGAGGGCAATCGCGGTTCACCCACTCATCGCGAGGCAACAGGAATTCCGTGGTATTGGTCCTCCGGGGTCACGGGGACTACCAAAAAAGACGCGCGCGTCCAAGTGACGAGGCTAGGCGTGCGATGTCTTTCTCTTCTTTTGGTGTGGTGTTTCGAAGGGTCGCGTCGGAATGTTTCAGGATGGCGACCCAGGCATTTAGAGTTGCAGCAGCCAGGACGATAAGATGATGGGATGATGATGTCGATAGAGCGTGTTTCGCGAGGGCGCAGAACAATGCACGGCCAATGTCTGAGAGCGGGTTTTTCGTCCTAGAGTCCCCAGGGAAAACCAAGGGAAGAACCGGCGTGCAAGGGGTAGATCCCCCCTCCAAGGTGTGGACGTGAACGAGATCAGCCCACGCGAGATTTTGGGCAGGGAGGGGCCGGAATTTGACAGTGCGATCAATCCAGTGTCGAGGGATAAGGATTCCAGCCCGTTGTCAGGAAGGCGACCGTTGATGCGATAGGGACGGGATGGACGAAGATCAGGGTCGATGATAGGAATGTGGGATGGTCTTGTTCTTCGAAGGGCGAAGATGTGAAAGAGAATAAATCAACTTTAGGCTCTGGCGAGGCCGATCAACGCGCACGTCGCGTTGTTGATCCCTCGATGCCCTTCTGGGTTTAGCGGCGGGGACGCGTCGTGACATAAACAAATAGCGCTTATGTAAGGACTCTCACCACCTGATCTATACCGCCAGGAGAGTACCATTCACACCATTTCATACATTATTGAACTTCCTCGTACGACCATCCAGAACACCCAAAGTTACATTCAGGCTATTACCTGCAGTTCCTGTCGTGTCCCATCATCTGTGAGATCCGGCGCTTGTTGGGAAGAGGGGAAACGATTCCGGGGTCGCCCCTGCGCCAGACCCAAAAGCGCCACTCGAGAGGATGGACCACTCAACACACCACAGACCATGTCGCTCTTCATGACCTGGTCTGTGACCTGAACCAAAGAACCATGCAGCCTTTGTGAAAAATCAACGCCAATGTGGTACGGCTTTTCGGAAGTCCCGGCCAGCCAGTGCCGCCGCGAGTCAGGCCCACTTGCGCCATATCCGGTCATTGTCCATTGTTGGAGCCTATCAAAGAGCCACGCGAAGCTCCCCTTGCATGGAATGGCGGCCCCTCTCCATGAGCTCAGTCCACTGCTCCATCGCCGTCTCATCTGATCCGTCATACGGAGCAGCGCTTTACTCGCGCGCTCAGAGCAGGCTGTGGAATGAGCGCCAATGCTGTCTCCCTCGACGCCTACTGGTCCCGGCTCAGTCCTTCCGGGAGGAACTAACTTTTTCACTAGCAACAGGCAGACGCAACAAGCTCAGGCTTTGTGCGGACCGTCGACATCCACGGTCCCATTTTTGATGAATGGCTAAAGTTTGCACTCGGTGGCCAATGGGTCCCCGATTCCCCAGACGTTCATGTTGTTTATTTACCCGGTGGAGACGCGGCATGGTATCAACAACAGGCTCATCCTCCGATCATCTCGGGATCCGCTCATCCCGCGGTTTGCCGTGGGTCCTCAGTCTTGTAATCGTCAAACAATACTTTTTTCTTTTTCGTTATCGTTGAATTATGGATACCTCGGATTTTATGTGATTCGATATATTGAAAGTGGGACCGTGAGAACGAACACGTCTAAAATGCCAAAGTGCATGGAAAAAGCAATATATGCACCCACAATATGGACAGGATACAGGATACTGTCTGACGGGTGGGACTTTCCTGAGTAGTTATCTGCATGGGCTTGGGACTTTGCTATGATGCCTCAACTCTCGTAGCATGTGGGTAAATAACCGAATAGTAGGAAAAATCGCAACGAGATAGTCGTAAAAGTAGAGAGGCAAGGGACAATATCTGGGAGTTTTGGAGTTCTATTGGGAGTAGAGTAAGCGGACAGCACAAAAATGGCAATAGCGCGTAAAGAGGGGAAGAAAGAGACGAAAGAGGAGGAGAGCATCACCACGGGGAAGCCACGATTGTGGCCGTTAGCGTTTTTCAAATCGACTGTAATAGTGACTTTCCATGGAATGCCAACCGAAGGACTCAGGTAGAACTGGCGCATTTCAAGATAGACGAGTGGCTAATCAACTCCATAGGTTGAACAAGTGGAGAGATGAGGCTCAAATGATGAGAGACATTTTCCATATCCAAGGGTTGGCGTTGGCTATTTTGACTTCGAGCCCTCTTGAAAGGGTGATTATTACTCTCGAGACCGTCGACTGTTGGATAGCTATGAAGTCCTATCTTGTCTTCTCCGCATCTGGCTCAGCGAGTGGACCAGGTGATTATGGGATACTTCCCAGCAACCTCAACCTCAAGTCGCTTAGGGAGGGGCTCAATTCGACTCAATGATCAGAAAAGCGGCGAGGGGTGAACGCTGGAACGGAAAGAGAAGGTCAAAAGTGGCCAGAGTCTAGATATTATCTGGTATATGTATATGCACAGGAAAGGAGACAGCGTCGACTACGTCTGGCTCAGGTTGATCAAAATACAATGAAAAAAAAAATCAAATTGAACGCCAAGAAGCAAATCCAAAAAGCAAATCCTAGGGTTGCAGAGCAGAGAATGGATCCACGGCTGACTTCTGCTCTTCCTTCCCCTCGTCTATTTTTTTTTCTCTCATGATTCTTGTGGATTAATGCGAGCTTTTTGATGAGCTCGCTTCTCTGGCGCCTCTATGGAGACTCTGAAGAGGCAACTAATCCTGCCATTTCGTGCCTCACCGTCTCCATCACCTTGTCGGCAGTGGGGTGATCGAGACGAGTACTCGGTGCAAAGAGACCGAAATCCAGTCGGTCGTTTCGGATAGCTGCCTCAACGTCGATCGTAGTCTGTTCAAAGCGTAGAATTGCATTAGTTTCCGCTGCTTGCCATAGTGGATTTGCGGGATAGGTCAAAACTTACCCAGAACACGTCTTTCAGAGCCGCGATCGAAGAAGCGGATCCGGTCGCTTGGACCACGGTTGTGTCACCGTTGGTCAGAGCTAGGTGACTTGGGTGGACACTCGACTTAGATTCATCGAGTGGTGTCAGCTCATTACTCGAGATCGACTGGAGAGCCACTTTATCACTTGCATCGCCGTTGGTGACCTCGAGCTCCGGCAGTCGCAGGAAGTTGATACAGGTATCGATGCGCACCCCCGTCCATTCGGATATTTCAAGTAGAGAAACCCCGGCATGTTCCACCAAGCTGATTTCGTTGATATCCTCCTGAATCTTCCGAGCAGCAACGAAAAGTGAGTCATGGTCATTGCTGAGCTTGTCATCCAGTCGGAGTGGAACGATATTGACGGTTGAAGCAACCAATTCAGAAAGACCCTCCATACCGTACGACCGATTGGCAAGATACAAACCAACCACAAGGGGTCGCCTGTCTGTTTCATTGTCGATATCCACCAGAGCAAAGATCTGGGAATGCACGCGAGCATAAACGGCCAGGAAGACTGATTGGATACTCAGGCCCCGGCGTTTGGCGGCTTTTTCCAGTCGAGACATGTTTGAAACCAGACCGGGCCGATAGTCATGCTGGATGGCGCCAAACTCACCCACACCATTGGATTTGGCGCTTGGTGTTGAAATTTGGCCCAGATACTTTTGCCAGAATTGCCGCCGAACATCAACGGGCGAGTGGATGTGCTGGAAAGCCACGAGCTGGGACAGATTTTGTGACGCGTGTTTCAGTTTGGACTCGGCCCTGCTGCACAACTGGGCAAGTCGATTCATCATTTGTGGAAGGCTCACAGCGTCGTACAGTGCATGGTGGAGGTGCAACATGAATGCTACCCCTCGGGGCGTGCGACACACATGGAGGGCAACAGGGACAGATCCAAAGCCGCGTCTAATGCTTATAGCATGATTGATGTCATCGTGCCAGGTGGGAGGGCTGTGTAATGTCTTGAGAACGGTTTGAACGAATGGTAACCGGAGGTTGCCGGTTGCCAGGAAAGCAGTTCGGAGGATGGGTGTCTCGTCTATGAGACGCGACCACGCACTGTTCAGAACCTGGGGGCTGAAGTGCGCTGACGCCAAGTAGTAGAACTTGGGATAGAACACATCTGGGTTCAGAATGTGCATTGCCAGGAAGTAAGTCTGACCAGCAGTGGCGGGGATTATTGTCTCGGTATCTTGTGGATCAATTCCATGTGACCGAAGCAATGAATCGACGTCAACTCCTTTGAGCGAATCTTGTAAAGCTTGGTCGATTTCAGCTTGAGTGAGATTGACTTGATTGTTGTTCACTGCCAGTGCCATTTTCTCAATTGTTCCGGCCTTGAGCATGTCACTAACAACTAGCTTGACAGATTGCTTTTTCAAAAGGGCAGCAACCTTGATGGCACTGATGCTATCCAAACCGAGCTGGAAGATGTTGGCTTCTTTGTCGATAGAATCCTCAGGAACGCCAGACACAATGGAAAGAACATTGCGAATTTTGGACTCGGTAGTTGACCACTCTCTTTGACTGGATGTCTGTAACCTGGGCGTCTCAGACTCACCAGAATCTTTCGAGTCAGAGACAATTATATTTCCGCAGATTTTCATGGCATTGCCAGAAAATTCGACGGTCTGCCGAGCAGGCTCATCGACGATTGACAGGAGAACCTCGGCCATGTGGCTCAACAGAACGAGTGTGTCCTTCTCTCCCAGGACGCTGCCACGACATGCCACCCGTGCCACCAGGTTCTGTCCATCGCCTTCAACCTCGGCGCATACAGGATACTCCACACTCGATGCTCCTCCAGTGGAATGGTATAGAGCGGGGCTCTGAGAATGGACTTCGGAAGGCCTCTTTTGATAGATGAATAGAGTGTCAAATAATTGTTGCGATCTGGTACTTGGTCTCGCTCGTCGCAATGGGAAGTGCTGATGCTCAGACATCTCGAGTAGAGTCTCCTGCACGTATTTGACCAACTCCAATCGAGTACTGTGAAGAATGACTCGCATTGCCACAGTGTTCATCGTGGGAAACATGACATTCTCTGAATCAGCCACATTGCGACCAGAAAGAACAAGACCGAATATGACATCTAGGTTCTTGATATAGGTCGCCAGAACAAGGGACCAGCAGCTAACCAAAAGTGCTTGCATTGTGATGCCATGATGCTTGCAGAAGCTCTCGGCCTTGTCAAAGGACACAGAGAGCGGTCTTTCCGCGCGATGGACAATTTGTGAGCCTTTTTCTGCATGCTCGCTAGATGGAAACGTTATCGGTTTGCAATTTGACAGGGTCGCCCTCCAGAATCTCAGAGCACGATCCCCGGAAGATGCGATAATCTGCTCGAGAATTGCATCCGAGGATGGGCGAGTACAATTTCCCCCTGCATAAGACCTGGCAACGTCTTCATGGAGTAGACTGATGGACCAGCCATCGTACAGAGCGTGGGAAATTGAGAGAACAAGGTAGCGGGTATCCCCATCAACTGCGATGGTCAGACTCAGCAACGGCCGACCAGAAAGTTCCGAGGCCGCTCGTTTACGTTGAGCCTCAATAATAGATTCCACAGACTTTCCATTCAGATGCACAGACTGGAAGTCAAAAGCATGCTCGTTATGAACGATCTGAGCATAAGATGCCGAGATCTCGGGATCCCATACCTCGACAAAGGATGTGCGTAGAATGGGATGGGCTTTGACGACGGCTCTCCATGCATCCTGAAGTCTCGCGAGATCCACGTAAGACTCGAGCTGCAGAACTTCGTGGTTGTAGTAGTGCTGGTACCCAGAGGCGGACATCTCAGCGACCATCGCCTCTTGGATTGGCGTTGCGGGAAGCACCTGACACGCATCCTCAGGCATGAGGCTCTCCTTCCTCAGGAATCTTGTCAAAGCTCCCTCCATTTGACTCAATAATGGATAAGACCCGTTTTGTTCATGATGATTTGTTTCTGCAAGCTGGCTAGCCATGGCCTTTACATTGCGATGGCGCATGATGGCGCTCACGGGGAGCTTGATGCCCGAGTTGGCCAGGCGTGAGGATAATTTGATGGCATCAATACTGTCGAGACCGACTTCGAAGATTGATGTTTCTTCACCAATGAATTGGGAATCGACTCCGGCGAGCGTTGCAATAACGTCCCGGATCGTGGAAGCTTGACTGGTCCATTGGAATGAAGAGTTACGCGTATGTGCTGTACCGTTCACGCCGTTCGGCGTAGCTGTCTCGCCATTTACATGTGCATAGCTCTCTTCCGCGACCCCATTGATATAGGGTAGCTCATGTTCTGGGTTCTGAGCAAATTCAGACAAGATTCGTTGGAAATTGGCGAGTAGCTGCTCCGCCACTTCTGAGGATAGGACGTGACTCTTTGCGGCAAGGGTCAGAGTAAGGGATTCATTGTCATTGCGCAGAATTTCAAAAGCTAGCGGGTACTCATGTTGTGCCTCAGAGTCCAGTGGCTGCCAAAGGCTACCAGTTGATGCCTCAATATCGGCGTCCTCTCTCTGGAACACGAAGAGTGACTCGAACAGGCGATCATCTGGGCTCTTGCCGAGCCATTTCATGATGTCTCGTAGAGCAGTATATTGGAATGGCATCGTGGCAACTTGGTAGTCATGGCATCGTCGAGCGACTTCAGACCATGAATTTAGACCGCGAAGCTGCACATTGCTTGGAATAGTGTTGAACAGGGGACCAATGGCGTTGGCAATCCCTGGCACATCGATCGTACGTCCAGATGCAATAAGACCGATTGGAGGGACAAATGCATAGTGTTGGTGAAGGGTTAATAGCCAGCAGGCATGGAGAATTGCCTGTTCTGTGACGTTGAGGGACTTCCTCAGATGGTCCAATGGCTCTGTGGTGTCAATTTGGATTGTTTTGACCAGGGACTCAATGACGCCATTAGATTGATCTGATTTCGACAGAGATCGGGGTCGACAGTTTGCCAAGTGCTCTTTCCAGAATGATTTCTCGGATGGATCCTTGCAGAGAGGACCCAGATGCAACAAGTCTAAGAACTGAGGCGCATGTTCGGACGCGCTCTGCTGGTCAAGGTAGATTCGTGCAACAAGATCCAGAATGAGGGCTAGACTGTTTCCATCGTAAAGAGCATGGAAGATGTTGAGACACATCACTGATTTGTCAGGAGATTGGATCACACCAACCTCCCACAGCCGCGTCGATAGTTCCGGAATGTCAGATATCCAATTTTCGACCTGCTGCTTCCGCAAGCTTTCAAGCTGCTTCTCGGACGCAGCATTCACATCGAACCAAGGAAGCGCATCATGCTTCAAAATGACTTGAGCGTAGCCATCTGGAGAGGGCGAGAATCGAGCTCGGAGCATCTGTACCTGGTCTTGTGCCTTGCTCCATGCATTCCGCAACTTCTCAATGTCGATGGACGCATGCAATGCGAAGGTGAAGGACGAGCAGTAAAGTGGCTCGGTGCTCGAAAGGAAATGATATATGATACCTTCCTGGAGCGGTGTACATGGGGCGATCTGCTCAACCTCACTATCCACGACTCCAATGCTTTCGATAACAGAATGGAAATGTTTGTGAGCGAAGGCCTCGATGTTCTGCTTCGCATTTCCGTGGAGGTTGCTCTGGGTCGCTGAAGAGGAGGTAGACATCTGCAAAGCCGATGCCATACCTGCAACGGTCGGATCTATTTTTATCATTAGACAGCTTTCCATACAAACAGCCGGAGTTAATCTTACGCTTCATAATGAGTGATGCCTGGGCTTGAGAGAAACCAGCCTCCCTTAGGGTTCTGGCAAACGCGATAACAGAGATAGAGTCTAGACCCAGTTCAAAGATACTCGACCAGGAAGAAATGGCCGATTCGGGGGAGCCAGTAAACTGGGACAAAAGTGAAATGATATCTTCTTCTTGCGTGTTCTTCACGGTTTGTTCAACAGCCATGGCACTCTGTCTCTGCAGGTCCTCCAAGGAGAGATCCTGGTAAATGCTCTTCAAGACCTTCATCTCAGCCTTGTTATTAGCAGAAAGAGGGAACCGGGTCATAGGAATGATATGAGTTGGCACCATATACCCCGGAAGATGTGTGTGACAAGCAGCTTTGATTGTCGACAGCAAGACCCGATCCTCTTCAGAAGACCGCACTGCCACATCTCGAGATTTCTTGTCAACCTCAATCCTGGTGACAAAAGACACAAGCTGGTCTTTGGATTGTTTTGGATGCTTGATGACCAGCGTGGCCACTTCGTTCAGCTCAGGAGTTGCCTGCTTTATGACTTCGTTGATCTCGCCGATCTCAAGTCGCTGGCCACGAAGCTTAACTTGGTCGTCGATCCGGCCCAGGAATTGGAAACTGCCGTCGTGCAAAATTCTCACCAGATCGCCCGTTCGATAGATGCGATCCCCGTTCTCTGGCAAGGTCTGGAATCGCTCCTTGGTGAGTTCTTCCCTGTTCAAGTAGCCCTTACCGACTAAAGGACCCGACACACAAAGCTCGCCAAGTCCACCACGCACGACTGGAATACAGGTACCTGGTCGGAAGACGTAGGAGCCAACATTGTCAAATTGTGGCCCAATGTTGGACGGCTTGTCATTGGCACGCATCCGTGGGAGCATTGTGCATCCGATAGTCACTTCAGTAGGACCGTATCCGTTGTAGATGACTCCATGCTTTCCCCACTCGTCGAGAATCTCCTGTTTTAATTGCTCACCACCGGTTATGAAAACACCTCGACGCAGTGATGGTACCTCGTCAGGGTGAACCAGTCTCGCTAAACTAGGCGTAAGATCGATGTGAGTTATTTCCAATTTCTGAACTGTTCCTGGTAGATCCTCGAAAAGCAGATCTCGAGGACATGAAGTAACACAGATGCCAACACTCCAGCTCCAGTATTGTTCAAGAACGCTGACATCAAAGTGGAATGACGCAAATTGAAGCCATCGAGAGTTCTCATCCCAATGAGGTGAAAAGAGTCTTTGGAATGCGAGCATGGCCTGTACAGCGTTGTCATGCGTGATCTCGCAACCCTTGGGTGTACCTGTTGTACCGGAAGTATACAAGCAATAGCATGTATCATCGGGTTGAAATTCCCGGGCCAGGGATGGCTGTGATGGGGAAAAGTTTTGATATTTGCCAGGCTCGTCTAGTGCCTGAACATCAACGCCCGAGAGTGTCTCCAAGTCCGACTTGCGTGATTGATTGCAAAGCAGAAGCGTGGTCGAGGAATCTTCCATAATGAACTGCTTACGCGAGATTGGAGCGGAAGGATCGATGGCCAGATATGCACAACCGGCCTTCAAGATACCCAAGATAGCAAGGGAAGCTTCAGGGCACTTGTCGAAGCAGATCGCAATTATCCCACCGGGTGTGACTCCTTTGGCCTGGAGATAATGAGCGACTCGATTGCCATCCTCATTGAACTCTCTGTAAGACCAAGTTTTCTTTTGCAGGCTATCTGCATTTGGCCCGAATGCGAACTCAAAGGCGGGTTTCTCTGGAACCTTTCGAGCATTTTCTTCGACGAACTGGTGAAGAAGAGACACAGAAGTGGGAATCCTGTTCTCCTTGGCGGGTGTGACGGATAACAATTGATCTCTCAGAGAGACATAATCATCCGCGCCGGAATCTATGAAGAAGATCGTGTGCTCTAACAACTTGTTATACTGATTCAAAAGAATCACGGCTTGCTCTGCAGGAACAAGGTCATTTCTGCAGCTCACCCGAATCTCAAGCTCCGTATCATGCGGGAGTAGTTCAATTGAGACAGGGTACTAGGAACAAGTTAGTAACCCAACAGACCATGGAAAAAAATACTTTGATACATACATCAATCTTCGTCTCTTCATCGGTGACCTCCCACTTACCAGAGCCCGCAGACTTTGTCGAAAACTTCTGGTAAACGAACAAAGTATCAAAAAGCGGCTCATCGCTACCAAGCCACCTCTGAATTTGAGCCAGGGGAGCGAATTGATTCTTAACAAGAGCAGCGTTCCGCTTCAGAGTGCGGTCCAGCAGCTCCCGATTAGTGCCCTCAATGCGGAATGGCGATGGCACGGTCACCAAGCAAGGGAAAACAGCGTCCTGGGCAGAAGCAGATAAATTGCGGCCCGAGAGAACAGTACCAAAAACGACATTTTGTTCACCAGTGTATGCAGCAAGTAATCGCGCCCATGCGACTTGACCCGCAGCTTGAAGAGTAACGCCTGTGCTGCGGCATCCGGCCTCAAGTTTGCTGAGAGACTGGGAGCAGAGAATTGAGCTCGCGATCAGTTCTTTCTTATCAACGCGAGTAGGATGTAGGTCTGGGAATTTGGTAGGATGGATCTCCGCGGCGAGCCCCTGCCAGAACTCCTGAGAGTCTTCAATTCGTTTTTGACTCTCGATCAAAATGGGACCAAGAGTTTCGGGAATAGAGGCAGGTTTAGCGAGAGCCTGTCCTTCATAGGCTGCCATCACGTCCGAAAAGATCGTTTCCAAAGACTGCGCATCATAAAGTGCGTGAAGAGCTGAAAAATGCACCGTGGTAACGCTATCGGTAGGTTCGATCCAGATACCCCATGGGGGTTGGTGGAGCTTTTCGAGAACTCGATGCCGTTGATGAATAGTATCCAGCGTGGAAGATTCCTGCCACGGTACATCAATACCTTCCCGATAGGTGATCATAGCAAATGGATTTTGCTGGTCACGAAGCTGCACAAAGCCAGTGCGTAGCATCTCATGTTGGGCCATGGCCTTGGACCAAGCTTCATTGAGCGTGCTCTTGTCCAGGGACGTGGAAGACTTCAGAGCCATCCGGTTATAGTACATGCTGCCCTGAGAATGATTGAAGAGAGCCAACATGCCGCATTGGACGGGAGTGCAAGGTCTCAAAGACTGAACTGACTGTGCCGAGATACCAAGTTGTTCGCAGACGGGCTGAAGGTGTTGACTCTCAAAGCCAGAGAAATCATATTCAGCTTCTTTAATTCCATTCTCGGTTGACTCCAGATGAACAGCAATCTTGTCAATAGAAGCAGCCTAGAAAATGTCAGTCATTTGAACAAACACTCCAGATGCTAAACATACCTCAAGAATGTCACCTGCTGATACCTTATACCCCAATTTGCGCAATCTTCCGGAGATTTGCACAGCGTTGATACTATCCAGTCCGAGTTGGAAAATAGTAGTATGCAACGAAATGGCTGCGGGCTCAACTCCAGCAAATTCGCATAAAATCTCTCGAAGAACTACTTCCCGATCAGACCATGCCCGGGACTCCACTGAATTTGCTGGGATTCCATTAGTTTTGGCACGCGGGGACTCCTTCTCGAAAACCTCTGACAAATCATCACCAACTACCCGTTTATCACAAGCCTGAGCAGAAGGGTACTGAGTCGTGTGCTCGATGAGCGCTACAAAGTCCCGTGCAAGTCTCTCCGCCACACCACGACTGAGATGCGATGTTTGGAAATGGATGCTTATCTGGACAATATCCCGTGTTTCATCCGGCACGATCTCACAAATCAGAGGGAATCCCATGTTACCCTCGTCGGCAAGCATTTCCCAGTACCGAGCATCAAGCTCAGTACTCCTCGTCTGGAAAATGACCAGTGTATCGAAAAGTCGAGAGCCGGCTTGTAGCGTACGCCTCTGGATGCGACGCAGCGCACTGAGCTGATAAGGTAAGATGTCGCTGTTGTGTTTTTGCGACAGTTTCATTACGTCCCCATTCGTCGATACCGAAGAGAATTTGACCCGCATGGGAAGAGTGTTGAAGCAAGGCCCAACAATACGGTCTGCGCCTTCTAGTAGAATTGTGCGGCAGCTGAATACATTACCGAAACAAACATCGGTCGCATTGGAGTGCAAGGCGAGAAGCCTCGCCCATGCGGCATGGAAAATATTGAGGGGTGTGACTGAGAGTTCCCTACACTGCCGTTTGAACGAGGCAAGGGAGTGGCTGAGATCCACGTGAATCTGCTGGGAGGCAGCCTGTGAAACGGATCCATCGGTCGACGATTTCTTGGAATCAGAAAGAAGCGTCGGAGAGACATCTGATAAGTAGCGGTCCCAAAATTTGTCGGAGGAATCAGAATTGACCGAACTCATATACTCGATAAAATGGTGGAAGGGTGTGGCTTCAGGAAGTTTCTCGCCTGCGAGGGAAGCCTGAAGCTCGTGGAGAAGTTGGGCAATACCTTCTCCATCGTATAGTGCATGATGAATTGACAAAAGCAAACAAGCGTTATGTGTGGCGGGATCTTCAAAGACCGTCAAGGAATATGGGAGCTCGCCGTTGGCGGGTGACTGATGCTCAAAGTCTGACTTCCTTTTTGCAATATCCATGTCGAAGCTCTCGGATGAAATTTCAACGGATGTCCAGGGCAGGACTGCGGTGTCGAGCACCACTTGCGCATACGCAAATCGCGGGTCATTAGTTTGTCTGAAACAAGTTCTCAAAATTTCATGTCTCTGCATCATCTGCTTCCATGCCTCATTCAATCTCTCAATGTCAGTGTTCACCCGCAGAAGCAAGTGGTTGAAATAAGCAGAATCGACATCAGACTCCGCTGCAAGCATAGCTTCTTGTAAAGGCGTGCAAGGGTAAACACCACGGAAAGATGCGCCTCTCGCATCCAAATCCTTCTTCAATTCAAGTATGAAGCTCTCATCAAACACGGATGAGGGTTGCTCGGGTGATAGTGGCTGTTGGGGATGATGCCCATCTGTCATGGGTTGAGCAACATTCACCAATTGAGCCACGGAGCTATGGCGGAGTATTGTTGAAACAGGGAGTCTTCCAAACCCAGATTCCTGGAGCTTGCGTGAGAAAGCAATTGCAGACAGAGAGTCTAAGCCCAGCTTGTAGAAGGATGTATGTTTTCCAATATTGTGTTGCTCCACGCCAGTGACTGCGGAAAGGGCAGAGGCAATTGACTTCTCAACATCGGTGAGAGTTTCATCGTGGATCTCATCGTTGAGACCGATGGAGAAAGATTTGAGAAGGTCAGTATCCATTTGTTGGATGTCTCGCTGTATTTTTGGGCGATCAGTCAAGAAATTTTCGTTCATTGGTATCTCATCCATCGGGACAAGAAGTGCCGGAACAGTAGGTGAAGGAAGATTCACAGTCAATACCTTGATAAGCTTCTTTGATAGCTCATCAAGTTGGTCACCGTGCAATGAAGCTCGAGGCTGCTCTGAAGGAACCCAAACAGTGACCAATTGTTGCTGCTTAGTGATTGGATTTTCCATGAACAAGCTCACAGAGTCTTGTACACGATCCGATGACAGCAGAGCGTGATCGATTTCGTAAAAGTTTGTATGCTGACCAAGCTGCACAATGCTACCGTCGGGAAGAACTCTGCCAAAATCGCTAGTTCGGTAAAGCAAGCCATACTGCGGGTGCTCAAAAAAGCACTCAGCAGAAGAAGACCCCTGGTAGAGAAGAAACGCTGTTAGCAAGTTCTATATTTCGAGTCAATCGTTTTTCGACTTACAACTTGATCACCACCAAAGCACAGTAATCCAACGGCACCACGTGGCAGTAGGTTGAATTCGGGCTTATCTGAAATGACCATGGCGGACGTGTTCTTGAGCGGCTTACCAACCCCAGTGAGTGCGCTGGACGTCTCAACCTTCACCGGTGCGGTACAGAGACCAGCGATTCCGCGAGCGGAAAAACCTAGAGAACGACGTATCAGTACATGTGTCATGACCAAATGAAAGGTGAGAGTCTGAAGTACCGTGATAAAGATTCCTTCCAGCCCAATCCCGTTGCAACTTTGCCGTCAGAGGTTCACCGGATGTACCCAAGTATTTCAAACTAGGCAAACTCTGCGGATCCAAGTGCGATGCAAGTGTGGGGGTGGCATGAATATGAGTAACACCCATGACACTAACAATCTTCTGGGGATCATTAGCAAGGAGTTCATCCGATGCAACACATAGCGTCGTGCCTGCAGTCCATGCCAAGAAAGCTGCAATTATTGATTCTATAAAAATTAGAAAATGACAGGAACCACAACGCAAACGTGAAACTTACCAACAGATGTAGATGGGGATGCAAAAAGCATTTTGGATCCAGACTGGACATTATATGACTCCGTGAGAACGTTAGTGCAGCTTCTCAAGCTCCGAGAGGAAAATGTGATCGGCTCTTTTGAAATGGGATCAGTGCAAATGATTCGGAATCCGTCATCGACCGCGAAGGGGGTATCATTATGAACATCATTGAAAGAATCAGGAATAGTGATTTGTCGGACGGATTCCGGGATATTGAGTCCATCAAGACGCTTGAAAGACGAATGAACCATGAAGATGGGAACTTTCAATGTAGAGAGGATAGAGCTGTCATCTTCCGAGAGAGGTACGATACCAGCTCCCATCTTTGCAATGGCCAGCACAGCGATGTAAGAGTCTATCGTGCTTTCCAGGAACATAGCAATCGAGTCACCCCTCGTCACACCCATCCGGAGCAAGTAATTGGCGAGAGTGTTGGCCCGGGAATCCAATTGGCCATATGTGATCGTGTCAACAACAGAGTCCAACTCTCTTAAATATTCAACCGCGGTCCGAGAAGGCTCAGCAGAGGCGAGCGTTTCAACGGCAGAAACCAGACGCGGCAAGTCCCCTTGGATTTGACAGTTCGCATTAGCAACAGACAGTGTATGTTGAGGAAGATGGCTTCCAAGATCACCAATCGGCAGCGTGGGAGCATCAATCAAAACAGAAGCGACATAATCAATCTGCTCCAAAAGAATCTCAGCTTGTTCTCTCGACAAGACAGACTGCTGGTAAGTCGCCTTCGCACGGATCCCATCCTCCCTAGGCTCAAAATCTAACAACAGCGCAAACTCCAAAAACTCCGCAGCGCCGACTTCCCGGAAAACATCATGATAGTCCTGGTCAGACCAAATACTCTCCTGCCACACGAGTGCAGTGTCGAAGAGGCTTGATTGCAGGTCAATTCCAGAGGCTTTCTTGATATCCTGCAGTGGAAGGCTGCCGTGTTCGAGGCATTTGCGGTTCATATTTTGGATTGCTAGGAGGAGATCGGTGGCGTTTTGCATCTTGCCCAGGTCCATTCTCGTAGGAAGGGTGCGGATACATGGACCGAGAACATTTTCGATGCCCTTGACGGGGATAGTGCGGCCGGAGAAGACCGTGCCGAAGGTCACGTCGTCTGAGCCAAGATAGGTTGAGAGTATGTAGCAGTATGCGGCTTGGAAGATTGTCTGGCGGCTGACTCGTAGGGTTTGCGATGCTTCTGCGAGTTTGGACGTGGAAATTTGCAGTTCACGGGAAGCCTCTTGCGTGCCGGGGGGCACGTCGGTTCTTCCATGGAAATTGGGGAAAGTTGCCGGTGAAGAACCCTGAAGTTGATCGCGCCAGAAAAGCGAGGATTCGTGCGCGGTTTCGCAGAGTTTGTACTCAATGAAGAAGTCCGCTACCACGTCATACGCAGGCTTGGGTGGGAGTTCCCCGCCGCGTAGGAGGCAATAAAGATCCTTTAGCATCAATTGCCAGGACCATCCGTCATACAACGCATGATGGATATGCACGAGCAAGCGGAAACCGTCATCCGTTTCTCTCAACTGGAACCGGATAGGGTGGAGCAGGTCGTGTTCTGCGATCAAGCACAGATCATAGTCAAATGCGTCACGCTTCTGAAACACTTTCTCATTAAGTGTATGCCGTGTAAACCGGGCGTACGACTGATCCTTGAGACCGATCTCGATGAAACCAGAGCGAAGTATAGAGTTATGCTCTAAAAGCTTCACAAGTGCATCCTGCAGAGTCGAAGCACTAATCGACCGCTGAAATTCAAGTTCAATCCAATTGCAGTATGCATTCGTGTGTCGGGCAGATTCCAAAATCATCGCCTGTTGAATATGGCTGCAAGGCCCGATCGCTGCAACCTCTGCACTCAGCCCAAGAGCCTCGATTCTCGATGCACCAGCATCCGCAACCAATTGGCGGATTCTCTGCAGGCCAGCTTGCGTGTCTTCGCTCGGCTGCGAGGTCTCAGCCTCCTTTGCAAGTCGCCAAATTCCATACACGGAATCTGCCTCGAGCAAATGAGCTACATCCAGTCGCACCCCAGCACCCAGCAGATGAGACGCAAGCCGAATTGCAGCTAGAGAATCAAGACCGGCAGCACTGAGACTCTCCGTCGGCGGAAGTTGTCTACCGAGCACATCGGTCACGCACGACACGATCGTCTCCTCGATCTCATCGCGGAATGTACTCTGCTCCGCGGAGTGAGCGGCACTGCGATGGCGCACGAATTCGGCTTCCAGCGCTTTGCGGTCGATCTTACCGGAAGGTAACTGAGGAAACTGATCGACAAGAATGAACTCGCCCGGGACCATAAACCGGGGTAACCACTGGCGACAGACGTCCCGCAGCGCACGCTCGGTCGTGCCCTTGTCGTTGACCAGGACAAATGCAGCTAGGCTACCACCGCTCACGATAGCCACTGCACTGCGAACATCCGGTGCACGGCAAATAGCGTGCTCAATCTCACCAAGCTCTATCCGCTGCCCCCGGAGCTTCACTTGACCACTCGAGATCCGGCCAAAACATTCAATCTCTCCCGAGGGCAGCATCCGAGCCTTATCGCCTGTTCGATAGAGTCGACCGTACACGGGACTCTCGATGAAAGCCTTGGCATTCTCTTCGGGTCGATTAATGTAACCATCCGCCAACTGCGGCCCACCAACGACCAACTCACCAATCTCGCCCAGCGGTAGAGGCTGCAGTCCCGCAGGAGAAGAACCATCCTTGTGTTCCGACTCCAGGGACATGATAAAAGCAGAGACTGTCTTGAAGGCTCGTCCAATCAGATTCACCCGATCATCAGATCGGAAATGCGTGGCAGCTGTGCAGTGGATCGCCGCCTCAGTCGGCCCATACATGCCATGGAGGATACCTTCTGCGTGCTGCGACTGTCCAAATTCATCCACCACATGCCGAGTCAGCATCTCGCCGATAGTCAGTAGAACACCCAGAGAGGGTGCTGCGGCTCGATTGCGCAGTAGTTCTCCGGCTACGGTGGGCGTCAGTTCGGCTGCGTCCACGTTCATCGACGTCATTACATGGGAGATGTCGAGGAGCATTTGCTCGCGGTCACAGCCGATGAGGGTTGCGCCGCGGAATAGAGGAAAGAAAGTATCAAAAACTGAGACATCAAAGGTAGGTGAGGCGAATTGGAGGAATCGTGTAAATGAGGGTATCAAGTCATCGTGCGCGAGTAGTGATTGCGTGGCGGCTAGATGTGAAATGCCCACGCCTTTGGGTCGGCCCGTCGAGCCCGATGTATACATCACATAGGCGAGGTCGGTGGGGGTAATTTTCACGGGCTTCATGGAGTACCGTTGCTCCTTGGTCTCCGTTGCTTCAATGTCTCTCTGCATCTCCAATTCGTCGACGGTGATCACCGCCAGATTCTCTTTCAGGGGTATCCTTGTCGAAAGAGCACTTTGCGTTATCACCACTGATGCGGCAACATCCTGCAGGATAAACTCTATCCTGTCGGATGGTGCATCGATATTCAAAGCACAAAAAGCACCACCGGCTTTCAGAATGGCCAGTTGGGTAATATACAGTTCCAAGGACTGCGGCAGAAGAACAGGAACCACCATATTCCGTGGTTCCTCCGCATCCGATTTTGAAGCGGCATCAATTTCCGCCGCTAGTTTCGAGGACACCCTGTCCAAGGTACGGTACGACAAGCAGCGAACGTTTCCATCTGCCATCAAGAACTCGATCGCATGATTGCCGTCATGGGCACCGCTGAGCGCCAGTTCATGAAGCAGCTGTGGTCCCGGCAAGGTGCAAGGGGAAGGATTTGAGATGGACAGTTCCATTTCTATCTCAGAAAGCTTTTCCGTCGAGACAGGCAGTTTCACCTGCATGCCTGACAGGGTAGCCTGGTCTTGAACAATATGCTCCAGCTGACGGCCCAGCTGCTGAACGCGAGCTGTATCCATACCGGAGGAAGAATACAAGGTGCTCATTTGGGTGTTTCGATTAAAGCACCAAGACAACGTACAGGAAGTAGGTGATAACGCGTGATTCTTGATCGTCTCGCACTCGGACGGGGAAGTTCTGACTAGCTTAGGCTCATCTATCAGGCGCACAGCGGTGTACTTTACTGAGAGGTCTGCGTGGGTATCCGGTGTCGCTGGCTGGATTGTACGAGTAAATAAGTCTGCTTTGATTGGTTGATCGTTGAGCAAGAAAACCGGAGTTTCTTCGGTTGTGTAAGCTCGTAAAAGCAGGGCCCATGAGAGGGCCAACAGCTCCGAGGATAGGAGAGCTGTATCCACTGGCCATGAAAGAATAGCGCGCGCAGCGCCATCTTCGTGAGAAAAGCTGGTTTGGTGGTGGATGGTGGGAAATGGGGTGAATCGGTCCATCACGAAGGTTCCACCAAGGGCTGGCGGGTTGGTCTGTGTTCAACGGTGCATGGTCCAATACGCGACGATGTATATAGATTGCTTATTGTAAGCCTTCTGAGTGGCTGGGTCGAGAGGGGGTCCTAGGGAAGAAATGTCCTCCGTTGGGTCCGTGGTCTGCGGCCGGTGGTGTTATGCAGGCAGTAGTAGCCGCCTAGAGGGTGGGGGAGAAGAGGGGAAAAAAAAAAGCAATGCACTCCCGGTAGAATGAGGCCCGTGAACGAGCAGAGTAGGGCTCTGGGACGAGTAAAAAGCAATGCAGCGAGATGGGGGTGGGGGTTGCAGGTGATGGATTTCCAATCAGGGACATATGAGGATCATGGCCGGCCGCCCTCGTGGGATTGCGGGAAAAAAAAGCAAAAAGGTATCGAGGGGACTGGAGGGATCTAAGAAGATCTTCTGTCTTGGCTTGCAGGGAAGGACCGAGACAAGCGCCCAAAAAAGGTCGGAGTTGGAGAAGTCTTCGGACGAGCAAAGTTGCCTAGTGGAGGGGCAGTGAAGCAGGGCGGAAAAGTGGAACTCAACCTGTCAGTTCATGTCCACTCGTTGGGCATCGAGGAAGAAAAGCAGTTGTCGAGTTGGGAAGATATATGGAGTATAAAGTTTGGAGAAGCGATCAAACAGTAGTCTAGTAAACCCGACATGGACGCCAGGGAAGGAATCCAAATCCGAGAAGGTTGCATTGCTTCTTTCGGAGGGAGGAGGAGGGGGCAGATCTAAGATGACGACGATAACGGTGCCAGGGAAACTACGAAAGGGGTTAAATTTAGAATGAAATAGTGAAATGTGAAACTGAGATAGTATTGTTCGTTGACATAACATCCACTCATACAGTTTGACTCTGACGATATCATGAACATAAGATGACACAGCTCTCGCGCGCGTCTGCCCCTCCATCGGGCGCTTCCTAACGGGCGTGCGATGACGTACATGATGGAATCCTTGGTCAGTCTGGTATCCTGCAGTATCATACCGAGATGGTATGGGGTATGGTAATTTATGTATTGTGGTTCAGATTATCAGATTATCAGATCATCAGGAGAGATCTATCTTTTGTCTTGTTACTATTGCCAAGACTGGAACCTTTACTGGTATTACTGTCGCTTACCGAAGAGAAAAAACAAGCCCTATCCACTTTGTAGAGCAACTCAATTCACCAGCCACGGCTGGACTGGGAACCTTTGGGTCCCGTCAAAGCGCGTGATCTTGTAACCCCACGTTCTAGGAAAATTAAACGACGGAAAAAGAAAACAAATAGGAAAAAAAAAAGAAAATGCCGGATGGCCACTATGCACATGGCCCTGAACGGAGCCAAAGATAATTCTCAGCAGTCAGCATATCTGAAGTATGAGATGAGAAATGAAAAAAAAAAAAAAAAAAGAGAACCATTTCTCAATTCGATTCTGGCGGTGACCAGTCCACTGTGCGCAAGGGGGTCTGTCCTGGTCTCCTAGGCCGTGTCCCGGTCGGCACACAGGCACACCCGACCATATGATTCGTACGTGTACGGAGTACTCCATAAAGTGTACGAGTACATCAAGAGATATATGCTCTGATCAGATGTGAAAACCTACAGTCGTATACTGGCGTAGCAGCTGTACTGACGGGGCGAAAGCACGGAACTGCCAGGGATTCTCGACATTAACCTATTTCTCTCTGTGCCCTCATTTCCTAATTGGCAGGCCAGTCTCTGGAAATGATATCCCCTTGCCAAGAGGTAATGGAGAATATATACATACTTACAAACCTGCACAGTCCACTACTAGTATCTATACTTTGGTATACGCCATACGGACGAAGAATCTCATGTGGTTCCAGGGCCAGTAAGACTTTACCTTTTTCCCGACATCGGGCACCTACGGAGGCCCGTTGTTAGCCATTGGTCTTGCCTTTTTGTCTTGCTTTCTTTTATTTCATTTTTTTCCAATTTAAGACTATTATTATTGATCCCTGCTCGTAATTGTTTTCTTGCTTTTCCGTCCCGTCTTTATCCTCACTGCATGGCGTCTACCGTATGTGCAGGAACCTGGTGGGGTGGGGTGGTGACTCGCAGAGTGGAGCAGTAACGGCCAAGAGAAAAAGAAATATGAGATGCGAGGACACTGACTACCAGCACGAGATGGTAGTATATCATGTATTCAATATGATGAGGTCTTCAGACAACTTCCACTTCACAATCCCACCGAGGTATCCGGAATCGTTTCGGGACTAGAGTGACAGAGGAAAAAAAAATCCATCCATCGGCAGATGGTGGAGACTGATTGATAACCAGAACCTTGGCGTGAATGTATTCGTTTAGCTTTGAAGTCATCTTTTCTTCGGCTTAGCGACGTGTTTCTAACTCTCTCGTGACTAGTGCCAGTCTCGGGCTCCGTATTGACTAGTTAATGAGTTGGCTGGTTGGCACGTTTCTCTGGTTCAATCTCCACTCGAGATTAAAATTTTTTTATCTGATCCGCTTGGACGGTGGAACCGGGATGAAACGTATTGTACGGGACTTGTCAAGATGGTAATTTCTTGGAACAAGCAACTTGCTTTAACCCAACTCAAACAACTCCACCTCCACGGCTTTTCTGTTTTCTACACATCGCACCACCTTTTCGCATCGATCCGACCACCGAATTCTCCGGAGACCCGCTGGATGGGGATCGGCCCTGTGTACATAACCTGGACGCCTCCTGCAATTCCCGTCCTTTCCTGTTTCTACTTTTCTGCAACCTAAACCTTTCCTTCTCTTGGGCCCTCTCTCTTCAGGCTGCTTTTTGCTTTGCCTTGCCCGCACGATTGACCTGGAATCAATCGTCTATTTTCTCTTCTTTTATTAATTTCCTGTGGGCATTTCACACCACATAAAAAAGAGTCCAGATTATACAATGGAGCCGATCCCTCGAAAGTCCGAGCTACCCTTCCTGACCGAGATGACGCCGCGCACCCAAGCTCCCGTCAACCGCACATTGCTCCGCTCCGTCCCCACCGACGAGATGCATGATCTGCTCTGCGTGGGCTTTGGCCCGGCCTCCCTGGCTATCGCCATCGCTCTGCACGACGTCATGGACCCGGCTCTGTCCCGCACGGCCACGGGCTCCTTCAAGCCCAAGGTGTGCTTCCTCGAGCGCCAGAAGCAGTTTGCCTGGCACGCAGGTATGCTGGTCCCGGGTTCGCGCATGCAGATTTCCTTCATCAAGGATTTGGCGACTCTCCGCGACCCCCGCAGTAGCTTCACATTCCTGAACTATTTGCACAACAAGAATCGCCTTATCCACTTCACCAACTTGGGGACATTCCTGCCGGCCCGTATGGAATTCGAGGATTATATGCGCTGGTGCGCGCAGCGTTTTGAGAACGTCGTGAATTACGGGGAGGAAGTTGTCGATGTCGTACCTGGGACTAAGACCGATGGCGTAGTTGACTACTTTGTCGTGCGCTCGCGCAATGCCGAGACGGGCGAGATCTCCTCGCGCAGAGCTCGTAAGGTCGTCGTTGCTCTCGGTGGCAAGGCTAAGATGCCCCCGGGTTTCCCTCAGGATACTCGCATCATGCACTCTTCCAAGTACTGCACCGTCTTGCCCAACGTGTTGAAGAACGAGTCGGCCCCTTACAACATTGCCGTCGTGGGCTCCGGCCAAAGTGCCGCCGAGATCTTCCACGACCTCCAGCGTCGGTATCCCAACTCGCGCACGACACTGATTCTCCGTGATACCGCCCTGCGGCCTAGTGATGACTCGCCATTGTACGTTTTGGACCGTTTGCCTCCTTCCAATTGCTGGCACCTAGCTTGCAGACTGTGAGAATATGAATGACTGCTAACATTCACATAGCGTTAACGAAATTTTCAACCCCGAGCGTGTCGAGAAGTTCTACCAACTCCCCCAGGAGGAGCGGCACGCACGCATTGCCAAAGAAAAAGCCACCAACTACTCCGTCGTCCGTCTCGAGCTCATCGAAGAAATCTACAACACCATGTACCTCCAGCGCATCAAGAATCCCGACGAATCCACCTGGCAACATCGCATCCTGCCGGAGCGCAAGGTCGCCCGCATCGAGCACCACAACCCCGCACACCGCATGCGCATCCACGTCAAGTCCGTCAAGGACGAGGCCTCCGACGGCAAGGAGGTGCTGGAAGTGGACGCCCTAATGGTTGCTACTGGTTACCTGCGCGATGCGCACGAGCAGCTCCTCGAGCAGGTTTGTGGTCTTCGGCCCGCGGGTCAGACGGCGTGGGCTCCGGGTCGGGATTACCGCGTTGCGCTGGATGCGGCCAAGGTCAGCACCGGTGCGGGTATCTGGTTGCAGGGCTGCAATGAGAAGACGCACGGTCTCAGCGATAGTCTTTTGTCGATTCTTGCGGTGCGTGGTGGTGAGATTGTGAGCTCGGTGTTCGGTGATGAGCTGGCTGGCAAGACGGTGCAGGACACCCGGTTGCGGGCCATGCTGTGAGGATATTCGTCATGGACTGGTGGTGAATTGTTTCTGAAAATGTGATTGGGATGTGATATTAAAAGGTGTTTTTTTTTCTGTCTTATTTGGCCGCAGGATGTGGTACAATGGAGGATCTGTGGCAATTTACATTTGACCCCTGCATGACCCTACCTCTTGTTTCTTGGTTTGAGAGTTTTGTCTTGCCGCTACATCTTAAGCTATATGTTATTCTATACTAGACTCCATCATGTCTCCTGGATTGTTTTTGAGTTCCTGGTTCTGGATTTGGTTCTGTGACTTTTCGTCTCCCCTCTAATGATATGATACACCCCATTGGATATGAACTTGGGGATAATCCTTTCACAAAACAAGACTCTTTACACTTCATCTCTGTCTTGACTATGGGATCAAAAGTACCAACCTACCAAAGTACACATGTCGGAAGGCAGAGTATCCTGTTCCTGAGGATATGATATGTCAGCCTCAGGGTACTCTGCAACACCGACCTGCCGTTCCCTCTCCAGCCGGATTCAGTCATTCTTCACCTCACCGTATTCTTCAAGAAATCCCGAGATTCCGCCGCCAAGCCAGCCGAAAAAAAGGGTTCCTCGGATATCGCGCGAAACACGGAAGTGACCCTGCAGAGCTAGTGAGAGCGGGCTTGGGGGGTTTGAGGGTTGTTATTAGAACGCCCGGGATCTGTAAGGCTACAGCAGGGTGCATGGTTGGATCCACACTGTACATCAAAGAAGCATGAACAGGTATAGTTTGAGATGATCTGTTGATCTGATCATCATCTTTACTGGAATTCCAAGTCAAAACTAGAGGACCTCTCTTATATGGGATACTTTTCTTTGGATGGACAGGGTGTCATACAGCATGAAGGCAACGGGAGTGATGAATTGGTACACTTTGACCAACTGGGACCCTACGCTGATGACTTTGACTGCGTGCAGTTTCCTCAAGTTAAGGGTAAGTAAAGCATGAAAGTACAGCAACGTTGATTCCAACTGGCAATCGCTGGCAATGACAGTCTCCCTGACCCACGCTCGGTCGAAACCGAGGAGACCCTCTTCCGGTCCACGCGAGAAGACTAATGATTAGTATGGGTACTTCGGAACTGATGAAAAGGCATTAGAAAAACACGGGTATTTACTAGTATGAGAACAGTATACATTTCCACGATACCAGGTTTTAGATACGAGAAAAAGTGGGCTTGATTAGACGAATGATATCCGTAGTCTGCATCTAGTCCTGTCTAGTCTAGTCTTGGCTGTATCTTACGATCTGATAACGAAGGCTCCCCTGCCTCCCTGCCTCCCTGCCTCCACCTGCCATTCCTTGGATGTCCCGTGGGAAAAATGCCTCGGGTTCATCTTGTGAAAACGATGATACTCGGTTCACAAGTCAATTCCCACACTAATGTACAATTTAGCGAAAACTTCAACCTACGTATCACCCAGCTCCTATAAATAATCAACCGCGAGGCTAGACGATCGACCTAAGTCAAACAGCCATTTCCCAGCCAAGAAAATATGAAAGGGTACCATTCTTTGATCAACTTGTACGAAGCGAGCAATAAGTTTACAGTACTCAATACTAAGTGTAAGTAGTACAGAGTACCGTATGTATTTCTCGCTTTTTTTTCTTTCAAGCCGAGACACAAAGTGGGTCCGACGGCGTGGCGCCATCAGATAACTCGTAAATTTAATTTTAAAAATCCTGGCAAAATTTTTATCTGATCAGAATTGAAAAAACGCCACGTCCGATCCCGCGTCCGGTCCAGTGACCACCGCAGAAGAATCATTCGCTCCGAGATCCGTAGATGTAAGTACATGTATAGTACTTCGTACTATGTACACCGTAATCGGTGGGTTCCCTAACTGGCCAAGGGCCGGACCGGAGAGGAAATGGGGGTGTGGTTTTCGTGAATAATCTCATCTGGCACTAGTCACTCACGAGGGGTAAAAAAAAGAAAATATGCTTGATTTTTCTCGGACGGAAAGATTCCGTATGGCGTGGATTGGGATTTTGAGAGAATTCACAAGTCTAGACTAAACTTCCCACCGGGTTGGATAAATCTCCTGTTCAAAAACTATGCATACGGCAGATTTGGGGACTGGACTGGACTTTGTCCTGTCTATCACTCCCTTTCTTTGCCTAGCGGTCCTGTTCTTTCGGAACACTCCATGATGTATTCCCATCTAGCCCCGCCCTCCCTGCCGCCTGCCAGGTCCTTTCAACCGATTCTGGCTCCGACTACTACCCCTTCCAGTAATTACTCAGGAACCGTTCTCTCGTGAAAGCACTGTACTTATGATCTATGGCTGTGTGTCGGGCCTGTTGATCCTAACCCCGACCCATCGGCCATGATCATGCCGTGAGCATTTCAATCCCGCCTACACTAACAGTCTGTTTATATGGAGTACACACTTACCGAGAGACCCGCTCAGATGCCAATTCGGGTGAAGAACTCCGAGCTCGCGCCTTATTCTGCTCCAGCAGTCCGGCCTCCACTTCCACCTGCAGTTTCCAGTCTCCAGCATCCAGCCCTCCAAGCCCAGCTCGGTCTATGCAGGGTTGACTCTGTGGTTCCGACTTCCGTATGCACATGCACCTTACCATGAGCTAGAGCTCGTGTTTTGTTGGCTCTTAGGCTCTAGACTCTGGACTCCACTGGGCACGTAAGAAGGTGGCAATGTTGCGATGTGATGCGGTGTGCTGTACGCAGGACTGGACCGTAGTCTCTCATCTGTTCTTTTTTTTGGTCAGACTGTCTACCTTACTCCAATTCCGAGGCCGAGAGCGGGGACATTCTCAGAACCGTGAGGGTCGATGTTACCTGTCAGATTTCAGGGACGATCGTGAGCCCGCGTTAGCCGCAATTCAAGAGCCCGAAATTCTAGAACTCGGCCAGACAATTGCGTGGATAAGGTAAATGTTAATTCTCGCCCCGTTCCCTACACGGGCCTTGGAAGTGTAGCTAGCTACTATTCTATAATCTGCATTCGAGCTGCGTTCCTGATCAACGGATCTCAGTCATTATATACGCTTTCCCATACGCAGGCCAATCTCAGGCAGGGATATCCGTCCTTCTAGAAATCCAAGAGAACAATTCCCCTGCCCAGAAAATCCAGACCCGCACCAAGGATCGGCCCTGCGCCGGGCAGGTGCCTGCAGTGTTAGACTGAGCTATAGCTGCAAGGCCCGGGGCCATAGGAGTCTATCTTGATAACAGCCGTACTGCGGGGATGTAGAGGGGAGATGTCTATCGAGGATTTCGTGGGTGCACTAAGGTAGTATGGCAGATATCATGGCACCTGGGATTTATACTCAGATAATACCGACATGGGTAAAAAGAGGTTCATTATCTAACGTCATCCACTGTACAGTGCTCTCGAAATGCAAGCCAAAAAGCCAAACAAAACAATAATCACAACAAGAACAAAATGAATAAGGAAAATGCCACGCAAACAATGCACCGAGACGCTGCAGCTCAGCTCAGTTCAGTTCATACATGAGAATGGAGAGATGGGGATTCAATAGGAAACGTATTATACGTCATCAAATGCAGTCTCCAAACGCCCATCACCATCGTGGTCGCTCGAGGTCTTCGTCTGCATATATCACAGGGGAATGGGGACGGGGCTGAATATATAATACTGTAGTCAAAAGAGACACGATTCATGGGACGAGGGACAAAAAGATAAGAGAAGGAGAATCGTTTCAAACCATGTGCTCGGGATCTTCACCTGCGACACTGCGATACGCACCGCCATCAGCAGTTCGACTGCCCGTACGCATGCGAGTCGGAGTCTCGTACATGTTATAGTAGTCTACTACCTCGCTACCCAGCATGCCCGAGCCGGTGGTGCGCTTGCCAAAGATTGGCGCCGGGTCACACCAGAAGTCGCGGCAGTTGGTAGCCACGCCGTGGGAGAAGGGGTTACGTGGCCGAGCAGCTTGGGGTCCGTCGCGAAGGCCGTCCCGCGCCGTAGCGAAGAACGTATCAATCCCCAGCAGGGAGGACCATTGTGCGCAGAAACCGTGTCGCCGGCGGGGTGGGCCGGGGCGGGCGAGTGCCGGGTTAGGTCCCGCGCCAGAGGCAGTGAGGCCGGCGCCCTCGAGGGAGGTTGTACCAGCGGTCATGGCAGAGGCGAATGCTTGAGAGCTGGGGTATGATCGGTCAATGTGGTGGCCGCGCATGTTTTCGTAGGTGGTCTGGTTGCGGGAGACCTGCACGAGCTGCACGGCGCAGAGCATCGTGACCCAGACCAGCTGGAGGACGATCCAGATATCGAGCACGAGGGTGAAAGTGTCCCGGGTTACGATGTCACACAGCGTTTCATTGATAATGTTGCACTTGGCACCTGTAACGGGTGGCAGACCTTGGATATCTAGGGGGAACATCAAGTTAGCAAGCCAATTCCTATCAAGCGGGCGGATTTTCACTTACAGCCAATGCTAAGCTGGACAAAGAGAATGATGCCGATCTCAAGAGAAACAATATACATGACAAAGTGGCGCAAGTTGTTCGCTCCAACACAGTTGTCAATCCAGGGGCAATGGCTAGGTCTAGTCAGTTCGAGGTCCACCTAGAAGTTATCAGGATGTCTGATCTGGTACGTACTGATCATGCTTGGCAACACAGCGGCCACAACGGCGGCAATGCTTGCTACGAAGAGGCTTTCTCGACATGCAGGGAACACAGAAATTCTCCTCGTCATACTTCCACTGATCAAACAGCTCCTTGACCATCTCCCTCTGCTGGTTACGGCTGCTGAGCTTCGGCACATAGCCCGGATCTTCGATCATGGCCAAGGTGTAAAAGAAGGCAGTGAAACTGAAGAAAGCCGCAAACAGGATGTTCAAGATGGGAGCCGAAGAGTAGGTAGCTATAATCATCGAGTCAGAGATCTGTCGAGACTGGGTGCAATTCCAAAAGACTCACCTGGCAGCACCTTGAAGACATAACGGAATCCAGTCCAGAACAGCGTCGCTGCAAAAACACCAGCCAAATACGGCTACTCAGGTCAGCTTCAACGAAAAGAATGATCAGCCAAAGACAAGTCAAAACATACCGTCTTCTGCAAGATACGATACTCCGAAGGACCCCGATTCGCCACCTGCTGAGCAACATATTGCATACCAAACGCTGTCACCGCCGTGAGCGGGACACCCAAGAAAATGGGCAAATGACTGAGCATCCAAATGGCAATCAAGAGTCCCAAGAACGGCCACAAGAAAAAGAACTTGCCCATCACGCTCTTATTCCGAATGTATCCCGACAACCCCATCGGCGCAGCCTTCTGAGTACCGTCAGGCTCATAACCCCGCTCGGCAAGAGCCCGCGACCAAATGCGCGAAGTATTCATTTCCTGCGCCACCGTACTGGGCGACTTGCCATCGCGTGTCTCCACAAACCGATCCGCGCCGTACTCCAGTAGCTTCAACACGCTAGGTAAGGAACCCTTGACCAGCGCCCAGTGCAGCGGCGTCAAACCACCTTCGTCCACGGCGTTGGCATTCGCACCCCATCGCAGGAATAGATCGACGCACGCCGGATAGCCCTTGTACGCGGCCCACATCAAACCCGTGTGTCCTTGCTGATCGACTACATCGACGGGAATATCTTGGTGCAGGAGAAGGAGGACCAAGAACGCGTTGCCGTCAATAGTTGCCAGATGGAGGATATTATAGCCTTGCACGTCGGTCAGGAGCGGGTCTGCGCCGTAGGAAAGAAGGAGGTTGACGATGTAGTAGTGGCATCGCTGCGCTGCCCACATAGCTGGCGTGGCTACTGATTCTCCGCCCTTGGCGTTAACGTCGGCGCCCGAGTCGAGGAGGAACTTGCACATGGCATATTGATTGTTGATAGCCGCCCACTAAAGCAAGAGACACGCTCGTTAGTCAATCATCCAAGCTAGACGAGTATCGCATTCACACGCCTCTCTAGGCGCAAGCGCACGTCGGTGGTACAAATCGGGGAAAATAGTAGAGAACGGAAACCATACATGGAGCGGCGTAATGCCTTCCTCGTCCCGGTGATTCGCCGTCAATTTCTTCGTCGCAAACAGATTCTGCATCGCGGGAATCTCTCCAATTCGAGCCAACTGCATAATGTCCTCACCCAGAGGGATCGAGCCCTTTGGCGGATCAGACCGCATTGTCTTCAACTCGACCTCGTTGGCAGGTGAAGCGGTCCCCTTGCTGTTTATCGACGTGGAGCCCGACGTAGTCCCCGCAGGACTACTGCCGAGCGTATCGGGCGAAGACGTGGAGGCCATGTGTGCGGAACGGGCGTTTTCGTGTTGGACCGTTGGCTTGTGTATCGTCGTGGAGAGAAGGTGAGAACGAGTGGACGGGAGGCCGCCGCTGGACGCGGACGCGGACACGGGGTTCGGACGGAGGTAAGAGGGAATGCGGAATGTTTAGAGAAGCGATAAAATAGGGATGTTCTCTAATTGTTCATTGCGATGGTTTCGTTCTCTTTTCTCGTTGCACCGTCCGTGAGTCTGGTTCGTCGTCGACCGGTAAAAAGGGGAGTTGTCGGAGATGATCGACCTGGAGAAAGCGGCGAAAAGGCGGAACTTCTTTTTGGGAAGTCGGGGAACGTTCTATGGATGCTCACGCTAGAAAACAGCCCCGTTCTGCTATACTACTAGACAATCGTGGTGGATAGGAGTAATTAGCAGACTTGGTCTCTGCTCTTCAAAGATTTCCTTTTTCTTCTCTTGACTATCACCGATGCCTAGCAGCCTGGGTAATCGTGTTCCTGGTTTCTCTACCATGGACCTACAGTGGGGATTACTCAGCCCCATAGGCAGCCGCATTTCCTTGGCTTCGATGCATTTCAAGTTGGATATTTCGATCGCTATGTACAGGTATTCGCAGTAATATATGTGAGATGTCTTCGCAACAGAAAAAAAAGGTGTGAGATGGGAGAGCGTGGTTTTAATTCTGCTCCAAAGGCTCAGGTTCGGATAAATGCAGGTTCTCAGTGCAGTGGGTTCTTGCCTCATCCATCAACATCTGCGCATCCACGCGCAGATCAAAGTCGGCCAGGAAGCAAAAAGTGATTTCGAGTTTAGAAAGCTCCGGCTCAGAGACACCACCGACTTTCGCCACGCGACTGTGCGGGAAACTGAGATCTTCGAGGGCCTTCGTGGCTACTAATACACCCGCGAGGACGAGTCGATGCATATTCTTCGGTGAAGGGCGGACCACTTTCTCCACGAGAGCCATCCTGGTGATGTAAACACTCGCCGCGAGAAGTACAGCGGTCGACATAGGACAGTATCGTTGTAGACGTTGTAGGTAATCCTTCAGCGCAATCGGGGGTATCTTCTTAGAAAGGAATTTCCTCGAGAGTATCCGCAGTTGAAAAGTGTCTCCTTTGAATCGGTCGCCATTCGCATCGTCTGCGTCACCACAATGTAGTCCGACGCTCGGCGGTTCTTCTTCCATCGGCGTGCGTGGCTCCATCGGAGTCGAGCCATTGGAATTTGGGAAAGAAGAGGCAGAAGTAGGTATTCTCTCAAAATGCGCAACCAGTTTTTCGACATTGTTGCAGAAAAGTAATAGCGCGGTCTCGGGCGCAATCTCAAAGACACTAGTCGCGCCTTTGAGCAGCGCTTCTGGTCCAGTCGATCCTGCATCAAGAGGTGGCGAGCCCAATTTGAGCACAGAGCCCGGTGACCTGGTATCGTCCGAAGACGCGCATTGTGTTTGAATCATGACGGCGGCCATATTGGCCAGGTTTTTTTGGGGGGAATATTATTGCCCGCCGCGGGAATAAGCCGCGAGCGCGGCTGTCGAGTAATGAAGAGCACACCTAGACCTGCAGGTTGATAGCGGCTCCCCAGGTGGAACTCTCATTGTATACCGGCAGACAACACTAGCAAGAGGCTCTTCGGGAACTTGTGTGGTGTGGTGTGATGTCAGAGCGGACAGGGAGGAAAGCGAAGGAGGTCGGTGGGTGGAGTTGCGACGAGCACGGCGACGTGGGATCTCAGGACAGGCGCAAGCGAGGGGAGGTTGTTCAGCGTGAAATCAATCGGTGCGATCGATCGAGGCCAGTGGAACACGTGCAGGTCTGGCTGCCTGACAGTGTTAATGATGTGTTCCCCCTGCCCGAAAAAGCCACGGCAGAATAATCGGATACCAGACTCACTGCGGTCCAATTGTCCACAACAGGGGGGGCAGTGAGAAAGGCAGGAGATAGACTGCTTGATAAGAAGTACAGGCTACACCAGGAATTGACACATGTGTAAGGAAAACAGTGCCGCTGAGGGGGAGGAACCAAATCGCCAGGGGGGGAAAGTTGGAAGAGGCGAAAGCGCGAAAGATAAGGTGTTCCTCGGGGGCCCGCCTCTTACTCCATTGGGGAATTCCCCACGGGTCCCACGGCCACATGGACAGGACTTTGTACATGTCGGTTTGGTTTAAAAACGAGGAAATTTGACACGAGGGACTCGAGTTTGGTGGGCGATCTAATTTTATCGGGTGTTTTTTTATTTTCTACAGTCTACATTGATGCCCTAGTAAAGTCATGCATGACATATATTCCGGATTTGCTCCGAAGATAGGACAAACCTTAAACGACTTGCAGAGTGATCGTCGGATAATCAGCCATATTTTCACGGCAAGTAATTGACATCATGATCATGAAAGTCCAAATACCCAAACAAGACAATGTATATCAACGCCTAACCTTCTAGTCCATCTATCCAAACGCCGAATGACCCGGGCAGCCATAAACCCCTTCAAAAGACGGATCTCAACAAAGGAAACAAACACAAAACGAATGTTAGTCACCAAATCATCAATTATGACGCCTATAATCCCGCCTCCTCTCTGGATTCTTCGGCTCCCGAACCACATAGCACACACCTCCACTCCCCACCCGCTCTTGCAATGACCCACGCCGCAAATCCGCAGTCTCACCACCACCCCGACTGTCCCTAGGTCTTCGCTCAACAACCTGAGTGACCACCACCTGCCCATACCCCGACCTCGACCTCGGCCTAGACCGAGTATTCACTTGGGATGGACCCGGATGACCCCCAGAATCAGAATCAGAATCAGAGCTAGAGTCAGAGTCAGAATTGAAGTAAACGGGGCCAGCGATTTCCTCGTGACCCTCACGAAAGCGGACTTTCCTTGATCGAGGCAGACTTGTCAATCCCGGAGAATGAACGCGTTTCCGATTCATGCGTTCGCGGAAGGAATTATGCGTTGTGGTCTCTGCATCGTGTGGACGGCGGGTGGTAGGGTGAGAGGGTGTATTTCCCCGTGTTCCTTGGGGAGAGACTACTCTGGGTGAGGGTTGGATTATCGTGACGGGTGGATGTGGGGATGTATAGCGTCCCGGCCTGGGTGGTTCTCGTTCTGTGATCGGGCTGGAGGGTCGTGTAGGTCGAGGTCTTGGAATAGAACGTGTTGGCTCCGGCTCTGGCGGTGGCGGTCTGCGTACGTCTCGTCTGGGACGGCCATACAAATGACGACGGACATGTGGCTCGGGTGATATAGACCGCGGGCCTCGTCGGCGAAGAGAGTTTGAGCGTCGACGAGGTGATCGTGGAGGTGATGGCGCACGTCGTGGCGGATGTATGCTGGGACCGCCCCATATCGGCTCATCACAGTACCGTAGGTCAGCGGTTCTAGTATATGAGTGTCGTTTTCGAGTATATGAGTATTGATCCCGAGGGGCTCTTGGTCTTGGTCTTGGTCTTGGTATTGGACATTCTTGTTCGTGGCGTGTTCGTGTTTCCCTTTTCCTTCGTAGGAAGGCGTCGAAGTACTCCAGTCCGAGGATAGAGCGCCAGAAGTTCCATGACCGGGGTCGATCCATGCCCACGGTTACAAAGTCAGGTCTTCCGCTGTGCGAAGTGAACGTTCTCGCCCTGTTTCTGGGGGATTGAATCCAGTACAAGTCTTCGGGATCCGTGTCGCTGGTATTCGAGGATGGTGAAAAGGTATGCCTCCTATGCAGACCTGGCCTGGAGCACCCAGTTCGACGGAGGCGATGACACTTTTGTACTCGTGGTGGAAAGGGCTTGTAGTCGTATGTCTCGTAGTATCGATCTGTGGTGTATGTATTTCGCATCCGCGTCCGCAGTCGTCGTATTTGTAGACGTAGTCTCGTAGGCATGGAGTCAAGGAACAAGGCAAGCGCGATATATACGACGTCGACGATCCCAAAACAAATAAAGCCTCACTCGATACAAAGATTCTCACAGAATGATCGAGCAGAGACAAAGGCATGATCGAGAGCGGATAGGTTCGAGGGAATTTTCGAGTTTGACGATGGCAGTGTTCGAGGTCACCGTGTTTCTTTCTCTGTATCTTCATAGATGAAGGAATAGAAAATAGAACAGACTTGTACGAAGAAAAGACGACAATGGGAAGAATAATCAGGATGGAGTCTTTCGAACAAAAACTGAAAGTCTAATGTCCTGGTGTGTGGGTGCAGTCATAGGCCCGCTGCAGGTGATACTTCCTTGTTCCCTTTGTGTGCAGCGGTATTCAGGGACGGCCCATTGTTTTGTTCTTTTTGTTTCGGGAGTTAGAATTTAATCTTCGGGGGCTTAGCATTGATGCTTTGTTGAAGGATGTATCAGAAATAGATCAGAAAATAGAACATCGATGAGAGTGTCGTGGGGTGTCTGCCATTAAAAAGCAGCCCTGGAACAAAGACAGCATCGAGTCTGGCGATGCAACCATTTTGTATGTTCGACTTGATAGAACCTCAAGCAGGGTATTGAGTCTGTGTGCGCCAGGCATAAGGCAACAGTCTCCATAATACTCTAGAGCCCCAAAGATCAAAATCGAAAGACTGGGGTGTAATGTCATTTCGTGGGAATTTGATGGTTTGGTCACAGGGGCGCAGCTCGAGTCAGCTGGGGCCAACCAGGTGACGAGGAACGAGACACTTTCTGTTCCTCTGCTATGTTATAATGATATTGTAATATTATCACGGCTTCATACGATGCTATGATAATTATTCTTCTATACTTGTATTTCCATTGTTTTAACTATACACCTTTGCTGCACACAGGTCAAGTGTATTCATGACGCTATTCGATGGCTCGCCACATCAACAAACTCCACGAGTCAGCCTTCCACGGGAGCGACCGTCTCGCAGCCGGCGCTAACGCCAGTAAGAGAGGCTCTGTGGGTGTCCCGGTAGTGCCTGACATACTACAGAATAACACTTGACATCATAAACAAGAACACTGGATGCCAAAGTTCCACCACACTTTCTGTGGGTCACCGTGCGGAATGGCAATGATTGTGAATCAGAACTGGGCAACCAGTCCATGCGGCTACTGCATACTGCAAAGCGTAAGTGCAAGAGTCAGTGCAGGCCAGTGTCTTCGTCGAGCGCAGCTGTGGCGCAAATCCTAGTCGCACCAGCCACACTCGTCATCGAATCAACGAACTAGACGACTCGGACGCACGGCGGTGCCCGATGCTGCATACGAGGTGCTTTACACCGCAGATAATAACAGGATGGGAAGCTCTGAAAAATTCAGCAAGAAATGCCAGAGTGGCTTGGCCTAGACTAGATCCTGGCCATATACGGTGGCGAAAATCCAACATCTACCTACTGTTGGGTCAGAACGCGGATGTATGAGGGTATGATTGATTAATTTCTAGGCAGCACACCCCTCACAATACTCCATTGTCGCTGTGCTCCCAGTTCCAGTCCGTCTGATCAGCTCCATCTCTCAAGAAACCAATCTCTGGTCTTATCCCGCTGATGCAAAACATCCAGATCAAGACCCCGCACACCCTTCTGCAACTCGCTAAGCTCACTCTCCAATCCAGCCAGTGCTTTGTCCAACTCCGGATCACGCAGTGACACTTCATAATGTGAGTTCGCATGTAATCCCGACGCAAGAAGATGTAGCGCACTATCCGCCGGAGCTAATTGAGTAAACAGCGGCGCGTCAACGGCCATCCCCAGTGCCCGCAGAGTCTCGGATTGCTGGACTCGTTTCTCATGTAGACCTTGGGCTCCGCCGTCCTCTGCACGTGGGCGGATAACTGATTCGGGTGAGACTCCGATGCGGCGGAGGAGGCTCTCTAAGGCGGGTTGTTCCGGTAACGGCGTGGGATTAGTACGTGGGGCAGGAAGGAGGAGGCCTGCTTGCATGGAGCGGCGTCGGAGAGATTCGCGACGGGAGGGTGGCTGAGTAACTAGCGGGTTGCCTACTTCGGTTTGGTAGAGGGTTGCTAGTTGTTCTAGGAGTTCACAGGATGACTCTCGTTCGTGGAGGTGTTGTGTGAGGGTTTGCTTGGAAGTGGTCATGTCGATGAGCACGTCGAGGGCCTAGTGAGAAATTAGTATGGCACATTTCAGTCTTTACAAAGTAAAATGGGAAAAGCATACTCGTTCTAGCTTTTCCTCGGACGCTGCCCGGAGCTGGCTGTGCTGGTTGTGAATTTCCCGGAGGATAGGCTCGTGGAATTGCTGCTTCGTGGACATTTCTGCAAGTATCTCAATCTCCGGGTAAAGAGACTCGAGCTCTTCTTGTAGCGCTGCTATATTCTCATCTTCCGTACTGGTCTGGCTGGCTTTTGATGGCCCTGACAGGATGGTTTCGAGGTAGAGTCGGTCAAGACGGTGGTGAATTTCTTCGGCGTTGTAGTCGGCCAGGATAGCGCTGAGCTGACTCGCTCGCTTGACCGTACTTGCATCAGTGCCGTTGGACTTCACCCCGGATATAAGTGTCTCGAGTTCATCGAGAACTTTGTCGTCTTGCTTCAGTCGGCTAGACAGCGAGAAGAGAACCTGCTTATTTTGAGCTGCCGTCTTCTCTGTCGCACTCCTGAAGCTAGCCTCGAGTTCATCTGAAAGATCGTTGGCCTGCAATATATTCGTCACCCTTAGATTTTTTTGTTCTAGCCAATCTAGATGGTATATACTGACTGCAAGAGTCGTGGTCTGCCTGCCAGCTTCATGCTTCTTCCGCAGACACGCAATCTCCCGGTTTCGGTCTTGTTCCCATTTATCTTGCTGGCGCAGTTGTATCTTAAGAGTTTCGCACTGAAACGATAGTGTCTCAGTCTGTTTCTGAATCGCCGCCGTCGAGGCTTCGAGGGATTCTATAGCCGACCGGAGATCGTCTTCTAGGACAGGTCGTGTCGAACCGAGTTGGGGATCGTGGAGGATAGATTGGAGGGCACCGGAGGTCTCGAGTTTATTATATCTAGACAAATGTTGTTAGATGGAGTGATGTGATGACACAGTCAAGCTCGGACGCACAAGACGAGCTCCTCCTTCGAGAGCAGAGTGCTGGGGTTGAGGTGTTTGGAAACCCAATCTTCGGTTTTCTCGCCCGTAGCTGGATCCTTCAGGCAAGACTCGATCACATCGCGCTTAGCTAGGAGGTCACGCTCTTTTAGTGTGGCAAGAATCTTGTCGGTCAAGGTGTCGGTTTGCATGATGGGTGGATTGTTTACGGCTCGCGGGGCCGCGGTGGAATGTGGCAGGACGGAGGGTCGTCGACAGAATAGGAGAGCACTTCAACCTAGTCTGCAACTTCGGCGGCCGCAGCGCGAGAACCTCGTTCTGAAGGGATGAATACCCCTCATTGATCAGATTTCTACTCAAGGTGATCAATCGTTCCTTGCTCTGTTGAGATCATATTGCGAATCCACAATCACGTGATGGTATACAGTATTCCCTTTTCGGCTAAAAATACGAAACAAAGTAGGCATGTACAATCATGCTACTGAAATAAGACATTATAGTTGTATGATAAGTGCCACGCATGCACACATGGCCAATATGACAAGATTTCCAATCTCTCCCTACCAGGGGATCCCCAATGATTAGGCGCTGTTCGTCGAAGCCACGTCCACCTTGGGATAATACCATGACGTGACGGCGATAATAAAGTAGACCAGGACACACAACGTGCCCTCCAAGTAGTTTGACTTGCCATCACGTAAAAAGTTGCCAACCACCAGAATCGACAAGACCAGCAGAACGACCATGAAAATCTCAAAATTGAGACTCATATTCTTGTCCAGACCCCAGCCCACCAGCACCGCCAGCGGAGCATTGAGTAGAGCTGTCTGGATGGACGGACCCAGGCAGTGGAAGAGAGCAAAGTTGATTTGGTTGTCCCACGCCTCGTCGACCGCAGTCAGATGTTCAGCGGCCTTTTCAACCAGGGGGACTAGGATGAGACCCATAAAGTTGTCGGAGACACCGAGCTCCACGATGTGCTCGATCTCTTGGACGAGGAATACGGCAGACATACAGACACAGGCTAAGGAGATGACAATGGCGACAATGCACTCAGCAAAGGTGAGTTTTGCACGTCTCAGCTCCAAGTGCCGGTCCTCATCTTGTGCTTCGTCCTTTTCAAGAATCTCGTCAAAGATCGAGTTGTGGCTGTGGAGGTTAAAGACCAGGTAGCTATTGTAGGGTGAAGTTAGTCATGGCCATGATGATATAAAGATCGAGGGAATATTGGAGGCACTCACGTCACAAACGCAATCAAGAGGATGACGGCCGTAGCACGACTGATCTTCAGGGAATATTCACCCAGCATTTCCAAAGTAAATTCTTCGTTGACAGAGTTCTTCAGCGCAGAGTAGAATGCGCTGGGAATCAGCAGACCAAAGCCCGCGACCAGGAGCAAACCGGTTCCCACCTCGCTAATCGCCTCATGGAAGACCTGCTCAGACCGTCGAAGACCACCAACAAAGAAACACGTTCCCAAGCACAGAAGCAAATTCGCCAGAATCGAACCAAGAATCGCAGCCTGAATGACGGGGATCAAGTGACCATCATGATCACTATGCAGCAACACCATGAAAAGCACAATCTCCACCACGGCGCCTAAAAACGTCTCCAGCAAGACTCCGAGAACCTTGGGCAGTTTCTTTGCCAGTTCACCTCCTGCAAAACCGAGGACATTCGCCGACGGCACCATGGCGATGTAGTTCAGCGCAAAGACCCACACGTGCAGGTCCGGGCGGGCGAAATGCATGGCGATCGCGGCTGGTACAAAGGGCCATAGAACGTTCACGATCATTGATGCCGTGCAGATGCTCCTAAAGGTCACCTTGAAAAAGTGGACCGGGTGGATGCCCGTCCGCCCACTCTCGCCGGCACTGTCCACGCGGAAGAGACCCAGCACATATCGTGACGAGTGATGTTGGTTGTTGGTCGGCAGGATGGAGTTGGTATTATCTCTGGCTACCTTCTCTTGAGTCTCGGAATGATGTAGTCCATCACCGACTGCAGACTGGGCGCCTGTCCGTGAGGCAGTAGATCTGATGGAGCCCATACCTCTAGGCTGGGGATCCGAGAAGCGGGAATCACAAGGACAGAGGATCGTGGTTGCTCACGCCAAGGTCGGAGCTTGGTAGAGAACGAAAGATGTAATCCAGGCTGTGTGGAGTCTAAAAGAGAGAAGAAAAGTGCACGAGAGTGCGTCAAAAAAGACGAAGTGGGAGATGAAACATCAGGTTGGGAAGCAAAGAGGAGGGAAAAAAAAAGCAAGTGGTCAATAGTGGACTTTCGTATAGAGTTACAACGATAAACAAGCGACGGGAAGGACAAATGACAGAGCTCCTCCACACTTGCTTCGTTGGCCCTGCTGCATAGCCAATCACGACGAGTAAGATTGACTGACGGGAGCTGCAATAAGCCTGGAAGGTCTTGGGTAGTCTTGGCAGTCCGCTCCGATCTGAGCTCGCTTTGACCCATCTCCTTTTTATTTTTCGACTCTTTGCTGTACGCCCGCAGCTCGTTGGCATTGTCTCTACCCAACTCTTCCTGCACGCCCCCTGCCAGCGAACACTCCTGCCATCTCACCGAGACGTTTGAGAAATTGGCTAGCAGGACAGGATTCACCGGATATGCCACAGCGTGTCATTTTCTCTTTTCGTCAGGGATGAAACACACCCGAACTGTGGGGAATTACGGTGTGCCCTTGGGCATGCACAGCCACTCGATTAGCTTCTGGCCATCTCCGCTGGCGCCGGCCCCCTGAAGTAGGGATCGTCCGTGGTGGCGACTAGGCTTGTGGGATTTCCAGTAGGAGAGAAAGAACTGACGTAGTGATAATTTAGACACGGAAATTTAAAGTTGAAGAACGGAAAGGGCAAGACGGTGCTACATGGTCAAGACACAAGAGTATCAAGTTCGATGATGGAGCGCATACCAGTAGTTTCGGCAAGTTGGAGAATGGACATGAACCGCCGCCGTGGAAAGTGGAGCTTTCTGCGCCCAGCGGCATGGATGAGCGTTGCTTAAATTTGGTCAGTTAGCCGATGACTTGAGAAGTCCTCAGAAGACCATTCGAGTATCTTGAGAATCGAGTAGTTGAAGTCGTACAAGCTAGTTATACTGTTGTGCTGAATAAGGAACACACGTAAATAGTTAACTACCTCCTTACTAGGTAGGTACACTGCACTCGGTAGTCACAATCATGTGGGTCGCAATGTTTACCACAAGATTTATGCAGAAGCAGTTCTCTCTGCCCCGTAGATGTTCCTGAGATCCAATACTTTGCATCTTTATCAATGCCCTAGACCACTGACGGAATGGCTCTCTTCCAAATATACTCCTACCAACCACTACTTCACAGTAGGGTAGTACATCCACGGGTATCTCTGAAATCCAAGGGTCGGACTCGAGGATCTGCATCCATACTTATCCCCCGTGCTTTAAGCGCCTGCTGTTATGTCTCAGCACGTACAGGTAGCTCGAGCTCTACCACAATCTCGTGTGGGGATTTGCAGCGATTCCCCAGCATAGCATACATTCACTCAACCGCATCATCTGTCCGATCTTGCGAAAGGTTTGAATGGCGACCACAATTTTTCCAGGGTGCAGCTTCACTCAATTTGCAGACTTCGCGGACTTAACAAGAGGTGCAGCCAATCTTGCAGGCGATTTGGTTGTGGTAGTGGCCTAGTTCGTGGAGGGTGAGGATGTGGAGGCGAGCGTCGCGGTAGAATTGTTTGTGAATGGGTGCGTAGGGCATATTAGCAGTAGACAGTGGTTGCAATGGATGGTATTGCTTGGATAATAGTTGATAAAGAGGAAGTTTTGAGAGCTTATACGGTTGTTAAACGGTCCATATGATGGTCTAGAGCGATTGTTTACGTATGAGATGACTGTTATCTCTTTCCGGTAGGCGGGGATGGTTGCAAACAAGTGCCTTGCAGACCGAGAAGCCTTATGATTTGTGGCCCTGGATGTGACTCGAGGGGTGTGTGGATATCACGGTGGGCAGGTATGCTTTTCGCTAAAAGGGGGTTGGAATATGGACCGATTAGATGTTTAGGGGCTTATCTCACAAATCTAGTGCGCCATAAGTAAAGAGGGTCATGGAGACGGACGGGGCTGAAAAATGGCATTAGATGGGCTAGGCAGATTTTGGATGAATCCGAACAGAATAGTAAGATCTTTGAAGTTCTAGTAGCACTCAAGTTTGTGTCGGATACAAAAGACCCCCGTGATGGAGCCCTAAATAAGCTTAGAATTGATCGTCGCGGACCTCGAAACGGGAGTCTAATTGGATGATGTTGCTGCAGAAGATCGATCATCCAGCAATGACTATTTTACCCCCCATTGAAAATCTACAGCAATCTACTACAGTATTTATGTACATGCTTCACCAAGGTGAAGCATCCATCGTCTCTTCTTCTATTTACATTTGTCAACAGGCCATGGCTGGCCCCGTCGAGATCCACCACGTGAAAAAAGGATCCGCGGTTACCCTCGGGCGGGGCGATAAACCTTGTAGGAAAAATCCCAATCCGATCGGACGATGGCGAAATCCTCCTTCCACCTTTCAACTTGACACCTTTTCCTCCCTCACTCCTTCCTCTCCTCCCAAACATCAGCAATTGGGTGCTAGCATCTCGCATCCATGGCTTCGACTACTAAGCCCGTCGTACCCCCGGTGGCGCTGGATACCATCACCCAGCACATCGGCAACACCCCCTTGGTCCGCCTGAACCGTCTGCCCCGCAGCTTGGGAATCGATGCTACCGTCTACGCCAAGTTGGAGTACTTCAATGCCGGTGGTAGTGTGAAGGATCGCATTGCCCTGCGCATGATTGAAGAAGCTGAGCGCGAGGGTCGTATCAAGCCTGGCGATACTCTGATCGAGCCGACAAGTGGCAACACGTTCGTTTCCCCTGGGTTCTGGTAGCGGAAGTTGACCTTGCTAATTCTTCTTGCCTTTACAGTGGTATCGGTTTGGCTCTGGTCGGTGCTGTCAAGGGTGAGTCTACTCTCTGCATGAAGGTCCCAACTAGATTGGGTCTCCCGCAATACTAACATTCTCGTCCTCACAGGCTACAAGACCATCATTACTCTGCCTGAGAAGATGTCCGCCGAGAAAGTCGCCGTTCTCCGTGCCCTCAACGCAACCATCATCCGCACACCCAATGAGGCTGCCTGGGACTCGCCCGAGTCCCACATCGGTGTTGCCAAACGCCTGCAGAAGGAATTGCCCAACGCTCATATCCTCGACCAGTACGGCAACGTGAACAACCCCAACGCTCACGAGTTCGGCACCGCCGAGGAGATCTGGGCCCAGACCAAGGGCGAGATCAAGGCCATCGTGGCCGGCGCGGGAACCGGTGGTACCATCACCGGTATCGCTCGCGGCTTGAAGAAACACAACCCCAACGTCGAGGTCATCGCAGCCGATCCCCACGGCTCCATTTTGGCCCTTCCCGAGGCCCTGAACGAAGCGCACGTTAACGAGCCCTACAAGGTTGAGGGTATTGGTTATGACTTCATTCCCGATGTGCTGGATCAGAAGATCGTGGATCGTTGGTATAAGACTGCCGATAAGGAATCTTTCCAGTACTCGCGTCGCTTGATCGCCGAGGAGGGTCTGCTTGTTGGTGGTAGCAGTGGCAGTGCTATTGCTGCTCTGGTGCATGCTAACGAGGAGCGCAAGTTCGCCAAGGACGATGTGGTTGTTGTTGTGCTCCCGGACAGTATCCGCAGCTATCTCTCTAAGGTAAGGATCCTCATCCCCGTCCTTTCCAAAGGTTCGTCACAGTGCTAACTCTCTACTTTAGTTTGCCGACGACGATTGGCTCGCTGCTAATGACCTCCTCGCAACGCTCCCTACCGAACCCGCCCAGCCCGCTCAGCCCACCGCTGCTGCCGACCCCCTGGCCGGCGCCAAGGTCAGCGCTCTCCGTTTGAAGCCCATCACCACCGTGACCTCCACCTCCGCCTGCGAAACCGCTATTGAGACCATGCGTGATAAGGGCTTCGACCAGCTGCCCGTCCTTGCCCCATCCGGTCGCCGTCTCGTCGGCCTGGTTACCCTGGGTAACGTTCTCAGCCGCCTGACCCATGGCCGTGCCACCGGCAAGACCCCCGTCTCCGAGGTCATGTTCGACTTCTCCAAGATTCCAGAGGTCGTCACCGACGCCCGCTCCCTAGGCCGATCCAATGGTGCCGGTGTTCGTCGCCAGTTCATGGAGATCACGATGGAGACTCCCCTCAATGTGCTGAACCGCTTCTTCGAATGGAACAGCGCTGCCATCGTCACGGAGAAGGACCAGAGTGGTGCACTGAAGCCGCTTGCTATCGTGACCAAGGTCGACCTGCTCACTTGGATGCTGCACCACGGTAAGGCCAACGGTGCATAGATGAAATGATATTTTGACGACTTGCCCGGGGTAGCATGGTTTACTATCGGGCCCACCTGCATTACGCAAGGTACGCAAGGTACTTATGTGGATGGAGTTTCAACATCCCTGAATTTTTGAATGATTCTATTTGTGTTTTTTGGTTGGCAATGGCGTTTCTCTCTCAGGGGGCTGGAATGCCCTCCGATTCGGTTCAACACAACTTGTGGTGGAGAGTAAGTCTCTTATAGATTATGCGACGCGGATAAAACGCGTTCAATCTCTACATAATATACAGCCTCTATAGATTCTTGTTCAATCGATATAGACAAGATTAAACCTGTTTCCAAAACATAATTCTTTCGGTGGAGTTAGAGTTTCTTGCCTCTTTTTTGTCCGTTCGCATTGGGGTATGACGTATCTCGCCTTATCGGCAGCCTTATCGCCCCAAGCTCGAGCTTGAGATCGAGCTTCACTTTGACCCTGTACAACTTCTCCAAAGACAAGCTGTCAAACGAATCGTAACAAGATGTCCGGAATCTTCACGTATCACAATTTCTCGTTGCAGGATACGCCGTCTCTGGAGGGACAGGTGGCGGTGGTGACAGTATGACTTCCTCGCTCCATCGACCATCACATGCTGATCATCTTCTCAAGGGTGGCCAAGCCGGTATTGGAAAAGGTAGTCCTCCGCTTCTACGGAACTTCTCAATCGCTATAAAGTAGCTCAGTGATCTGATTTGATTCATTGCTCAATACAGAAATCACCGCACAGCTGCTTCTCCACGGAATCGAAAAGGTTTTCGTCGTCGCTAGGAGCAAAGAGAAGTTCAATATCGCCTACGACGAATGGAGAGTCAGAAAGGGAATTGAGCTTGCGCAGGATGATGATCGAGTCGTCTTCATCAAGTGCGATCTCGGTGATATTGAAGATGTCTACGCTGCTGCACAAATAATTAAGCAGCAGACAGAGCACATCCATATCCTGATCTGCAATGCCGGTATGTATACACATTTCCCCTCTAAGCGCAACAACTCAATGTATACATCCTGCGTCTTATACCTGATAATCTGATAAAACTACAATCCAGGCCTCGGTATCCAACCGATGGCCCCCCTGGACACTTATGGCATAGACCCAATCTTCACAACAAACTGCATCGGCCACCAAATCCTGACAACCCTCCTTCTCCCACTCGTCAAACGCGGCACTTCATCCGCACCCCACGGCTCCAGGATAGTCGTCTCCTCCTCCAGCCTGCATCAACTATGCCGAAGCCTCGACCTAACCAGTCTAACCCGCCCAACAAACAAATGGCCCGCCATCCACGATGCCGTCTGGCGCTACGGCCGCTCCAAATTAGCCAATATCCTTTTTACAAAGGAACTCACCCGCCGTCTTGCCGAAGACGAAGACCCCACTGCGAAGAAGGTATATGTCAATTCGTATTTCCCAGGGAATGTGGTAACGCAGCAGTGGCAGGGGTGGAGTGAGCATTTGGGGAGGTTAATCGGAACTGTGATTCGCTTGCTGGGGAGGATCTTTGGGCAAAGTGTTGAACAAGCTGCGGCGACGGCGGTGTATTTGGCTTCGAGTTCGGAGGTTAGTGAGCGGAACTTGAGGGGTGGATATTATGTGCCTATTGCAAAGGTGGAGGAGCCAACATGGTTGGGGAGGGATGGGGAGCTTGGGAGGAAGTTGTGGGTATGTTTGACTCTATTCTTGGTTCACCTGAGTGACTGAAATGCTAATCTGGCTATAGAATTGGATTGATGATCGGGTTGCGCAGACGCTGGGTGTGAACTGGCAGAGTGGGAAATGACGTGAACTTCCTCTAATTGCGTTTTAGGTTTTGGATTTCACAATTCTCTCTTTGCCCCGTGGTATCATTCTGATATCTGTTATGAGCAACTTTAGAGGATTCGTTCGGTGGAAACCCTGCCTATAGTATATGAGTGGAGGGTAACTTGAAGGGAACCTAGATGAATCCTGGTTGTATATCAAAACAGCGTATATTTCAAAATATTAAGATCCGGACTTCGATTTAAGAACATGGAAGACATCAATCAAATACGATCAGTATGTCTAAATTGGAGCGAGAACAAGCAACCTCCTACTGAAACTCAAGATAGAAAAATGCCTTCAAATAATGACAGACTCGACGAGACGAATGGACACAATCAATATCACGATCAATTTGTCTCGGTCAGATACCTCGTGGTCCGCAACTGTATGATCAAAGCGACCAGATATTGGGATCGAGAATCAATCTAATTTTCCGCATGAATCCCTCTGGAGGCTCCGGCAAATTCCGAGGACTTAGCACCTTTCGCTTTGATCTCCTGTAATCATGCGGAGGGAATTATATGAGCTTCAGTAAGACGGTTGCGATTGGTCGTGAATACAAACAAACGGATAAGACCATCCTTCCATATGGTATTTTCTCATCATTACTCTCCAAACAAACCTATATGAGACAACAATGCATCCGTACGCCACCCCTCATATTGGGATTCGTCTTCGCCAGGATCATCCTCGTCTTGCTCCATTGGCATGGATGAAATCCACCCTCGCGTACTGTGGGTTGATTGATCAGAGTCTGCAAGAGGGGTCATATCTGTCGGCGGAGCTAAAAAGTCTGCATCTAAAAACTCCATCTCACCCATGAATAGGTCATAGGGCTCCACAGAACCAAGAGAGGGGCTATTCTCAAATGCATCCCCGGTCAAAACATCGGGATCAAGTTCAAACTCGCCTCCTGAATCCGCATGACCCTGTTCTGAATCCGCTTGGTTTGACTTTGGGGAACCTGGAACAGGGGGAAGTAATCTCGTTTGCAAAGGTTGTAGATATGTCGCCGGGGCAGACACTTTGGAGATATTGGAGTTTCCCAATGACAAGTGACCGGTGGCAAGAGCCCCATTCATGCCATCCAAAAGGTGAAAGTACAATGCAGGATGGTTCTCAAGTAGCCATATCAAATTTCGATTCTGGGATTTTTTTTTCTTGTCAACATTTTCATTCGTTTGTGCTTCCACGGTTGGCATTGAAGACTCGAACGAGTTTAGTATTGCATTCATCCACGATGAGACGTGGGAAACATCGTAACGTAAGCGGTGCAATTTGTTCAACTCCTCGTAGATTTTGGAGAAGTATTGTTGTTGCTGATGACCAAGGCTGCCATGTGAGAGTCGCAGACTGAACGTCATTAACATTTGAGGAAGAATGGTGAATGCTACCACACTGATTGGGAGGTGGTTTGCGGTTCCATCAATCACGAAGCGTTTCAGGATACTGTTGATAGATGTCACGGCATCTAGTAGCTTGGAAGGACGTTGGAGACGACGACTTTGATAGAGCCAGAAGGCGATGTGATGATGCAGTGTGAGTCGACCGGATCTAAGATTTATGTAAGAATAAAGATCGTGAACTTGCCGCATTTGTAGATCAGGGCCCATACTCATAATACAAGGCAGTGAGTTGTTTGAAGAGCGTCACTGAGGGGTGTGTTTCTGACTTGGCTGTCGAGAAGACGAAAGCATGCTGAGAACGCCAATACTGCAAACGAGTCTTGACATCTTCGGCACGAGCTAGCGTGGACACTAGGTCCTTTGGCGAGCCAGACATGTACCCTGGAGGGTATATTGTCATAATCACGGGGGTGAGTGCAATGGCAAGCCTGCATTGAGCAAGAAATACATCACGGAGGGCACACTTTGTCTCGAGATTGTAGACATTTGAGTGATGCTCCATGTCCTCAAAATCCTGGGTATTCAAATTGTCGGGCAAGGAGACGTCAAAATGACTAGTCAGAATTTGCAAAGGCCGCCGCATGCCTAGAGCAATAACTCTGTCTCGAAGGATCAGTGACCACCAAAGCCTTTTCAGAGAGGAGCGGCTATAGCTTCCAGTTTCCGGTAATTGATCGTAAAGATGTGCATTGACAGTACGAGCATGCTGTATAGCCAGGGCAAGCCAAGTGGAGTTGCCAGAAATATCGGAGGCAGAGCTTTCATAGGAGAGTAACCCGGCTGCCTGAGATCGACATAGAAGATCTTCTTCTACGCCAAAGTCATAGAGTATCTAAACACATCAGAATACTGTATTTCATTTACCTTGAGATGGTTTACCCGTTAGGCCGTATGCACTGACCTTGGCTCTTTTGTAAAATGCATTGCGCATCTCGAGGACGGAGGAAGCTCCCCAGTCTCTGGCAAACCCCAGGGAAATATACTGGCATTCACTTAGCTTCGCATGTCGGGAAATTCAACCCCTCATGACGATGACTATTTCGGAAAGTTAACGAGGTACTCACACTGCACGCAACAAATAGCATTGCTTGAAAGACAAGTAGAGAGATCGTCGTCTCCCCCTTTCTATTTCCATCGATGATTGACCAAAACTCTCCTTCGTCCAAGATAGGTAATGATTGGTGCGCGTAGAGGAAGTAGTGTTGGAGGAGGCCGGTGAGCAAAGGTTGCGATGGTATATGTGTACATTTCTGTGCTTCCAGAAAGGCCATCTCATCTGGCTGCAAACGATGGAGGTTCGGGGACCGTAGATAAGGGTAATAGGAGAAAGGGAGCAGGGGATTTTTCAGTCTTTTAGTATTGCCTGTAACGATCAACGGTATTTTAGCTACGTGCCAAGTCATAGTTGTTACTTGGAATCGCAGCCACGCGCTAGGTTGTGTGTAATGGGACAATAGATACTGCAACTCACGCGAGTATTGTGTAATATTAGTCATGCCAAATAGCTCTAGATTCGTGAGAAGAGAGTGACCGAATGGCAATATTTCAGCGAAGTTGTCTCCACGATTAGCTGTCGCCATCAATTGATTGTTGCTTGTAGCTTCTCGAGGCAGCGAACGAGTCCCGTTGAGGGCTTTTCGACACTGAGCGACATCGTTCTCCGAATCCATCTGAGATGCACCGAAGGCCGCTTTCCGCGTCCGATGGCTAGTAACGCACTCACAGCCATCTAGAACGCAATTTGTGCACGGTCGGCCATGTATTTCAACATTACACCTCACCTTGCGTCTTCGACATTTTGAACAAGCGAGTCGCGCCCGGCGATTTGGTTGTGTTGACGGCGAATCGTTAGGCCTTTGAAGTCGAGGAGTTTTGGGATGAGCGGCCATCGTCATGAAATTGGCCTGAAACAGATATCTTTGCCGCAGTTTCGTTCTTTCTCGAAGATAACCTGCAACTTTTCTCAGTCTCAACCAGGAGTGGAGAAGGAATCAAGCCGGGGATGTGCGGAGGCCTTGTCTTTCTATGCGGGGAAAACCGCATAGGTCCACCCATAATTAATGTCGGTTAGTTTATGCATACTGTAAGCCGCTTATGCTAGTTAATTAATGATTAAGACTCCTTGCTTGTCACGTATTGTACCGGTGTCTCGCCTTTAATGCCTCCCCAACGAAACCTTTTGCCATAATTCGTGGGTTTACTGCAGTGTGAATGGCTTGGACTATATTAATGGCATTTTGCTTTAGTTTCACTTATCCCGAGAAGTATGTACAGACTACCAGTTGCATGTAGCACCTGCCTGTGCCCTCTTCCCCTGGATGCGACTAGGACCTGAGACTAAATAAATGTCTGCCTTCTAAGCTAAAGTGAAACTGCCACTCGGTCTGTTTGATACTTCCGGATATTCGGTAAGAACAGTGCCGACAAAACTGCCAGACATCCGAAGGGAATACTCGTATACCACACATATTTTAACGCATAAGCATAAGCCCACTGCTCCCCTAGCACTGCTGCAGTCTCGATCTGGGACGAGTAGCTTGCCAGGTGCGTGACAGCGGCCGGGTCCGTCATGAAGACTTCCGCAAAATCACTGGCATCCGATGCGCTGAGCCCAGCGTCAATAAGGTATTCGATGATGAATTTGGGCAGCGCAGGAACAAGCTTGTTGATGAAGATATTGTAATAGATGGTATAGCCGATAGAGCCACCCACCGTTCGAATAGAGAGCGAGAGCGCTGCCGTTGTGGCGAGCAGATTGTCAGGAACGACAATCATTGCCAGCGTTGCAGCGGGAACTAGTATTCCCCCGACACCGAACCCGCTGATTGTGCCCAAGGCCACGGTCAAACCGACATTCGTTGGGTTACTGGTGGCAATGGCACCTCCAAAGGCGGCTAGATTCGGTTGATTGTTAGTTTGCTTATGGAAGAAAACACAGATTGCAATACTCAAAGGCATTAATAGATCTCAGAGAATGTCGGGGCTCACTCACTCATGATGACCGCTGCTGAGGTTATAATCCACCTACATGGTAGCCATGTCACCGACAGCAACATGTTAAACACAATAGCTCCCGCCGTTATCGATATTCCATACCCCAAGCCTCGCAGCCCAATTTGCAGTGGATCTGGAGAGTAAACCGTTGAAAACGTCAACGGGAGGAAGTTGATCACCGAATAAAAGTTGAGACCCGCGATAAAGGCCACAAGAAATGCCAGACCAACCGCTCGCTGTCCAGTGAACATTGCGTGCGGGATCATTGGAACACGTGCAAACTTCCACTCCCAAACTCCCCAAGAAATGATTAAAACAATGCCGAGCACCAGTTGCACCAGAACATAGGAGCTCGACCAGGAATGAGAGCTACCGCCAGCCTGTATAGCTACCAGGCTATTGGCTCGCAAACCATAAATGTTAGTGATATGACTCGAGCGGCCAGCTGGCAAGTTGAGTGTGGGATAGAAGACTCAAGATCAACTGACAATAGAGTAATACCAACGATAGACAAGATAGCACCAACGTAGTCAATATCTCGGAATGTGGCTTTCCGTGCGTCGCCTAGGTCATCCTGCCTCTTTGGGAAATATGTGGTCAAAATACCTAGGAGAACGAGGCCATTATAGATTCTGCAGAATGTTAGAATGCGGAATACCAAGGAAAAAGACCTTACTATACAATGAAAGCCAGATTATCCATCTCCATGTGTGATAGTATGACAAAAGCTGGGCGTAGAGCACATATGGTGTGAAAGGAAGGAGAAAGGTGACCATGAGAGCTAGAGACCACCCTCGGCTTCGAACAGGCACAATGTCCGAAATACTGTGTTTGAATTAATGTCAACTTTACTTTCACTCTTGATGATTTGGAAATTTCAGCTTTGTATCGCAACTTACCCGGCCAGAGCAGTCAGCTCACAAACAGCCGCACCCGCACCGCATAAGGACATACCGGCCACAGCCTGGCCGAACTGATGTGATGTTGCGAGAATTACTAGCCCACACATGATCACCACCTCACCAATCAAGGTAATTGTCCGGCGTCCAAATAGATCTTGGAGGTAACCAACGAATGGTGCCACTCCAGCAATCGCCAATGTGTTGCTCACTGGCAACCAAGCCCCATTTTCAGTCGCATTCAGATCCTTCTCGATATAGGTCAATGCACCGCCGACAAAGTAGAGCATAATCTGCGATCCTACATGTATCAAAGTTCAGGGTCAGTACATGAGTAGCATCTTGCTGGACACCATCGATGTTTGAAAGGGGCGCACCAGTGTATAAGCCAGCCAGACTGGCAGCTGCAATGGCTTTCTTTGCCGTCCAATGTGTTGTTACAACCAAAACATCTCTATCCGTAGCGTTTTCCGCATGTGCGAATCCACATTTAGAGGGCTCTGTGATTTCGGTCAGCGCAGCAGAAACGCTGTCTCTGGAGACCTCTTTCATCTTGGATTCACCCATTTGGGCCATGTTTCAGCGCTGAGACAATATCGTCTTAGGGCTATAGATGAATAGAAAAGAATCCTAAGAACATCCAAAAACGGTGATGTCGACTGGATTGAAAACTAAATTTCGACTTCTTGGGTGATTCTAGTAATTCAAGTCTCCGGGATTTGGAGAGATTTATCTATTACAGCCCAAACATACACCATACACTAATTTGGATGTGTAAAGCCACCGGTTTGGAACACAGGAAAGAATATCCAGCTATTGGGTTGAAGTTCAAAGACTGTTCCTCGACCACATCCACTGAAACCCCAGTTTCTCAGCCATGGCCCACAGTAACCCCGGAATGCAAATCACACTGTTCCAAAAGTCCCGAGGGTTAGGAGGTCAAATTGAATGTTCAAAGGCTTTTCAGCCAATGAGAATTGAAGAATCCTAGGATTCCCCCGCCTGGGCCGAAGCGTTGCCGAGGGGCTGGATATTGCGGGGATAAGGTTTGCGGAGAGATACAGATCACCTTTTCGGTGGAAAGATCAAACCCTAATTATGAGAAATTGGTATTATGACCATATCTTAGAAGCACACTATAATGTAATTGGTCATTGCAGGCTAATTGATGGAGGTTTGATTGCAGTTCAAATATGAATTTGCTCTGTCTTTGACTGATATTTTTCGAGCGACTGGCGCGCTTTGCATCCGCAGGATTCAAAACAGGAACATTGCTGCTGTGTTTGCTAGTCCTCTGTTTGTTCAGGTTTACCTTTTCTCTTGAGACAACCTCAGCGGCCTGTAAAATTGTTCATCTCTCGAAAAATGTTGGCCACTGGAAGATCTTGTCAGTCCTCAATAACGCAGTTGAGAATTACACATCCCCTATCTCCAAGCCATCGCCCCAACAGACGTGACATCCATCAATTTCTGCAATGTCACTGTGACACTCACTCACCCAGGAGACGATGATGTGGTCATTATCTCAGTCTGGCTTCCCCTTCAATCTTGGAACGGGAAATATCTTGCAACCGGTGGGGGAGGGCTTCTTGCAGGCGAATTCGAAGCGGAACAAGCACCCGGCGTGGCATTAGGATATGTCGCTGTAGCCACGGACGCTGGATTATCCAAGAACGGAACTATCGATGCATCGTCGGGGCTGTGGGCACTGAATAGCGATGGCTCGTTAAATTCCGGCTTGTTGACAAACTTTGCCTATCGCTCCATTCATGATATGAATGTCATCGCGAAGCTCATTCTTCGCGCGTTTTATGGTCATGCTGAGCAATACTCTTACTACTATGGCTGCTCCACTGGAGGGAGGCAGGGGTATCTATCTGCGACTCACTATCCGACGGATTTTGATGGGATATTGGCCATATCTCCGGCTATCAATACACCGCAAGTTTCGCCGGCGGACTTTTGGCCATCGGTTGTGTTGGGAATGAGGTCGTGCTTCCACCATGTGTGTTCAGTGCGTATCAAGACGCAATCATCAAATATTGCGATGGCTTGGATGGGTTTTTGGATGGCCTGATCTCGATGTACAATCCAGATTCTTGTACATTCGAGCCATCCAGTTTGGTGGGGCAATCCATCGTCTGTAGTGACACAAACTCGAGCATTCAGATCACCTCAGAAGACGCAGGTGTTATTCGAAAGATACTCCAGGGTCCAACCGGTCAAGATGGAGAGCTCCTATGATACGGAGTTCCACCGGGCGCGAGTTTCAGCGGCTTAGCTAGCACCGCCGTGGTGAATGGATCCCTCGTTGTCAAGCCTTTCCAAGCAGCGGAATACTGGATCCAAAACTTTATCTTTCAAAATCCGAGTTATCCTGCCCTGAATATGACATATCAAGACTTCCAAACAGCTTTCGATCTGTCAGTCGAAAAGTTTCCAGCTCAGTTTGGAACGCTGCAACCCGACCTACACGAGTTCCGTCGTGGAGGAGGGAAGCTTCTAACTTGGCACGGGCTGGCAGATCAGTACATTGCTCATGCGGGCACGGTCAGGTACTGGAACGCTTCTGAAGCGAGCATGAGCGGAGCCGAGCAGGTCAATGCGTTCTATCGTTTGTTCCTGGCCCCCGGGGCAGCACACTGTGGTGGAGGATCGGGTCCAGTCCCCGTCAACCCGCTCGCGGCATTGTCAGCTTGGGTGGAGAATGATACAGCTCCAGAGACGCTTTTCGCGTCAACTACCAACACCGCTGGACAAAATGTGACGCGAGATCTGTGTCCTTATCCCGCAAAGTTAGTGTATAGTGGTGGTGATGCGAATCAAGCAAGCAATTTCATATGCCGCTGAGTTGTGAGCGGTGGGTGTTGAATGGGCAAGCTTGCTGGATATCGAGGTTTACAACCATAACTTGCCGTGGGACATGCATCCTCCTTTAGTAATTTTACTTCGCACATTCCTTACTGGTGTTGGATAATACAATTGGTTTCTGTTGCATGACTAAACCTTACGAATAGCTTAGTTAGGTTAGCGTCTAAGTACCCCATTGATGAGCGAGTAATTCGATTTTGTCAAGGGGCGAGCTTGCGATGCCGCTAGTCATCACAAACAGCAGTCCAGTATAGGTACAAGAAGTAGATGTTCAATCCAAGGCTAAGGCCAGATCCCAAACATATCAACAAAAGCGGTAGAAATATTCAGAACATATCATAGCAAGGAAAGTCGTCGGGGGATCGAGAGCTTGGAAATTTATGTTTCTCACAAGCACATGCCAACCCACTCTTCCCAACGACGCACACCAGAGCCATACTCCTCCTGCTGGTCGCCCTTGACGGCACCACCGGTCACGTCGACCTTAATTCCGACTTGCTCCAAAAGCTTGAAGCTGAAGATACCCTGAGCATCATCGTCGCCGAGAATATCGTCATCCTCAGTATCGAGCGCAGCACTGTCCATGCTAGCGTCCATGAGACCCCTGGTCTTAGACTTGCGGATGCGGTCAATCTCCGCTTCCAGTTTCTCCCGTACTGACCCGGGGGGAAGAGCCGTGAATAGGTCTTGTTTGTTCGCGGCGACCAGAACGGGGATCTCGGCCGAACGTTTCGTAGACGATTTGCCCTTGCCTAGCGCCCGCTTCTGTAGAATGAGAAGAACATCGTGCAGGTAGGTAGCGGTATCCCGGAGGATGGTCTCATCCACCAGAGCAGCGGTGTCGACCATGAAGATCACGCCACGAAGTTTGGTCTTAGTGTCGGTGGATGCAGCCATAGTCTGGAGCTCAGCGATGCCCTGTGAAGCGCGTAGTTTGCCATGACCTGGGGTATCCCGCAGACGGTACTTGACCGGGTTTTTCGAGGCTTCTGTCAGAGAGGGATCATTGACGGATCGGTAGCGATTGGACGCCGTAGGGACGCTGGGGGGCAGAGTAACGGTGATGAGGGTTGAGGTCTGGGAGGTATGGGTGCTAGGCGACTTTTTGGAAGCCAGTGAAGACTTGGACTCAAGCTACGGGACAGTTAGTGAGGTTTTCAAACTGAAAAAGTGAGGTTGGTGGCCTTACGAGAGTTGTGAAAGCCGTCTTGCCAGCTCCACTGGGGCCCAACAGGAGGAAGTTACTCGACGGCGGCGATGCTGCTGTTTGATAGAAGACAAGATGCAGGAGAATTGGAACACCGAAGGCAACCACAATCGCAACAGCAATGGCAATCCAGTTGCCATCCAGCAACAGGGTCGCAATGCCCGTCACCGAATTCCAACTGGCCTGACTCGACATGGTGTGGGTGGGTGGGCTGATGCGGACGGAGGAAGCAGCGAGCCGGTCAGTCGACGGAACAAAAGGCCCGCCGATAGCACGGGCCATTTGGTCTTATCGCTCTTTATCGGTCTTATCGAATTCTCTTATCTCTTATCTTAGCGCTGTACATCATTTGCCCATCTGGAAGTTCACTGGAATGAGACACTCCCTCGCCAGGGTGATGCTCCAAGTACATACCACGGGCCAAGGGGGGTAATAGAGGACAGCAGAGTCCCCCTTGGCCCAGTCGCCATCCTCCACTCTGTTCTTCTCCTCTTCATTCTCCCCGACAGAACCCAGGATGAGATTCGACCGATTGTTACCAGCACTATTCTCCTTGTTTATTGCGGCATCGGCCCAGACCTTGAGTGGCCTGACCTTTGATAGCCGTGATGAAGTGAGTCTGTTATGGGCATTGGATGGCCAAGCAACGGGACGGTATGACTTTTATCTCTGTGCTGGTGACGAGTCAACGGGTGCATATGTGAGTGGAATTGCAATCTTTATACTCCGTCGATGTGCCTGCGGATACAGAGCTAACTAGATCTATGTAGGAGTCATTGGAGCGAGTTATCACGGACGGTACTTACGCTACTGGGGACTACGTGTCTTTCCGAGTTGATCGGGAGGTCGGTGGAAACGATCCCAATGCATAGTACGCAAGAACCAAACACTGAGAAGCGCAGGTGCAACTATACTAACCGTGCTCTGATCAGCTTCCTCAAAGTCGTCCCTTCAATTTCCAAGGAGCACTGGTCCGGATATACCTCGCACTTCACCCTCACCAACATGAAAGGCACCTTCTCCACCACAATCTCCAATGCAGTCAAATCCATCCAATTCATTCCCGTCCCCTTGATCTTAGATGGAGAAACGAACCTGCTTGATGCAGCCAACCTACCCCCGATCATCAACAGCTCGATTTTCAACAGTGATATATCCGACAACACGAGCGAATCCCTGTTACAATTTCCCACGCCAACTATTCCCACGGCGCTGGACCGCCATGAATTGCGAAAGCGTTTGGTGGACCAGCACACTGTGCCCTACGGAGAGCAAACTGGATTGACAAAATATGCTCCGATGGCCAAGCGAGCTGGCACCACTATCGCAACTAGGTCGCCCACGCCGCAATACCCACCTTTCCCTTTCTCTATTGCGACTACCTATTTGGGTCCACCAACTGTGCAGTACACGGACTACGCGTATCAGACCTGGACTACGCACAGCATTGAGAATACCGTAAGTAGAGTGTGGTCCCATCTCTCGGAAGACTTCGCTAATATACTCAGGCTGCCCCTGCTGCTGCACCCACGCTGGACAAGAGAATGCAGCAATGGATGGAGCGTTGGAAAGATTAATTACAGGCTTCATGTATCACCTACTTCTTCTTCGATTTCGTTAAGGACTCGATAATTGAGCACAAGTGTTGAGCTTGCACTCGGCTTTCCAACCTGTTGATTTGTCAAAATCTAATGTAGTCTTTCCGCCGTGATCACAATGCGATTGAAACTTTTGGTGCTGTTCGCAAAATCACTCCATATTTACAGCTCCTCATCTATATTTTCAGCCTTTCTCTCTTCATTCATTTTCGTGTAATTCATGCAACATTATGAGCGCCCGTTAGGTGGCGACCTGGGCGATTTCCACTCCTCCAGCGCGGGAGTAAGCAATGGTGTCGCCGGATGACTTTCTTCCGGGTGGAAGGAGATGTTCTCCCGCAAGGCGACATATTCACTTTCAGACCAACCAAGCAGGGACTCGATATGTGTGCTCCGGTGACCCTTGATAAGCGCAATCTCCATGGAGCCGTAATTCACTAACGCGCGTCCCACTTCTCGTGGCTCTTGTGCGTGGTGGATAAAGTCTCCATCCAGGGCATCGGGCGAGGGCTTCTCTGCGACTACCAGCCGCACGGCTTCTTGCTGTGCGAAGTGTCCTTCAACACCGACTACACCGGCAGGAAGCAGACTGGCCTTGTGGTTCAGGAGTGCGTCGTAGGCACCTTGGTCGATGTAGATGGTACCGTGGGGAGTCAGGCCGTGCAGCAGCCAGAATGTGACGGATTGAATGGGGGTATCTGAGGGGAGGAAACGAGTGTGGAGAGGGGGAGGGGGAATGTCGAGAGCCTGGTCGCCATTTGCGTCAGGACCCTCTTGAAGTCGTTGGAGGTATTTGACGATATCGTGGACGTTGCCAGGTTTGGAGCTCTTGGTAATGATGGTTGTCACGCCAGCACTAGTTCCGAGCTTGGCAGCCACAATCTTAGTGCTCATACCACCGGTCCCCAGAGCCGAGCCGGCAGACGAGACATCAGCCTCCAATAGAGAGATATCTGACACAACTTCAATGGGCCTGGCGTCGGGGTTCGTTCGAGGGTTGGCCGTGTAGAGACAGTCAACATCGGTCATCAAGAAAAGATAGTCGGCCTTGACGGTAGCCGCCGCAATCGCTGAGAGGGTATCGTTGTCGCCAAATTTGATTTCCTATAGCGTATTAGAGCAAGGCCCGATAGCCAGCGGTATGATTGAGGGTGGTTCCCGTACAGAAACGGCAAGGGTATCATTTTCATTAACAATGGGAACAACACCCATCTCAAACAATTGCTCAAAAGTATTTTGAGCATTGATATATTGGGTTCTCTGTTTTGATGTTAGAGATATGAAGCATGCATGACCTGTGGGGTATTCGTCTTACATCCGCAATGTCATTTCTCGTTAAAAGGATTTGAGCCACTGGTACTCGGAGATGTGAGAAGAGGTTATCCCAGAGACTCATTAGCCGACACTGGCCAACAGCAGCAAGTGCCTAGAAGAACCCATTGTCAGCGATTTTGCTCATGACATGGTGTCCCTCCATTCCAAAACCGTTGTATTCTCAAGAGCAGTTTGTACCTGTATTCGGGGCAAGTGTGTTGGGCGTTTATCCCAATCCATCCTCCGCAAGCCAACGCCAACGGCGCCCGACGAGACCAAGACCACGCGGTGACCATCTTTGCGCAATCGTGCTACCGTCTCGACAATCAAAGTCAGGATGGAGAGAATCGGCTCGTGTGTTTTCTCGTCGACAATGGAACTCGTCCCTATCAAACCACAGTGTTTGTTAGTTGAGTCATACCATCAAAGCATTCAAAGATATATTTCCCCGCACCCAATTTGATGACAATTGTCAGCCCCCGGGGTGCCATTTTTGCGCGAGGGAATCAATCAGAAGGAAAGAAAGGTCCTCCTCCGACACACTGGCAATTCGCAATAGCAAGTAAGCGCAAAAGATCGCTGTACCCCGCAGTTTGTCTTCCGGGAAAGATTCGTCCTCGGAGCATCTTCTGGCCGGTATTCTGCCGGGTTCCTCCGCCCATCGGAGTTTCTTCGTCTCGTCCGGCGCGCTTTTCTGGAAGTTGTGAGTCCAAAATGTCCGATTCTCAGTCGCCAGGTGCGGCTGCACCTTCAAATGATAAGCCAGAGACTGGATATGTTGCTGGGGATGATACGTTTACCCAGTTCCGCAATATCTACCGGATCCTGACGGGGAAGATGACCTCCGAAGGCATTGAACAGTTCCGCGTTGCGCGAGACCTGCGCAACGAATCTGCGGATTGCAAGCGGTGTGAGGACCAGCGTGACTACTTGCTTCAGTACAGTGAGTAAAAAGGATGTTGGCGGGACAGACTCGGCTTCAAGATACTAATCCTTCATCTGCATAGGCCCCGTCATCCGATTCCTCAGTGATAACATCCGCCAGCTTGGAGGTGATCTACACAGCCATAACATCTATTGTCGCCGTTGCACGAGTCGGAAGGCTGGTGGGTTTGATCCCGAATTTGGTATTCTGTTGTGTGCCAATGAGATGAAGGACCAGGGTCACTTGGAGGACACCATGGCCCACGAGATGGTCCACGCATACGACCACTTGCGGTTCAAGGTCAACTGGACGGATAACCTGCGGCACGCTGCTTGTACAGAGGTATGGAAATCAATTGGAAATCTTTCTTTTTTCTTGCTCACTCTTGACTCGTTTAGATCCGAGCCAGCTCCCTGAGCGGCGAATGTAGATGGGCGCGAGAGTTCTTTCGCCGCGGTCAGTGGAAGTTTACTCAACAACATCAGGAGTGTGTACGGAGGAGAGCGATTCTCTCTGTGAGGGCACGCCCGACCTGCCGAGATGAGGCTCACGCAGAGCAGGTGGTGAACGAAGTGTGGGATAGCTGCTTCCGAGACACCAGGCCCTTTGATGAAATTTACCGATGATACCAAGTTCCCTCGCCCGTTTCCTTCTTGTCTACGACTCCACTCGCCCTGAATATCGAATACTCTGTACCATAGAACTGATTGGAATGTACCATATTTTGCATTGGCATCGAATCAAAACGAAGATTAAAGCCCACATGTCCCATATCGCAAATGCCTGCCCAGCTATACTCCGTGAAAGAAAACAACTCCAATAATGCCCATGAACCGACGCCTGGAAACCCATATCGTGGGACAAGTCTGAAATGAAGAAGAAAAAAAAATAGAAACCAGAACACCAATCTGTCATGCATAGATCATCATGCCTTTCCATCCTTGGAAGAACCAGAGCTCCGTTTTGGGTCCTTCACACAGTGCTTGACGATCCAAGGGTGACGTTGAATCTCATCAAGGGGAATACGCTTCTCAGGGTCGAGAACAAGGAGCTAATAAACAAGTCAGCAAGTGAGTTCACAATTGGGTCAAAAAGAGAAAACCCACCCTCTTAATCAGATCCTTCGCCTCTGGGCTGACGAAGGACGGCACAGACATGTCTGCACGGGCAATTCGTCGCTGGGTCATAACCGGGGTATCCTCGAAGGGTGCCTCGCCGACCAAGAACTCATAGGTCAGAACACCAAGACTCCACAAATCAACCTTCTCGCTGTAGTAGTTGTCCTGCGAGCCGGGCTTCAACATTTCTGGGGGCAAGTAGTCAAGCGTTCCACACATCGTCTGGCGGCGGTTGTTGGGAGCATGCACACTCCAGCCAAAGTCGCTAATCTTGATTTCGCCGTGGATGCCGACAAGGATATTCTCGGGCTTAATGTCACGGTGCATGACGTGCTTCTTGTGCAGATACTTGAGGGCCGCTGCCATCTGGGCGATGTATTGCGCAGCCTTCCACTCCGGGAAGCGGTGCTCTTTGCGAAGGTGCTTGTACAGCTCACCGCGACCAGCAAACTCAAGGATCAAAAAGATGCGCTTGCTGTCATGGAAGTGGCCATAAAGTCTGAGCACGTTGGGGTGACGGAGGTTGCTTTGGATCTCAATCTCACGACGGACCTGCTTTTGGACACCACCCTGCTGCAGCTCCGACTTATGAAGCACCTTGAGAGCGCAGACAAAGCCGGATGATCGCTCCTTGGCGAGGTAGACACGACCGAACTTGCCCTTTCCAAGGGGCTTGCCAATCTCAAACATTCCCAGGTGCAGCGACTTGGGTTGATCGTACAGCGGGCTGGCGCTGCGCTGGTCACCGTTCTCGTCAATGTTGCGAGACACGATTGCACCTTGCGAGACCTTGCCAGGCGACGGTGGAACATTCATCGAGTTGACCTTGTTGTCATTGGTGTTCTGAAGAGCCAGCTTCAGTAGTTGGGCCCGATTGGAGTTGGAAGATGAACTACCAAGCCCCGATAGCGAGACGGCGGTCGAGAGGGAGCCCTTTAGGAAGATCAAGTCAGCATGTTGTTGTCTCCAGGAAAAAAGCTTTGTAGTACCTTGTGCTTCCCATAAGTGCGATCACTTCCAGTTTCCTTCTCGTCCTTAACGGACAGGTGCTCGAAACGAGCTTCCAGCGTCTTGGTCGCCATGACTAGAAAAGGGTGCGAAAAAGGGAAGAAAGCGATGTGGGTGGAAGGAGAGAGTGGTGGTGGTGGACAGCGAAACGCAAAAGAACAAGAAGAACTAAATTAAGCTTGCACAAGCATAATTCAAATCGGTGTCAGTCGAAATGGTCGGATGGTCGAATAGAGAATGGAGAACGGAGAATGGAGACGGAGATCGAGAAGAGAGGAACGGGTGTTTGGATGTCCACCCCAGCCCGTCACCCCAGCAACACCTCGGCCCGCCTCTTTCTCCGTGCGCCGCGGGGCTATCGCTATCAGCGCGAGATTGATCGATAACGCTTTCATTTGACGACATGGTCTGCATTTGATCTGCCCATGGCTTCCAGACATTCTGCTACGCCTACGGGCCATGCGGCAGTCTCTCCCGAGACGAAGAAGCCCAATATGATTGCCGTCGGGGGCTTCCGCATCGCCACGCAGAAGCTCCCCATTCTCAAAGCCGAACCGATTGAGGAGATGACGAAGCAACTAGGCATTGCACCACCAGAAATGATCTTTGGCGATAATCATGTTACCATTGAACACGAGAAAACTGGTTGGGGAATCGACTTCAACGCTTTCGACGCGCTGGATCGGGTGGACAAGACCGGGCAGTCTATGCTCCAGGTCGCATACTCAAAGGAATGGCAACAAAGCAGGTAATGCGATCTCATAATGCGTCGCTCTATGTTCACTATGGGCCTAATAAGATAATTCTCATATAGAGAGAAAACACACGAAGGGATCAAAGAGGTTGTCAAGCCGTTTGATTGGTCCTACAGCACCGACTACAAGGGCACACTCAGTCCCAAAGCGCAACCATTCGAAGAGACCGAGAAGCCGATTCCCATCGAACTGTTGAAGCGCCCAGACCCAATCCTATTCTTCGACGAAGTTGTCCTATATGAAGATGAGCTTGCGGATAACGGCATTGCGATGTTGTCTTGCAAGATTCGCGTGATGCCAAGCAGACTCCTTCTACTGTCGAGGTTTTTCATGCGCCTCGACAATGTCTTGATCCGCCTACGTGATACCCGCGTCTATGTTGACTTTGAGACTCGTGAGGTGATTCGGGAATACCAGTCGAAAGAATGCGAATATGAGAAGGTTCGACAGGTATGTATTCTCTGCCATCGAGTAGTTCTGTATGCTTTTCTGACACCTTTCAGATCCTAGCAGGCACACGAGATGACATTCCAGCTTTGATGAGAGATCCAAATCGACTCTCTGAGATTTTGCCTGTTGTGGAAAAGTACTCCGAACGAGTGGTCCTTGGTGGTTAAATCCTTAACACATCCGGATCCAAGACTACGATCTACAGCCTATGAAGTATGAATATCACGTAAAATGACAAAAATGAGACTCAACAGAAATTTCCAACCGAAAGATGTTGCACTGCACTCTAGCATGGCCACTAGCTAGATGGCTCATTGTTCTTTTCATCAAAGCAAATACACAAGACGGCGATCAATGCCGCGTCGACTCCAGGCGCCACAACGACCGCATACGTCTGCTGGCCAAATATCAGATCGCGTCCGCTTAACAACTTCCGATCAATACGAGCGACTGGTTTGCCAGTCTTTTCATCTACAATGTCGGCACTATGGTCGAACCAGCCTCCCTTCATTTTCAAGGTCACGGCCTTGCCGTGCGAATCTGTGAAAGTGGCGGTTGCTTTAGAGCCGAGCACTACATAGTATAGTTAGAGATGTGTATCACGTACATGGACTTTGATCACGTATTAAGTAGTCCTAGGTCTTTAAACGATGGAACTTACAGGAGAGATTATTCTTGACCTCGGCAATCTTCTTGCGATGCGAGTCTTCGATCGCATAAGTTGTGTGCAGGTGCAGATGCTCCTTGACGATATCAAAGAGGTGCTTTCCGTGAATGTCTTCAACCTTCTTGCGACCAGAAATCGAAACCCAAGCACCATGCACTTTCAGCAGCGACTCTCCACTGGCTAGTTTGACCTCGAAACTGTCGCCAGAGACAGACAAGACCTTTTCTTTCATAACAAGTGTCTGGGGCTCTTTCGCCACGAATTGATCGAAAATGGCGATAGGCTCGAGAAATGGCTCGAGATTGTGGTGGCCGAGGATACCCATGATGTGGTTCTGGTGATAACAAAGTATGTCGATCCGATTCTGATGAAAAAAGCAATACTCACTCACAGCTGCGGTGATTGTATATGGATCGCGGGGCAAGATCAGCTTGAAGTTGACGATCACTGGGAGTTAGCGGGGCAGTGGCCTAATCCGGTCGTCAAACGAATTACCCAGTCACGTTTGGTTCAGGCCACCGCCTAGGTGTTGGCTACAGCTAATCAAGTGATCGAGATATAGTGGAAAAAATATTATGAGAATTTGAAGCTATTGGATAGTCAAATTTGAGCTAGGGGGTCATACTAGTAAGATGAGCCTTGAGTGGCGTACCAAGGCGCATAATGAGCATTCAGTGTCCCGCTCGTTTTAACAGCTCGTGCAATGATTAGAAATTCCAGTAAGAATTCGCGACCAGAAACCTAGCAGACAGTTCAGATCTATGAACAAATGTCGATATCGCGACACTAGAGACCATTTTTGGCTACAATTCGATCGAGAATTTCGAGAATTGCCGAGAAGTGCAACAAGTCTATTCACAGTGGGCCGCCCCTCTAGTGAGAATTAAATATTATATCAGAAGCCAGCCGCGACCCAGTCCATTAATATCAGATATCTCCTGCATCAAAACTTCGGGCAGGTCCTCGCGTTTCCAGTGATCCCGAAGAATGTTTGAAGCACCGATCACGTTTAGACAACTGGTCGAATCCCAAAGCGCCCGCAACGACTTCATGACAAAGACCTGTTGGCTCTCTGTCCAACAATCCAATCCTGCAATGAATGTTGGCCATAGCAGACACTTGAAAATGACCGCATCATTTTGTAAAGTTTCAATGAGGCTAAGCAATTGCGAAACTAGCTTCTCATTATTCGATGTTGCTTCAGTCAGCGCGTTGAGCACGCGTCTTCCGTAGAGCAAAGCCGCCAATTTATACGCTTGTGATAACATGCGCAGCTTTGTGACTTCCGTAGAGGACGCTGTACGTCGCTGGAGGTCCGCCGCCCACTCGAGGCAATCAAAACGCTCGGTCAGATCAAGCATCGTCAGAGTGTCTTGTACGATTGAAATATTTGAGTGTTCATTTCTCCTGAATTCTGTACTCCTGAATTCTGCAATCAGGGGTCTTTGGTCTGAGAAGAACTGCACTGCTCTCAGAAGAAATCCAGGGCATCCAAGAAAACTCCTGACCATGGACTCTTGATGTTTCATTCCATTGTCGACGACGAACGCTTCAGACACTATGTTAGGAGACGAGAGCGCGTTTCCAAGCGTCTCAATCCTATCAAGCGTCAACAGCGGATTCGAATGACTTGCCGTTAGTGAGAATTGAGGAGTAGGAGGGCGTACAATAGGAGCTGTTCCATTATGAATTTCCTCGTGTCACGAACCGTATCTCCAGCATTGATCTTTTGATCAGATATTGGAGCATATTTTACTAAGGACTCGTTGAGGATAAGCAGGCCTCTCGCACCTTGGAGATGAGAGTTCCAGCCGTCAATCCCGGACTCAAGAAGGTCGAGAAATATCAGAAGAAGGATGGTCGCCATGGTTGCTTCCGTTCTCCGAGACCCCGTATCCGATAGTGAAGAGGACAATGCCTCTATAGCTTGTTTCTTGAACAGGAGCGCATCCATATTAGCATTCACGAATCGATGGGGAACAGCCGCATCGGTCGTATCGAACGAGCGGCCTGTATTGGCAAAATGTCGAGCTGCAATAGCCACAATAGACTTTTGTAGAGCCAGGTCTTCTAGGCAGAATGAGATTAAGTTCCGAAACGGGTTACTTTCACTGTCAAACAGTATGTATAGCTTGCATATTCGCTGGTTATCTGTGGCTGGGATTAGGATATCTAACACTTTGTTTCTTCCTACTGACCAAAGCACGAACTTACAATAATCAATGTAGTACTTTGATAGCCGATCCATGTGATGTATGCGCGGATCCTGCATAGCATAGGAAGGGGTATGAAGTATTCGTAGCCGCTTTTCTGAAGTGAGCGAGACTTGTTTCCCGTCCGATCCCGTTGCACGGGGACCTTCAGGAGCGTCCGAGGGAGCCCTGAAGACGTGACCCCGCAATTTTCCTCGAATGGCCACGCCTTTGACCCATCTCAGCGGTCTTGTTTCATGGCATTCTAGCCCTGCTTTCTCGCATTTTGAACAGGGGAAGCGGGACTGATCGCATTGAATCGTCCGGCGGCGGCATGTCCAGCATGGCTTGAGCATCTAGAAAAATATATGCGGGCACCTTTGGAAATATTTGTAAAGCAACCGTAAGACAACAATGGGCTCCGATAGATAACTGGCTGAGGCTTGTGAGTTCCCAGCTGATCGTTGTCGGGACTCGGGGGATGGATGACTAGATGACTCGGTCCGGATTTATGATCGCCCGCTCTTGATTTCTTTCAATTAATGTCAAAGTATAGTCGTCAAGCTAGCGAATGATTAACTAAAGTGTCATTCTTTTTCATGCTAGAAGTTCAAGGGCGTGCATATCATTCTATCAATTAACTTCACTTGTCAAGATTATCTGCTCAAACGTTGGTTCACGGACAGAGATTCATAGGTTCCCACGAGACGATAATCCCCCAGGAAATCGGATTTTTAACGAGACTGAAAAGAAATTGATCCCATCAAGTACTCACTTAGGTAAAATTATAGCCTTTAAATTTCAATTTTGATGTTAGGTCAAATTCATTTTTCCAGTTACATCAAATATCCATGAGGGGGGAATATTTACTTTGGAGCATGTCTTATCGTAACTTCTAGATTAAACTAACTGATGACAATGTTGTTCTTTGTATCTTACTTGATAAGAAACACTATAGATTGAGAATATTAATGCTAAACACAAGAAGGCCCATCAAGCTTCCCAGAGACAAAATTTGCTCGTCGAAAAAGTCCCTTGGTTTCACACAGAGGGATGGTGAATGGGAACGTATGCTGGCAAAGTCCATGTGCCAGGAGGTAGAATCCTGCCAGCGCCGACACAAATCCAAATCCACCAGCCACTTTTGTCAAAGTTTCGGCTAACACTAGCCTATTTTCTGCATGCATGAAGTGGGCAGCGCAATTGAAAATGTAGCAAAGCTCCAAGGAAGCGTATATGACAATATTCGGGACATGGCTACAAAACTCTCAGCAATCTGTACAGCAGGGTCTGAATAATGATACTTACGTCGGCAAAGCAGCAAGTAGGAAAAGGAAATTCAGAAAGCACCAAACTTGGTTCGATCATCTGCCACATTCGAAGCAGACTCTTCTTAAGAGACTCACTTAACTGATAGAACGCAAAGGCGTTATGATATTCGGCTGTTTCTCCACCATATGCCCCAATAACCCCTAGCGAGGGCATCAGCATTACACCATAGCCGCCATAATAGAGTCCTATAGCACGGTATTAATTACCATCTCGATTGCATGACGGATTTTTTGGCTTACCAAACGCCGTGAGAACTGTATACGAAAAGGTATTCCCCTTCAACATCTCCCATTGTGCGGAAATTAGGAGGCCTACACCGGCGAGGAAACAGAGGTTTGAAATAAACAAAGTCTGGTTCGACACTCCACGGAAGCCCATCATCGAAAGTGAGAGGGTCATCAGAGTAGTTGCAAAGCCACCAAATCCGAGTGGACTCTAAAGGCATCGTTTAGTATATGAAAGTCAAGTTATCAGATGGCGTATAGCTCCATTACCTACTGGATTAGCGAGATGACTGTTAGCCATGGGTAAGATGGAATGTCTCTGGGATAGGACCTAGAGCCTGACGATATTGTGTCGTACGGAATCGGTGAGCGACAGTTCTCAAGAAATCTGAGTCAACTTGAACATCGACTTCTTTGTCGGTGAAATTAATTTTCAAAATCGGACGAAGAGACAGGTAATTATAGGTGTTATTGAGTCATTGTATGACAGATGATGTTAACGCAAGAGTGAAAACTTTTGAGTGGCACAAAGTACAACTTCCCATCTCGGCTGAAGCTTATCAAGCACTCTCCGCGATTGTGAAAGTTTTTCGTATTTTCTGCGTGGCAGGGAAATGATGGATGAGAAAACCGCTTCGAGTATTGCATGGTAAGGCTGTTTTGTGAGAAACGGAATGTCAAGCTAATTTGGAGACCCACACAGCATAACCTCCTATTCGGGTAATTCTCCACCAAGCTTAGCAAGCATCCGGGTTCCGCGAAAGCTTTCGGAGTGGCAACGTCGGGATCTACCTCCGTATAATGGCGGATAGGATTGGCAAAGCCGTGTCACTTTTCGGATGGAAGGTAAAATTTCACTGTTTGATGTTAATCATGATGGAGTGTAGTCACTTCAGAAAAAATTACTTAATGCCTTCGCTCCCCTTCCAAGAATCGTACTTTTTTTGCTAGTCCAACAGGCCATCAACACAGACGCCCTTGAAACCTTTCAGCTCTTCTCCAGAAATTCTATTGTCTTTCCACTACGCCATGTGTCACGAAGATACTACAGCCAATGGCTGGACCAGCATGCCAGCCAGTGCAGGTGCCATCTTTGGAGATCAACCTTTTATCAACAAACCGGAGGCTCTGCCTCTCAGCGACATCAAATTTCCTTTCAATGATCCCACTGTCGCAAAAACTCTGGAATACGCAAGAGATACCCTGCACCCAGAAACCTTCAACCATTCCATGAGAGTCTACTTTTACGGTATGCTGGCACATAGCCCCTGCCTCTAGTGATGCCAATGGGTGTACCTAACCTTGCATAGGAATGGCAATCAGTAAACAGCAGTTCCCTGAACAAGCTGCTGCTTTGAACCCGGTGACATGGGCTTTGACATGCCTGCTGCACGATCTCGGCACGGCCGAGGAAAACCTTACGACCACTCGAATGTCCTTCGATATCTACGGTGGTATCAAAGCTCTCCATGTTCTCAAGGACTTTGGCGCAAGCACGGACCAAGCTGAAGCAGCTGCTGAGGCAATCATCCGACATGAGGATATGGGAGTTGATGGTACGATCACGTATTTTGGACAACTCATTCAGCTCGCTACCACCTACGACAACACCGGCTTCCACCCGCACGTCAAGGATTTCGGTCAGATGATCCACGAAACAACTCGCGCTGAAATCAACGAGGCCTACCCGCGCATGAAGTGGTGCAAATTCTTTGCTAGCGTCATTCGCAAAGAGGAGCAAATCAAGCCTTGGTGCCACTCAACCCACCTCGTCAACTTCGACCAGGAAATCGAAGCCAACGTTCTGATGAAGCAGTGGGAATGAGAAGGGAACGGAGAACTGATAGCTATGCAGCTTTGCTTTCCGAGTCTACTCAACATGCAACTGAATGTATAGGAGCCACTCCACTCTTTTTTTAGAATCGTTTGAAAAATGAAAATGTGTAAAATCTGACAAAGGTCCTTCGCTACCTAAGTAAATCATCAACGCTCGGCCAGGCTCACGCAGGGGATATATTAGAATACTGTAAAAGGATCGACAGTCTACATCGTCAGATAATAGAGACACACGGAGTATATGCGGACTGTCCAGGCGAGATAGACCCGGAGTGGAGCCGAAGGCTCGCTCTGACCTAATTAGGAACTTGTCACAGGTGGATATCTCTTCAGGGTGGAGCTCTCGTCCCTCTGTGCTCGGGAGAGTCTGGCTCGATAATTTTCACTTTTTTTTCAAGTTGAAGAGAACTTATTCGATTCGCTACTAGCTAAAGACTGGATGAGTGAGTACGATGGACTTCTCTCATAGCGCAACAGCGTCGGGTACGGTCAAATGGGAATGGTTCGTATCGAGTGGACTCATGCCAGGACAGAAGTGAAGGTGGGTCCAGAATCTTCAGATCCTTTCGTGTTCAATCGGCAATGCCATCTTCGGTCTCCCGGAAAACATCCTTCCCAGCAACGGGATCGGAACTTATGGGGTTGGGGTGTCATTGCGTGGGGGTCCATTTCCATTAGAGTAGACTAGGGAAAAACGCGATCGAGCATGTTGCCTTTTTGGGGGAGTTAAGTTGGGGTAAACTACCTCGCGACGAGGAATTTCCCGCCATTAAAGTGGCGGGGGACGCCAACGAACGCAAAGTGTTCCATTTTTGCCGAGCATTCTGGAACTTTGATTAGCTCCTTTATGCTTAGTTTTGCGCCTCATTACCCGGGGAGACTCACTTTGAGAACAGGCTGCGTGAGGTTAGGACTGTCATTGATTATTCACTTTGACTCTCCATAATGCCACTCAGCCTAATTGAATTCTCTCCGCTCCTTTCCAGAACTTACGGAATTGCCCAATTCGGAAGATCCCATGATGAATCTCTCGTTGCCGCAAGCCGAGGCCACGTCTGGTGTCACTAGATTATATTAGAGACAATGAAGACCTCGAAGACGAGCTGACCGATTTGCATTCAACTTCTTTCTGACATTAGGCCAATTTCTAGCGGGCGAATACTACGTGTCGTTCAACAATGTCCAATAAGCACTACTTCCCCTCCACAAGTGCCAACTCTTTGGTCCCACGAGCGTTACGAGCTCTCGTTTCTGCAAACAGTCATTTGACTTTGGATATCGCAGAGAGAGTCGTTTCAAATGCCTTCCACGATGATTCTAAAGTGAGTGTCATCAGTGGAGGTGGTTCAGGACATGAACCGGCTTGGAGTGGCTATGTCGGTGACGGCCTACTCTCGGCTGTTGCATGTGGTGATATCTTTGCCTCGCCCAGTGCAAAGCAGATTCTGGCTGCGATTCGTATGGCGCCGTCGAAGAAGGGTGTCATTCTGCTGATCACCAATTACACCGGTGATCGGCTTCACTTTGGTCTGGCGGCTGAAAGAGCCAAGGCCGAAGGGCTGGTCGAAAATATCGCCATTCTACATGCTACCGACGATGTTTCGATCGGAAGAGGGAAGAGTAGTCATATGGGCAGGAGAGGTCTTCCGGGGCATGTTTTCAGTAGGCCTTCTGTCAAGTTTTCCCAGCCGTGGTACAGCTAGCTAACATAACAAAGCCATGAAGATTATTGGAGCTGCGGCCGCGGAAGGCTACTCATTTGAACAGTGTCTTGCACTGGGACAAGCGATCAACGACCAGACTGTCACAATCGCTTCCGCACTTGATCATTGCCATGTACCAGGCCGAGCTCAGCAGTCCTCCCTCTCAGATGACGTGGTCGTCATCGGCGCCGGCATTCACAATGAACCCGGTCAACTTCACATTTCTCCTGCCCCGTCAGTCGAGGAACTCATCGAGAGTTGTCTCAAACTTCTGTGCGATGAATCTGATGCAGAGCGAGGCTTTGTCAAGTTTGAGCGAAATGATGAAATAGGCTTATTGGTCAACAACTACGGCGGCCTCTCCGTGCTCGAACTCAATGCCTTGGCCGATGAGGTTCAGACACAATTGAGCTCACAGTGGAACATCAAACCGTGCAGAACGCTCTTTGGTGCATTCGAGACGTCTCTCAATGCACCGGGCTTTTCGATCTCTCTATGTAACCTTACAGCTGCAGCTCGGCAATCGAACGAGCCCGTGGCCACCCTGATTCGCCAATTCGATAGTGCCACGACCGCCGTTTCATGGCCCAACACTAATCGACCTTCTTCTTCTCAGAGGAGAATCACCCTAGAGCATCTTAATGCCACAGCAAATGCCCACATCGGATCCTGTCCTAGTATTCAATTCGACCCCTTGCTCCTTGAAACTGCTATTCGAGCCTCATGCGAGAGAGCAATTGCGGCGGAGCCAAGGCTCACACAGTGGGATATGGTCATGGGAGACGGGGACTGTGGTGAGGCTGTCCAGGGCCTAGCCGAATCCATTTTACAGAGAGTAAATAAAGGATGCACGAAATCAGGCGATGTCCTGGAAGTCATCCGATCTATATTGCAGAGTGTGGACGATATGGGCGGTACTCTCGGAGCAATATTCGGTGTCCTTCTATCAGCATTTTTGACGGCTTTGAGAAGGAACGCGTCCGAAGGGAAGATTAGTCCAGATTCGGCAGCTTTCTACGCCACTGCACTCGGGTCTGCAGTAACGTCTTTAAAGTCGCATACTGGAGCCAGAATTGGAGACAGGACAGTCATGGACGTTCTACTCCCTTTTGAAGAGGAATTCTCTCGAACCAATGACCTTATCTCGGCCGTTAAAGTTGCAGCGGAGAAAGCGGAGGTAACGAGGTATCTCAAAGCAAAGTTTGGCAGGGCAACATATGTTGGGGAAGCATCGAGCCAGGAGCTGCCAGACCCGGGTGCTTGGGCTTTCTATGAGATAGTCGCTGGCTTGGCTGATGGGCTTGGAATTTCCTCCAATTAGGACACTTCCTGATACATCTCTGGGAAGTATAGTCAGTTTGATCGAGAAAAATGCTGCCTATACGCCTCTCCTGATAGGTTTACATGGAGTTTCCCAAAAAGAAAAAAACAGAGCTCATTTTACATTTAAATTCATGGAGACTAAATTAGTCTTAGTAAGTCTAGGCTTTCAACCAAACAGGCTCTTTCAATTGCTAATCCAGCCGGGGACTTTTCTTGGGACGCAACATCCTATCTGTTTAGGTGACTTTACGCTAAATTCAAGCGATCGAGTAAGACGGCCCCCGATATTGACGACGCGAATTGGTATATCAATCTGCTGACGCTGGTGTGTCGTGGTCCAGTGATAGCACGCATTCGACATTCCGTGTAAATACTGCCAATAGGGAAATAAAATCTTACACAGCATAACCATCAGATGGGTGTGGGGGAAATAAGGCCACCCGTCCGCTCAGACGTGGTCAAGCAGCATACTATACACGACCATTTCCCGGTGGGTTTTGAGGACCCAATTAAAAGGCAGGAGCAATGATACAAGGGCCATTGATCTCACCAGGGGGGTATGAGCTACCCTGAGTAGGCAAAGAAATTTTGATGAGTAAAGTAATTTGTTTTACTAGTGCGATATTCAGCAGCGACATTCAGCACACAAGACGGCCAATGCCTATTGTACTGCATAGTGTATACGGTATTGACATAATTTAAAAAAAATAAAAAAAAAAAAAATATATAACAGCCATACTATGGTGATGCTCACCTAGCGCCCATCGTTCGGTTCTAGGCGGCTCGCCGCTTTACGCCATCGGCCTTCCTGGGGAAATGGCAACAAGTTCGCTCCCTCATTTCAAGATTGTTGTAAACAGCATGATGGCCTAGTACAATTGGATAAATTCTACTTCGGCCCTTCATAAACCATATACCATAGACTATGGCTATATCCTGCCGTTGGATTTTTGCAGAAACTATCGTCCGTTCGGACACCGACTTCAGCAGAAAGGATTCCGTGCTTTTTCTTTAGAGACAGGATTCCTCCTTGTATGGGAAACCCCAATAAGGTGGGTTCGTCCGCGAGTTCGGCGCCTAATGAAATTATGTGCTTAACCTGGGCGTTCCGAACGAGACTGTATTGGTATATACAAACTAGCCCCATCTCATCTTTTTCATCATAATGATCATCATCATGCCAATGCATAGTTTCATATCATTTATCACATCATCCTGCAGAATCACTCCATCTAAAATCACTCTAAGCTTGGGTGGCAAAGCCCAATTGGGGTCCAGAAGCATCAAAGACCACATACTGGGTCTTGAGGAAGACATCTCCAAAGATCGAGAGACCAATGTCACTGTCATCCTGGACACCGCCAAAGCAGTCACTGGTGTCGGTGGAGGAGATCTCACCATAGTTGAGGTAAGAAGCGGGGATGGTGACGGTGTGAGATCCGATCTTGAGGGTGAGGTCTGGAAGAGTAGCAGAGCAAGGGAAGATCCATCCACCCACGGATGAGGAGTCACTGGAACCAGAAACCTTGGCGTAGTAGGCCTTGACAATCTTGGTGGGGAGGTACAAAAGGGTGGTACCGGTATCTATCAACAAAAGGTAAGTAGGAACATTATTGGTTCGGGAAGGGGAACGAGATGACATACCAGCAATGGCGCTCCAAGAGGTGGTGGTGGTCACGGAATCACCGACTCCATATCCAGAGGCGGTAAATCCCCAGTAACCCTGAGAGCTATCGGCATTGACATAGGTGATGGAGCCGGTGTACTTGGAGGAGTTAAGGAATCCGAAGTCATAACTACCAGCGGCGTTATGCTTCAACTCAACAGCAAAGAGAGGCGATGCCAAGCTCGACTTGATGTTATCAAAGAAGGTCTTCTGAGAAACGGGTTCAACAGTGTTGATACTGCTGAATCCCAAGCCCAAGAGGCCATCGTTGGAGGTGTCAGAGACGAACTCGCTGCTCACACTGGTAGCAGCCTCGACGGCCTGGGAGGTATAGGTGGCTCCGCCAACAGTGACCTTATCGGCGTAAACAATGCCTTCAGCAGAGCTGCCATCACCATAGGAGATATCCCAGGTGTAGCCGCTCAGAAGCTTGGCGCTGCTGGAGGGTGTATACACGGCATGGCCGGCGCTCTCGGAGGAAGAAAGCTTGTTAGAGAAAACCCAGCTGAAAAATTATTCATAGGTCAGCTCATGAAGCAAAACAAAGTCTGTCAGTCTTGAGAAGAAGAAATACTCACAGATCAGAAGACCCGGTGTCAAAGTCCAGCGCGAGAGTGGACGAGCCGACAGTGACTGGGCAGTCATACTCATCGTCGCTGGAATCACTAGGAGTGGCGACAACAGTGCCGGAGATTGCAGCAGCAGCGACCCGCTCAGGAACGGTAGCCTTGAACTTCTGCAAGGTACGAGCATAGGAGGCAGGAATGTTAACTGTCTTGTTGCCGACATAGCGGGCAACTTGGTTGACAGTGAACGTAGAGGGGAACTGTCGCGTGGCGGGAGCTGCAATCGCTCCGATGGCGAGAGCTGCGCAGAGGACAATCTGGGAAATGCCAGCCATGATGAGTGTTCAGGAATGGAAAGAATTGTGAAGACTGTGCCGATGCTGGTATCCTCTGCTCCAAATCTCAAGATTCATGAGGGGATTTCTCGCTCTATTTATCCTGCTCCCTCCAAGACCTTCACTTACCTCTACCCCTCTTCATCTTCATTCATCTTCAGCTGATACATGTGGAATCTCATCATTCACGGCCATACTTCGCAATTCGGTGTTTCCCCCCACACATAAGCCTTATGACGAATGAAGTCCAGCGGACCCATTCCCATCCGAGGTTACATTGCCTTATCAACACTGCACACTGAACGGGCTAAGAATTAGATTGTTGCTTGAGGAGGTAAGGTTATTATCTAAAGTACTCTATTAGCGTTCCTTAGACCTTGAGAAATTCAGCACTAGTTCTTTGATCGTCCATTCTCGCAGCGCGTAAGATTCTGCAATCTCTCATTTGGGTATAGTTTTATATAGGGCGCGGAGCAAGTGTTCGGAAGCCCGTCGGCAGCTGTCGATCGGACACCGCCGGAGAACCCCGCTTAACAGTCCCAGTTGGCAGTCTTGACTGGAAATAGGATCATGAGTTTAATTGCCTGCCGGAAATTTCTTTGTTCGGCTGATTTTTTGAGGGTTCTGATTAGTTGTATTTTATTCTGCACTCGAGCTTTGGCCCTGAAGTGGAGATGTGAAGTAAGTAATTGCCGTGGATAAAAGAAAAGTAACTGAGACACGACTTAGATAAGCTTTGGCAGCTAGTTAACTACTCAAGAATCAGGATGATAAATAAATTAATTCCAATTCAGTCACAATCGCGGAGATTTCCGTTATGATTTCATTAACAATGAATAGAGAAAATAATACTGAGACAGAGCGCTTTTTACAACCATTGAAAGAGGTTCGGATTGGTAATCGTCCAGCATATCGTAGTCTATAGATTTCCTTGATTATTGATGCCTATGTCCTTTTTTATTGTTCATGTGCGTAGAAGATAGAGCTGGAGCTGTTAATGACTTCCCCAAAGGCTAATCCCCACCTCGCGAGGCTTCTTTAAAGGCTATTTCGCAGACCAATCAAACCCGCGCGCTCCCCCCCCCCCCCTTCTTCGAAATATTCAATAAGAAAAAATACACTTTGTATTGAATACAGTTATGCTTAGTATATAATTGACATTTCATAATATTCCTACGGCTATATCATTTTATTCCAATGAATATAGCATAAATTTGATGATGATGATGATGATGATGATGGCGATAAATTCATTTGCTCGATATAGCTTGCTCTAAGTATATGCTGCTACGCGGAATGCAAAACAACTATCTCTGGGTGAAATCAATTTCTCAGTCTATCTCGGTATTCAGGGCTTGCGTGGCCTTGTAGATGGGTTCAAATTGTATTTAGCCTGAAGCACTATCGATTGATACCGGTCTTGTCTGCTCCCGAGCATCATGGCGTAAGTGGTTAATCTAAACACTGTCCCGGTGCTCCCTAAGAGTCGATTCCATGGTGTAAATGCTGTTCCCAGACCTCACCCCATGGGAAACCCCAGTATTCTACGCACCAGCACCGACCGTACGGTTGATCGACCGATTGAGCAATATAGAGGATATAACAGAGACTGCCCGGATATTCACGATTATATTGAGGCAGCCACGGTGAATTATTCCTTCGACCAGGATCAGGTCCGGCCATTTAGAATAGAACAAAGTGGGGGTTGGGGAACACGAGCCGGAAGGAGAGTGGGAGGGAAGATTGAAAGTTTTGTCGAGGGGCCACGTCAGCGCTTCAGGGCGATCGGGTGAAGAATAGAGGGGCTTAAGGGTGTTTAGGTGAAGGAGTCTAAAGGGCCTGAAGAATAAAGCGGCAAAGGTCGATTTCCCAACGAAGGGGAAAAAGAATACAGAAAAAAACATACAACAGCCAGGATTCGCATGTGGTCACCCACCATACTACTAACTGGCCGGCGTGTGGCTTAAGTACGGCTGAGCGGACGGGAAGCCCTGTTCTCCACACCCTATGGTCGTATGTACCAGATATTTCCGAGGACTGAATTAGTAAGTAAAATATTATTTGATGAGAATCCCAAAGCAGCGTTCGTGGTAAGTCACCTCGACTGGCAACAGCTTATCAATAAGATCTCGGGATACGAACTCTTGACAGTCTGATGATATCCAAGCTCAGTAAGCTTTTGCCACGAATCCGAACGATGAGGCACTTCGTATTGTCAGCATGCGCAAAAAGTGATCATCATTATTGGGCGAAAGAAAGACAGGAAGAATGAGCCGAGGTTTGGATGCCTGGTTATGCGTATGTCAGAAAATATCTAAGGTATCAAGGCATATATTGGCAGATTAAGGTTTAGCCTCTTGGTTGCCCCACAAACCTTACGGCGCCTCGACCACCTTCGATCAACGCACTCATCACGTGAAAGGCTGGTCCTTCCACTGAACAGGTTATTATATCGGCTAAAAAGATTAACGTAGGATAGCATTTCATTCAAATGATCCTTGTGACCCGACATTCATCGGTAGGATGGGAAATGTGGATCTTACTTTCCCCGAACGCCTGGCCTCACCGAAAGCAGAATGACTTCACCCGTAAGTGCCACTTGCATCACGACTTTGAAATAACGGAAAAGGGGAAATAAGTATACAGCATATAAAGCACTAGTCCTCTGCAGGATGATATTCTCACACCTACTTCTGAATTTCTCCTTTGGGTACCTCAATTACAGTTCCTAGTCTCCAACACCGACAGACCATACATAAAAGACCGGTCGCACAAAGGACGCCGTAATGCCTAAAGGATCCTGCCTATGTCATAAAGTCGAATATGAGTTCCAAGGCGAGCCTCTGATGAAGGCAAGTTTGGTTTCTAGGTTCAACTTTAACATGGACTCATGCATACATCTAGGGACCTTGCTACTGCTTGTCCTGTCGCAAGATCAGTGGTAGTACCAACACACTCAACCTTCTGCTCCCAGATGACAAGTTTAGTATCACCAGTGGCTCTACCAAGCATCACACTGAGATGCACGAAAGCGGCAAGCCATTAACAATCTACTTCTGTGGTGACTGCGGAACTGGTATCTACAAAACGCACGAGTTGTTCCCCCAAAAGGTTGTTGTCTTAGCAGGGACACTGGACGAAGCAGATGGGCTTGAACTGGCAAAACCAGAAGTGGAGTTGTGGACTAAATACCGCTCTTCGTGGTTAACGGGTCTCGACTTTGCTGAACAAAAGGAGGAGTTTTGAACTGCGGGTTTATTGTTTCTTTTTCCTGCATCTAGTTCTGCAGTCCTTCAGTCCTTCCTCAACGGCCACGCAGGAGAAGGCGGCAGTAAGTTTGTTCATGGTCACTCGAGTTCAACTTAGCAATGAATTTGATACTCAAAATACTGATCTTAGTAAATTCTACCTCATCTTGTTAATTATAGCCATCATTTTCATGTTTCCCTTAGAGCTACCCAAATACCTGTGACGAGTATAAGTTTTCGTAATTTCGCATCCACATCTGCTCGATGACCATTAGCACTTGATCTTGTGCGAAGCAGTGTTGCTTGCCTAAAAATGAATTTTTTGAATCGACTAAGGAATAGCAAGAGGAGACCTCTATCCAATCTCGTGTCATCGTAGCGATGACAGCATGCCGACGAGTGCCTGGATCGATGATACTGAAGGTAAAGAATCTGCCCACATCGTCGAGATGTGGGCAATTGGACATGCGACGGGACTTGTTGTGACGTAGAGCCCATCGCATAACTTGGATGCCATTTTCTCCATGCTCTATGAACTCGTAGGAGCCATTGGTAAGACAGAATGCCTCGCAGGAAGAGTCCGGGCCAAGAGATATTTCCGTCTTCCCCCGTAGCTTGACCTCTGTACGCAAAGGCTGGCAGATGCTTGCGACAACTTTCTGACGGGATTTTCCTTCCTTTGTTGAGACCGCAATGTTCGTATTCACTGTCGAATCCAACATTTCGCAGAGACTATTTTGCACTATTGCCACATCGGCGGGGCTACGACTCCCCCAGCGTCGAAGATACAATAAAAGCCCCCGAGTAAGAAAAGGCATAAAGGCCGTGGATGGGAAGACGTCAAGAAGAAGCGTGGGTCGTCCTGTTTGCGATATCTGTTGGAGCTGCATCAGAAGTCGCGGTCGCATCTTGTGAAATGGGTGCTGTGCATGTCTTGCAGGTCGAGCAAACTGGTACAAGCTTCTCGACTGTGACGATAATCTCCTCTGACCCGCCGAGTTACTTGTCTGAGAGATATCTTTCGATATTGGCATTGAGGGCATTCAAGTTAGCAAAAATGCCGGCAAGGCTCGTTCGATTTCGATCACAGGATCGAATTCGATGGAAGGATGAAATGCTCGACGGATTAGGATCACCGCTCTTACTAGTACATGTTATCGGGACAATAAACGCCGAATTAGATCGTAGAAAGGGCATTAGTGTTAGGGAGTGTCAGCTGCCATGAGCAATGGCGTACGTACCACTGGAAACCTATGCATTGCCAAGGCTCTCAGGGAAGCTACCAATCTCTAGTCGTGCATTATAGGTGAATATCCAACACAAATATTATTTTCCCCAGGTACAACGACGCCTAATTATCTCCAACGGGTGATCCCAAACTCCTCCATGCGTTTTCTCACAGGACGGTGTATTAATAGACAGCAGCCCGGCGAGCATCTTTCATCTGCATAACGTGAAACTCAAATGTGCTGACGGAACTCCGAGTCCAGCTAGGCCCAGCTTTGGGCGATCCACGGGTGCCCGCTCCAAGTTTGTCCAATGTTTCGGTTCATTCACGTTTGAGTTCATTTCCGGAGACCTGGAACGAGCCGAGTCCCCATCAATCGCCGAACGGTTCCCCAAGCTGCAATTGTTAGTACTTATCTGTTTCTTGATGGCTAGTTCGCCTGGGCCAGCTGTAGGCATCAGGGCACCTCCCAGCTCTAGAGGAGAACCCGCTTTGGCGAGCCATGCAGCTTGGCTTCTAGGAATTGACATTTCGACGCGGAATATTGGGGGGTTGGGGGGGGGGCTTTGACTGGGCTGGAATGCGATTAATTGAACGCGATGCCGATCGAACCAATTCAATTGATTCGTTTGTGATTGATGTTTCGGGTACATGATGCATTCTTTGAATCAGCATCCGGATTATATACATGGTCCGTGATAAGTGCTGTGGCCTTCCCATAGTGAATCTCGATTTATGTATAGGCAGGATTGGGCGCGTTGGGCGCTCCATAACGGTGGAGACCATTCAAATACAATCAAGATAAGAATCCCGGCCTCTATGATAATTCCGGGTTACTTCCTTGACCAGCATTGAGTACCAGGAGATGTTCCCTGCTTTGAACTTTTGCAAGGAAAGCACTTCGGTGATAATATAGGTCAGATTCTATTTCCTAGACCACTCTCCATGAAAGCGTAGACACAGTCTAGATAAATTAGAGCCAAGACATTGTGAAACGCTCACAGCAAATATACTTTAAAACCAACAAGCCCTACTGGCTGTATCAAATACACTTTTGGTATTGTTCGGGACCATGAGTTGTTTTAGCGGAGGCCTTGTAATGGGAAGTGCCCATGATTGGGTACGTGATTAAATAGTATAGAACCAGAGTGTCCAAATGTATGCGTTCCTTCTGAACAGTCGGAGCTTTGTGCTTGATTCGTACCTGAAGCCAGCCTGAGCTTCCATTGCTCTCAAACCGTCTCCGTGTCATCTTGGGGAGAAACCCAACTTGGCAACGAACGAACCGCTTGTACATTTCTGTTCGACCGGTGGTGAATGCAACATTTCGGTTTGTGATGACGAGTCAGTTGGCGGAGGTAGGGGAGAGAGGCACATATGATGATGAAATTTGCTTCGATGTTACTGCACGGCGTTTTTTGTTATTGGACACCCTCCAAAAGAAAGTAATCTTGGCCGTGATCACTCACATGAAAACACTGGCAAGAGCCAGCTTGTACGAGACATCCGATGTTGTCACCAAAGGCCATAAGGTCGCCAAGCGCAGAATGCTGGTGATGATGGTTCTTGACCAAGATAGACATTAGCGTTGTTGTTAGAGATGTAAGGTTTTCCGTGAAGTGATATTTGATTCATCTCAAGGGAGCGCACGAGAGACACCTACAGACATCCAATGCAGAACATAGCTACCACGCCAAGTTTCTGTATGAGGCGCATCTGAAGACCCCATACGACTCGGATCGGTATCAGGATCAAGATCACGTCACTCAGAGTATTACTGACCGCCGTTGCAAGGTATACGCCGGGCCTATTTATGCAAGACCCGACGCCTGGGGGTATCGAAATATCCCAGCCTTTCTGGATTGGATTGCAAGCGAAGATGAGGGCCAACGCCAGTGCTAGACTATATCCCGAGATGACGAAGGCGATAATGTAGATGCTGTATACCCATTCTTGTGATGTGTTGAGAATGCTGTAATACAGCATAAGTAAGGAAAGCTTGGCGAACGCGAGGCAGGGAATGTAGATGACCGCTGCCGCTAGGATGACCTTTCCGTTCCAAGATTATCGCAGACAATAGTCAGCATTTGAGGTTTCTTTAGGACACCTTTTCACGGAATTCATACCTTGAGAAGCGTATCTACCGTCTCTGGAGACAGTTCGTTAAAGTGTCGTCCGATACCTCCGAAAGTGTACCCGTCTAGTAATGATGCCGATTTTAGCAATTGACACTCTTTATATTTAATCCTGCGAGACTTACGTAGAATAGTGGCTTGGGTGCCGATTGATAGAGTCTTATATATTAGACCAACTTTCAATCAGTAATTGAGAAGATGTAGTTGCTGTTCTTACCCAAGCAAAGATGAGGCATACTAATTGGACCCCAAAAATGAGCTGGCTACCTGAAAAACTGTCATTGAGACCCATACGTACCGTCATCCCACCAGAACTTCCTCAATATCAGACTCTTAGTATACAAACGCATCGCCAGACATGCGGTGCTCAGCGTTAGTCCGACAGCAACCAAAACCTGATTGGCTACTTGCAAGAATGGAGTTGAGGGATCGGCGCTAACGACCTCCATGCTCTTTAGAATGGTCATTTAGCGTGAGCTGGTACCATATCTTTCAATGGCACGCAAACAAAGATGACACTGCATGAGACATTCAATGGTGTTTTTGGGATGATAATCTGACTCTAGTGCGCTATCATAACGATTGCGATATTCGACATCGAGATAAACGGGATGAATTTTTATTTTTGCCACATTGGACAATCCGCACCTTACTTATGAGCTTGCAAAGTGACTACTGACATAACAGCTCACGTGACTATCGGCCCTCTGTGCTGCTCGTTAATTTTTCTGGTTGGTTTACGTAATCCCCGCCCAAACGGGACCCATCAAAACATATCAAGGTCGATCTGGATCAGTGCTGAATGGTGAAGGTTGTCTACTGCGGACTATAGGGGGAAGAAGGCCATAACTCTGAAGTTCTTCAAAGACAATTCACCGCTTTCTTCCGCCCTGAGTATATTTCATGCTTACTACATCACTAGGAGATTAATGTAGAGATCAACTAAGAAAATATCTAGGCAACTATCTAGGAAACTACCCCACCATCTTAGTTGCGATCGGAACAATTAACAGGATTAGGTAAAGAAGTTAGACTATAAGAGGATTTAATGTAAATTAGGGATCATGTCTACATTTTAGCTCCATTAATCTCATTAGTCAGTTCATCTAAATCGATCTCGATTGTTTCGGTGCGGGAAATCGCACTTTAAAAAGGGTATTTAGGATATGCGTAGATTATATGGGGGAAAGGATGCATGAAAATGAGATTCTGCCGATTCTTGAACTACGAACAAAGGGTTATGGCCTTCTCCCCCCTATAGTCTGCCGTAGTTGTCACTCGTCCGTCATGCGGTTATGTTACATGTAGTTGAACCACGGGCGCTGCTGGGTCGCACTAAAAACTTGGTTATACGAAGTAGGGGAGCCTGGAAACTGCTGAATGAAATTGAGGCTCACGTTGTCAGAATCCGCCAAGTTTTGTGGCAGGCTCCGGTAGATAGAATATGATAGTGTCAGAGCAAGTACCCCAAGCTCCATCTGATAGAGAATATAGACCAACGGTGTTGACATCTTTATCCCCTATCCGATGCACTTATTTCCCAAAGAATCGAAAAAAGAATCGAAATGGCAAGACCCACATGAATTGGCCATATGAAGATCCGATCAGGTCACCTCCGTCATTTGCAAAAACAGCATACCAATTCCAAAGAGGGCTAGCGGTGGTGTGAATATCTGGTATCTACAATCGGGGCGACGGCTTGATTGCCTTTCATGTTCCTTAGACTTTGTCAAACCGTCCGGCTCCTAACACAAGAAACGAACTGGCTGACTCTATTTTCTATTGACTGAAATACACCAATACATACCTAGTGCTTCTTAAACGTCTATTTCGCGATTTCTATACCTCCAACCTGAGGAAATGGGTTAGCTGTACTGCCTTGGAATGGTAATCTCTACTGGACTCAAGGAGGGGACACTTACAGCTCCCATGGCCTTCTTGAGGTCACCTACCAGAGATTGATGTGTAAGCCTTTATCCCTTTATCAGGGAGTATGGATTCGACCCTTGAATACTTATCATAGATGGCAAACTGGCCGGCCGTCAGAGCCCCGACCATGAACAGGCGAGCACCGATACCGCTGAAAGATCCACGAATGCCAAGCTCCTGGGTGATCTTGATGAGTCTGCTAGCCGTGCCCTCGCCTGGGAGACCCTTAGTCTTGTTGATCTTCGAAAGCATGGTGTCGGCAGGTTGGGAGACGATAGCAGCGGCGAAACCGGCAATCAGACCGGAACCAAGGTTGATGGCGGTTTGCATAGCGTCACTAGTCTTTTCTTTCTTGAAGAAGTTGCTGTAGGCAAACTCGGCCACTTTCTCGTAGACGACGAACTTGGTCATAGTATACGGGACCCTAATTTATGTGAGCGACAGCAAGAGATTAAGCTTTGCTCTACGTACTGCTTGAAGAGGATAGGTCCGAAACCAGAGTAGAAAGCGCCGACTCCCTCCTGGCGGGCAATTTTGGTAAAACCGGAGACAAGACCATTAGCGAAGTCTAGGCGTAGACACCAATCGGATGCGGGTGGCCTCGAGCGGGCAGAGGGCAATGTCGGCAAAGAACTCAGCTGAGCCGGACGAGATACAATAGACTGCGATGCGGTTGTTCTTCGCGTTCTCCTCGCCGATCACATTGATAGATTGCTGCTTAAAGAACTCATAACCACCAAACTTCAAAGCCCCCTGCAGGAAGTAGCCCGCAAAGGTAGGACCGGCCCCGGTAAGAAGGGCGCCAGCACCCTCGTTCTGGATGACCTGGCGGAAGCCACCAATCAGCCCACGGTTGTAGGTGACTGGGTCGAGCTGGATACGGGTCTTAACGCTATGCAAAGGCACCTGTCAGTCACCTCTTTGTCTAGACTTGCTATTTCATTCCTTGCAGCTTTTTCATCGCCATCTTTCCGATTCTGCCCAATGCTTCTGGACTAAAATTGACGCCACTTACACATCGACAGGAGTGAGGCCTCCGTGTGTGACAGAACAGCAGACTGCACCCGCCAAGGCGAAACGCGAGTAGAGGTCAATGCCGGAGAGCTTCTTCGGCGCGGCGGTGCTGCCGGTGGTCTGCGGTTTGGCTGTCGTGGCGCCGCTCATTTTGTGGGGAACATGAAAGGAACCGCACGCGTGAAGAGAAGAGAAGTACGTCTAGCTCCTTCCGGTTGCCGGCGAAGGATAAGCGGAGAATAATAAACCAGAATGGAACTGCTTATCGCAGACTAATTCTGGAGAGTTGGTGTTGGGAAGTGTTGTTGATTCAACTTCTATCCGGGAGAGGGCTGACCCTGGAGCTGCAGCGCTCGAAAATATTTCGAATGTCGCAAGACACCATTCTCCACTCCAAATCAGCGCGTTGTCCGCACACCTGACCTGTAGAGGCCAGATATGGGGGCCAAATTAGGGGGCCAAAGATGAGAGCTTACCTTACCCCTCGTATGTAACTACGTGACTATGGGCCTAAAATAGCGGAAAAAGTTCAAGTAATTTATACAAGGAGCTCCATTCGTCGAGTCTCCACATACATACATACAGGAACCTAAAAATGAGATGTGGAAGGCCTCATGAATTCGATCTCACAATCGAAATGCCAAGTCTTGAGGCTCGGGCGTCTCCCGAGGAGGCGTGGGCCCGTGAGATACTGAGATACTATGGGTGTGGATCGCATTTAGATACGCGGCCACAAGCAATGTAACGTTGAAACTGAGTCTAACTACTTAATCGCTTGTAATGGACAAGCTGGTATCTCAGGCTGGTCTCGCCATGTAGATGTCTAAGAAAACAGGTGGGGCCATGATAACCCTGCCAGGACCCCAGCATCAGCCGAATAGCTGACACTTGGCATGGCGTTTGCTATTCGTAGGCAATGATGAACTATTTCAGCCGGCTAATGTGTAAAATGGGGTTGAAGATGGTGCGATGACATTGACCAGATTTATCCGTCCGTTGCTCCTTCTAGAATTCTCGGAGCCTACCCAAACAGGAAGTATACGAGAGCGGCTAAGTGGTGGTTGCTGGGTTCAGCTGTCTCCTGTTTACTTCCCGATGGGCCCGGCTTATCTAGTAGACATAATGGCACGATTGCCTTTGGTGACTGCTGCTATCATCAGAGTTGGCTACCATTAAACGGTCGTCCACGCCCATTTTGCACTTTTTTGCGTCTGGAATCATCCGCATTAACGCAATATGAGGGTGACACTTGTTGGGGTGGCATCGATGGCCTAATCATGGCGAATGCCTTGGAGAAGGCCGGCATTGACTTCGTGATGCTGGAGGCTCGAGCTCGGTTCGACCCTTAGGTCAGTGCTTCAATTGGATTAGGTCCCGGTGCCATGCGTATATTTTACTAACTCGGCGCAGCAGAGGCAATTCCCGACTACACAGCACCGGTTCGGGTGTCCAAAGTTCGTCGCAAAGATGGAAAATTGATCATGCCTCCTTCGCTGGCGTTCCAGCTGGTTCAAGCAAAGTAAATATGTAAGTCACCCTTAAAAGAATTGGTGCTAATAATGTGGCTAGATTCGGCCGTAGCAGGTGAAGGTGCCTGAAGCACCTGAAGAGTAAAGCGGCAAGAGCTCTACCCTAACGGACCAAACAAAAAGCAAACTCTAGCAATAACAAAAACATACAACAGCCAGGATTCGCATGTGGTCACCCACCATACTACTAACTGGCCGGCGTGTGGCTTAAGTACGGCTGAGCGGACGGGAAGCCCTGTTCTCCACACCCTATGGTCGTATGTGCTTGATACGTCATTGGATTAAATTATATGCCCGGAAGTTTTTTATTTATAATGCATAAAGTGGTGCTATATTGAGAAGGGGTGAGTGCGTAAAAGCCGGGGTGAGAGTCTGGGTGAGAGCGGGTGAGAATCATCCTCCGTCGCGCGACCACCGCACTCGCTCAGAAAACAGAGGGCACACTGTAGCAGCCATTCTTTAACGAAATGGCGATTAAGGCCATTTTTCCAGAGACGGAAAATAACTGTTCAGTGTTTCCTGGAGGTAATTTCGGGATTTGATTCAGAAGCAAATTCCCGTTTGCGAGAGTTCTGCGTAAACCTCGACGGCCAACCTCATCAATCTCGATTTCTTCTAACGCTAAGGCATTTTTCGCGAAGTAACTCTCCCAGGGGGTTTGATGAGTCTTCGTAACCTGCTATCCAGCGAACTCATCGAAGAGCCTTCAATTCGTGTAGATGGCATATATTCAGATGGCCTTGACCTAGACATTGTGCTGTCGGTGACAATCTCGAGATTAGCCCGTGACAATAGCTCACAGGCCTGACCAGGTTGTCGTCTTCTTTATCTCCAGTACGCCTTCCAGCAGAATGTTTTGGCTGCTCGGCCCAACCAAGACTCTATACCGCCCTTTTTCGCACGTCCAGAAGTGTGCCTCCTGATCCCAAAATGCAGTAGTGAATCGATCAAATGGTATGCTCACACTGCGCGTCTCACCGGGCTGCAAAGTCACCTTTGAAAATCCTTTGAGCTCCTTGATTGGACGTGCGATTGACGACGTTGTCGTATCTGCAGCGATATACAGCTGGACTACTTCTGCTCCAGCCACGTCTCCCGAGTTACGAATATTGAGTGTAGCGGACGCAGTGTCGACGGTCAAATTGGAATACGCAAAGGAAGTGTACGACAAACCGTGCCTGAGGGACGAAGCGAGTTAGCATTGGTTTCAACAGAAAAGAAATTGGAGCGGACGTACCCAAATGGATAGAGCACATCTCGGAGGACTTTTTCGTAGTATTTGTAACCAACGTAGATGCCCTCGCCATATGTTACTTGCCCTCTCTCGCTTCCAAAGTTGAGATATGTCGGTGTATCTTCGATTCGTCGCGGAAAAGAAAGAGGTAGTCTTCCACTGGGATTGACGACACCGAACAACACATCAGCAATGCCATTGCCTAGCTCATTACCACCGAACCATGCGTGTAGATGCGTCTTCAAATTATTTGCCCAAGGAAGCATGTTGAAAGGCGTACCGCTTTGGGTTATGAAAATGGCGTCAGGCGCCACGTCAAGGACAGCCGTGACCAAGGAGGTAACGGCAGGAGGAAGATCCATGTGAGACCGATCAAATCCCTCTGATTCGTGGTCTCGCGTCAGTCCAACACCCAGGATCGTGATGTCTGCACGCTTCGCGGCCTCAACGGCCCGGGCGATAGCCAGCTCCGGATCGATAGCCTGGATCATTCCCAGGCGACCAGCGCCGCCACCGAAATTCACAACACCAGGTTTCACGAGCTTGGATGATGGGCCACTAGCGAATTGCACCTTGATCTTGTACAACTGACCCTTAACAAGATTCACTGTGGCCTTTTCCTCCAGGGTGCCTTTGCCGAAGAAGAAATTGCCACCTCGTTGCACAGTAGTGTTATCGATTATAAGCTGGTCGTCGATAAAGAGACTGCCAGAACCATAGACAGCAATGCCGAATTCAAAAGGACTAGTGGCAGGAGCAATCAACTCGGCTTCAATGTCTGCGTAGAAGAGCCGGTCCAATTGTGGGTTGGAGAAGCCCATCAGCTGCCATGAAGACTCCTGTATGATGATCTCCTCAACCACGCGCCGTTCTTTAACGGAGGGCGGATCTCGGTAGAAGCGCATTCGAAGCCCAGGCTGGCCTTCCGGCGTGAGCACATCTGACGCCTCCAGCTCCGGGATGAAGGCATACGAGCTAGCGCCCGTCTCGTAAGTAATCTCGAAGCCCGGAGGGAGCTGTTTCATGATTCCCTGGTACGGCGAGATGCTATAGTATGGTTGAAGGGACGCAGAGCCTCCCCCGCAGAACGCCGCAGTCTTCATGTTTGGCCCTATCAAGGCGACACTCTTCAACGTCTTCTGGTTTAGAGGCAAAAGCCCCGACTCATTCTTAAGAAGGACAATGCTATCGGCAGCAAGTTTGCGGTTCAACTTGCGATCCTCGGGGAAGTCTCGTGTGCTCTCAACGGTCGAAACCTCGGCCTTGCTGGCTCGCTGAACAAATTCGAGCACGGTCCTGGCGCGCTCGTCAAGCGTTGAGCGGGAGACTTTGCGACTCGAAATCGCAAGCTCCAGTAACGGTCCTCGAAGTCTTGTGGGGCCAGGCATCTCCAGGTCAAGGCCGGCATTAAGAGCCTCGGCGGTCGAGTATGTTCCAAACCTGTAAAGGCCAAGTAAGCAAATGGACCTCCCAAAATGGGACGTGGTTATGCAGACGCACCAGTCGCTCATGATGAGACCCTTCCAGCCCCATTCCTTGCGCAAAAGACCGTCCAAAATCTCCTTGCTCTCCGAAATATGCTGTCCGTTGATCTTGTTGTAGCATGTCATGACTGCTCCCGGAGCTGAATCTGCGATAGCGATCTGAAAGGGCAACAAATGAACCTCGCGCAAAGCTCGCTCGCTCATGACGGCATTGACGCTAATTCTCTCATGCTCCTGGTCGTTTGCGGCAAAATGCTTGATAGTGGATATCACGCCGGTGGACTGGGCACCTCGGATGTAGGCGGCGGCAAGTTTGCCGGTGGCATATGGGTCCTCCGCGAAAGACTCGAAACCTCTGCCCCCAAGGGGCGACCGTTGGATACACACCGTGGGTCCTAGCCAGCAGTGAGCACCTTTGGCTAGGCACTCTTGGCCGATGAGAACACCAGCATCGTAAAGCAAAGACTGGTCCCACGTGGCGGCTAGGCCGGTGCCACAAGGAAGACAGGCTGCGCGGACGCCGTCGAAGAACTTGGTTCCTCGAACGCCGTTGGGACCATCGCTCAATCTGACCGAGGGAACGTTGAACCGCGGTAGGGGAGCCGTATGCCAAAAGTCATGGCCTATTCTGGGGGGATTTCCGTCAGCAGATACACGAAAACTCGGGCACGTCGCTTTGTCTCACCAGCAAGAAGGGAAATCTTCTCAAGCGACGAGGCGTTCTCGAGAATGTAATCAATATCGAAATCCTCCTTGCGAGGAGAGATCTCTCCCATATTTGCGACGGTTTCCAAGCACGAGACGGGCTAAAATGACCGCACCAGGGGAGCCTGTGTGCCCGTCAGAAATGGTTGATGCCATAATACTTATAACCACCTCCGCCCAGAGCCTAGACATGCTGAGGATAGTGGGCCATGGATTCCGAAAGCCAAGGGTCCAGCGAGTTGGGGGTCATGGATTTTGGTCATGCAGACGATGAGAAGTGGCTTGGGTTGAGCTCGGTGTCGGGATGCCTCCCCGACACGGCGACACGGGGTTTTCGCCTGATCAGCGCAGTAAATCAGTGTACCGAGGTAGTGGTTCTACGGGGAAACCAGGGCAATGCTGTCAGCGTGAGAGGCAGGAGAGCATCTCGACGCTGGCAGCCCTGGCACGAACACATCCCGACCCGCCATGGGCGAACCAAATGGCGGGGCGAAGCAAGGTTGTCGTCGCGGAGAGGCCCCGATAGTGCCCGGGGAGACTGCCGATATGATTTCCGGCCGGGAGTGGCATATCGGGTGTATACTACTATACCCTGACAATTCACATTACCCCAACCGATCCAACCAAGTCAAAAATCAAGATCCAGTAACTTCAGGGCGGATTTGTCAGTGGCCTTCTTCTTCCCTACCACGGTGGTTGACCTAAATATCAACGATAGCCCTTCCAATCCACCCCGAATCAACGCACGCGAGGCGAATTGATCTTGCGGACCACAATGGAAGGAAAGGCCTCGAACGCCGACTCGACAATCCCAGCACGGCCTATCAGCCAGCTCCCACAGCAGAGCATCTCCTCAACCCCCACGCTGGCAGAAGTACCCAAGGCCGAGTGCACCGAGAAGGGAACAGCGACGGAGGGGCCGTTGAGGCCGTTGACGGACCCGGCATGCCAGGCAGACGATGACTCCGAGATTGTCAAATGGGACGGCGAGAGTGATCCTGAGCTGCCGCTCAATTGGCCATCCTCCAAAAAATGGCAAAATGTTATCATGGTCTCGGCGCTGACTTTCGTGACGTGAGGCGATCCTCTCCCAACGCTATCGACAAGTCGTGACTAACCCTAACCGCGCGCTGCCCAGACCGTTTGCGTCGTCCATGTTTGCCCCGGCCATCAACCAAGTAATGGCAGAGATGGGCACCTCGAACCGCGACATCGGCTCGTTTGGCGTATCGATCTACCTGCTTGGTTATGCATTCGGGCCTCTCGTGCTTGCACCCTGCAGTGAACTATACGGGCGTCTGATTGTCTATCATATTTGTGCCTTGCTATTTATTCTATGCAATGTCGCTTGTGCGCTGTCCATTAGCATGCCTATGCTAATCATCGTCCGTTTCTTAACCGGTCTTGTAGGCGCTGCTCCGTTGACGATAGGTCCTGGTACCGTTACGGATTGCTTCCGACAAGAGGAGCGCGGGCGTGCCATGGCAGTCTGGACAATGCCCGTGCTGCTTGGACCTTGCCTGGGGCCAGCGATTGGAGCCTACGTGTCCCGTTCGCTGGGTTGGAGGTGGAACTTCTGGCTTCTGATCATCGTGGTAGGCTTCTACCTTACTCATAACCTGCTACAAGGGCATTATTGGGCATACGCTAATAGAGCGGCTTCAAGTCCGGTGCAGTTTCCCTCTTCTGCCTCGTCTTTCAACGAGAGACCCATCCTCCGACGCTCCTGAAGCGCAAAGCGGCCAGGCTGAGAATATCGACGGGCAACCCCAACATACGCCACGTCGACCATACCACCCTATCCCGGAGCCAACTTATCACAACGAGCATTGTCCGGCCCATGAAGATGCTTTTCCTCTCGCCTGTGATTTTTGGACTATCTCTGCTGACTGCTGTTGCGTATGGAACGCTCTACCTCTTCTTCACTACAGTAACCGACGTCTTTACATCGCGCTACGGCATCGTCACCAATGTGGGCCTTACATACCTTGGCTGTGGCTGCGGTCAATTTACCGGCCTCTTGATCTTAGGGCTTGTTTCCGATGCAATCGTCAAGCGAGCAGCCAAAGGCGGAGAAATGAAGCCAGAATACCGTCTGCCACCCACGATCCTTGGCGGATCTATGATCCCTATCGGCTTGCTCATATATGGCTGGACCGCCGAGTATAGGGTCTTCTGGTTCGTGCCCGTTATTGGCACATTTTTCATAGGTTTTGGCATGATAACGGTTTTCACCCCTGTTGGGACGTACCTGATCGATGCGTTTCCAATGTATGCTGCCAGCGCCACGGCTGCTAATACGGTCCTCCGCAGTGTGGGAGGCGCGCTTCTTCCACTTGCGGGTCCCCGAATGTATAGTAGTCTTGGTCAAGGCTGGGGAAATACACTTCTGGCCGGTGTATCCTTGCTTATGATGGGCATGATTTTCATGTCCTTGAAGTATGGAGAACGGTTGAGGACACATCCAAAGTACCAAATGAAGCTATGAGGATAAATAAATAGCTAGGTCCTAGAGACTGCGCAGGCCTGTACCGATACCATGGTCTGTTTTACGCCGAGAAAATAAAAGCAGAGCAGGCACTCTAACCTGAGAACTCAGCGAGTGGCCTGATCAAGGATTGGAAGGATGTATTAGAATATCTTAAACCACATTATAGTATATACAATATCTAGAATTTAATCGAATGCTTATTATTCACAACTTTTAGCGGTGTGGCATTAACAAACTCATTCGAGAGGTCATCCGTAGCACATCATTTGCTTCCGCGATGCCGAAGTTAGGTTTTTGGGTGGACTGAGCGACGGCATGGCTCCATTCTAAATTGCAGAGCTTCTTACAATTCTGTTGAGGGGGTCATTAAGAAGCTATCTTAAAGAGAGCAGACCCATGGAAGGAAGAGAGGGATAGAAAAAAGGAACATGCGTAATAATGTCGTGGAACGACCTATTTGCGTGTCCAGATTTGACATTTGTTACGGGACTAGAGTTGCCGTCAGACCCCTCTGTTCTCTGAACCTAGTCTGAATGTCACAATTCAGTTGAGGCTATATTTCCTAGTCCACCGTCTGCCCAAAGTCCTCCAGAGCCTAGCGGAGGAGTTTATAGCAGCCTGTTACACCTCCTCTTGTCTCCTCTGAAACTGGCTATATGTCGTCTAAGTACATTTGAACGGTGCTGCGCCAGGTTTCCGACATCAACAGACGCAGGGCTGCATTAATCAGTGGGAAGCGACTGTTTCGAGCGGCCACAACCAAGATCAACGCATTCGAGGTATTACTTTGAGTCCCTGTCCACATTCCGTGGTCAAGCCTAGTCAGCTTTTTTTTCGCAGACTGTAGTCTCCAAGCACGGTGGTGTGGCCCAAAGGAGGCTATGGAGAATATCTTAGTGCATTCAAAGCTACGGCGACTAGGGTTCCGAAAGGAATAAAGGAATGCGAATAAACGCCGTATTCATATTCGCACTCCGCGAATATGAATATATGAACCTTTTATTCACGCGAATAAACGCAATATTCATATTCGTATTTATATTATTCATATTGTGTATTTTATCCGTATTAATACTTTCTCCGGTATAATAGTAATCGTATTACTGAAATACGCTTAGAGGGCGATTCTAAATTGCTATCACTTTATCGGTAACGCTGGACGGTGGAATATCGTGTGAAGGTATCTTCTGGAATATACACCCCACTAATTAAGGCTTTGGAAGGCCCTTCTTTCCCGTAGATCAATTAATCAAACTGATTCCCTTGTTTGCGGGTGCTAACTTCGGAAGAGTTAATATTGGCTATAAACATCCTTTAAGATTATATATATCTATATCTCTTTTCTTCAATCCATCTAGGATTAAATTATTGAATAGACCTGCTCCGCCCCTGGGTATCCTTTCAATTTACTCCAAGCTCCGTCTATACAATCAACTCGAGAAATAACACGTGATAACGCGTTTATCGCACGACGCTGGGCCGTTGGTAACCCTAACTACCTTTTGTTTACGTTCAACCCTATCAACATCGCGCCGTGGAAAACTGAGAAGAGACCTATCATTTTTCTAAATCGCGAAGGGAACAAAAGGCGCGAGCATGACTGAGTTAGTCAGTAATCGTTCTCACTTTGGATCTCTTGCCGGTTTCCTCACCCCAAGGAGCTTAAGGTATGTTATACATTACTGCCGATCTTATCTTAAGGCTGTAATCCCAGGAAGCAATAGCATGGCATCTATATCTAATCCGTTCTTGCGGAGGACCCGAGGTCTCCCACGCCGGGATTACAATGCTCTACACAATGGCCGTGTTTCTTCGCCCTCGGAGCAATCCGAGGCATCGGTCGGTGAGACAGAAAGCCCATTCTCCCCCGAGCCCTCCCCGTCTGGGCACTTGGACTAAACACCTCAGTCAAAACGGTCTTACTCTCTGGTGAGCTCTTCGCCCTCTCCGCTTGATCCTGTGCTGTTGGAGAGCAGTGGGGATACGACTAGTCCGCTTCCGCTTAAAAGACGAAAGACCAAGTCGTATTCCAGTTTGGCCATCGAGCATTTTTTGACTATAGATCTCGATAGCACTTAGTCTAGGCAGGGTGGCCCGCCAAAGAAAGATCGACTGCTGGTGTGTAAGCATTGCAACTGGTCCTCTAGAGATTCGGCGCGCTATGGTTCCACTTCAAATCTGCTGGTGCACCTCCAAACCAAGCATCACATCAAGCCTGGGACCGGCTCCATCTTCTTACCCGCGGCCGAAGGAAACCTCGACCGATTCTTGAAGACGCCGAGACAGAAGGCTGGCGTTGAGGAAATGCTAGTTCGATGGGTCATTCAAACAAGACAGCCCTTTACAATAGTGGAGCATCCGGCTTTTAAGGTACTTATTTAAGTAACCGGGGCTTCTTTACCCATCAAGACCGCCGATATACTGAGTAACCGAATTAAGGAGGAGTTCTACTCACGTAGGACTTATATTAAAGATGAACTTGAGAGGAGCAGCCGAACACTTGCACTGTCTCTTGACGTGTGGACCTCAGAGAATCAAATTCTAATCATGGGTATCATTGGTCACTGGATATCCCCCGAGTTCGAAAAGCGTGACGAACTCCTTGAATTCACCGAAATCAGCGGACCGCATTCCGGAGAGAATTTAGCGGAGGTTGTGCTCAAGATGCTTGACGAACTAGACATCGCGCCAAAGCTCCTGACCATCACCGGTGACAATGCAGGCAATAATGGAACACTCTGTGAGAGTCTGCATGACCAGCTCCTTAAGAAGTACGACAATGACGACGACCGCTTTCGCATCAGACCTTTAATGAGGTTTCGCGGACGACAAAGCTTTATTCCATGTCTTGCTCACATCCTTAACCTGATTTGCAAAGATGTGTTGGCCTCTTTGAGGGCTGGCTCGGCACGGGAAGCAAAGGCGATACTAGATGACATGGCCGTTCATACTAGTTTAACGTTCAATCCTCTTCATAGCACGAAAGGAGCGATTATGAAAATCCGGCTCCTGACCCTTTGGATTGCCCGGAGCCCACAGCGCCGTTAACATTGGAAAGAAGTATCCCCGAGCAAATAAGTTAGCTATGACGTTGATACCCGATGGAACTCGACGTATATCATGATTCAAGATGCCCTCCGGCTCCAAACCGAGCTAGGGCAATTCGTGCGAATTCATCCCGAAGTTCAGGCCCTCCAGCTTACCGATGACGACTGGTCGACACTTTAGTAAGTAGCGAAGATTCTTAAGCTATTCTTGGACTATATAAACTCTGTTTCTAAGATATGCCCGACGATTGTGGAAAGTCTACCGATTTACTGGAGTTTGGACGATCTGTTGAATGACGTTCGGAATGCGGAGGGAGATTTTGAAGACGTGGGCATTGAAATTTGTAATGCGGTGGAGAGAGGCATTCAGAAGATGAACAAGTTCGCTAGAAAAATGGACGACAACCTTCTTTACTACGTGGCTTCCGTGTTAGACCCGCGTATCAAGTCATCCTTGATTGTGTCTCAAATGAGCGAGCAAGATTCGGCCCTGATCGTTTCTCAAGTGCGGGAATTTTTGAAGAAAGAATACCCTCCAGAGCCATTCGTCTCCCGTGAGGCGGATCATACACGTCCTCCGGGGATGTCAGAAACCATGTGGAGAACTCTGTGCAAAGTCCAGCCATCCAAAGAGGCATCGTTGTCGGATATTGATAAGTATTTGGATTCTCCACCGGTCAACTGGTCCCACCATATGATTGACGATGCGGATGCGGAATGGGTCCTCAAGTGGTGGAAAGCGAATGCGTTTAATTTCCCCATCATGGCTAAAGCCGCTCGCGATTATTTATCTATCCCTTCGGCAGAAGTCGGGGTTGAACGTGAGTTCAGCAATGCGCGAAATATCTTGGGCCTCCGAAGACACCGCTTGAACGCGGAGACCATGCGCTGGTTAATGTTGCTGAGAGAGAAATCTTAGATCGCATTTCCAAATAGTACTTATGTATGCATGTAATTTCCAATGCTTCAAAATCAAGATTCGCCTGGAACTCGTCACGGAACAGTCTACAAGTTGGTGATGTATCTGGACGTAATGAGACGAAACGTAATGTATGGTATCTTATTATATGAATAAATATGAATAATTCATATATTCATGAATATTGCGAATATGAATAAGCCTTTTATTCATATTCATATTATTCAATTCATATTATTCGTATTCGCAAATTATCATGAATATTCATGAATAATCATATTCCTTTCGGAACTCTAACGGCGACCAATACCAACTCGATCTCTAAATCGTTGAAGAATGCGTCAACATCGCTATATATTTTACGCTTGGAACATCAACCGCAGAATGCTCGCCAGGTTTCACATCGGGTAACAGTAGCGTTTGTTGAATGATAGCGTAAACTTCGATTTCAGGGATATGCACAATGAGAGGTAGGTGGAAATCCTTGGCCGAGAACCAGTACCCAATAATACCAAAATTAGGTCTTTGTGGTCGACATGTTACTATGAATCGAGGCTTCGGTCTTCATTCAGAATCCACCAGCGCACCATAAGAAAGGTCAGGTGCTTTTAGAAAAATATCCATACAAAGTCACTTGCCCAATTGCCAAGCAGCGAGGTGCCCTAATAGCGGCTAGCGTCGGCACTTTCCCCGATATTGCCGAGTACGAGGGATTCAACTGTGGTTGTGAAGGACTGACTAGCCCGAAACCAATAGCCCGATGCATGAGTCGTTAGCTCCGATTACTTAGGGGTCAGTACCCATCACACCGGGTTCATACTAACTGCCTTTGGCTATGTTCTATCGCGGAATAGCGGAAGCCAGACAACGGATTTAGCCGGTCAGCCCAAAGAGGCCAGAAAGCGACTTGGATTAAGGTTTGGCTTCCTAGGCTAGAACGGCAAGACGCCTAGCACACACCCCTTTCGTATACGTGGGACCTCCGCTAGCCTGCTGCTGGAGATTGCAGCCCCATGGGGTCCTAACGAGACGCGCCCATACTTGCAAATGCGTCTTTTTGGTCCCAACACAAGTTTTCCGGGACCCGTGGCGCGAGCATACCATCTGTGCTCCTGAGATCAGCTTCCCCTGCGTCGGTAATGGGAATCCGAGTGCTTGGTCACGAGAACTCAACCGAACAACCATAACCCAGCGACTGTTTTTTTTCAAAATCCTCTAGCCTCTTTGTCTACGCAGGTCGACCTCAATGATCGACCTTGCGTAAATGTCTTGTCCGCCACCTGTCGGTAACGTCCCCGATCGATATCACAATCGCCCCACCTACCACCTACCCCAGATTCACCTACTACCTTCATCCTCCATCGGCATCATCCCCGACCGAAACGAGCTGGCGAAACTATGTTTCCCCCGCAAACCCCAACTTTCCCTAGAATCAAGTGCCTCCCCCGCAGTCTAGATTGTGGAGGGAGAAGAAGAAACTAACATTTCTCCATGAGAGAGGGGTCTCCACTTCTTCTTGTGTCTGGCCGCGTGGTCAGTACCCTGTCGACCAAACGTACGATACTTGCTTTTTCCACCTATCGTCTTAATTCTACCAAGGCAGAATCTTTCAGCTCGAAAAACAGACGTGTTCCAGCTTGACTTCACCCCATAGCCTGCCACGCTTTATAGTACCAAGCCAAGCTTCTTGAGTCTAGCCGGCATCCCTCCCAACACATGGCGAAGCGTCTTCGGTTCTCAGTATATATTGAGCTGGATTCCCGTCGACGAAGACAGTTCCAACTTCTAACCATCCCGCCATCAACTCGAACGTCAATCTGATTTATTCCAAGAACACTCGAGATTATCTGTGGCCGTAACGGGTCCAACACAATGGGTCTTCCTTCTTTTCTCCAATCTGGGTCAGCCAGGGACGTGTACTCGCCCGAATTGCTTGCTGTAAGTTCTCTGTAATTCGTCAAGCAAAACCGTCTAACGCGACATCAAGGTGTTGCCAAGCAACGCGAAGCCCTGGTATCGGACGAAGCATCTGCTGCTGCTCAATTTCTTTCTCGCGATTCCCTTGCTATCCGCTTCTGCTGTTGGCTTCGATGGTAACACTCCTTTGCCCCATATCATCCTGATCAGCGTCGCTAAACTTCCATAGGTGCCATGATGAACGGCCTGCAGACGTTGCCTCAATGGCGTAATGCCTTCGGCAAACCCACGGGCGCTCTTCTAGGCTTTATGAATGCAGTTTATCCAATCGCCAAGATCACCGGATTGTTCCCCGCCACCTGGATAGGAGACAGATATGGAAGGAAGAAGGTATTGTATATTGGTTTTGCCCTTCTTCCTATCGGGGCTGCGCTGCAAGGCGCGTCGCAAAATACCCCTATGTTCATCGTCGCCCGATTCATGATAGGCTTTGCGACGTCGTTTCTCGCCCAGCCTTCGCCTATTCTTGTGACAGAGCTGGCATATCCGACGCACAGGGCTAGGGCGACTGCTCTATACAACACATGCTTTGTAAGGTACCTTATTTTGAGGCCTGAATAATACTAATCTATCTCAGTACCTCGGGGCCGTCCTCGCCGCTTGGTCAACATTCGGAACTTTCAGGCTACAATCGTCGTGGTCCTGGAGAATTCCATCCCTACTTCAACAATCCATACCTGCCTTTCAAACTGCTTTCGTCTTCTGGGTCCCAGAGTCTCCTCGGTCAGTTGTGTCCCCCCAACATGCCGCTGCTCCATTACTAACAATACCAGGTGGCTCATGGCCAATAAGAAGGAAGAAGAAGCTCGGCGTATCTTGACGAAATACCACGCTGGTGGCGATGAGAATTCGCCCTTGGTAGAGTTTGAGCTGAATGAAATTTCCCAGGCTTTAGAAATGGAAAAGGCGAGCGAGCACTCGCCCAGCTACATCGAGCTGGTCCGCACTGGTCCTAACCGCCACCGCACTGCGCTCGCTTTTCTCATCGCGTTTTTTACCCAGTGGAATGGCTGCAGCGTCTTGTCTTATTACTTGACACTCGTTCTCAACACCATTGGAATTACTGAGCCTGCTCAACAGACGCTCATCAATGGTATGCTGCAAATATTCAACTGGATAGTTGCTGTCTGCGGCGGTGCCCTCCTGGTAGACCGCGTCGGTCGCCGTTCGCTGTTCCTTATTGGCACTTCTGGCATGCTTCTTTCATACATTGCTTGGACTGCGTTAAACGCCGAGTTCGCAAAGACCCACGATCAACGTCTGGGAACTGCTGTCTTGGTTTTCATCTTCATCTACTATTTCTTCTACGACATTTCCTGGACTCCTCTGCCAATCGCTTACACCGCCGAGATCTTTCCTTATACCTTGAGAGGTCGAGGAATGACGACCAATTTTGTCGGAACATATCTCGGTCTCATCAGCGGACAGTTCCTCAATCCAATCGCAATGCAAGACATAAAGTGGCGATATTACATCGTTTTCTGCGCCATATTGTTTCTCATGGTTACCGCAATTTACCTCTGGGTTCCGGAAACAAAGGGTCGCACTCTGGAAGAGATCGCAGAGATCTTCGATGGCCCTCGAAGTCATTTGACTGCAGGCACCGCTGATGAGAACAGTACAAGAGTCTTCGCAAAGTTGTCTGAAGTGGAACTTAGGGAGGATATAGCAACTCGAGGTTAAGGATAAAAGGTGTCACGGGTTAGTCCCGCTTCTTACTATGGCGCTGCCATAGTTCTTTCACGGCACTTCCGTTCTGCCACTGCCTTGGCCGCTCCTTCTATCGCTGCTCCGCGGTTGTTCCAACTCCTTCTCTTCTGCAAGCTTTTTGTACACAGTTTGTTGCCTCGCTAGATTGAATTCAAGTCTTGCTTCAGCCCTTCACAAAAGGCAAAGCTTTAAACTATGATTACTAACTACTACTAACATCTATTCTGATTGATACTAGTACCTTTTGCAAGAGAGTGTACATCGAGGTCCGATATACCATCAAATAAGAGCATGAGCGTCGAATAGGCGTATCTAAGCCTCACTCTGGCTACCGTAAGAAGCTTACTGAAGAGGATAAAGCTCGCATTCTTCATGTTATTGCTGAAACGCCACACGTAACCTATGAAGATCTCCTTTCTGAGGTCTCTTATAAGGTCAAAAAGGATTCAATTCGACGTCCATTGGATGCCGAGAATATGCGCGAATGGCGCTGCTCCTAGCGGGTCTTAATAGGAACCGCATAAATTATATAGCAAAATGTTGATATGCGTCACCTGGAGCACCTCTCAGAGACCATGCCTACCAATTTTGAGGCTAATATTGAATCGGAGGGTTGGTATACGCCTAACTAGGACCTACTGGTGGTGTAGTTTTCTGATACAAAGTAGATTGATTAATCCCATGGCGTTCTCGGCGAGGTTTTGCGACCAGCAAAATATTACATAGTCTAGGTAGTGTGGGCAACCTAGGTGGTGTTACAATATCTGCGTAGGTATTGTATATGGAGCAGAGATGCCGGTTCAAAGGTTTATTAGCGCAGTCACCAGTCCTTTCACTCACTCACGGGATTTGGGTGGTCCCAAGCCCCCACGACCCGCCAAGAAGAAAGAGACGGGACGTCACCGATCGGGGAGCAGCGCCGACACATAAATTCTCCATACTCCCCGCTCCCCGCAGCATGACAGTAGAGCCGCCTGGTCCTACCACGACTCCTCCCCGACATCAGCACCTTTCATGGCAAGCCAAGATCCTGCAGCTCGCCAAGGCGCCGGTTCTAATGCTCCCGTCGTCAGATTTCGTGGGTCTAGTGCCTGCGAGAAATGCCGTCTCCGAAAGACAAAGTGCGATAACAGGCGCCCAAGTTGCGGATTTTGCTTGAAGCGACGTGTCACTTGTGTATACCAGGATGACAACAATGCAGGGTGAGAATTTGCATGCTACCCACAATATTCACTGAGCTATCTTCCTAATGTAGCCAGCAGACTGGTAACAGGGGAGGACATCCTCCAAGCGGTCAACAGGGTGGCGAACTTGATTGAGGCTCAACAGAGAGAACAACGGCAGCAGCAGCAGCAGCAGCAGTGGATGCCATGTGCATCTTGTGGGTCTCGCTCGACGCCTGCTAGGGGTCCGACATCACAATCCTGGTCTCCGTCAGCTTGCAGCCAACCCGACAATGCCAATCTAGGGCCAAGCGACCCGTCGCCGTGCGAGACCGTTCGACCTCAAGGGGTCGAATCGGTCCTTGGCTGGCAAATATTGGCCTCGAATCTTCCACCGTCTCTGTGTCTCTTTGACCAGCCGGTGGCCGAGGCCAATCAGCCTTACTCGCTGCCTGATATGAGCTATTCCCAGCTCTCGCGTCTGGAGTCGAAGTACATTGAATTCCTTCATACAAAGAATCCGATTCTAGATCTGAATGAACTACATCGTATGGTGCTTCACGTCGCGGAGAATGGGCCGGATTGGTCCACAAAAACCTGCTTGGTAGCCCTGGTTTGCGCAATTGCCGTCCTTTCTGAGGCTTATCCCGGGACTATAACGAGATCTGGGGCGCAGTCAACGCCTTCACTGGACCAGGACGATGAGAGCGGCGCCGACGCCAAGTTGTCGCTGCAGTTTTGGAACATTGCTCTGAAACGTCTCGGCTACGCAATGCGTGAGAATAGTGTTGAGGCTGTTCAAAGCCTGGTGTTAGCTGGAATTTGGTACATGCATCGAATGGAACCCCTCGAAGCCTGGAAACACTTCAACCTCGCTGGCGCAGCCTGGAACACCCTGAGGTTAACTCGATTTCCACTTGGTGATCTTATAGACAACACAGATACGACGCCCAATGAGCACACTATATTGCAAGCGCTCTACTTCACTATCTGGAAGTCAGAATGCGAATTGCGCCTGGAATTGCCGGTACCAGGTCCCCCTCTAATCAACAACACGTATTTCCCGCTGGCGTTTCCCCAGCCGCCCAGGCTTGGTTCGCAACCGTCGACGCCCGAGGCATCAGAGAGCGAGAGAAGTTGGTATTATTACCTCACAGAGATTGCAGCGCGACATCTGCTCAACCGTTTGGTGCAAATGAACTCGGAGTGTGCCGACACGCCTACGGAGAGACAGGTGTCGCTTCTAATTGGCCGTACTGAGATGATGCAGGCTCAAATATCCGACTGGTATACTTCGTTACCATCCATATTCCATTTTGCCGTCCCGGATGGCTACGATGCCGATTTCCAATCTGATCACATGATATTTGTTCTTCAGCATCGGTATTTTACCCTCCGTGAGCTCGTTTCAAGACCTTTCGTCCGGCTCTTTGTTGATGGGCTAATTGACGGGATGGATCCTTTGATTCGTGCTCGAGCTCGGTCATTCGCGTCAGAGTGCATGCAATTCTGTATGCTCAAATTGTCCCAAACCGTGGCATACCGTCATCAAGGAAACTGGTATCTGCTGCGATCCATGACGACTTCGTCATTGATTCTGGCCGCAGTTCACCTGGCACAATGCCGACTACGGGAGCGCGAAGCTGCCGGAGCCACGCCAACATCAGAGAACCTGATGCCGCCAGAAGCTTGGATATCGCGAGTCAAGGATGCTGTGGAGTCAGCCCAGCCCTTTTTCGACGAAACGAGCGGTGGCGCTTCGAATATGAAACAGATGATCTTGGCCGCACTGGAAGCTGCTCAGCAACGTTCGGCGTGGTGCGGTTAGAGGAACTATGGAAACATAGTGACTTCATACAATTGGCTACAATTGGCCACAGTCCTTGTACTGACTCTCCTCCTCCTGTACTAAACCGTATGGTACTGGAGCCTTTGAAATGGCCTGCGGCGTTCGTTTTGACAGTCGTCACATCGGCGAGTTAGGGAGAGGATATCTTCACGAGGGCTTCTTTCGCCGCGAGTCACCGCCTCTAATATGATTGACCATTATGACACGCGTCCTATCACATCTGAGGAATAGATTGACACGTGAGTCATCTATGAGGCGGAGCTTCTCTCCCTCCTTCTCCCCTCGTGCTCGTCGGAATCTCGGGCTTTCGAATCTAATACCCCCCGTCTGCCCAGAGAGATTCCAGTCAAATCGCCTCCCCAAATTCCGGCCTAGAAGTGACCGGCGGCGTGTCCACTGTAATTTCCCTCCTGGATGCCTCGATCAAGATCTATGACAACGCTCAATATGACTTCAAGTTATCTATGCTTTCGAAGTCGTTCGACGCCAGATGCCCGTTATCCTCCAATTCTTTCTGACATGAGATTGGACCTAGAACCGGATATAGGCTCTATGCCCTCGGATGTCTCTGCCACTCTGAACAAGATCCTTGTTGATTGTGATAAAAAGGCACAGACCACGAAAGTAATATTCGAGCGTGTCATTTCTAGTGAGAAGGATAGTTGGGAGAAATGATACGCAAACGTCATTCGGAGGCTTGGAAAGGGAAACGAAGTCGAAACGCTCATGGGTGCACTCGCTCAAGACGTCCAACTCCTCGTCAACAGCTTTGGTAATGTAGGTAAATAATCATTTTCTGAATATATAGGTTATCTCATACTAATTCTTACACTAAGGGACCATAGCATACTAAGGATCAAGCAAGAGCATCTTCTCGTTGTTGTTATATCAAGACTTGAAAAATTGTATTTACGCTTTTAGTGACCACACAGTCCCACCATTAGAGTAGATCGGCCTAGGGAGTGATGAAAGCCGCAACGAGGACGATCAATCTGGGAGTATTCTCCCTAGAGTATAAAGGGGTGCATTATTATTACGAGTCGGAGCAGGCACGTAGTATCAAGCGTGGTGGAAGATAGCGACATCATACCGGTTGACCCTATGAACGAAGCCCATGCTATAGCGCTCTTTCGGAAGAAGCTTGGAACGGAAGCCAATAGGGACAATATCATTGCGCTGACGACGGCACTGGAATTCATGCTACTTGCGATTGTGCAAACGGCGGTATACATCAAGCGCAGGGTACCTCGACTTTCAGTTCCACAATATCTGAATGATTTTTAGAAGTGTGACAGCCACAAGATCAGTCTTCTTGACTATGAGGCGGGGCATCTTCGCAGAGACCGAGAAGCCAAAAGTTCTACTCTCGTCACCTGGCAAATATCGTTCGACTTTACTTATCGAGGACAAATGGGATGAGGCAGAGCGGCATTTTGCGTAGGTCTTAGAGACCCGCAAGATAGAGCTCGGGATGAATTATCTTGATACTCTGCCAAGCACGAGCAGCCTGGCGTCGACCTACTCGAAACAGGGCCGATGGGAGTCTGGCGGAGGAACTCCAGGTGCAGGTCCTGAAACCTCGCAAGGCGAAGCTCGGGGTGGACCACCCCGATACGCTGACCAGCATGGACAACCTAGCGTTGATGGAAATGGGTGACCTGGGTGATCCGGGTGAGAATCCTCGCTCTGTTCTCACTCTCTCACCCCTTTCTCACCTCTGTCACCTTGGTTTCTAGAGTTCTCACCCATGTCACCCAAACTCACCTGAGATAAAATTCAGGAACAAAACAAAAACATACAACAGCCAGGATTCGCATGTGGTCACCCACCATACTACTAACTGGCCGGCGTGTGGCTTAAGTACGGCTGAGCGGACGGGAAGCCCTGTTCTCCACACCCTATGGTCGTATGTGCTCGTAAGAGTATTGAAACGAATTATATAGATACAAAAAAGAGAAATGTCGCCGACACTCTCTCTAGTTTATCACATTCGATCAAGCCTGGATATTACGGGAAGATGGCTGCCTGAGATCGCACTGGTTCCTACGATAGATTTTGTTAGTGATTAGAATGCGCCTTGTCAATTTAGCTGGTCAACATCCTGGCTGAACGATTATCCCTGGGATATGTACAAGCAGCAGTCAGGCAAGAATATATATCCGTATAGCTATTGTGAGCAATCCGCTAGTTTGTATCTATTGTGTTTGTTAATTTCAGATATTCATCATTTCCGTTATGTAGTGATCGGGGCCCCAGTAGATCGAAGAGGCAGGAATAGCAACCTTCCGATAGGCAAACTGTTAGCATGCAGGTACACCATTAGGAATCACAACGAGTCTAAATTGCTATACTAATAATCGATTTGATTGGCCAGTCCCGATATGCTGACAATCGACCGTCAATGATCGGCCGTCGCTAAACAAACAATGCAAACAAAACCTCGATCTCCAAAAAAGATCCCGAATCAGCGACATGGCAAACCGGTCTTTGACATTATCGTGATCCAAGACACCAATTACCATGTCCACTGCACGTCTGTCAACGTTATGGGCGCGGGAACTCCGCAGTTCCCAGAGTCAATGCCTCCATGTATGTCGACCACCCTTCCCAAGCTCTCCTCGTCAAAAGCATCCCTAACTCAAATACAGCGCCAGCTTAACCAGCGCGCATATCTCTCCTCCACGACTTCAGCTTCCGTATTTGCTAGCAGCACTGGCCGCAATGCTACCTCCCCGATGTCAGCTTCGCGCACTTCTCCCGTGCGCTCCTATTCTCAAGGCTCCGCCATCTCCCGCCTCGCCAAGAGCGCGTTGGCCCCCGGCGCATCAGCCGAAACCTATATCGCATACGGCATGACCCAGAAACTCTTCCAGGCATGCTCGAGCCAAGCAGACTATGAAGTGCCGCAAGCCTCACAGAAGGGCGTCCCCGTGCCGACCACCGAGTCTGGCGAGCATCTCGGCATTTCGGACAGTTGGTGGTATAAAGGTGAGTGAACCAGCCTTGGCCAGCATTGAGCTCGATACAACGGCCATTTTCCCTCCCCTTTCAGACGACTGACCCTGACCGTCGCGCTACGCTTGAACAGAACTCGGCCTCGTCCCTACATTCTCAACCTGGTCCCAAATCACCTTCCTACACATGTACCTCCTGACCGTCCGCCTGCGCGCCCTCCCCAACCGCGAATCTTTCCAGACTTACTCACGCCACCTAATCGACCACTTTTCCCACAATGCCGAGCACCGCATGGATGACCTCCATGACATCGGTTCTCGCTCGATCCGCAATAAGTACCTCAAGGACCTTTTCATCCAATGGCGTGGTATTATCGCCGCCTACGATGAGGGCCTGATTAAGGGTGATGCCGTGCTTGGCGCTGCCGTGTGGAGGAATCTCTGGAAGGCAGAGGCTACGGGGCCCGATGGGAAGGAGTTAGATTGGAGCAAGGTTGCTTGGGTGGTGGCCTATATGAGGCGTGTTACGGCACAGTTGGCTAAGATGGACGAGGCGGATATTGTGATGGAATTGAGTGGGGCTGGGGGCCAGGAGTCGAAGATTTTCGGGTTTTCGGCGATAGATCGGAAGGCTATTGAGGGGTTGTGATGATTTTGTGAAGTGAGAAGATAGAGGGTGGTTTGTTGATGGATGGAGCTCTTGGGATTCTTGGTGTTTTGGACTTTTCTCCATTCTTTTCTTTTCTCTTCAGATTGTGTTAATAGTAGGGATGGGGGAGATAGAAGGCAACCCGTTCGTTACGAGACTAATCCGACATGTACAATATTTGATTAGATGAAGATGCATTCATTGGAAATTTGGTGTATCAAAGACACGTCTCTTTCTCATTCTGAGGTGCTTTCTTTGCGGCTCACGGTTATGCCGAGCTTTTACTTCTTACCAAACAGGTCCTTCTCAACCATTCCCCGGCAAATCGGGTGGTAAAAGTCCTTATACTTCTCAAAGGTCTCAAGAGCAACGGGGCGGTTGATCCTCTGCAAGTTGCGGAACAAGGGTCGGACGAACTTCATGCGTCCAATGCGGCCCAGCAACTCGGTAGTAGGCTCAATGACACTCTCGTCTCCGGCCTTCATACCCACCTGCAGGTACAAGTTGGCCACCTCGATGTTGGAGCTCTTAGAAAGACCGTAAACCTCTCCCATCAGCTTGGACAGCTCAGGAGTAAGCGGCTTCTCCCACAGCAGAATCTGCTCGAGGAAGACCAAGATCTGGTTCGCAGCCAGACCCTCGAGATCGCTAGCCTGAGGTTTGAAAGAGCAGTCGGGCAGGGACTCCCACTTCTTGGCGAGTGCGTAGACAACGTCCACCATGGAGGTGTCAAAGTCCGGCTTGGGAGGCAGACCGGGTGCGTAGAACCACCTGTCCCAATCCAGCTCGTTCAGGAGCTTGGAGGCCTCGGCATCAGACTGGAAGAAGTCCAGGATGGTAGCCTTGAACTCGTACGAGTCCAAAGATTTGCACTTGAAGGTGGTGAAGTACTACCGAGGGGATTAGCACCAGGGTAAAGGGCAGGTGAGGTGATCCAGGGTACGTACGTGAGGAATGAACTTGTCAAACTTGGGCTTGCCAACGAGGTTCTCAATATGGAACAGGAAGTTGAACCCCTTCTCGTAGGGAATGCTGGAGAAAGCATCATCCGGGTCCTTACCCTTCAGGTCGGTGATCAGCTTGGTGAACTCGTGGTCCTCACCAAAGTGCTCCACGGAGTCCTTCAGAGCCTTCCAGCCGATGATGGAAGAGAAGTGGCGGTAAGCCTCGCCGTGCCTGCAGAAGTTAGAGCGAGTCAATAAGGGTCCTTGGTCGAAGATACGTACACGGCAGCCAGAATCTATGCGGAATCGAGTCAGTAAGTCATAATGAAAGGAAGACGAGCTCGAGAACAAGAGATACTTACGCGGCGCTCAAGGTAAACAGTCCAGCCCTCGTTCAGCCAGAAATGCTCCCAGGAGCAGTTGGTCACCAGGTTGCCACTCCAGCTGTGAGCCAACTCGTGGGCAATAACATCGACATTCTCACGGTCCTGTTGTGACAAGTAAGTTTAAGCCAGATGACAAAAATTCACCTGCTTTTCTGATGTAGAACGCACCTTGGAGATAATACTGGGAGTCGCGAAAGTGAAGATGGGGTTCTCCATGCCACCGTAGGGGAAGCTAGGAGGCAGGATCAGGACATTATATTCACCCCAGACGTAAGGATAGACAATTTTCTGCGCGCGATGTCAGCATAAAGCTTGGCGTCTAGAGGGTGGCCATTGCCGATAGATGGGAATTACCTCGATCGTGTTGATAAAGTTCTCCGTGTCGGCCTCGAGCTCCCACTTGCACTCATCCAGCTTATCCGGGCTGGTGGCAACCACACTACGGGGACCAATAGGTGCCTCGGCGACATCGCTTTGGATGGAAAGTCAAAGCGAGTTCATAACGGAGGTATTGATTAAAAAAGGGACCACTTACCCAGATGCAATGGCAAACAGATAGCTGGGAATCGGAACCGACTGGTGGAAGCGGTACAGCTGGTTTCCCGATTGGGAGGTCATCGAAGACTGCCGAATGGGCAGACCACTCGTCATGACCGGGAGCGGCGAGGTGATGTTAAAGTCGAACGTGCTCTTGACATCGGGGGTATCCTGGCAAGGGAAGATAGACCGGGCATGGATAGCCTGGCATTGAGAGACTGATAGAAGTTTATTTACCGTTAGAACGGAGTAGCCGGGATATTTTATCATATACTGGGCATCACCTACACATATACGGGTGCTTCTTGTTGGAGGTCTGGGCAGGGGTGAGCCACTGCAAGGCCGTGCACTTGTCGGTGGTTTTCACAGCAATCTACCTTGAAATCAGTGATATCCTTGATTTCGATTTTCGGGGTGAATACATACATCAACCTCGACGGTGCCATTGAGCTCGACGGGCTTGTCGAGGACGATCTTCAGCGGGGTGCCGTAAGGAGCGAGGGCGGGGAGGAACTCCCAGTGGGAGGGCTGGCCATCCACCTTGATGTCACCAATCTCCAAATAGCTGGTGTCGAGAATGATCTCTCGCGACTGGGCCTCGGTGGTGGACTTGAATTTGTGGACGACATTGCCAACCAGCTTCTTCTGGTCGAAGAGGATGTCAAAGTTGGCGGTGACGTGAGTGGAGCGCCAGTTGTTGTAGTTGCTCAGCGTGTTGGGATCACGCGGGGTGGTAGAAGCCACGGCCATACTGGAGAAGACGCGAGGGCGAAACGGAAAGGAACCCAGGTGAAGCTTGGAAGACGAGTAGAGACGTCCGAGCGGGCGGAAGATGGTCGGATTATTCATACGGTGGTGGTTTCCAGTCGAATAGTCCAGAAGAAAAATATTTTTTTTTTTGCCCTTGGGATCCGGTGCTAAGCGGGAGACCTCGAATGTCGGGATGGGTCTCTCTTTGCCGTGGTGAGGTTACATGGGGAAGATCAAGAAGGCTGAGCGTACCGAGTGTGTGTGTGTGTGATGTATATCATATGAGATGGATTTTTATAGTTTCGTATTATAGACGGGTAGTCATCTACGATGCCGGACGTTCTAGCTCGACCTGTTCGGATCTCTGATAACTCTAAACCCCGTGCAGTCTTGGCTTTTGTATACATCGACTGCTTGACTCGAGTATATAGCCTATAGCCATCTCGTATGTCTATGTCCATGTCTAACCAGCCAATTCGAGACTTGATCTTGATGATCACCTTCCTAGCTGTCTCCGTACTCACCTCCCACTTGCTGGTCCGCTAGGGAGGCAAACCACTTTCTCTTGCCCCCTTTTTTCCTCTCGACCCGCCCTCCACTCGCCTGGCTATCGTTGTACCATTCTTTTTACGCAGTAACTCCTCTATAGATTCAAGACATTTTCCGTTCTGCCTCTTCAGCTGCACTCGTGCTTTTCCTTTCTTTTTTTTTTTAATCGTTCACTCCCTCTTTCTCTCTCTGACTTCTCTCCCACGAGCTCATCCTTCTCGCCCCCTCTTCCATCTTCTCCTCCTTCCTCCCCCCGCATCGACCATTTTCCCGGCACTTCAACACGGACCACCCCTGAACCAAACCAAACCAGACGCAAATCGGACCAAACGGACCTTCCAGTGGGACCGCGGCCCCCCCTGAACGTCGCCCTTCCTTTACTCATTATACTCATCACACACATATCACACACACACACACACACACTCACACACACAATCTTACGACACGATCTCTCTTCGGTCGCGGTCCTCCCCCTCTCGGCCTCTCTCCTTTCCTCCACTTTGCGCCGTCCAGCCCTGAATTCTCCAATTGTGCGAAATGTCTGTTCTGCCTGCGACCACCTTTCGATAGACCCCTCGATACTGTCGATAAAGCAATGTGTACGAGTATCACACCGTCGACCTAGCATGAACGGCTCCTTCTCGGATATACTGCAGTCAATCAATCCATTCGCCCGTCCGATCGCCCGCCAGTAGTCCCAGTATCACCGCTTCACGGACCCTCCGCCCCCACTGTCGCGACCATCTTCACATCTTCCAATGCCAGGCTTCGGCCTATGAACCGACTTGAATTCCCGAATCTCATCCCTGCGCCCACCTTGAAAATGCTACACCGCTCGGCCCTGGAAGATGAACCGCGATCGTTCCACTCGAGACGTCCCTCGGGCCCTCTGACGGAGCCCCCGTCTGGCCCCCTCCCCAATCGACCAGCCTCGCGCACGTCACGGCCAGCCTCGAGGAATCGATTAGGAAACCCTTCCGGTGCGGGTATGTCCACGGGATTGGGGGTGGTGTCGGAGAACGGAGCGGATCGGCCTCTCATACTGGCACCCACGAGTCCCATTAAAGAAGGACTCGGAAGTCTGAACCGCTGGTCGCAGTCCACTGCATCCAGCAAGAGTCCATCAGAATATAATGGCCATCGTCGCGGGAGCTCCAAGATGTCCCTCTCGGGTCACAGCCCACATCACGCCCCCGGGCTGGGCGAATTGCCCGAGCTGAGCCTCCCCGAGCTAAGAGCATCGGAGATGTTCTCGTCCGACCCAACCACCTCCCATCTCGACCTCTCCTTCACAGCGTCTAGCCATATATTCCAGAATTCTTCGGGCAATGACCCTCGAGACCTGGGCAATCTTCCACCCTACCAAGACTCCACAACGACGCGCACGAATGACGGCGCGGCCTATGCAGATGGTGAAGGTGACGGCGAGAATCGGCAACATGGACAGACGCAAAAGGCAATGCTGTCGAAAGCACTGCAAAAGGCGAACACGGCAGTACTGTTGGACAATGCCGCGAATTTCGAGGGCGCAATGGAGGCTTATACCGATGCCTGCCAGCTGCTGCAATTGGTGATGTTGCGGAGTAATGGAGGCGACGAGGAGAAGCTCAAGCTGCAAGAAATCGTGAGTCTGCCAACTCGAATCCGCTGATTTCTTTGATAGGCGGGAAAGACCACGATCGAAACTAACTTTCTGTGCAGCGCGATACCTATATGATCCGAATTACCGAACTTCAGCGCATGGACTTCCCAATGCCGGACAATGATGATAAAGCGCTCCCCGAGCGTCCTTTGAGTCAAGAGTCCTACGGGGAGCTCTTCCATGCCTCTTTCCACGATGACTCCCATATTGAGAGCCACAACAGTTCAGCCCACTCCAGCCTGGGCCTTCAACCGGCCTTTGAAGAATCCAAGTCTCTCCCTTCCGAGGCCATTCCTCCCCGCCGTCAATCGCTACGACCGTCTGCACAATCGGGCAGGACTACTCCCGCCGGCCTGGGGAACAATCTGGCAGCTTATAATGGACATTTCCTCGAACCCGCAGCGGTGCAAGAGTCCAACGAATCAACCTCCTGGCTTGACACGATTGACGAGTCCGGTGCCTCTTCTCCATCGTCTGCAAACTCCAAGGCCTCGTCCGTGTACTTGCGTCGGCGGACCAGCCGCCGCCTCAGCACCGATACCGAAGCCGAATTTGATGCAGCCCTCGACGCTGCAGTGGAAGCCGCATATGACGAAGGCCTCGAGCCCGTGATGGAATATAAAGAAGAGGAGAGCGATGATATAGTAGCGAATGCGCGCAGGAATATTGAGCTGGCAAAGCAACGGGTACGAGAAGCGGAATTGGAGGCCGAGGCTGCCATGAACCGTGGTCGAGAGTTCCGCCATAATCAGGAACAACCCATCTTGGACAACCCCGTGGGCCGAAATTCAGAGTATCTGGACGAGGAGGCCGAAGAAGAGGAGCGTCTACTAGAGGAGATGACCAAGGGCTACGTAATGGATGATTTTGAGTTTGGCATTCAATCCAAGTCTGCCCTGCCTCGAGAGTCGGATTCCAGTAATATGTCTGGGCGAACCTGGGAAAGCTCGGCTGCTTCAAACATTACTGGCAACGGTGGTGCGACTCTGTCTACCCTTACGGAGGATGATGATCATATTCTTCCTCCCGACTTGATCGACAGGAACCACTTGCCATCCTCTCCACCTACGGCGGCATTACCCCCGATCCCCGTTTCGTCTGATTTCCCCGGTCTACCACCTCACCGAGCTTCGTTGTCTCAACCTCCTCCTCCGCCTCCCATGGGTCCTCCCCCTGTCCCTGGAGTTCGGGCACGAAGACTCTCTGGACAGGCTTCCAGTGAGTTGACGATCGAAACCGGCACACGCCCTCGCGGCGATTCCACAATCTCAAACGTCGATCCCTTCACGATTCCCTCTGTGGGCCTGGCCCCACCTCCTCTTCCCAAGGACGAGCCCTCGCAGGACCCGCGTCCTAGGTCTTCAACGCCCAGCTTGCGTGGCAGTCTACACCCTTCAAAACGCAATCTTTCAGTTGGCTCGGTCGTGGACAACATCAACCTAGCCAAGTCCCGTACTCACGAAGATGACGAATCTGGACTTCCTCCACTTCCTGCCTCTGCACGTCCAATGGGCAAAGTTCCCTCCGCTCCAGACGGCCTTGACAAGGCCCATATCAACTCCAAATCCGTCCGCAGTCGCAACGTCTCTGTTCCTATTCCTGATACCGCGCCAGGCTCTCCGACCACTCCGTGGAGTGGTTCGTTCCCATCTCTGGATACCCAAAAGGCTTTAACGATACCTAGCGTTCCTGTCCTGCCGACCCCAACCGCCGCGAATTTCACCCAAAACGGTCTTCCCACTGGTGGTCTCAACCTTTTCGATTGCGATATTCATTCTCCCACTGCTTTAGGACGTCCGAACTCGCTCGTTCACAATGCCCCTGTCCCACTTGAACCCTGTCCGGAATCCTTCCTCCTCCGCCCATTTTGGCTTATGCGATGCCTGTATCAGACGATCTCTCACCCACAGGGCGGTTACCTGTCCGCCAAGCTCTTCGTTCCTCGTGACGTTTGGCGTGTGAAGAACGTCAAGATCAAGTCTCTCGAGGATAAAGTGTCTAACTGTGATCTACTGACGGCGGCCCTCCTCAAATTGGCCCAGGTGGATATGTACGACGCGGATGCAGTACTCGAAGAAATGCAATCATTCGAGGGCGTTCTGGAACAGGTCCAAATTGCATTGTCAAAGAGGCTGGGTAACGAGGTTGGCATTCACACTGCCGTTCCGTTGTTCAAGTCCAACGCGTCCTTTGATGATGCTGCTCATCCCGAACTGGCCTCCTCCAGGACCTCTGGCACTTCCAATAAATCATACCGGCCGACGTGGAAACGCCTGCGATCCAAGACCTCGGGGATTGGCACTACCACCCCGACAATCTCAACTCCTCGCGATAGCAACAAGGAGCATGTGACTTTGAACTCGGTTCCCATGACGGCGGCACCCGTAGGCCAGGCTCGGCGCAGTGTGACCTCGCTGGATTTCTCGGGTCCAAATTCTCATTACATGGGCGCATTAGCACGGCTCTTTGATGCTGCTCAAATACTAGGTATGTGTTGATACAACTATTGTGTTTTTAGTTTCTAGGCTCCCATGCTAACCGATTCCAGATCAAATCGCCCAGCAAGTCGAGGACCCAGGGCTCAAGCATTCCTCTCAAACCCACGTGGGCCTGGAACTGTGCACGAGACACGCAGCCGAGTTTTTCGGTTTCTACATTTGCCGCTTCGCATTGGCTGATGTTGGCCTCATGTTGGACAAGTTCATCAAGCGTGGCAGCGAATGGGTGTTGATCTAGTTCATTTTGCTATGTCGTGATATGCCTCTCTTATAGTGGAGGATTGCCCTCTACCTCACCATTCCCCCCCCTTTGTCGCCCAATCATCCATCCCCTTCTCTTCCCAGAATAGATCAGGCCTTCCCTCCTTCTCTGAGTGCCTGTTTGATACCTCTCCCCCGATCTACCTGCCCATATTATTCTGACGTCTATACTATTTTCACCTAACACTCCGCCATGTCTTTAAGATACCATGCCATGATTCGCCTCGAGATATGATTTGAAGAACATAATTGCCATTGTGATGGGACTGACTGAATTGTGCTTACCTAAACCATAGCTGTTTCTGGTGCCCCCCTTATATCATCTCGATATGTCTCCCCTTTATCATATCCTAAATCTGTGTTGCACTCCCCCGCTTCGTCTCAGCCCCCCCCCTCCCCCCCCAAATCCTGATCTCAACATACACCTCACCATTACATACCAAGTGCTGCATTTGATACGTGAGTTACGACATTCCATTTTTGATCCTGTTCAAGTCTCTTTTGCGATACGAGCATTGATAGAGTATATACATCATGAGAAAAAGATTCCAAGTTGTTCATGAGCCCATTCATAAACGCTGTAATTTATCGAAAGCCAAAACATCCCCTCCCATCTCTTTTGTGTCAAACTGGAAGTCGAGAAAAAAAAAGTGGCCCTCCACTTGCGCTTCAAAGACTGATCCCCGCAGAACGAAGACATATCTGCCGTCGTCGCTCGGCGTCCCGAATAATTTCCGAGGATAATTTGAGACTCGGCGCCAGATGCGCATACCGCTCAACTTCCGCAACGACACTAGAAATGATTGCATCCACCCGTACCGGAGGCGGGAGCAACGTAGATAACGTCGGTGACATGGTCGCGCCCATGATTAATAGTGTTTGCGAAACCATCGATAAAGCTCCCTGCCATAGATACGGAAGATGGCCTTCGCGGTGACTGGTGACGTGTTCTAGCTGTCGTAGCGTAGCATCGAGACACCTGCGACAACACTCGCGGACGCCGGGGTCAGCACCGGCTTGTTCGTTTTCGAAGACGGCGAGGATGTACGGCCGGTATATGATTGTGCGGCACGCGTTGTATCGTAGTCTCAGCACCGTTTGGACGGGGTTGGAGAGTGGTGATTGGGTGAGTGGGAATTGAACTGGTTGTGGGAGACTTTCGTACCATTGGGAGAGCTGGAAGTCTAGCTCTGAGACTATCGGGCCTAGGGAGGAGAGTGTGTGCGTGCCGTCCTTTTGGTAGATGAGATGGCTGACTCGGTTTAGGAGTCTTCGTAAGGCGATTTCGGCAAGAAAATACCAGAGTTCGTCGCGTCCCGTGGTTTCTTCTGGGAGTCTACCGCTGCGGTCTTCTTTTTCGGTTTCGCCGTCCATTCCTTCGTCCTCGTCCTCGTCTTCTTCTTCGAAGCCGCCTGGTAGATCGACTACTTCTTCAAAGTTCACGATGCCGGAATGGGGGAGGTCTAGCTCGGCGAGGAGGTCGCTTTCGTACAGAAGGGAGTTCCAGTAGACTCGCACACTGAGTTCTTTCCATTGTGCAGGTACTCGGTTGGGGTTGCCTAAGAGCAGCTGAAGCTTCATGCTCACATTGGATAGCAGTGTCCATGCTTCGAGTGGTCGTACTAGGTAGAACAGGTAGGCCGATGCGAGAACCATGCACTGTGCGGCAATCGCAGAATTCCGCATCATCACGGAGGGTAGAATCGACCATGCTGCGGCAAAGTACGGGAGTCCGGGTGGCTCGTGATCTGCTGGTAGGAACGAGATGCTGCCATTGCGACTCGCAGCTCCGAGGGCTAGTACCAGTAGCACGAGACAGCTCACAGGCCCATCTTGGAATCCTTGCGCGAGAGCAGTTTGGTAGTATCGGTTCCATGTATATGGGTTCACACATGCGTACCAAACATTGGCATGGTTGAAGAAGGCCTGCACGTACGCTGATGCGTTGGCCAAGTCGAAGCCGGAATTAGGGTTCAAACGCAGTGGTTCACGCGCCATTTCCAATTGAAGCAGATTCTGGGGATCGTAAGGCCCCGATACCAGATCCCGGATCAAGGGCCATTGGAGAAGATGTAGGGCAGGGGTGCTGTGTACCTTGGGCATGGTTGATATACTAATGCTGGGCGGCGGATTGGCCCAGGAGCCCAATCCCACCGCATTCATTCTCCCAGATGTTGACATCCCATTCATCCTGGTGATGGGATCTTCACTACCGATACCGGTGTCGTTGCTCGTCGCCGGGGATGTCGACGACATGGCTAGATGATGCGGACCTTGTGCTACCAAGCTGGAATGAAGCAGCCCCTCGATTCGGGTCAGATGTTCTAGAATAAGCTTGTCGCCAGCATCAAGCTTAATCCCTGGCTCCCGGTACACACACTCGGCATCGAGATCGGAGCAAAGCTGGCATTTCGGACGGGCTCCATTGCATCTTGTCTTGCGTAACCGGCATATCTGGCACTGTCGAACTTCTAAGCTTGCCGGTATCTAGCAGTGAAGTGAGATAGATTGGAAGGAAACTCACGGCGATAGTTGCCCGTCTCCGCGGGTACTCCGCCGCATCTTCACTGGAGCGCTTCTTCGTGCCTGATAGATCGAGGTCGCTCCCTATGATGGGATCAACGTCTCTCTCTGGAGGCGGGGTCATGATCGGCAGCAAAGGATGAGAAATGTAGTGAAGACCTCGACAAATTCGACAAATGGTGAGCTCCTCCTGCGGATAATTGATGTCGGAAGCTATACCATTCCACTGGCGAGATTGTCGTGTAGCTTCGCATACCATTACTATACCGGAGGTTGTGGAAATCCAGAGACAGTCCCACAATGATGGACGGGGCAACAGTCTAATTGAGCATCATTTCCCCAGAGGTTATGCCCGTCAGATGTCGCATTGGTTGCAGTGCACAGTACCATTGAACAAGTCAGATTGTGCGAGAATATGTAGTCCCAGAGAAAAAAGTCCGGGGAACGGCGGGGCAGTACATTATTCCTGATTGCGTTGAGCTGTACCGCCCCTCGAGGTTTAACCAGTCTGGGTTTAGTGGGCCTGGAGGACTCTCATGGCAGCAAATCACCGTTGACTGCGAAGTATCTGGCACACGGAGGAACTCGTCCGTGGTTGATTTGGCAGTCCGATCAGGATCAGGCCATCGGTCCGGTCTCACACAGAGGTGATAAGTGGACGGTCAATCAGATACCGCAGATGCGAATGATTGTAGTAATGACCGAATAATTGGCCTGTTTTCCATAATGTTGTTGAGCCTACTGAGCGTTTGGAGTTTGTCAAAAAGTCCAACAGTTCGTCTCGATTGCGGCTGATCCGATAACCCGATAAGCTGATAAGATTATCACACGTGGACGCGTTTGGCCCAAAACAAACGCGCCTCACTTTTTCTCCTTCGCCAAAAGTCGCCCTCGCCCATTCCCACAACCATGCCTCGTCCTGCTCCCAAGCGAAACAGATTGACAAAAGGCACCAAGGTCGCCAAATCCGAATCCACGAATCAACCCGACCAGACCGACTCCAATGCCGCCAAATCACCACCCGCAGAGAGCGCGTCCGAGGACCCTCGACGCACCCTCCGAAGCCAGACACCACTGACCCAGCGCAATGAGCATGCGATCGAGTCCTCACCCATTGGAGAACGGCCAGGCACTGGTAGCCGCCCCGGAACGGGCAGTCGACCCCCTACGCGATCTCGTGGTTACTCGTCAACACTATCCTTTGCGGGGCGCAAAGGTGACACAAGCTCGCGCGTTCCTGATACGCCTGGTTTCGAAAACTCCGTTCTCAAGAACTTCCGGCGTCGCCCACGACAGCAGAGTATCTTGCAAATGATGCAAGGAGAGGATGATTCACTAGAGTTGGACGACGATGATTTTCTGGGCGGGCTCAGTCCCGAAGATGAATCTACACCATTACACCTTTCTCGAGGCAAATCGCTTCTGATACAACAAGACGACCAGTCACAATCGCCTTCCAAGCAATCGCCTTCCGAATCTATACCCTCATCCGGTGGATCGCGCAAGCGCAAGCGCTCGGATCAAATCCAAGTGCCCCAGTCGCCTTCCGTGGTAATCACGAATAGCATCGTGCAAACCATCGAGGATACCCCTAATTCAACACCTGCTCTTCCCGAACCGACTCCCGATGTACCCGACGATACCCCTCGACCCCTACGATTTGCTGAGATCTTGAGCCAAACGATGCTCAGTCCTATGAGCTCCATCGCCACGGGCCCTGGGTCTCCAGGCATCATTCCCCAGCCCGCACTCGCAAGCAAGAAATTCAGAGATCCCGCTCATATGTCTACCGCCGTATTACAAGAACGACTCCTCCCACGGCGACGACAGCGCCCGCGTAGAGGCCGGCCAGTGGATCAGTTTGATCTTCCCAGCGACGAGAGTGACGATGAGGACGAGCTGAGCTATCTGCCCGCCCGACGATCTAGGCGGAGCGGGACTTCGAGCAAACCCGAACCTCTAAGCAATGCCCGGGATAAGTCCAAACTCAACAATCAAAAGCAAAGAAAAAGTCGGTCCAAGTCTGCTCCAGCCGCAAAATCTACGGACGCGCAAAAGTCGACAAGACGCTCGCGGTCACGCAGAAGTGGAGATATCGACAAGGAGAATGAGCAAAACCTGTCCTCACCACCATCCTCACCTTTATCCTCTCCGCCCGATTCAGATGCGTCCGAGTCTGAAGCCGAAGTACAACCGCGTCGCGTCATGAGCGCAGAATTGCGCGCTGCGGCGGCAAAGTTTGCCGAGGTCGATAAATGGGAAATGGAGTTTGAAGATGTTTCTGCATCCGAAGTATAAGGTTTCTTGGTGGAGTCCTGGTGACAGTTTACAGTTTATGCTACAGTTAATGATTCCCATATATCCCCCGGCAAAGAAATGGATGGTTGACGCGTAATGAGACAAAATTCAATTGTTGTGATCTCTTTCTCTTCTACTTGTTTTTTTTTTATCTAAAATACCGCCAATAGCCGACGCCCCTCTCTCAACCAGAGGAAAAACAGAAGAGAATGAAAAAAAAACGGAGCCCCGCACACCAAATGCAACCCCGCGACTTCCTGTCACCTCCGTCTCTCCCTTCATTCTTCACGATCGATCAATAATTCACAATGCCGTCGGTTGATGAAATTCTCGCGGCCAAGTATCCGGCCAAGGCCCATGCGCGCCGTGTCGCTCAGGTCCTCCAGGACAAGCACGGCGAGGCCGGCGTGATTTACCTTGAGGCGCAAAAAACTCGCCTTATCGAGGACAATGACGAGGCCATGCCTTTCAGGTAAGTCGGAAGGCTTGACTTATCCACCAGAGCTTCTCCTGTGCCCACGGTCCTGCCGGAGTCTTTGTCATGTGCTAATTGGAAACCCCCATTCTAGACAGCGTCGCCCGTTCTTCTACTTGACTGGCTGTCTGGAGCCCGATTCCTCGGTCGTCTACGACGTCAAGAAGGACGAGCTGACTCTCTTCATTCCCCCTATCGACCCCGACTCGGTCATCTGGTCGGGCCTGCCCTTGTCGCCCGAGCAGGCGAAGAAGCTCTACGACGTTGACCACGTCCAGTACACGACCGATGTCAATGCGACCCTGGCCTCGATCGCGTCCGCACAGGGTGGAAAGACTTTGGCGTTTGCTATTGAGGAGCAGGTCTCCGAGGGCGTTGAGTTCAAGGGATTCGCGCAAGCGAACCTCGGCGTTCTGAAGACTGTTATCGGAGATGCGCGCGTTGTCAAGGATGCGTACGAGGTTGCGCTTTTGCGCAAGGCGAATGATATCTCTGCCTTGGGACATATTGCTGCTATCAAGGCCGCTAAGACTGCGAATAATGAGCGCGAGCTTGAAGCTGCTTTTATCAACACTTGCATTGCCAATGGCGCTCGGGAGATGTCTTATCACCCCATCTTTGCGGGTGGTGCCAACGGCGCTACGCTGCACTACGTCAAGAACGACGAGAGCTTGACGGATGCGGGATCTCAGCAGCGCAAGGGTAACCTGCTGATCGATGCTGGTGGCGAGTATCAGACTTACTGTGCTGATATAACTCGTGTCGTTCCTCTGGCCGGCACTTTTCCTCTGGAGACTCGCCAGATTTACGAGATCGTTCTGGAGATGCAGAATGAGTGCATTGCCGTGTTGAAGGATGGCGTGTGCTGGGATGACGTGCACGCTTTGGCGCACCGCATCGCTATCAAGGGCCTCCTGAAGTTGGGAATTCTTCAGGGCTCGGCGGACGAGATCTTCGAGAAGCGTGTGAGCGTGGCGTTCTTCCCCCACGGTCTGGGCCACTACCTAGGCATGGATACCCACGACACTGGCGGCTATCCCAACTACGCCGATACCGACAAGATGTTCCGCTACCTGCGTGTCCGGGGCAATCTGCCCGCTGGCTCTGTGATCACCGTTGAGCCCGGCGTAAGTTAACCCGCCCTTTGCCGTCGGTATGCTATTATCATTCGTCACTGACCTTGCGCTATTTTACAGATCTACTTCTGCCGCTTCATCATCGACCCCGTCTTGCAGTCCCCCGAGCTGAGCAAGTACATCAACACCGAGGTTCTGGACCGCTACTGGAGCGTTGGAGGTGTGCGCATCGAAGACAATGTGCACGTCACCAAGGACGGCCCCGACAACTTGACCTCGGCCCCCAAGGCGCTCGTGGAGATCGAAAGCCTTGCGCAATAAGCAAGCTCCTCTACGGAACCGGTCAATGCAGATATTAAGATAAGACAACATATAGCGAGCGTTCGCGCAATTGCAGTAATATGAGCACCTGATAGTCACAATGACACATACAGGCCTCCTGGTGAAACTTGGTATTCGATTCGAAACCTACAAGATCGCTAATAGATGTGTAAGGGGGAAATGGTATCGTGATGCATGCATATTGTAGAAATCGGGGGTTTCCTTGACCCAGCCCAACGGTTTTGTAGAGAGCTTCTCCTCACTTCTCACTGGCCCTCAGGCGCTTCCGTCCCCTTGGGGTCGACTCCGCCTCTGCAGGGCCAGACTTCTCCTTGCGGTCCATCAGAATCTTGAGCACGTCGGTTGTGAACTCGGGGACTTCGAGACACATGCTGTCCCAGTCCCCTTGAACGTCGTGTCTCAGCAGATGGCCACGAGAAGCCCAGTAGGAGGCGACGGGCTTGCGGATAGTCGTATCCTCCGAGGAGGTGTGCGTGTAGACGTATCGGGCGTAGGACAGCTCGCCACGGGGAGTGCCGTTGACGCGGTGGATCTTGGTGTGGGCGAGGCTCTTGAGTTGTGGGAGACCCAGCTTCTCCGCCAATGTATAAATGCGCGCGTGTCGCAACAATTCATCCCCAGTCGTATCGATCACGCGTTCTGGCTCATCGGATATAGAGGGGTCCTCTGGCTGCGTAATCGTGTAGTCGCGTGTGTACTCGAATTGTAAGAAGCATCCGAATGCATCGACGTCTTCGCCCGGGAGCTCAATACGGCGCTATGGAGGGTGAACCTGTTAGTACCTGCGATTTTGATACAAAAGAAAGAACCGTTGGTGAAACTACAGGGCCTGATGACTCGAACTTGCCCACAAATTCAGAGAGGAAGGGGGATTCCAGGAGCAGGGTTTGGTGAGCAGTCAAAACGGTCTGTTGATCGCCTTCGCCAACGACAATCTCGACAATCGGGGAGGTAAGGAAGCTGAGAGATGTGAGCAGAGAGTTGACAAGACCCGTCTCCCTCAGTGGGAGGGGCAACAGGTATCGCGTCATCCGGATATGACCAGCAAGGGCTGCAGGGAGTGTGGTGAGAGATGAGGACGGGGTCTTACTCCAGGAACTTGAAGGGCGCGATTTTCTTTGCTGGGGTTGGAGGTTCAGGCTCAGTTTGCGCATCAAGCAGAATAATATCGCCTCCAGCTCTAGCAGTGGGTTCCGTGCTCCCAGCCGATTCAGTCTGGGGGATCGACGTCTCTTGGGTACCAGTCATTTCCACCTCGTTGGACGCATTGTTTGCTCCATTCTGCAGGTCGACTCTATCCGTACCGGAAACTTCAACTGTCGGAGTGTCATCCATGGTGATGGCCCGGAAATTGAGGAATTGAGGGCTGTAAGGTGGTTCAAAGAGGGTGAGGGGAAAGTTGAGTGGAGAGAAAAGGAGAACCGTTGGAGAAAAGACGATAGCTTCCCCAAAGCTTCTCTCCGCGGGCGGACATCGCGCCTTACATTCCTTCTCGAGTTTCGCAATCAAATCAATCACCTTTTCTCACTTCTTGCTGTTAGATTGTAGAACTTACGTGATTTACTTTGATGTCATTTATTTACTCGACTTAATCTGACCAAGTAGATCTGGATTACCCCAAGTTCCCGAACCGTGGCCAACCTTAAAAGAGGGTGTGGGTAAGGTATATTCCTACTGTACTCCGTACACTCTCGAGTCCCACCGCCACGAAACGCCAGGCCACATAAGGAAGAATCCCGAAATAATAAAGTTCGTGTGTTTATTTTTAATACAATAGCTTCCCCGAACTAGAATTAAAAAAATTACGTTTTGTCTTTCCATCGTTGTGCAAACAAGTCAAACACCAGAGCTGGTGCCCCAGAATAGGCGAGCTATAGCCTCTGATCAGAGGACTTCTGCAGCTCTAGACCATTGTAAATTGTGATAACTTGATAAGTTGAAATAACATATCACAACATATGTTTCCACAATATTTTTTCCTTACGTTCCGCCATCAAAGGCTCGATCTCAATCCCGAGCCATCTCGCGGAGCCGTCACGAATCATAAACTCGACCCGAGTGGCACTGGGAACGCCCCAACCCACTGCGATTTGAAGCCACTGCGTGCCGGAGATATGGAAAAGATCAATGACCATATCTTTCGAATACTCATTGGAATTGGCAAAAGAGGCACACAGGTCGGGCGTCGTTCGGTTCAGCCCCGTATAGTTTCTATCGTCTCCGGTACAGTTACTGGTCAAAATCAGGTCCGGGTAAGCTAGGTGTGAGTAAGATCCTTCGAAGAAAGAGAAGTTAAGAGGGCTTGGTAGGGGAGGACAAGGGATTTTGGGGTAAAGCTCGAAGAGGAAGCCTTCGGAAAGTCGCGTGTTGTTGATCACAGCATCGCCCCTTTTTTATCATAAAATCAACAACAGTGATCCAAGTAACAATACCAATTCGCGGGAGGTGATTTTGCATACCTTGCCACCCAGTCAAACCGACTTTCCGGGGAAATACCCAACTCCTCATCGATCAGATGATAGGCAAGCACGTTGGCCGCAGCATCAACCCCGTTCATGTTATTTCCCAACAGTACGAGCCCGAAGTTCCGTCGTGGTAAAAGAACAACGCACGCTCCATACCCGAATTGAGCTCCCCCATGGGATACTATCACCTCGCCATTATACGAGTCTAACATCCATCCCAGTCCATAAAGTGTTGGAGTTTGGAACGGTTCGATAGGATTGCGGGATACAATCGCATGGCTGCCGAGCAATGTCGCATAACCCGATTGGGAGAAGGGTGGCCCACGATTCAGCATGGTGGAAATCCACTTCGCATAGTCTGAGACTGATGACAGTGTATTGCCTGCCCCGCGGAGAGTTTCTATGGAGACTCGATCGGTGGAGGTAATATTGCCATCCTGATTCAGATAGTAGCCTTGTGAGATATCCCGTTGTGCGCTTTGTGCTTCATCCAGGGAAAGATAAGTCTCGGTCATGTTCAGGGGCGACCAGATCCGGTCTCGTAGAAAAGACTCTACGGACTGGTTCGTGAGGGTCTCGATGAGATGGGCCGCTACACCGTACATCAGGTTGCAATATTGCCATTCCGACCGCGGAGAGGCCGTAAAGGGAAGGTATCTCATTGACTTGATAGCTTCCTGAAGCGTGATGTTAGCAAGCCACACCCAGTCATGGCGTGGGAGGCCAGAGCGATGTGATAGAATGTCAATAATCGTCATTTGTGATGTAGCCCACGGATCATTGAGTACAAAGTCGGTTGGAAGCAGAGTATGGACCGGTGTATCCCAATGGACGGCTGGGAATTTGATATCGTCATCAACGAGAAGGGAGATCGCGGCAGAGACGAAGGCCTTCGTCGTACTTCCTGTAAAGAACAAAGTGTGTTCTGTCACTGGCCTGGAAGTGAGAATATCCGACACGCCGTAGCCCTCCATAATTCTTATTGTCAGTCCAAGCACCGATACGCTGACCCTTGGGGAGTTCACCGACTCACTTTTGAATAAGTCTCTCCATGGGATACTGCAACGGCGAGGCCTGGAATGTTGAAATGTTCAAGGGCCCACTCGACTTTTTGATCGAAAGACGAGTCCAAGGGCGACGCGGACTGGTGCTCGTGTGCTGGAAGAGTCTTTTGCGTCTCGGAACTGGCCAGGACAATGCCTAGGAGGCCGAACGACGATAGCAAGCGCATGTTGCACAGAAATGACACGAGACACAAATCAGCTACGAGTGAAAAGTTAAGTAACTGGCAACGTCTTCTTTGCTATATAACCATGTAAACTCGAGCAGTTATCTAGGGAGCGGGGAAGGGAAGCAAACAAGTTATGTAATCGAAAGATCGAGCACGACTCTCAGCCACGCAGAACGCCGTACTCTATGCTGTGCTGCAACGCTGCCAATCATCCTTGTATAAGAAGAGGCTCTGCGGATAGGACTTCTGTTGCAACCCGCAGCCTGTGCCATATCCAATACAATTAGTTCCCCACTAAAGATACAACAAGCTCAGACTTGGGAGAAATTAGGTTCGGAGCCACCATCGGTTCGACCACGTGTGATTGATTGAAACGGGTTTCTTAGGACCATTCTAGAGGAGGTTTTGGTAGCAGATGTATTGAATTGAACGAGCAAGTACATGTAATTAATGCGTAAATTATGTCAGAAGCAATACGCGGTGTACAGTGTGTAATACACGGAGGTGCCGCGGATAACTCCCCAAAGAGACTAGTGGATCTTGGCAGTGGGGGCGAGAGTCTCTCTGGAAGAGGGTCGGTGCACCAGTTTCGAGTCGCACTTGTACCACCTCTGGAGCTAAAAGACAGCCGCATGTGGATCTCGGATCGCCATGAGCGGACCTCAAGAAGACGAAGTTGAGCTACTGAGAGGACGGTTGACGACGACGTCCCCTAACTCTAGTTCAACCTCCGATTCCAGTGGTACAGCGCGTGAGCATAAAGATCGAGACAGGCGCCGAAGCATCCCGGTAAAGCTGCGGGAAACCGGCCAGGCCGGCCAGTATATCCTGACGGCCGAGGACGCGGAGCTTCTGCTAGAGGTGTTGCGGGATAACTTACGCTTGGAGAAATCGGATCCTCCTCGAAAGCGGGCTTTCCTCTTTCGAGATCTACAGTTCACCAGACAGCGAAGTGCATTTGATCGCCAAAATCCATCCTTTTACTCCTCCCAGTTTCATGGCTTCTTTACGCTCTTCTGGCTCGGTGTGGCGTTGATGTTGGTCAAGATTGCGGCCAGCAACTTCAGAACCTACGGGACTCCTTTTGGAACCACCGAAGTAATCGAGCTCATGCTTAGCCGAGACGTATTGGTGCTGGGGATCACCGACTTTATCTTGTGTTGGTCAACTTTGTTCTGCCTTGGCCTTCAACGGGCGATTCTCCGAGGATACCTTCGCTGGAGCGGATTTGGATGGGTGATCCAGAATGTACGGTCTCTGAATTACCCACTAATACTTGTTATTTTTAATGTAGACACTGACCATACATTCAGGTTTGGCAAACGTCATACCTCGCGGGCTTCATCTGGTGGACATACCATCGAGATTGGCCATGGACCCATACCGTCTTTATGGTCTTGCATTGCTTGACCATGGTGATGAAGCAACATAGCTATGCGTCTTACAATGGCTACTGTAAGATTGATATCCGAGTTTCATTCCTTTCTATGGGTGATCTCGCTAACCATGGCAGTGTCTGAACTGTACAAAAAGCGGGACTTGCTCAAGGGCCACCTCAAGCGGCTGGAGGGATATAGTAGTCACGACTCCGTTTCAAACAGTCAATCACCTACAAAGAGTGCTATCGTTTCTGAAATTGCCAATCTGAGAAAGCAGAATAGATGGCGCAGTTCGACTGAATTCAAGAGTATCCATGCTACTCGCGATACGGATCACCTCTTGTTACTGTCGGAGACTATCGAGAACGGCACAGCACTAGAACCGGCTCAACTAGTGCCTTTACGGGGTCTCCTGACAAAAGAAATTAAACTCTTATCCGAGGGACTCCATGGCCAATTTCACAAGGAGCGCCAGTACCCACGGAACTTGACCGTGGGCAACTTTTGTGAATTCATCACACTGCCTACCTTGGTCTATGAACTTGAATACCCACGCACCGAGCGAATTGACTGGGCTTATGTTGCGGAAAAGGTTATAGCTACCTTTGCCACCATCTTTGTCATGATCGTGGTCTCTCAATACTGGATTTATCCCGTGGTCATGAGAACGCTAGACATGAAGGCTCAGGGCTTGACGGTGCAGCAGCGACTTCGGGAATTTCCCTGGGTACTGAGTGACCTGCTCTTTCCTTTCATGATGGAATATCTGCTAGCATTCTACGTCATTTGGGAGTGCGTGGTGAGTCTTACGTCTCCCCCTTTGGTGCCTACCTATGATGACCCACTAGCTGACAACATTTGAAGCTCAATGCGGTGGCCGAAATCACCAGATTCGCCGACCGGGGATTCTACGCCGACTGGTGGAACTCTATCTCCTGGGACCAATTTGCCCGCGATTGGAACCGACCTGTCCATAACTTCCTGCTGCGACACGTTTATCACAGCTCCATCAGCTCATTCCATCTCTCTCGAGTTTCGGCCAGCTTGGTAACCTTTTTCCTGTCCGCCTGTGTACATGAGCTGATTATGCTCTGCATCTTTCGGCGCCTGCGAGGATACTTGCTGTTCCTCCAGATGACACAGTTACCATTGGTCTCGTTAAGTCGCACGCGTCTCATGCGTGGGAGAAGACTGGTGGGAAATATCTTCTTCTGGCTGGGGATTTTCACTGGGCCGAGTCTGCTGTGCAGTTTGTATTTGATTATCTAGAGTAGACACGAAGAACGAAAGAACTATGTATATCCCCACCCATTGTGAATGAGAATTTATTCTGGTATATAAGAAAGAAGCTATTCGATGTTCTCAAGGACGACGATTGGATAATAATGCGATGGCTTTTCGGAACTACCAATGCAAAATGTCTATCGAATGTTCCCGCAGGGTTCCCAATGCTTCGATTTAACCTCAATCAATCTTATTAGGTCTAGTTCGCTACTACCTTCCTCCATGGACCCTTACCAGGCATCCACGGCCACGCGGCGTGGAGAAGCCGATAAAACGCGGGACGTCACCCCGCTGATCTCATCGTTCCCCAACATTCCTTCTATCCTCCCCCCTCTACTTACCCCATTTCCTATCTTCCGTCCAACCTTTCCACAATCCCTCTCTTACCAATTTAATACCCCAATAATACAAAAACCATGGCCTCCAACCCCCCTGGAGCATGCTGCACCGTCGGTGTCAAGCACGAAGGCGAAGCTAAGGGTCAATTCCAACAAGTCGGTGGAGGTATGCTCTTACCATGCCGATCCTCGGCTCAAGATACCCCTCAACTTCCGCATTGTCAATTCATTGCTAACTGATTGTCCCTCCCAGTTGATACTTATGTCACTTACCCGACTGACCGCTCTACCAAGCGTGCCGTGCTGTTGTTGACTGATGTAATTGGTCATCGATTCATCAATGCCCAGCTTATCGCTGACCAGTTGGCTGCGAATGGTTACTTCGTGGTTATGCCCGATCTATTCCACGGTGATCCTGTGCCGCTGAATCGTCCTGCAAACTGGGATTTGATGGCTTGGTTGAATGGTCCGCCTGGTCATCTGCTGCCGCGTGTTGAGCCTGTCGTCAAGGCCGTGCTTGGTGAGATGAAGTCCGGCTTTGGTTGTGAGAGGATTGGTGCTGTTGGATATTGTTTCGGGGTAGGTTTTCTTGGGGTGTTGTGGTTTTTGGTTGACCTTGTGCTAATCAGTCGATGCTTCTATTTGCTGGCAGGCTAAATACGCTGTCCGTCTACTTAAGGAGGACGGAGTGGATGCGGCTTATGTGGCTCATCCTAGTTTCGTGGATGCCGAGGAGCTGGCAGCGATCAAGCGTCCTTTGTCTATTGCTGCGGCTGGTGGGTCAATTTCTTATGCTTGGCTCTGAGAGTGCATTTTGATCAATGGCTGATTGTTATCTTACAGAGACCGATTCTATCTTCCCGGCCTCGAAGCGCCACGAGTCCGAAGATATTCTGGCCAAGACGGGTCAGCCGTACCAGATTAACCTGTTCAGTGGTGTTGAGCACGGCTTCGCAGTTCGTGCCGATATTTCGAAGCCGACCATTCGATTCGCAAAGGAGGCGGCATTTACTCAGGCAGTGGCTTGGTTCAACCAGTACCTTTAGGTTGTTGGCTTTGGGTACAACCTTAACCTCAAGCCTCTGGGCTTATAATCAAGTTTGCTACAAAACAAAATCTACTACCGTCTTTTTGAAAGGATAAAAAATCGGTTTTCGCATTTTTGAATTCGTACCACTCCTTTCATTCGTCATGTTTAAAACACAAGATGTACATGCATCGTAAAGATTTCAAGCTCAAGAGGAGGAGGAGGAAATAGAAAAAAAAGAAATATTCATAAGCCACTGCCAAAGGACTGCTCTGGCATAGCTAGCCCCATATACATAGTGGGACCACAAAGGATATGTAAATGGTTTCGAACACGAGTGTCGCTTACATTTTCTCGTGCGTCGCCATGAGGGAACCTGTACATCTAGTCAGAAATGGGACAACCCTAGATAAGTCAAGTGTAATAACATACCGATGAAAGTAGTCACCAGGCGAGAGCGCACTTGGCAAATATCCTCCGGCACCAGCCAAATAGTGGCACCCATCTTTCTGGCAATACTGATGCTCAGCTTAGCATTGGCATAAGCCTCCTCATCGGATCGGCCGGGGGTGACCAAGTCGTAGTCCACGTAGCTGCTCTTCATGCCGTTCAGCACATCCAACAGGAAGCGACCTGTGCCAATGGACGGGTCCTTGAAGCTGCGGATAGCACTCGTCTGGCCACCGCTCTTCGACATGTCGTTCGCCCAGCGAATCATCTCTGCGTCGGTAATCTCACGCTTGCCCAGGCGCTGGGCCAGCGCAGATAGGGTACGAGTGATATCACGACGCATCAACTGCCAAACCAGGCCCAAAGTAAGTGTGCGTTGGCCGTCAGTGATATCGGCACCCTGTACACCGACCAAAGAGAAACCGTGGTGCTTTCCAAGCTCAATGGAGTAGTTGGTGTTTTCCACTGCCTTGAAGCGCATCAACTCACCTCCGGACGCAGGGCGCTTGTTAACATGCCTCCAGTTAACGCTGCCCGGAATCACCTTGTCATACGCCTGGAGCAGAATAGTACCATCACGCAAATCATCGAAGAGCGAGTTTACGGCGGGCTGCACATCCAAAGAGTTCAGCCAGAGGGTAAAGACACGAGCCTCGCGCTCACCCTCGGCATCGAAATCTTCCACCTCAAGCTTCTCCTCCTCGGTAATGGGATCCAATCCAGGGTGGGTGTTGAACAGGTTGGCAACGAAAGCAAGGTTCAGCTTCGGGTTTCCGGCGACTAGGGAGGTCGGGGTCAAGAACTTCCGGCAATCCAACTTGTCCGCATTGGTGAGGACCTCCTCAGCACGCTGGAGCAGGTCCCGAGTCTGGAGAGGGCTGCGGGAGCAGACGTCGGGGGCCAGCTGGTTCAGAAGAACCGTATAATTCTCACCATCCTTCACATCCGTGGAGAAGTTCGTCACCCTACAAGTAGAAAATGATTAGTCACGGCTGTCCATTCCACGATGTATCTCCATCATGACGGTTCGGCAAAATTCTGGGGGAGTTGCTTACCGTCGCTCCCACTTTGCGTTCTTAAGGTGATAGTTGAACCAACGGAGAAGGATCTGCTCTGGGGGAAGACGCAGGAACTGCTCGAGAGTCTCATCCTCCTCCAACAAACGGTACAGCTCGGGGTGGAGCTTAATATCAATCTTGCCCAGCAGACCACGGCGAATGACCTGCCAGATCAGACCCAAAATCAAGTGCTCGCGGACCTCAATAATGTCTCCGCTACCAATGTTGACCACGGAGCAGCCAATGCCCTTGGCGGAGTTGATCACAATGTTGTTGTTCTCCGTCATGTGGAAGGCGTTCAATTGCTTGATCTTCTTGCCAGCCTTGTTTAACACACGCTCATCGATGGTATCCGGTACGCTGTCGTTGATCAGCTTAGCCAGGACCAAACCGTCCTTGCATTTGTCGAACATCTCGAAGGTATCGGTGGGGAAGGGCAACATGTCGCCAATATCGGGGTCGCCGGCCAGGACCGCATTGATGTGTCTCGTAAATTCGGTTCGCTCATCCTCGTTAATGGTGTGGGTAACGTTTGCGGAGGAGCCCTGTACGTGAATGCGACCACCACCAACGCTGCCCTTGGAGACATGGCGGGCTCCACCCGGGCCCGCGCCTGCGCCGGCTCCAGCTCCTTGAATCACAGCCGCGGGGCTCGCTGCAGCGGCACCGGGGGCCGGTCCTGAGCGGAGTCGCGCAACAAGCTATCATCTTATTAGTATCTAGCGATCAGGGACTTGCGATGATCAAGCTGAATGAAGCCTTCAAAACAAAGGCCACCTACATCAATATAGTCCTCGAGCTCGACACGACGGGAGCTATCAAGCTCCACGCCCTTCAGAGCCTGGCGCACCACATCGTATGGCTGGCGCTCGGATTGCTGAGTAGCCTTGATTGCTGAGGCTTCGTCAAGGTAACCGCGATCGTCGACGTCCAGCCTGCGGAATGCATCCTGGAGGGAGAAAATCTCACCCTGGTCCAGCTGCGGGAATCGCCTGAGAGATGACAACACAGATGTCAGCATTGATATTTTTTTTGTTAGCGAGGATTGCAAGGGGACACACTTCTGGAGCTTGAGGACGTTCATCTTGGGTAAACGACCTAGGTGGGGTAGAAGGTGAGGTGATCAGTCGCAAAGGGGATCACGCCGGGACTCGACGGGGAGGGGGGATGCTATGAGAAGAAGAAGAGAAGGATCGCAAGAACGGAATCACCAAAGTAATGATTCGGAGTGGCCAGGCAGAATCCAATGGCCGTGGGAAGGGGGTAAGGTGGAATGGGAGGATTTGGGCGCGGAAGAGCTGGGCAGTGCAAAGAGGTAGGAGGCGCCGGAGGTTCCACGCAGTAGAGTCTAGTACCTTACTAGTTGAGACTGAGAACACGAGTGGTGGGGGGATACATCCGCGTATGTCAGCGGGGGTCTCTTCCCTGTATTGTATGGTCACGACGTGTGACCATAGGCTGCATTATTCTTGGTATTTTACCAGGGAGAACCTTCACAATACTTCCTGTTATCACTGACACCAATGTTCCCTTTAGGTATCCTACAAGTACTGCCACCCCTCATCGGAATACCAGGCCCTCGAATTGACCTTGCTGCCTTACCTGGATGACGTCATGGGGCTGCATTTACACCAATTGGACCAATTGAAAGGAGGTTAGAAAACATTCTGAGGACGTTGTTATTCTCTTCTACCGCCCTCAAACCTACAGTAGTAGCGGCTTAAGTCTCGTATCCTCGGATACCTCATAGTCTGTCCAACCCTTCAATATGTAGTAGTCCCAGGCAGACAGATTTACCACGGCTGGACGCCATCCCATTGAATGGCTTTTCCAACATCCTCATCTCGCCCCCTTCCACCACCTCGCGTACGAAATTCGCCCCAATTGCCGCGTCAATGGCAACAAAGTTGCTAATCCCGTTCCGCCTTCCCGCCTAGTCCGGTGACCAAAAAGCCCCGCGAAGTGCACCAGGCCTTCACCCCGTCCTCGCGGAGGATTCGCGTCGATTCGCGCATCAGCACGTTCATCCCCGTCTTGCTGGATATAAGCAAGTGGTAAGCGTATAGGAAGGTTGATAGTAGGGCAAACCGGTTGTATAGCTGGATCGATAGGCTGAGATGGCGGGTGGGATTGTCAGCCAGCTAGAGATTGGTTTAATCGAATCGCTAAGTTCTCCAACTCGGTCAGCGTGGATGTACTGCGGTGATAAAGAGCAGTCGAGGATCTGCGGATTTGGGTTAGCAATGCCACGAATGTGTGCATGAGGATGTGTGTGCCGGTCGTGTTGAAATTCCGTGACTTGTTCCCCATCTCCCGCATCGTCAAGTCTCCGGGATACATCTGGGAGTCGAATTGTCCTCCTGCGATAATATCTTGTGAGCATATTGGCTCTCTTGCAAGGATACACAGTTACAGCAAATACCGGCATTGTTGATCAAGACATCCTATCGGCCGTACCGGTCAGCGACATGGTCGATAGCGTGCTCAATTGACTGACCATCTTCGATGTCAACCTGCAATGAAATGACCACGACGTCGCTCTTGGACAATTCAGCCTGCAGCCGTTGGACTGCTGTGTCAGCCTTGTCCATGCTATGACATCCTAGGGAGGGCCTTTATGTATCTCATCATGGGCAAAAAGGCCCTCGTGCGTATGATAGTATGCCTGAAAACGCGCATGCCATGGACTTAAGACTTCCGGGCGAATTTGGTCCCTGAATTTGACATACGTTCTACCCGGTGGGGTAAGTCAGTCGGCCGAGCAAATTTTCCAAGTGCGGCAGAGAAACCCCGTCGGGTTTCTCTATTATTGTACGAAAAGCCGATGTATGACTCGGTAATCTCAGTGGTTGGGGGGATCAAAATAGAAAAAAAAAGAATTTGATCGATAGCTGGCCTTGTATCTGAGTGGGAATCCTGCATGTTGTTGCGAAGGGAGTGGGTCAACATAAAAAGAACATCCCGTGCCCACTATGGGAGATATATATCTGCAGACGACCATGGGCGAACGTGACAATACCAATTACAGAAATCCAAGTCTTATATCCGCTATGTTGGATGGCGCCTCTTAAGATTGGTTGGATACATTTCACATTGAGAACAATGAGGGTTTGGACTAGGGGCTGCTCGACTCACTCCCCTTGAACAACCGGAAGAGGAAGGGCACGGATAGTCCCGAGGATTGAAAGGGCTGGACCAGAACAAGGTGTATAACTATATTCATACTAGTAAGCTATGTTATACCTATTCATCTATGATACTGAGTTTGCATAGCACTTGGATATTGATCTTCTTCGTAAGAGCCTATGGGTCTTTTTCTCAAATGCGGTGGGATAGAATATAGTAAAGAAAACGTTCGACTGGATGCAGTCGCTCAAGTGCAGCTTTATCTTTGCCCTTTTACCAAAGAACACTCAACATCATCTCCTTTTACTTACTTACCTGTCATGTAACCATAGACGGAGTGTCTTCGCACGTGTTTGCCAAGAATGATCAGCTGCCAGCGGATTCCCCACGCGATTACATCATATGCTCGGCCGATCCCATCTGGACCCGCGGCCAAAAACACCGGACTTTGCTCCAGCTGGTCTCCTTCTACAAACCTCTTCCTTGTTGTACCTGTGCAATTACATGGCTTTCGTCGACTGTGGATGCCCCTGATTCGGCATCGCATCCAATCTCATTCTCACCATTCCCTGCCTTCGAATCCTCTACCCCACACGCTCTATCTCCCCCTCCACGCTGGTTCGGCCCGTGGTCCTGCTACGGACGCGCCCGACCTCCATGGCGGGCGCTGATCAAAAGTCCTTCCTGGGGACGCTCTCCCCATGGAGTACCCCCAGGAGCTCCACTCCCCAGCCCTCCGATCGCACACCGGCAAACCCAGACGTCTTGCAACGGTCGCAGGGAGAGGACCATACGGTGACCCACCGACATAAGTTGAGTCTGCGACATTACCCACCGGACTGCCCGCCTTTGAAAGCGAGATGGTTCTATGCTGTGGACTCGCCGAAGCGAAAACCTGCGCTGCTAGACCAGAATAAAACCGATCAGAAACCGCCTCCTCCCCCCAAGAAGTTCATTCCCTTCTCACCCCGCGACTCGCAGTCAATTGAAGCCACTTTTCAAAAATTGTCCGAGATTGAAGACTCTCAGGGGGACGAAAAGTCCCGACGAGCTGCGTTACAACAACTGTCGACGAAAGTACCGGTGAATGAGGATTATTTGTTCGATGTGGATGTGGAAGCCCGAGAGCTCGGCCCTGCCTATTGGATTGGTCCCGTATACGAAGTTCGGCGAGGAACGTGGTTCTTCCAGGAAGGATCTTTCTTTAAACCGTGTGAGGAGAATCTGGCTGCACAGCTTGAGGAGGGTTATGTGAAACTACGGCCATGGAAAATCGACCCGAAGGAAGGAGGAGAAGGTAGATCGCCCGATACCCCTTCAAGGGAGGGTCACAGTCCAGCAAAGGTGGGCACGGGCGCCGAGTCCAGTACGCAGGGCACGTCTCGACCTACAAAACCTCGCGATAGGTCTCAGAATATAGGCAACGCTTCAACTGCAACTCCTTCAGGTACCCCACAGTATCGCCTGTTTGGAGCCTACATGAACAATATTGTCACATATCAGGATGAGTCGACAGCTTTACTCACCACCGACGACTTCATGTCGCGCATGAGCACCACCGTGTATCAGACACTCGGTCGTACCTCAGGTAACAAAGTAGTACGTGGATATGGGGAGGCCCGACGACCGAGGGAACCACTCGAACCTCGGGTCTCGGAGCGCAATCAGGGCGAGAAGGTGCCAGGGACGCCTCGTCATGAGTCAAGTCGCGCTTCCAATACTGCGCCAAATTCGAGACCCAATTCAGCGGACATGTCAGGAACCGAAGTCGAAGTTGAAGCCGAAGCTAACGCGAGGCGCCCCATCTCGACTCTAGAACGGCAGATGTCCTCTCTCGCGGGCGAGCCCCAGAATCCAGCAGAACTCGAAGAACAAGCCCGTAGGCAGGAAGAACAAGAGATGGAGGACTCTAGGGAAGTTGACAGTGAAGATCAAGACCGAGATGTCGATCATTTGGTGCTGGTCACCCATGGCATCGGCCAGCGGCTCGGCTTACGCCTGGAGAGTATCAATTTCATACACGACGTCAATGTGCTTCGCAAGACATTCAAGGGGGTCTACAAAGCCTCGCCGGATCTTCAAGCTTTGAACTCCTCGTTTCCGGACAATAAAAGTAACTGTCGTGTTCAGGTGCTTCCTGTGTAGGTTGATGTCTATAAATGGCTCGCGCCATGAAACATACTAACAGTTTGATAGATGCTGGCGTCATCTCCTTGATTTCCCATATCGTGGAGTTCGACAAAATCGAAAGGAACTCGATCTGACGGAAGCCGATACCCTCGAGGACGATGCGTACCCCAGTCTAGCTGATATCACATTGGAAAGCGTCCCTGCAGTTCGAAATCTTATCTCGGACTTAGCAATGGACGTTCTCCTCTACCAAAGTGGATATTGCGACCATATCGCCAACATCGTTAAGCAAGAGTGCAATCGAATTCTGGAGCTATACAAGCAGCGCAATCCATCTTTCAAGGGAACTGTGAGCCTCTGCGGCCACTCGCTCGGAAGCGCCATTCTATTTGATATCCTATGCAACCAACCATCTGATGTTGATACCGCCAAGGGCGGCAGAGCGACGACTCGAGGCAGCGATGATATGGCCGATCAACGAGGAGGAATGCAGAATACGCTTAACTTTGATTGCGAGGAATTCTTCTGCCTGGGATCCCCCATTGCACTTTTCCAGATGCTGAAAGGAAAGAGTATCGCTGGATATTCTCGAGTCAAAGCTCGTAAGAGTGCCTTGGATATTGGTGACTTTGAATCTCAGCGGCTAGGCTCCATGCGATCCTCTCAACGAGATTCCCATGGCAGCAGTCGGGATTTGACCGAAAGCTCGGCCATCATCTCCGCGCCCAAGTGCCGGGACCTTTACAACATATTCCACCCCTCGGACCCCGTGAGTTATCGCATTGAGCCTCTTATCTCGCAGGCGATGGCAAGTCTCAAGCCTCAGCCCCTGCCCTTTGTCAAGAAAAGCCTGTGGACTACCTCTGGACAGAGTCTCTCCATCCTGGGGAGCCGCATGGGCCAGAGTGTCGGCTCTCTTTGGAGTAACTTCACCTCTGGCGTTGCGAGCAGCCTGTTGAATCGCAGCTTGGGGCTGAATGCTGAAGACGTCTCTGCTTCTCGGAGTACAGCTAGTGGCAAACCAACGGACGATCTCGCTGAACATAGGCGAACCCAGTCGGGAACCAGCCTCCATACGCCTTCACATGATTCTGATGACCATGGTGAAACCCTTATTGACCATGATCTCGAAACCCTGTACGATGGGTTCCAGAAGAGCCGGAGCACCCATAAAAAGGACCCGGCACGATCTTCTGGCGAAGCCGAATCTGGTCTCGACTCGGAAGAGCAGGGGCGCAAGTTGAAATTCGAAGATGCCAAGGTGCGATCGCTGAATTCCAATGGCCGTGTGGATTACAGCATTCAAGAGTAAGTGTGATGAAGCATTCCGTTTCTCTTCTCCCTCCTATCACTCTGCTTGGCCCTTGGGGAATTGATTGATCTGGAGCTTACTCTTACGTCTTTTAGGGGTGCATTTGATATTTCCTTGATTGCCAGTATTGCCAGTCACCTCACGTACTGGGGAGATGAGGATGTGAATCACTTTATGCTCTCCCAAATGCTGTCGCGGAAGTCGCGACATCGGCTCAAGGGAGGTAGCGCGGCAGAGAAGCAATAGGATGTAGATACATAGATCAATCAGCCCATAGATACATAGTAAATACTTCTCATGACACTGATTGTCACCAATCATCGAGTCAAATTTCACCAATAAAAACCTCTACTCAAAGGTTCGTCTCCTCATTTTCCCTTTGGACGCTCTCTTGACACAGCGGTGGATTTCTTAGTGACCGTCTGTCCGTTTGTCCGTCATAAAGGAGCTTCGCCCGCTTAGCGAAAAGCCCCACAAAAACTCCGCCGAATAATAATTCCATCGCCGCCCCGAACTTTTCTTTCTTCCTATTTCCTTCCCCCTTCTCTTTTTTTCTTTTGTCAACCTCCCTGGCTCATCTCGATTTCCCCCAATATGAGCGCCGAACTCCAACAGGTTCAAAAGGTGTGGGAGCGCACTCGCTCAAACAGCCCGATCTATGAATTCCTGTTGAGCGAGGTTGATATCTACGAGGCCGATCCAGGGGTGGTTCGGGCTCGACTCCAAGTGACCGCCCGTCAACTCAATTCCAAAGGCACTCTTCACGGATCCTTCTCTGCTACGGTCACGGACTGGGCCGGTGGTCTGGCTATCGCCGCCTGTGGATTGGACGCTACGGGAGTCAGCACGGATATCCACGTCAACTACCTCTCTACTGCCAAGGAGGGCGACTCGCTGGAGATTGAGAGTCGTGCCAATAAGGTTGGCAAGTCTCTTGCCTTTACCACGGTCACCATCTCCAAGAAGACCGACTCGGGATTGACTATCGTCGCCCAGGGCTCGCACACCAAGTATGTTCGGACACGATGAAGTCCTGATCGGTGTGGGTTTCCCAACTGTCCAATCTCCACGAGATGATCTCTCTTTTTCCCCCCAGCTTTCTCACCGGCTGGGAATGCTCACTGAGTAGATTCAAGACCTATCCTATAGATTTTTATACCCCATTTCCTTCCCACCCGCAATCTTTTATCATCCGGCATGACACACGTTCTTTGAATGCCTGGGTTCACTCGGAAAGCGGAGAGTAAATTTCCACTCTGTTTAGCTTTAGATTCCTGGCCGTCTCATGACTTCGAGGAAATGATGAATGGATACAATCATCTTCAATAGTTTGAATATAGTGAATATTATTTGCCCCGATTCCCCAATGTCTGTGTTGGCTAGGTCGGAGATTTTAGCAATGTTTACACTGCTTTAAGTCTACACGTACATGTACATGCACAAATGCATATACAATATTGTACACGCAAGGGACCTGCTCCCAGCGAGGTGCCAAAGACTTGAATATAGAACGAATTCAATTGGAATCAATACTCATCTCTGAAATCAGCACGATACTCTATGCCCAGGTAATAAAGATGAGCTTGTGTGTTCATTGTCCATCGTATTCGTACAGTTGCACTGGTTCCCTCCACATGCGGAAAGGCGTCTCCGCACTGGCCAGCGTCAAAGCCGCGCCTCGGCCTGCGACGCCTGCGATCTTCAGTAATCCGCTGGCATTGGCAGTACTTCTCTTCTTCCCCTCCCAAGCCTGACCGGTTCTCCTGAGAGGCATGGAGGTTGGTGTGCACTATCTACTTCTTACTCCCTTCATTCTCATACTGACCATGTCACTAGAGTCACAATGGAACCATCCAGCGATGATGCGGTAGCCTGTTCAGCCACGACTCCCTTGATGGACTTATCCGCTTCTTCCGACAAAACAACAACACATGGCGATCCCCCGACCCAACCGCTCGCTGCGAATGCAATGCGACCCTTGGAACTCCGAGACCGCGCCCTCGATTTCTTAGCAACGGCCAGCAATGAAACTCTTATCGGTGTTTTCGCCCTTCTGGCTTTCGCGACATATGTCATACTGGGCAGAGTGGGTCTAGTGCTCATTGGAATCGGATTGGGTGTCATCTTGCACGCATCCTGGGAAGGTGTAGCTCAGACAAGATCGAATGACGAGTCCTCGACGCCCAAGAAGCGGAGGGAACTAGCCCTCGAAGTATCCAAGAGACTCTTGGACTGGCCCAAACGCGAGACCTCTGCGCAGATTACCACTGTCAATCACAGCGGAACTGTTGTGGCCCCAGAGGATCTATCGGCAGTCGATCTGGAATTCACAACCTTTCAGCCTGCGACTGCCGCAGCTCTGCGGTCGCTCACGGATGCGGTGGTCAAGGATTATGTCAAGTAAGACGCTGAAACCCTTCCTCTCCTGTCACCCTTCCATCCTGTGCATTGCTAACCTAATCTGTGAAGGCATTGGTACGAACCAATTCTTCCGAACGAAACTATATTTCCAGGCTCATGCCGCAAAACCTTGACCTACTTTGTCACGACCATCTCGTCCCACCTTTCGCGCAAACGAACCGAGGATACATTTCTACAGTTCCTGACAAATTCCTCGTCAATCATAATTGTATTCCTGAATGAATTGGCTGCTGCATTTGCCGCGGCTGACCCTTCGACCACGGAGGCGTCCCAGGTTGTTGAGCAATACCTCAAAAATTCGCCGGACAGTAGCCTTGCAAATGTCCTATCCGAGGAACAACAACGCAAAAAGCTCAACATGGTTGCAGACGACATTCTTTCGAATTTCCTGGACTCCAAGGCTTATAGCTGCTCCCCAGTACGGGATTTCCTGCGAGAGGTCTTCGCCAGACTCGTGCTAGAGTCAACGGTCACCAGCCTCTCTCGCCCCGAGTTCATCAACGACTGGATCATTTATCTCTTCCAAGATGGAGAATCTGAAATTATGCATGCAATCGATGCGGGCGTTGAGGGTGCACGTAATCAGAGTGTCGGTTCGTCAAAGGTGTCCGAGGACTCGAAGAAGGCACTGCTGGAGTCTACTAAAGAAGAGATCGCCTCGCAAACTGCTACGCAACCTTCAAGCAACAAGGATAAAGCCACGGAAGAAGCTTTACGAGAGGCAAAACGCCTGAGTGCTTTGATTGCATCTCAAGATGTTCAGGACTCGCTCAACAGACCAGTCAATGAGGCCGTTCAATCCCCAGAGCCATCTATATCTGCAAAGAACATCAGTGGCCTGATCAATCAGAACGCAAGTGAGCCCGCAGAGTTTACAGCAGCCCATGAAGCTCCGGCATCGCTACCTGTATCCTCAAGTGCACAGACAGCAAACCTAGCTCCCTCTTCTCCTCGGGAGGAGACTGCAGCCGCACCTGTCACACTCCACGGCGCCAGGGTCTTGGTAGACGATGATGCCGCCCGCAACGAGAAAGGGATCATCAAATCGCGGCCCACCTGGGATTATCTGCTTCAGATCGAGCCCGCGTCGACTCGCGCGACAGGCTGGATGGTGTTTCGCAAATACGCAGACTTTCAATCTCTCCACGACATGCTCTCGACGGTTTCTCGACTGAACCAGATTTACAGTTTCTCGGATCAATTCCCCACCCTGCCCTCTTGGAAAGGCAAGACCAGACAAGCTCTTGCGCAGGATCTGGAGCGTTATCTGCAGGAGGCGATGAAGCACGAGTCACTCGCCGAAACTGAACGGATGCGACGATTCGTTGAAAAGGAAACCAGCGCTACCAAACAAGGATTTTCCTTCCCGAGCCAAAGTGCCTTTGAGAATATGGGCAAAGATCTGCTTGGAGCGCTCACTAATGCGCCCAAAGGCATGGCTGGCGGTGGCAGGGCGGTCTTGGACGGTGTCACTGGCGTCTTTGGAGGCGTTGGGCATAATAGAAAGCTGTCTAATACATCAGACCGACAATCTCAGCACCGAAAGAGCCCATCGAAAGCGGATTATGATACATCAAGTAATCCGGGCTCAGCCATGGCTACGAGCCGTGTCAGTTCTCCGGTTATTGGCTCGACGTTGGGTAACTCATCAGCGTCTCCTAGACCCAGTGAAGAGTGGAATTCTCCTGCATATGCCTCTTTGCCGACTACCGCCCCGCTGGGTTTGGGATTATCGACAGAAGATGCCGTCGACTCTCCTGAAAGGAGCGAGGCAGACACCAGTGCCAATTTAGCAGCTAGCGAACAGAATGTGGGGGCCTTAGAGTCAAAACCCTTTCCGCCGGTTGAAGACCGAGAGTCGATTGACCAAGTGGAAGTGCCCGAGACAACGAGTGATTCTGTAGCGACCTCGCCCGAGCCTTCAATTGAGAGTGAGCCCGTTACTGGCTCCCAGGCCACTTCTCAAGCCTCTCGCCGACAGCAGATACCCATCACAGCAGACGAGACCCAGATCGCGGTCGAGCTTATATTCGCCGTGATCAACGAGCTCTACACCCTGTCCTCTGCGTGGAACATTCGTCGGACGCTCTTGAACGCGGCCAAGACGTATATCCTGCGTCCTGGAAGCCCCACATTAGAGACAATCCGGGGCTTGCTGCAAGAGTCTATGATAGAAGCCCATACATCGGACGATGCTCTTGGAGAGTATCTGAAGAAGCTCCGGGAAAATGCTCTTCCCACGGAGACCGAGCTTAAGGCCTGGCCTGCTCCACCCACTGAGGAAGACAAGGCGCAGTTGCGGGATACGGCGCGTCGGCTTTTCGTCCAACGGGGAATTCCCCAAGCATTGACAAGTGTCATGGGTGCAGCAGCTAGTCGGGAAGCGCTTGAGAAGATCTTCGATAGCTTGCAAGTGGAAACGGTGGCTCGAGGATTTGTCTTTTCGTTGATGCTACAAGCTTTACGGGTGTTGACATTATAGATCACGAAATGAATACTTTATATATGGAGGGTTTCCAACAATTTCAATGAGACATGTTATATATAGTCCCCATAACACAGAAGCTGCGTACGCCTGAGCCCTCAAGGGGCGACCGATTGAATGTCATGATTGTACTCTATCACACTCAGGTACAAATCTGTCATTGGCATCAACTCAACCTTCCTAGCTCTCTTTTCGGCTTCCTTCAAGAGATTTCTACCCTCTCTTTCCAATCCTTCTTGCTAAACTCCAATCATTTGTCTTTCTCTCTTTCCTTCCAACCCTTTGCCCCAGTCTAACAGTGATATCGACACCATCCAAGAATCTTCAAGATTTTAGAAGACGACTCTCAGCAGTAAATCAAATATACAGTGATCTGAAAAAAAAAACTCTCTCAAATCCCATAAATCACACGACTCGGGGTATAACTAAACTACGCGAGACAGGCAGTGACGTACGACAGATAATCTAACAAAGGTATCTCTTATCAGCACGTGCCTCGACGCGTCTCTCCGCGTTTCTTTGAGCTTAATTACTCTGAACAACTTCTCATCTTTGTCTCCATTTCCACTCATTACTTTACCCATTCATCATCATGGCCTCCAGAAAGCGTGCCTCAGACCTCCAGGGTCCTGGTGACGAGACCCGTTCCCAGACCAAAAAGACAAAGGTCAATGCAGGCAATGAAACCACCAGCAAGACCGACGACAACGGAGATCGATATTGGGAGATCTCCAAGATGCGCCGCGTGACTGTCTCGGAATTCCGAGGCAAGACCATGGTGAGCGTGCGCGAATATTACGAGAAAGATGGAAAGGAACTTCCAGGGAAGAAGGTGAGAATTTTATTTTCTTGATTTGACAATTCGCTTTTTCGTTGGAGATGACCGTTTCTGCTTGGATTTCATGGGAAGTTTTCCCTCGCCTATACTACTGGTACTAATAATATCTCATTCAGGGTATCTCTATGACTCTTGACCAATTCTCCTCTCTCATCAAACTTCTTCCCGACATTGAGCAGGCTGTCCAACAGCATGGCGAGTCGTTGCCTCGACCCGTATATACTGGAGCTGTGGGCCAGGCGGATGCCGAGGACGGCGAAGCGCAAAGCGAGAACAGCAAGGTTGCCAGTCCCTCCAAGCAAAATATCGAGGCTACGAGTGACGAGGATAGCGATTCATAGGCAGTGAACTCTGGCGGGTTTTGGACATTTCTGGTAGCATGCCAAAGCGTACGCTGCCTTCTATTTTTCTATGGCGTTGAATACCCTGATAATGAAATTATTCATGTTCTTGTTGCTGCTCTTCATTCTCTCCCTTTAGTTTATGAATTCAACACTTTCACATACTCGCTTCTTGAGTGGCTAGACGGGTGGCTAGGGAGCCACCTCGCCAGGCATGACGAGCATCTGTTTCGTGAACAAGCTGGTGCTGGTCCCCGACTCGACCCCATCCTCCTCCACCGGGAGTGCGGATAATAATTCGCTCGCCGGCCTGCATTTGGACCGAGTTCTTCCCTCCTAGACTGATATACAGCTCCTCCGAGCTTCCGTCGGCTCTTTTGACTCGCCGCACCCAAAGGTTCTGGCCGCATTTGGCATCCTCGCCTCCCTCCAGGCCGTAAGGGTGGTAGACTCGACGTTCTGAGAGGATGGAGACCTGTACTGGAGTGCGGAATTCAATGTCTCGAATGACACCATCTCCACCACGGTGCTGTCCGGCGCCCCCAGAGTCTGCCCGGAGACTGAACTCCCGAAGCAAAACGGGATATCGTCGTTCGAACACTTCGGCATCGGTGATTCGTGTGTTGGTCATATGGGTGTGTACTCCGGAAGTACCTTCCCAATCCGGACCGGCTCCGCTCCCGCCGGCAATGGTTTCATAGTAACCAAAGCCTTTCGTCTCGGTCTCTCCTTGTAGATTGCCTCCAAATCCGAACGTCAAGTTGTTGGTGTCACCTTGAGAAGCGGCGCAAGCCTGGAAGCATTTCAGGATCACATCGGTAACTCGTTGACTCTGCGAAATTTGGACGCAGTTAGTCACACGATCCAATTCGACAGGGAGGAGATAGGGACAGAAACTTGAGGCTTTACATACCGTCAGTACATTGCCTCCTACGACGGCTGCGGATTCAGATGGCGACAAAAGACTCTTTGGCGGTATGCGGACTTTGATCGGCTTCAGGCAACCTTGGTTCAGAGGAATGTCGGCAGAAATCAGACATCGTAGGCAGTAGATGATTGCTGAGTAGGTGACTGCTTCGGGGGCATTGATATTGCCTATCAGGGCCAGAGTAAGCAAAGTCTCGGCATAGCTGTCTCGATGTGGTGTCTAGTCACTCACCATATACTTCTGGGCCCGTTCCTTCGAAATCAAATACCGCTTCGCCTTTGTCTGCGTCGATCGATACCTTCAATTGAATCGGGGTTCCATCATCCATGTAATCAATCGCGCTGAGATTCCGGCCTGCAAATTTTAGGCTCACTTCTTTCAGAAGGTTGCGTACGCTGAGCTCTGCATTATCCTGGATTTGATGCATGTAGAAAAGAACCACTTCCTCGCCGTATTCATCGATCAGGGCATTAATCAGATTGATGCCTTTCTTGTTAGCGGCAATCTGAGCCTTGAGGTCATTCAGGTTATCTGCGAGACAGCGAGTCCCACTGCAGTTCGGGTACTGGGCTGGCTCTTTGTACAGGAGCTCCGTAATTCGCTGCTCATTGAATTTGCCTTCCGAGACCAGCTTCTCACTCTTGATGGCGGCACCTTCTTGATAGAGTTCCTTTGAATGGGGTGGCATCGATCCAGGTAGAATCCCTCCGATGTCAGCTAGAGAAGAACGTCAGACTAGTACGAGATGGGGCTCTGGAATTGGCTTAGCAGGGTTCACTCTCACCGTGGTGTGCTCTCGAGGCAACATAGAATATGATCTTGCCCTGGCTAAATGCCGGCTGGATGACTGTTATATCCGGAAGATGTGTACCGCCAAACTCTGGGTGATTTGAGACAATCACATCACCCGGCTGCAGTTTGCCATGCCAGAGCTGAGCTTGTATCCGAACGCAGGTCGACATACTTCCCAGATGAACCGGTAAATGTGGCGCGTTTGCAACCAACCCGCCCTCTGAATCGAACAAGGCGCACGAGTAATCGAGCCGCTCTTTGACGTTGGTACTAACACTTGTTTTCTGCAGCGCGCGGCCCATCTGTTCTGCTATGGCCATGAACCGGTGCGAAAAGACGCTGAGGAGAATCGGATCTACGACGTCGGTTCGGACTTGGGGCGCACTCGCCTCAGAGTCTCCAATGTTGATAACGACGTGGGTTGTGGTCAGAAGTGCAGAGGCTCCAGGGGTCACCACAATGGTTTGGGTCTCATCGGCAAGTATCGCTGGTCCTTTGACACGGTCGTTGATCTGCAAGTTGTCGAGTTTATAGATTGGTGTTTCACGCCGTCCACCTTCAAAGTATACCTGAGAAATTCGATACTCCTTGCCAACCACGTCCTTGGGTCTAGACTCCTGGAGCTGTTGATCAACCGTCTTCTCCGAAGCCTCGAAGCTCTTCCCAATCCCTCTCACCCGCACATCATCCACGATGATGTCACGGTCGGGCAGGCTAAATCCAAACTCTTGTTCGTGCTGTTGGAGGAATGCTTTGCCAAAGGCCCATTCATCGCCACCAAAGGCATCTTCTGCGTCTTCTTTGGTGGGCTTCAAGATCATCAGCGCTGATTCCGTGCCCCGGTATCGCATGTTCAAGTATTCTTCGAAAACGATAGATTCGGCATTGAAGCCTTGGTCTTGTAATTTTCTCCTAGACCTCTTCTTCAGCTCGTCTAGTCTCTGTGCAAGCTCCCGGCGCACCCCTGGCTCATCGCTCCAGGTTTTAGATTCAGGCTCCTGGGTTTCATCAACCACGTCGGCCAGTGCCATCCCGTACGCAGAAAGTACGGACGAATACCGATGGATTAGGATTTGTCGAATGCCCAGACTTTCAGCGATAGCTACTGCATGCTGTCCACCAGCGCCTCCAAAGGTTGCCAACCGATGCTTCGAGGTAACATGCCCCTTTGCTTCCGTTAAGGATCGAATAGGCCGAGTCATCGTCTCATTAGCGACTTTAATAAACCCGAACGCAACCTCATCGGGTGTCATTTCTTTGTTTTGGCCCCCTTGAGCTAACTCTTGATTGATCTCCTTGGTTAATTGCTCGAACAGACGCCGGCTGGTCTCCTCGTCCAGGCCTTGGTTCTCATGCGGACCAAATATTTTGGGAAAGAAGTCAGGAACTAGTCTACCGAGGAACAAGTTGGCATCTGTAACCGTCAATGGGCCATCCTTGCGATAGCACGCAGGCCCCGGGTGAGCTCCTGCTGACTCGGGACCTACAACGAACAGCCCGTTGCGGAAAAACAATCTGGAGCCACCACCAGCAGCTACCGTGTTAATGTCCAATTGGGGGGATTGAATGGTGACCCCGGCAGTGGTTGTCTCAAAAACGTGTTCGTATCGACCTGATCCATATCGGCTCACATCGGTGCTGGTTCCACCCATATCAAACCCTATCACTGGAATCTTGAAAACGGGATCGTACGAAGTCAATGCATATCCGACCACTCCACCGGCTGGACCGGACAGGATGGCTCGGAGACCAGAAAATTGGTCGACGTCGACCAAGCCACCATCCGATTGCATGAATTCACAGCGTGCACCCCGAGAGCCTTGCTCGTTTTTGATACTCTCGCTTCCCAGGCCACTATTGAAGCCTGCTTGGAATCCTGAAATGTACCTTTTGATGGTCGGGGTCAAATATGCGTCTGCACAGGCCGAAGTGGCTCTTGGGACAAGCTTGATCATCGGCATCAGCTGGTGGCTTAGGCTCACATGGTGGAAGCCAATCTCTGCAGCCAATCGGCCGACTAATGCCTCGTGGTCCGGGAACGTGTATCCGTGCATGAGGCATACTGCTATACTCCGAATGCCGCGATCATATATCTGCTGTAGCTGTGATCTCACCGTCTCTTCGACGGGGCGCTTGAGAATACGAACAGCCTCGGATGAGAGTCCCCGAACAACCTGTGCATTCGGCTGAGACTGGTCTCGTGGAGCCGTGGTCGTCACGTTGCGCTGTGGATCCTCTGCATAATCCTCCAGAGTGACCCGCTCATCAACCTCCACCACTGCTTCATACAGCACGTCGGGCCGCTTAATGGCAAGGTCAAATATGCGAGGACGGGACTGGTTACCAATCTGCAGGCAGTCACGGAAGCCCTTGCTAACCACAAGAGCGATCTTCTCTCCTTTGCGCTCCAGTAGGGCGTTTGTTGCGACGGTTGTCCCCATGCGGATGCTGTGGATCAAAGAAGTGTCGATGGCTTCTCCTCGTGGGATTTCGCGGCCGGTGACTTTGGACAGAATGCGGCGTATCCCTTCAAGCGGAGCATCTTCATAATTGCTCGGATCCTCCGAGAGCAGCTTAATCACTATGTCATCTTCTAAACGTCCCGTGCCGGGATTGCCCACGCAGTCGGTGAACGTGCCGCCTCTCTGGACTTCGAGTCAGTCTTCCATGTTTTGTTTTGTAGAACCAGTGGATTTAGAGCAAGACGCATACATCGATCGCAATGCTGAGTCCTTTCCCTCTAGGCTGATCCATGCTGGTTGAGGTCGAATGCAAGTTTGCTTCTTGGGTGGTAGGCAGCGAGATACTACAACTACAACTACAGTCCAGTCCAGTTCAGTCCCAGTCCAGCCTTTCCCCGCACGATGCGTTCCCTACGTCATTCGAGGGGAAGTCTGTCCACGACACAAAAAGGACCGGATATCAAGAAATCAAGATGGCTCTATTAGATAAACTATGGTGCCATATAGACAAAGGTGACTAGTGAAAAGCAGGTGCATCCGACTGAACTTACTTGTTATGGAGAGCGCCACTGAACATTGCCCCCGACTACTCAATCACTACTATCGCTAACTATTTACCTTCCGCGACTACTCCGTGTTAACACCTACCCTTTAAGCGCTCCGATAGAAAAGCGCCGCATGTGCGATGATATAGTTCGACCCGTAGAGCCGCATACCATGCCCCACCCCCGAAGACTTTCCATTTCCCTCACTACAACAACCCCACATGCATACAACTCTACAGAGAATGATTCGAGGCAAGGACGTCTTCCGAGGATTCCGGCCGATCGTACAGGGCGGGGATGGGTAAAAGGAGAATCGTTTTTGGAATTAGATCTGCGAATAAGACGGGTGGCGGGCGGGTTTTATCGTGGAAAACGCAGGGACGAGAGAGGAGGGGAAGACGCGGGCGAGAACTGAGACGCGATCGCTCGACGTTCGTTTCGGCGGAGTCCGAGCTGCTGACCAGGATAAATACGAAAACCCACGGAAACAAAATCACAAGGGAGGAAACCCGTTTGTGGAATATCCGCCAGTGAGGAATAACAAAAAGAGAACCGCGCAAAATCCGAGCTCGCCGAGTATGGCGCACGAAGAGAAAGGGATGGGAGAGGAAGACAGAGGAGAAGGGAAGAAGACCAGCAAATGAAGAACCAATCAACCAGAAAATCATGAGAAAAAGGCCATGCAGTGTGACAAGGCTAACACCAAGTTATCTTCGGAAAACGCCAAATTAGACCGCGAGATACGTAGCCTGTTGCCAGGGGGGGGGCACTCGTGGTCAGTAGCGGGCCGTGTTCAAACTGAGACCTGCAAGCAGATCGACACCAATCCACAACCCTCGAGCATGGCTTGAAGACATAGCAGTCGCACAGAGCTGTTCTACTCGGCAGTATCAAGCTCATCATGGGCAGAGGGAACGGGGTCCAAGGGTACTGATCGATTTTATCAGCAAACCGGCAGTCAACTAGAACCGCGGGGTCATCACAAACCTTTCCTATCATCACCGTTCGGGACAACCTCACGCTCCTCATCACGGCGTTCGCGATCATCCTCGCGTCTCTCACGATCCTCCTTAACATCGCGCTCCCGGTCCTCGGGGCTGCGGGAACGGTCGCGAGAACGCTCGCGGTCACGATCGCGGCGATCATCGCGGTCACGACGATCATGCTCACGATCGCGGTCACGGCGGTCATGGTCCCGGTCGGCTCGATCATGATCCCGTTCGTACCGGTCATCCCGTCTCGGGGAGTAATCTCCACGGCTGCGACGAGGAGAGGGAGAACGGCCACGGCGAGGGGGAGTACGGTCACGACGGCGGTCACGGCCCGAATCGAATCGCCAGGAGGCAGAAGGGGGAGTGCGAGCCCACTATTTGTGAAATTTAGTTATCATCGGACATACGGGGGGGGGGAAACTGTGTTCGCGGTCAAGGTGTAGACTGACCTCAATCTTCAGGAGATCATCACGTCCGATGCGCTTGTTGTGCATCTCATGATACGCGTCGTCGGCATCACGCCGGCTCTCATACTCAACAAAGGCAAACCTGCTGAGCTTGTCAGAGATGTACGGGTGAGGGTGAAGCTTAAGTATGGCCTTTGGTCGCCTGAGATTTTGGCACACTTACAGTCGACTGGAAGGAGTACGGGGCGCAGGAATGTCGCAACGAACAAGACGACCGTAACTAGCTCGGGTGTCAGTACGGTGATCTCCCACATCAATATGAACAGGTTATAATAACAAATGACCACATGACCAATGACCACAATAGAATTGACCGGCACCTGGGAAGGAGAAGAAGAGGGCTTTCGGAGGTGGACTTGGCGAGAGGAGCTTCACGATCACCAAGTGGGACCCAGTTCAGGGATGGACCGGTGGCCATCGTACCGTCGACTCGTGGGAGGAGGGAGGAGGAGGAGGGTGATCGAAAGTCCGAGAGCTCAAAAGCTTGAAGGTGCAGGCGTCACGTACCGTTCGAATTCGTAGGCAAGGTCACGAGCTCGAGTGCCATGGCCAAAGCCGGTGACATAGAGGGTGGTTCCCGATCGAGACATGGCAAAAGAAAATTCGGAGATGCTAGGCGGGGGATAGATGGCGGTTGGTGGCCAGAGTTGGCGGACGAGGATGAAGGAGGAAAGGTATACGGCGCAAATGGTTCAATTGAGGAATCGGAGATGTGAAGGGCGCTAGGCCCTACGGTGCACGACAAAGACCACTTGCGCCAAAGATGAACGCATTCTTACTGTATGGTATATACTGTGTATATTCCAATTTACATATACATCAAACTGGAGATAGGTGCAGTACTAATAATAATAATAACAACACACATAACCACGCTAGATGAAGTCGATGCTAGAATATCAAGAGACAATCTCTGGTATTTTCCTCAACTCGTGCTATTCAAGCCTATGTGGTTTATTGTCTTACCGTGTTAATGTAATTTCTGCCCCCACCCTGGGCCGTTGAGGGCCAGACATACTGTACGGCTAGAGTATCAGATATGAACATCAGGGTTATGATATAGGTCTCTATCAACACTGCACTTACCAAAAATAGAGATATAGAGAGAATATCAACAGTATTACTATATATCATTATTCAATACCTGTATGAATACTATATGTAGATGTATAACTACTTCATGACGTCTGTACAGTTTAGCCTCTGGCATGTAATAATGGTACTATACCCCACAGTTACCGTACCAGCTGGCCTCGGGAGGTACCGTGAGCATGTCGGCAATCGGGATGATGTTTTCCTCTAGCATCTCCCTCTCTTATCGACATCACCTCCACTCCACTTTCCTACTTCATCGCAACTGTCGACTTACTCCCCTTTTGCAGTCACGAAGCAACCGGTTCAGTCTTTTCCCCCAAGTGACTGTTTAGCCCAATCCCCGCCACTCACTTTCCTTTGGCTCGACGTTCGACGTTCGACTTTCGATCCCGCAGACCATTGTCCCTCTCTGTCTCTTCCTCCTGATTTCCGAGGGGGAGAGTACCAGACGCACCACCGGCGCTGAATCTTGAATGATGGATCAGTAGAATCGGACCGGGTTACGACATTTTGATTCCCTTCCATGGCCAGCACGACATATCTTGCCACGATCCCCTATCCGATTCTTGTCCTCTCCTCAGTCCATCCTCACCACTCGTCGGGCGCCCTCTTCCTCCCCCACCATCTGTCGCATTCGCTTCAAGAATAAGGGGCCAAGAGTTTATGTGAGGAGCGTCACATTACGCTGCTAGCCTTCCTTGTCAGCTAGGCACACCCAAAGATATCAGACGTATGTGGCCAAGATGAGCCTCAATCGCCAGGACACAACGCAGAAGAATGAGATGGATGGGACAGCAAGGCCTACCGTACAAGGCTTGCAATTACCTTCATCTGGCGCTCCAGTCAAGGTTGGTTCAAATGCCAGACGACTCTCGGAGATTACTCCTCATAGTTCACCTGCTCACTCATTTGTCATTAGGATTCGATCCCCGAACCGCCCTCCTTGCTACGTCGGACACAAAGTAGGCTGGCCGACCCGGTCGTGGCTGCATTCATGGCCGGAGGTGTTGCCGGTGCCGTTTCAAGAACGATTGTCTCCCCTCTGGAGCGATTGAAAATCCTACTCCAGATCCAAAGTGTCGGTCGGGAGGAATACAAGCTATCGATATGGAAAGCTCTCAAGAAGATGAAACGAGAGGAAGGCTGGCGAGGCTTTATGCGCGGTAACGGAACCAATTGTATCCGCATTATTCCCTACTCGGCGGTGCAGTTTGGGAGTTACAATTTCTACAAGAAAGTAAGTTCGACCCCGTTGGCCAATACAGTCGAGGTGGAGCCTGTCTATGCAATTTCCCGTGTGAGGCTCGAGAATATTGAGGACTTGCTAGGCTAACGTGATCGATGCTTAGTTTGCTGAGACTCCCGAGGGTGAGATGACCCCAACACGTCGCCTTATCTGCGGAGGTATCGCGGGGATCACGTCTGTCACGGTCACGTACCCGCTGGATATCGTCCGTACTCGACTTTCCATCCAGTCAGCATCCTTTGCAGGCCTGGGAGCCCGAGATCCGTCCGAGAGGCTACCCGGCATGTTCACGACTATGGTGACAATATACAAAACCGAAGGCGGTATGATTGGCCTCTATCGCGGAATCGTCCCCACGGTTGCTGGTGTTGCTCCATATGTAAGTTCCCTGCTTTTTGCCGTACCGACATTCGGTCACTAATGCATATCAGGTCGGACTCAATTTCATGACCTATGAGTCGGTCCGCAAATACTTGACTCCAGAGGGAGATAAGCACCCCAATCCCTGGCGAAAGCTGCTTGCTGGTGCCATTTCCGGGGCTGTGGCACAAACTTGCACATATCCCTTGTATGAATTTCCCATCCTGCTGCTGCTAAATTATTCGCTGACTTGGACTTTAACTGGATTTCTAGTGACGTGCTCCGGCGACGCTTCCAAATCAATACCATGTCCGGCATGGGCTACCAATACAAATCCATTTGGGATGCAGTGCGGGTCATTGTGGCCGAAGAGGGACCACGTGGACTGTTCAAGGGCATTGGACCCAATCTACTCAAGGTTGCACCCAGCATGGCCAGTAGCTGGCTCAGTTTCGAGTTGACGAGAGATTTCCTCGTCAGCATGAATGATAGAGAATAGTTGCAATATACCTAGATCGTTTTTTCTCTCGGATATTCTCAAACGTCGTATCAAGCTGCTACTGCTGCTTCCTCACTGTTTGGTCAGAACAATTTTTAGATCTTGAAGGGTTGAATTATCCCTCTTAGGTACGTGGTATTGGTGAATGTAGCGAAAGAGAGCCCAAAAAGGTCAAGTATATCCTCCTATTTTTCAATTATTCTTTTTGTGCCAACGCTGCCTTGTCTGTGGGGTCAAGTTCTGATGCTTATTTTCTTGATAACATAGGCGCAGTATGCCTTGAAAAATCACATTGATAAAAATCGTCTCTACTGAAGGGCGACATACCTGTGGGGACCAACAAGTACGTACATATTCAGTTTGAATCGAGCTAGATCGCAAGGGATAGCCAATGTAGTATTTAGTTACTGTACTACATATGACTGGGGACTCGAACTACAGACGGCGCACTAACGGCTACCGTAATTCAAGCGGGCTCCACTCCGCCTACATATTAAAGGGCGTATTTAAAGAGTTAAGATTTACATCGATCGAGAAGACCAGTTAGTAGTACCTGTCCTTGATCGACGAGACTTCCTCTTTATGGAAATTTCTATCATGATAAATGGCTAGCTTAAGTGCCTACCCAACCAAAGTCGTGTATGTAGCAAAATGTGCTGGGTCTTTAATGCCGAAAGAATGCCAAGACCGCCTGACTCTTCGACCTCTTCAGGAACCACCTTAGGTTATTTAGCCGCACCTGATTACCTAAGGTCGGCCCCCGTTCCCTTCGAGTTGTCCATTCACGGGTTCCACATCAGGTGACTCGCTCTATCACCATATTAGGACTAGCGTAGGGCTCAACCCACACACACCCGCGCAGCCGAAAGTTGAAGACCAAAAACCTCCTGGACTTTCCATACGGGTGCGACAGCAAGCTAACTCCCAGGTGTTCAATTCATATCAGCAGCCATGGGTATGTCCAACCACTCCAACCTCATCATCTTGATCTTTCCCTGTCTAGGAGAGATATCTGCTTTCTCTCTCCTCTCTCTCGATTCCTCCCTGAGACTAACTCATGTTCGAAATCTTTTAGGTATCGACCTGGACCGTCACCATGTGCGCAGCAGCCACCGCAAGGCGCCCAAGAGCGAGAACGTTTACTTGCAGGTGCTCGTGAAGTTGTACCGCTTCCTGGCTCGTATGAATCCCTCCATCCCATTCAGAATTCGAATTTCGTGCGTCGCAGCAGAAGGAGCGAAACGACGATTTTTTTTTTCTACGACATGAGCCGGGACCGAAAAACTGATCTGGATCTCTTACAGGCCGCACGGAGTCCAACTTCAACAAGGCCGTTCTCCGCCGCCTCTTCATGTCGCGCATCAACCGCCCCCCGGTTTCGCTCTCCCGCATCGCCTCGAACATCAACGAGTCGCAGAAGGGCAAGACCGTGGTCGTTATCGGCACCATCACCGATGACAACCGCCTCCTGAACGTTCCCAAGTTGTCCGTCGCTGCTCTGCGCTTCACCGCCACTGCCCGTGCCCGCATCGAGAAGGCTGGTGGTGAGACCCTCACCCTGGATCAGCTTGCTCTGCGTGCCCCTACCGGTGCCAACACCCTGCTCCTCCGTGGCCCCAAGAACGCCCGTGAGGCCGTGAAGCACTTCGGCTTCGGTCCCCACTCTCACAAGGTCCGCTTCATATCCAATCCGTTGAAATCAATTTGGATGCTTTTGTTTTTGCCTACACCTGCTAACCTAATTATGAATCTTAATAGAAGCCCTACGTTGCCAGCAAGGGTCGGAAGTTCGAGCGTGCCCGTGGTCGCAGACGCTCCAAGGGTTTCAAGGTCTAAAAGGACTTTGTGTGATGATTGTGGGACGGACATGAACCCATCGGTGCAAGGACGCATATTCCTGGTCGCACTGAATCCTCGGGTGTTTATCTCTCCGAGTCTAACTGGAGACCTCTATTCGATGTACCTAAAGTGGCGAGATGTCTTTGGTTGGATTGAGGGATCAGAGTGTGTGGATGGAAGAGGGCAAAAGAAAAATGCATCCGGCTTAGTCCTCAACCTTTCTTACGATTGCGAAATGTTTCAACAAAAAAAAATTACGTTTGAATTCCTTTTTCTTCTTCACCAGGGGGTTCTGCTAGGGGAAGATCGAAAAAAATTTAAGTTAATTATGTACACTTTTCATGCTCATTCACTGATAGGCAGGTTGGTATGAAGATATTTCCGACCACCCGGCCCATCATGATAATCCCCCGCACCATGTCCATTGCCTCGAATCAGGTATTTATAGATGGTGAGACCTTCTAGGCCTACGGGTCCCCGAGAGTGGATTTTGTTGGTACTGATGCCGACTTCGGTCCCAAAGCCAAATCTCATTCCATCTGCAAACCGAGACGATGCATTCCAAAACACTCCCGCGCTATCAATGCCGTTCATGAATGAGTTTGCTAGCTCGCGTGACTCGGTCAGGATGATATCGGTGTGTTTAGACGAATGGGTGTTGATGTGCGCAACGGCAGCCTCCACGGCTGATTCTGGAGAACCGCTTTCGGGGATGGACTTCACGGCCAACACCAGATCGAGGAATTCGGTATCGTAGTCTGCCTCGGTAGCCGACGAGACTTGGGCCAATTGATCGGCCTTTAGTGTCTTCGCAAGGGCCGCCTTGGACGCCGGGTCACAGCGAAGAGAGACACCCTTATTGAGAAGGGCCGTTGCGACTGCCGGGAAGATAGTCTCGAGGACCGTCTCGTTGACCAAAAGGGACTCGAGTGCATTGCAGGCCGCCGGGTAGTCCGTTTTGGAGTCCACGACAACTTTCACAGCGGTATCGATCTTAGCATCCGAGTGTATGTAGGCGGAACAGAGACCGTCGGCGTGGCCGAGTACTGGGATCTTGGTGTTTTCCTTGACAAAGCGAACCAATTCGTTGGATCCACGGGGAATAACAAGGTCGATGAATGAGTCCTGCGCCAGAAGGGAAGAAACGGCATCACGGGTCTTGACCAGTTGAACGGAGGATACGGGCACTTGAGAGCCAGCAATGGCTTCCGAGACCACATTTGCGATGGCAACGAAAGATTCCATGGATTCCTTTCCACCTATCGATATACGGATGTCAGTTTGAGAACGGGTTGGTTTTCCCCAAGAACGATGACTTCCCGCACCTTTCAAAATCGCAGCATTGCCCGACTTGATGGCTAGCGCAGCAATGTTTGCAATGACCTCCGGACGAGCCTCGAAGATGATCAAAAGAACACCAATAGGGCAACTGACCCGCTCCAGAGTCAAACCCTCATCCAAAAGAGTCCGTAGGGTCACTTTACCAACTATCATTTCGATCTTGGTGTTAGCCTATGTTTTATCACTCGAGTACAATACAATCGTAAGGAGGCCAAGGTGGGGGCACACCTGGATCTTCCAAGTCCCGAACGTTCAGAATTCCCTGTAGCATGTCTTCATATTTTCCGGGTCGTGAGAGATCAAGTCGTTTCAGCACACTGTGATTGAGGGTGCCATCATTGGCAGCCCTCGTAGCAGCCTCCACATCTCGGGCATTCGCTGCCAAGATAGCATCGCGATTCCTATCCAAGGCTTGGTGAAGTGCAGTCAATGCATCATTTCGGGCACCGTTTGACAGCGTGGCGAGGTGACGAGAGGCAAGCGATGCGCTGCGAGCCACGTCGACGGCGGCTGAATCGGTTAACGACATTGCTTCGTGTCGACCTTGAACTCAAAAAGATCTTAATTTGAAACTGCGGTCGGTCTTCTCTAGGACAAGGAGAGGCGCAATGGATAATTTGAAGGAGAAATAGGTCAGGTGATTCGAGTATAATGGCAAGGAGGGAAATCAGAGTATGTGGGGAAAGGTGAGTCAAAGGACCTTGGAGTTTTAGTTACTCTCGGCGAACAATTATGGAGGGGCACCTTTTTTTTTTCCGGAGTAATTACGTTACTCCGTACGGAGGACATGTACTGTAGCCCTACAGTCCAATTAGTTGGAATTAGTGGGGCACTCGACTCCGCTATCGGCTTATCGCTTTATCGGCTTATCGGCTTATCGCTTTATCGGGCCTCTCCCCGACCGCTCTCTTCGTGGAGCTTTCTCCAACTGCCACTCTCCAACTACTAGCGAGGTACCACGACAACAATAACAACAATCCCTCCGAGTCCTTCAGCCAACTCTTATATGGGTTCTTGGGCCTAAATGGTCCTCTGGACCTTCAAGAAGTCTTGTTCTACAGCTTTTCTACCTCCATCTCTATTCCTGTCGCCTCTCAAAGCCCCACTCACACACTCACCCATCGTTCATCCTCGGCCGCCGCGCTCCCATTCGACCCTGCTCATCGAGCTTCCACCTTGCCATCTTTACTGGTTCTGGAACGGTCTCGCGATCGAGGCTATCAGCTTTTCAGGATGGAGATCGTCGAGGTGCTTATGACCCAGTCCGCCCAGCTGCGGGAAGCCAGGAATCTGTCCAACGAAGACTATGATCGCCAGATTCGTGAGAATGTCTCCTCTTTGAGACATGTCATCTCTACCAAGGGTCTCGGTACATTCGCCAGCAACGACTCTCTCCTTGACGTGAGCAGTAATCTCTTCCTCCAAAATCAACGTTGATGACAAGCTACTAACCAGCCTCCCTGTACCAGCATTTCGACCCAGTTGCGGACTCTCTCGTCTATATGTTTCTTCTTCGCGCTCAGATTCAAGCCTTTCAAGAGGAATTTCGTGAAAACGTGCCCGCGGCCTTGCTTCCACCCGGGAAACTCTGGTCGAGGATCGTCTCCTACCTGAGAACTTTCGATCCCATTCAAGTCAGATACGCAGGTCAAGAGTGGCGCCAGTTGGTCGAAATTGTTGCGCAGGCGTCACAGGTGGTTTCCAAGGCATGGTTCTCTTGTATCGCAACCTTGCTCCAATGTCAACATTCTGACCGTTTTTAGCCTATCCTAGCCGTGCGACTGGTCAGAGACGCCATGTTGCGGCTGGATCCTTCATGTTCTGTCTTCACATCGACGCACCTACTTCTTGTCCGCCTCTGCTTGCGGGCGAAGGCATACACCTATGCGTTGCCCGTACTTGACAGACATATCTGCCACTTCCCTGCCTCGACTCCCCGCGCCAGCTCTGGCTTTTCCGTGTTGCCGTGTGCAGCGCACGATTCAAGCCTGTCTTTCATCACCGATACGTCTGGACTATCATCCAAGTTAACCTACAAGGACTATCTCCAATATTTCCTTTGTGGTGGAATGATCTACATGGCACTCAAGCAGTGGTGCAAGGCAGCGCATTTTCTCGAGGTTGTTATTTCGATGCCAACGGTGGGTCCCATCAGCATGATCATGGTGGAGGCTTACAAGAAGTGGATCTTGGTGACATTGTTAGACAAGGGCAAGGTGAGTCACTTATGTCGCTGGCTAGGCCGGCCCTGACTAGTTCGTTCCGATGCTAAGATATTCTGGTACTAGTTATCCTCGCCTTCCAACCTGATTCCTCCACATGTAGTCAAGCTGTACCAGTCGCTGGCTAAACCTTACGTCAATCTGGCCCACAGTTTCTCCGGGGGTGACTTGAAGCATTTGGAGGCAGAGATCGACGCAGCTCGGGAAATTTGGTGCACTGTATGTCGATCATGGATCTGGAGACCCCACCGCTTGACTTCTACTAATGCACGGTCTCTTAGGATAACAATATGGGCCTGGTTTCTCAAGTCCTCGGTGCCTACACCAAGCATACTGTCATGGGTATCAAGCAGACATTTGCCGCTCTGACAGTTAAGGAACTTGCGGAACAGGCATCACCTCTGCGAATGAGTGACGAAGCTACCGAAGCAGTCATCGCGTCTTTCATCATGTCAGGTGCTGTGAAGGCCACGTTGTTGCAAAGCTCAAGCCAGGGCAGCCCAACCATGCTTCGGTTTTCGAATATCCATTCTGCCCCACAGCTCTCGGACGAGAGTAAGGTACAATCCTGTCTGGTACGGGAAAGTCAGTCTCTGGGCTCCCTGATGGAAGGTCTTGATGAGATTGGCTATCATGTGGGACTCAGCAACGAATTCATTGATACTGTGCAGAGAGGCCAGACTTGGGCAAGTGTAGGCGATGTCAATTCTGGAATAAGCGAAGACGTTGGACTCGAGATAGAAGAGGATCTTATGGGTGAGGTATCATAACCATCAAGTTCAGCTTGATTGTTGAGCTTTCATTATCTACCCTTTCGATCACATAAACCAAGATTTCTTAATCCATTCAATGTAGCACCCATCCAAAAGAAAGATTGCATCACACGGAATAGCGCATAGGCAATGTGGTCTGATGGACTCCGTGAACAGGGCTCGGATCCGTTGAGACCATATCTATTGTTGGTTTGCGTCCCTCCAATATCCAGGATTTTGTTCTCCCAGAGTCGCCTCGCATCGGTAATACACATCTACAGGGTAGTCTTAACAGCCAGGGCAGCTTTTTTATTGAGTTTGGTTTGAAGATAGTGATGATGATCATTTAATCTCTCTGTGGAAGCAGGCTTCAGCGAAAGAAAGACTAGTCCCTGAAGTACATGTTAGCTAGTATTTCTAGCCCATAGTATCATCACATCAGTCAGTTCGTTCAATAGGAAATTCTTCGTTGTGATGAACTCAAAAAGTGTCGGTCATGCAATGATAGGTCTGGCCTAGATACGAACAATAGAGGGGCTCTCCCTAGATTGATCAACAAATCTAATAGCTGAGATGCTTGTTCATCCTGTATTTCATCATCCACACTAGGAATTGCCTCCCTTGCAAACGCGGGAGTGAAAACACGAATAGGGTTCTTCGGTAAAGCCCCCGGCTCTAACAGCCCGCAGAATTTCCTTCTCTGTATTCTATTCGAAGGAGTCAAAACATCACATCAGACCAGCTTGCGACTTACACTGCTGCTCCCGTACGAGGTCGCTTTGAGTGATATTTTATCACGGCAGAGACTTGAAGCTTCACGGCGAAGTCACGCACGCTATATTGGGTAAATGATCGGCTCGTTTATAAAATGAATGTCTTGAAACCGAGGAAGCTCCATTCGGTAAAGAATCATAGTTTTCGTCCCTATCTATCTAGGCCATCGGGTTACCAGACTGCCTAGCTAAGGGCAGTCTGACGAGGTCTGACAAATTGATATAGTCGGTGAGGATTCTCTGATTTTGTTTCTCTTCCCTACTTCAATACATATCCCGCTGTCGCTTTCGGTGAGGAAGGACTGCATCTTTAACGTGCGGATCACTACGGGTCATTTCAATACTAGCGACGGAAACTAGACGTTACAGACCGAAATCGGCATTAAGGTGGTCGTAAAGTACCTTATTCCGGCAATCGGCTTCATAAGCTAGCAGTATATCCCCTGCTAGAAGGGCTTAGAGGGTTTATACCTTAATCTAGCCCTAAGAGCTATTTAATTAAGGTTAAAAATAACTCGATAGCCCAGGTCATCTTATACTAATTCACTACTAAATAGTACTACTACTACTACTATTATTACTACTACTACTATTATTACTACTGCTACTATTACTACTATTACTACTACTACTACTACTACTACTACTACTACTATTACTACTACTATTACTACTACTACTACTACTACTACTATTACTACTACTATTACTACTATGTTACGAGGCAGACCGTCAGAAACCCGCGGGGGATAACGACAGCCAACCAAACCCGCAAGAAGGACGACACCTGCAGAAGTCACGTGCAACCAATGAGAAGCATTACACATATGCTTCCTAGGAGCAAGATCACATAGAAAAGGTGCTCCCAGGAGCAAAGTGGGTCAGTGTAAGAGGGCATCTTACACGATCATGCTCAGTGATCACTCGGGGTGATCAAGGACACTGTGTCCTCATGGCGGACTTTGTCCTGTGTGTGTATTTACATATATACTGGAAAAGTTCCGGCACAACGGACTACTCGATTGGGTAACCACGTGACCAATCCCATCGGAGGATGGGGCGCATCCCACCATGGGATGGGGCACATCCTACGACAGGACGGGACGACTCATCGCCGGATAGGAAGGACTGGATATATAAGGACATTCATTTGGCATCATGTATTTAGTTCTTCGCGATCAATTGCACATTGTTACTTGGTTACTACCTTNATTTCTTATCTAGAAAGGTTATATAATATTGATAGCCGTCGTAGGTCTTAGGGCTAATAGGCCCGCCTAGATCGCTATGAATTCTCTCGCTAACTTGATAGTTAGCTAGATCAATAGATCTCTTATTAATAGATCTATTATATTTAGATAGTAGGCATATCTCACAGATATCCTCTATATAGCTAGTTATCTCTTCTCTAGAGATATCTAGTCCTATCTTCTTAAAAATCTTTAGCAGAGGATTTAGACCTATATAAGCTAGTCTTTCATACCATAGCTTTATATTAGCTAGGTGGCTAGTCTTCTGGTCTGTTAAAATAGCTAGGATAGCTAGCTTTCTCTCTAGTCCCTTAGGGCAGAGTATATTAAATTTAGCCTTATATAGGCCATCCTGCTTATTAGCAGTTACTATAGTAATCCTATTAGATATAGGTCCTATAGATTGATAGGTAGGCTTATAGATATCTATATTACTAGTGATATCTCTAGTATATAGATAGGCCTTATCCTTATAGAAAGTAGATACTATATCCTTTAGCCTATTAGTACTAAGGATATTAATACCTAGTTCAGGCATATATAGCACGTTTCGAAGTATATATATATAGTTAGTATTAGTTCTAACTATTATAATACCTTCGTATCTAATAGGGATAGACTTAGCATTTCCCTATATGATAGTTTTATTAGTTAGCCAATAGCTATAGAAGTATTCCAATTTAGCTATAGCTAATATAGTAGCTACAGTATCCACTATAAATTTAACATCAGATAGTATAGATCCTTTATGAATCAATTTAGTAAGATCTTTAATATTAATCTTATCAATCTGATGGCTATCAAATATACTATATATTTAATTAGTGTATTAATCTGCTGGCTGATTGGCTAATTAGGTAGTGTTTACCTTAGGCGATTTTATATTAATATCGATATCAAAATCATCAAAATCAAGAGAGCTTTTCTAGCAATCTTGTTTTTCTAGTATAAGATAGTCATCATTAAATTAGCTATCTTAGCTAGTTTGGCCAGTTTAGCCAGTTTGGCTGCTTTGGCTAGTTAATTAGCTAGTATCTGCCTGGCTAGATTAGCTATCTTCTAGTTGGCTAGATTGGTCGGTCTAGCTAGATTAGCTAGATTCGCAGATAGTGGCTATTATAGCCTTCTGTTTCTGCTAAGCGTCTAGAGAGTGTTCCGATTTCGGATACTTCCTATCTAGATCCTGTTTAGCCAGACGATTTGTCATCTTTAGCTGCCAATTTAATAGTCTTTTCTCTAGATAGAGATACTAGTAATTAACTATATCATACGTGGTAACTAGGCAATAGCCACAGAAGTGCCTAGTATAGGGTCTCTTCTTATAGGGCTTTCTAGCCTGCTAGCTATTAGATAGCCAGTAGTTAGATATCCGCTGCCTAGGTGATTGCCTAGATAGGTAGCTAGGCTGGCTAGGCCTTCGCTTCTAGTAAAGATTTATATATATATCTTCATGGTTTTCTAAGTGGCCCCTAGCCTCATCAATTAGGCTAGCAAAGAGCGTATCAATTATATAGCTCTTAGGGTCCCTTCTCAGCGATTATATAATAGATTGGATGAAGGACCTATATCCTTCGTCTAAACTATTAAGGACCCAAGCTATAACTACCTATTATGGTAGGTTTATACCCTTCGAAGATAAATCTTCTACTAAGAATTTAACCTTATTTAGGTAATCTTCTATAGTAGAGAATTCTGAAGAGCTAGTGTTGAATAGCTCTTTAAGGGTTAGGTATTCAGTAGTAAATCCCCTAGGGTTATATAGCTTTTCTAGGGTGATCCACGCCTTATAGGCTATATCCTCATCCTTAATATATAATAGTGGGCCTTTCGAGCAGTATAGGCGTATATTAGCCACTACCTGACGATTACTATCGTCCTTAGTAGGTCTTTGTGATAAAATAGCATCTAATATACCATCTTTAGTAAATAGTGCTTTGATTTTCAGTGCCCACTCTATATAATTCTTAGTTCCCTAGAGTGGTTCTATATATATCCTTCCGATAGAAGAGCTCATCGTTAATAGATAGCTTTATATATATATAGATTAGATAGGGACGTTAAATTATATATAGGATAAAGATAGGTAGATATCTCTAGGGTACCCTTCGGGTATAGAGATATATAGTTCGGATATACGGATATATAATCCGGGTATACNACCTACAAGTAGGGGATTCACTTAGTAGCAATACTTAGTGATTGACTTACTTGGCGCGCACTTCTGGCACGTTCTGCAAGATACTCAACAGGATCTATCCCGCAGTAAGGCCTTGCGAGGCAACGGTACGATTGAGAGATACTCTTGGAATTCGAAGTTGTGCCGAGAGGGCCGGAATCAGCCGTGACAGCACATATCGTTATTGTACCCGATTACCACAACGACTTAGGTAACTATTGCCCTTTCTGCACTTACTCACAGTGACCAGTCGGCTACGCGTAACATACTACTACTACTACTACTACTACTACTACTACTACTACTACTACTACTACTACTACTACTACTACTACTACTACTACTACTACTACTATTACTACTACTACTACTATTACTATTACTATTACTACTACTACTATTATTACTATTAATCTTTTGAATAATTAGTCTCTTAGCCTCTGATATATTAAGGATAGCTAATCTATTTAACGCCTTTATGACACTTCCTACCGGCTTATGTCTCGCCATGATAGCTATATATAAGGATATGCCGCTGCTGCCATATACCGCTAGTACTACGGTATATAAATAACTCCCCCCTTTATAGGAGGGCTTTCCGATTCTGTTCGGTTAGGACGTTTCATAGCTCTCTATAACCTGTGGAGATACGATTATAGTGAATAAATTTCTTTTCATAATTAGAACTTTCGCCTACGGTACCAGCCTATAGTTGATACGAGGCCTCGTCCGAGACTAAGGCTTTTCTCTCTATGATTATTTTAAATACAGTATTAGCCCTATAAGATGTTTCCGCGTAGGAACCACGGACGATCATAATGCAATTTACATGTTATTAGCCGAAGAAAAGAAAAAGCTCATGGCTGAACGCCAACTTATAGGGCCAAGGCTTTGATACCGTAGTTATCAGACAAGCCAGAACCGCCT